TGATTCTGCCGTCAATTGACGGTTTTGGCGCTTTCCACGTCTGTAAAATTGAAATTTTGATGAGATTACACCGTGATCATTCTTAATTTTATGGAGTAACGTAATATAGCTCCCATCTTTGGATGCTTTGCCAAAGAACAATACCGATTCAAAAGGTGCCAGCTGTTTTAGACCATCGATAGTGAATCATCCACTGAAGCCTTCTGTAAAAGTGTTGATTTACTTTGAAATATGCCAGTGCCAGCAATGAGTATTCTGTAGTGGGTCAAAGCGCTTCAGTTTGTTGGTATCCACAATGATTACCCGTCCATTAGTCTAAGCATACAAACATAACCATGTAAGTTTCATCTTGACATTGTATGCAATGTTTATTTAGGAATGACTTACATCCAGTTCACTGTTATCGTTCTTTTCAGGCAGTATGAGACCAAGAGAGAGATTTTTCCAAAGTATATAGTAATGTTTTTTGCTTCTGTTGATTTTAACTAGAAGTAGAAACAAAAGGTGAGTTATGGGTAAGAAGCGTCTGACGAGCGATATTTACCTTGATGCTGCATAATAAATAATTTTATTATACATAGTACCTCTTAAAGAAGGCGTTTGATCATCTTGATCCTGGTTTGATGCATTTTCGAATAATCAGCTACTACTTGCGAACTATTCTTCTCGATTCTGTATCGTTCCCTGGTTGGTTTTTTGTGTTTCTGTGATGCTGCTGGGTTGAACGTACAAGATAGAGCCCATTCCAGTGCCTTTTTTTCCCTATACTACCCAGTACAGGCTGTTGATTTGCATTGTCATTGAGATGTTTATCCTGAATGTTGCTACGCATTTTGAAGGTTTTGCTAGCAATTAGTGAGTCGAGGATAACCAAATGGTGTACCTGGAATAAGCAAATGGCCAGTTCCAGAGAAAGAGTTTAGTTCAAGAGCCAGTATATATATACAAGCAGGCATGAGCTAGCCACAATGAGAGAGTTTTTGTATATAATGCACCGTAGGTTTTGGAGGTCAGTTTACATTTCACACAGTCTTGACAAGGTACTGATATTGGAACACTTGAAGATGGCAGGAGGCAGAATATTAAAGCTTGACAGCAGGCAGCGACTTCTCTTTCATTTCCTGGCTGAATCAGACTGTCGATTGGCAATACTAGCAACGTTTCTCCTCTTGTTTAGCGCGACAAACCCAAACACGGTCAAAAAGATAGAATGATAGACTGAGAGAACGGCTGTATGTTGTGTTTGTTCTGAGATGTATCTTTGTTGGATTTATAATAATACACTGCTGTGTATTCTGGAGAGTCATTGAGGGCGGATTCCAATGTTGTCACTTCTTCAAAGGTGTCGAATCGACTCAGAATCTTTTGCAGACAATCTACCAACTTCTTTTGCACATTGTTGCCGTATGGGGGCTTGTTCAATGCTTCGTTTTATAAAAATTCAAGTGTGTCGTCGTTGCTAATGCTTGTAAAATAGTTCCATAACGTCTTCATCAGGCCCAAGTTGCCTATTTCGAAGCTGTCGATGATAATGCTAGAGTCACAGAAGTGCTGAGAGAGTCGTATCAATACTTTTTCAGAGGCTGAAACATATTTTGAAGGCGCCAGATATCGTGCTTGAACTTGAGAATGTCTTTCAAACTACTGCCAGTGCTATCTTTTTTTTTTTTTTTTTTTTTTTTTTTTTTTTGTGAGCTTTGCTTTTGATAACGTGCTGAGCAAGCTGTATGCTGTATTCGCAAATGAATTGAAGATTGATTCCCTTTTCATACTTTGGCTGTGACAATTGATGATTGTGCATCATGGCTTGCAATAAATGGCTATTTAATATACATGGTTGTCGATGCTGTATTAAAAGTTGATAGAAGAGGGTCAGTCAGCTGCTTTGCTATTGCCGTTGTTGTTATATATCATCTCACGTTGACTTACTTATCTGTGTCTGTTATAATGCTACTACCGTTATCTACAGCGATGGTACCTTGACTGGATCGCGTTTCTAGTTAATCTGCTGGTATTTGTTACGATGGCCCAGGCACAGTGATAATTGTCGTTCCCTTTGTTAAGCAGCTGTAAGATAGGTTTGACTTTGTGCATTACATTTTCTCTCTTACCAGAATGGATACATCTTGAGCAGCTTTTTGATCAACAAGTTTGCTGTTGTTGTTGCTGTTGTTGCTGTTGCTGTTGCTGTTGTTGCTGTTGCTGTTGCTGTTGCTGTTGCTGTTGCTGTTGTTGTTGTTGTTGTTACTTGCGGAAAAGAAGAAAAGGGAAAGACAGCAGAAAGAGAATGATGAACCTTGAGATTGGCAGACATTAGACGTAATCAAGGTAATCAACATACTTGTGGTCTGCCGCTCTACAAGGCTCATCGTCGGCCTCAAACAGGTACGTAACCACGTCTTTGTGGAAACGTACCCGCCGAGAACCCCTCTCGTTGCCAGCAGACTCTTTCTCCACAGGAACTGTATCACCGAAAGAGTTGCTTCCATCCCCCACTGAAGGTAATTCGGATAAAGATGACTGAGGTAATGACGGATTGGAAGAGGAGGGAGGTGCAACTGGAGGAGTAAGATGAGAGGAGATAGATGGCTCCCCTTGAAGGACAAGAGTAGTATCCTGTCTCTTCAAAGGTCGCTCATCCAACTCATCATCTGCCGACTTTCTCTTTCTACTGCTGCGGATGCTAGTGGTAGAGGAGGAAGTAGAGAACTAGGCATGAATGTTCATATGTCAGTACGAAATATTGCTTCGCGGTAGTTGTCTTGTGTCATGGTACTTACATTGTATTCGTAGCCAGAGCGTAATAACATTTTAGCAATAATTATTTAAACGAGAGCAAAAGGTAAAGAAATAAAATCTACTGCATGAATTCACTTTTATACCTGCATTTGCCTTCAAAGAATAGTGGTCTAGGTTCTTTTTTTCATAGCAATACGCGTCAATAAAGCATGGCAGAATGAGATGCTACTTTTCCTCGTGTATTCTACAGTTAATTTGAGACATCACCAAAAGTGAAGCAACTCTCAATTATCATTTCCCGTAGAGTTAGAAGCAAACGTAGTGCTTAGTATCCTTCCCTTCAATTTTGCAACAACGCTTTTCATAACAAAAAGTTTTACATTTTCCTATACCTGTGTAACAAAAGTCATCATACGATCACGGAGGGATTCAGCCTTACTAAACTTGCCATGGCGCTGGGCATCATCAACTCGACTTGGCCAAAGATGTGTACAAACAACTGTTTCATAGACACGCATAAATGTGTACGTACCAGCATTGCAAATTGCATGCATATCAGAAGTACCTTTGCAACTAGGGTGGAATCTACAGACAGTTCTTATGGATACTGTGTAGTGTCTGTTGAATAGCACTGAGCAAGTCCACACATAGCATCTGACGCAATCAATCTCTATAGAACTGGACACCTTGGGCAGGATCATTATATCCCTGAATAGATGAACTTGCCGTAGAAATTTGGCAAGAGGTCAATGTCTGCATTTAGAGATATGTTATCATACTGGACCAGAAGGAGAAGATAGACAAGCAGATAGTAGGCAAGGCGTACATGAAGATTAAACCCCTGAAAGAAAAGCTTACTGACATGAGCGACAGTAGACAAAATAATTATCCTAGTACCTTCGATGAAAGAGCATTCACTGACATTACACACCGCTTTAATAGTGTAATGCAATAACCTTTTTCACTTCAGAAGTCTGACTCATTTAGGATGCAACGTATATATACAACTTCTTGGTAGATGAATCATCTGTCAAAGGGTATAATCGAATCAAAACATATGTAATTTCAGTCATCGCATGCTTGCATATATCCAATATAGTTGTAAACACTCGCACTCAATACCTTTATTATGTCTGAAGAATCTAGTATTGAACAATATTGCATTATGCTGTGTTCTAAGCTCTTAATCTACAGTATATTCAAGAACTAGTAGCCTTAGAAGGCAAGATAAAAAAAAATATTGTGCAGCAAAAGACTGTAAGCATCATCAAATATTCTTTTATTGTAGCCTTCTTACTTCTTCAATGATGCATAGGAAGCTTTCATAACTGTGAATTTAGCACTTCTCGAGTGCTTACGTCTTCCTCAGCAAAAGCAACATTTATACAGGTAAGCGGCACACTTGCATGACCTCTTACTACTCAAAAATACGCAAAACACAGCGAGATTCGATTTATTTGAGCATTGATTTATTGCGTTTAAAACCGCTGCAGGCAAATGAAATAGTACCAAACAACTGCTCCCATCTTGCACTCACTTTCTGCCACGTTTGATCGATTCTTTTTGGGGCCAAAGAAAAAATATTGCTAAAAAACTATGAAGGGTACCTCATGAAAATCATTAAAAACAAAGCGACCGCTTTTTTTATCCCAAAAATGAAGACTTTCACTATGGAATACGAGTGTTTATGCTTCGGGTGGCTCTCTACATTCACTTCGCTTCGGTGAGAGCCAAACTGCACAGCGGCAGCTCGTGCTACCGATTGCCGTTACGTATCTTGTCAAAATACTGCTACTTTCATTTTGACCCTCCACTTACACATGGAAGCCCTTCATATAATCTATGGATCTGATTCTTATGTGATACTCTACACCCATATACATGTAGTTATTTCATATACGGGCAAGTATCATACAGATATTATTCTTTTTTAGTCAAGAGTGTGCCTAATACAGCAAAATATGAGTGCATTTGAGCTGCGTTTTCTCGTTTTAGATGGTCAGAATAGCACCAAACAATTGCTCTTATCTGGCAGTTACTTGCTGACACTATTGCTCAACTTTTTGGGGACCAAAAAAACATGGCCAAAAATTGACCAAAAAGCATGAAGTACCCCTCATGATTTTCATCGAAAATCAAACAATCGCGTTTTTGACCTTGATAATGAAGACTTTTACTATGGTATGTATTACATCAATTTTTTTTTTTGTATTTAAATGTGTTTTTTATTAAAAACTAGACAGTATGGTACTATTTAGTATTTACATGTCTACGAAAGAGGAAATTAACTTGGCGTTATCGGCAAGAAAAGACGAGAAAACTGCTCGAGTAAGCCATGATTTACCATCAAGGGTGCAGCCCCAATGATGTTGCCACACGCAAGAGAAGGCAGCGCCAAGAAGTTCCAAGATGGAGATGTCTAGAGGATGGTTGTCCTGGCCATGAAGGGTAGTCAGCCCAAGCCAAATGGCAGCGTCAGTAGGGAACTTAGGAGTAAGACCGAGATGGGAGGCTACCTCATACCAGAAAAGGGACTTACTACTGCAGCCGATGACCATGTGGTATTCATCTTCAGGCGCCTCCTGGCATACCTTACAAAGAGGGGAAGGATACTTCACAACGTTGATGGAGTGCAGGCGAGCCTGAACCGAGAGGTGGCCATGCAGCAGACGCCACCATGGCGTAAAAGCCTTGGCGGGAAGGCAGAGGGACCAAAAATCACGCCAGAGGCGGGGTGGAAGCAAGAGATGTGGTGGGCGATATCGAGGAGGATGGGCTGGGTCACGAAGCATATTAAATGAGGGGTGCCATAAACGTTGCAGCGCACCGAGCGTGATTTTGTCCACTGTAGCTTTTGAGCACGGACCAGTGATGATGTACCAGTGCGAAAAGCTAGGAGCGGAAGGAGAGGTGGTTGTCGAGCTCTCCAGCATGACGGTACGCTCTTGGTCGGTGAATGCCATGACCGATCTGAGAGAATCAGGAATGATCCACACAGGAGGACCCTCAAAAGGGCACAGAGCATTGAACAGATGTTGCAAGGTTGCGGTATTGCGAGGGCGTAAGCAAGCCAAGATGTTGGTGTCTGGTAGCACGCTCAAGAGGCTGGCAATCAGCCTGTGCGGGGGTAGTTTGTCACTAGTTCTCGTCAAGTTCGCTGTTGGCGAAAGGGAACAGACTTGTAGCCAAGGTAGATCAAGGAGCCACCAAGACGGCCACTCCGGAGAAGGAGTTAGTGGAGACAAACGAGTGAGTAATCGAGCCAGATGCTCCAGATGGGGCATTTTCTCAAACGAGGCCAGTAGTTACGAGGATACAGCAGTAACGGAAGAGCAGTGGCATGACCTGAGTATACGTGGAAAGTATACAGTAGCCAGGGAGAGAGAAAATCGGTCGGGGAGCGAGGTAGAAGCAGCCGTTTGACATAAATGAGGTGCAAAGCGAGATGCTGATTCTTAATGTCGACCAGGCCGAGACCACCATGTTTGCGCGGAAGGCAGAGAGAATCCCATGCCACAACCGGCCAAAACGAGACAATATATTGACGCACAATGCGCTGGATCTCCTCCAGCCACTTACTGGGTACCACAACCACACGAAGAATATGCCACAGACGAGACAGAAGAAGGGAGTTTGCCACCAAACCTTTGCCACGTATGGAGAGCTGTCGCTTCGTGAGCGAATTGCATTGACGCTGCACCTTCACTGTGATAGTATCCAGGAAATGAGCCAACTGTACATCGGTATGGTACAGAGGGTAGCCGAGATATCTCACAGAGCCAGTTGAAGATTCATCGTGCCATACAACGTTGGATGAGTCCGCCAAGTGTTTCCAATCGTCATGAGGCTTGCCAGACAGCGACACCAGCACGGTTTTCTCCAAATTGACCTTGGCATTGGACGCTTTGCCATAGAGTAACAAGAGCGACAAAAGCACAGGCCATTCAGCCGGAGACGTCAGAAAGACTTCCAAATCATCAGCATAACTAAGCATTTTGACTCGTGGAGGGCTCGTTGGAGCTCTCAGAAGGACATGATCAGTCTGTGGCTCAATTGGAGCGGAAGCAACCGAAATTTGACGTGCCAAAGTCGAGCGTTTGTCCGTAGACATAGCCACACCACGTAAGTCTGCACAAGCCAAGATGGTTCTGAGGAAAGGCTCAAATGCGAGATTGAACAGTAGGGGCGAGAGCGGATCGCCCTGCCGTAGACCACGTCGTTGTTCAATAGGAGCACCCAGCCATCCATTAATGGATAAAGAGATGCGAGTGTCAAAGAACAGGCCCGAGATACTGTTCACCAAGGATGCAGGAAAACCAAACTGATGAAGCACCATCGTCAGATACGTAGGGTTTACACGATCATAAGCTTTCTCCTGATCCAAAAGCACAGCAACATTGGAATCATTGGGAGCAGCGGCACGGAGATTGTTCATCAACGTCTGGTTGAGCCAGGCGTTGTCCGAGATCAAACGGTGAGGCATAAAGCCAGTTTGATACGGGGTGATCAGCTGAGAGAGAACACGCTTAAATCTGTTGGCGAGCAATTTGGTGAACCACTTGGCATCGCTATTGATCAATGACAGAGGGCACCAGTTCTTGAGCAGCTCGGGATCTCCCTTCTTGAAAAGAAGCACCATCCTCGTCTGTTTCCAGGAGTCTGGGAAGATTCCACGCAGTGCGTCAGTCAATACTTGTTGTAGAAGAAGCAGAACAGGAGGGAATTTGTCACACAAATATCGATAGACCTCGAACGGAAGGCCATCTAAACCAGGAGACTTGTTCTTGGGTGTATGGTCAAGCAACCCTAAGACACTGTCTGTAGAGGGTGGTTCGATGAGCCTATCCGCCTCGGCATCTTGTAGCTTGGCATCCTCAGGGATATTCTCCAAAAGAGAGTTCACTGCCGCCAGATCAATGGTATCAGGGGTGTACAGCACTTGGTAGAATGATCGAGCTTCTTGAAGAATCTCACCCATATCCGTCAATCTTTCACCTGTACTAGCCCTTTTCAAGGATTGAATTGTCTGTTGAGCCTCACGATCCTTGATCACACCATAGAAGTACTTGTTATTCTGTTCACCCATCTCTAGCCAGCGAGTGGCCGAACGCAGCATCGCTTGGCGAGTATCATCAAGAATCTTCTGTTCAATCAGTTGCTCTAGTTTCTTGACCCGAGCCGTCTCCGCCTGGTCACCAAGCAGCTGTTCTCGTTTACGCTGAAGACGAGAGACTCTAGCTTTAAAACGAGCCTTCTGGCCTTTAGTGAACTGTTGGGCACAGTACTTGATGATGGATTTGAGCGACTCCCACTTCTCCTGGACAGACCGTACACCCAGACCCCGAGACTCAGCACCAGAGACACCTGGATCGCCCACAACCTCCTCATAGTAATCAGAAGCCAAGAAGAGTTCCACTGTTTTATCCAGAAGAGCTTGGAATTCCCTGTTCTCAAGCAAGTATGGATTAAAACGCCAGCTGCCAGGACCCATCTTCACGCCAGAGGTGACCAGATCAATAGTTAGAAGACTGTGATCTGTCCATGCCGGAGGGATGTGATGAATCTGAGCATTGAGCACACGAGCTGCCATACGAGGAGGCGCAAAAATGTAATCAATGATGGAACCTGCACAAGGGAGAGTCATAGTACCTCTTGGGAAACAGTTAAGAAAATGTGTATTTAACCATTCGACAAAGGGTTTGATTTTTGAGCCACGAGCTTCACCCGCATCATGCAAATGGATATTGAAATCCCCAAGCAAAATCCACTGGGAGTCGAGCATATCAGACCAAAAGGGCATGGCCATTAGCTCTGGCAGGAAAGCATGGCAACTGGCTGCCTGTGCTGGCATGTACACGTTAGCCACTTGGCAGATGACTTGGTGAGCGTCCTTGACAGAGGCAGTGATACAGCGTTCGTCACGAGAGATGACAGTGTCCGTGAGCTCTAGGCCGGGTTTTAGGCAGATGATGGCACAGTGTTTGGAGATGACAAAAGCAAACCGAGGAAACATATAGGAAAAAGTACACACATTATCATCAGTGAGATGCTCTTGTTGACGATAATGCGAAACCTCCTGCAGACATAGAATATCAAGCTGAAGGTTTTTGGAGCGTAAGAAGGAAGTAAATTCCCTCTGTGTTGATTTAGAGGAACCCTTAAAGATGCTCCGGGCATTAAGGGTACCTATACGCAATGATTTTTGTATCATTAAGCCCTATGGGCGGCATGATACACTGGAGTCTGCGACATGGACGTCGAGCTCATAGAATGACGGCGGAGAGGGAGCACATCAGACTGAAAACCATTGAGAGAGGAAACGCTGGCGACACTTGCCTGAGAATCCACATGCATGTACAAAGACGAAGCTAGTGGAGCATGCTTGGAAGCATCGCTACCATGAGGAGTGCGTTGCAGGGTCTTGGGATCGACTTCCATTGCGGACGACTCGGCATTACTGATCTGGCTGCCATGAGAAGCGGTTGACTGGCTGGCTGTGATTTGGCGTTGCAGTTGTTGCGCTACATGATCATGGATGGTGTGGGTGGCTCCACGGCGCTTCTTGCGTTCTCCATCATTGGGACGGCGTTGAGTTTCGACAGTATTGTTCTCCTCATTGGCCTTCTTACTCGACTCGTACTCCTCGAGGGCATCCTCAAACGTGGTTTCCTCCTCGCGACAGAACCTGGCGGTGTGACCCAGCTTACGACACTTGAAGCATTGGCGTTTGGCCAGGACAGGGCAGGCATCACGGATGTGGCCACTCTGGCGGCAGAAATGGCACACGGGTGGTGCACCGCGGTAGGTGGCAGGCACATAGACGTCCCAAGCTGACAGATACATCATTCTGCTTAATGGTTGAATGTCATATTCCTTGCCCTCTGCATTCCTGTAGTTGACAGTAGTGTCGATCAAAAAGCTGATATGACCCTCAAAGAAACCGTCGATGGTGTATTTCTTGATCTGGTACACTTTACCATAGAACTTGAGGGACTTCTGCAGATCCTCCACGAAAGTCTCCATATCTGTCATGCGGACAATTGTCATCTGAGCATGAGTGAGTCTCCCTTCACTGTTGTCCTTGGCGGCAGTAGCCTTGAATACAATGTTCTGATAAGTGATGCCCTGCCTGCTGGCTAGCTTGGCATCCTCGAGGCGATCAAACTTTGCTTCCAATAAGAGATCTCCATTTGCCTTCTGGTGGTACAGACTCAAAGGGCGAAATTGGACCAGGGGGGGGATATTTGCTCCTTGATAAGGCGATAGGCTGCAGTACGATGATCAAATGTTTTGTTTGGGAACGCAAACAAAACAGATCCAGGTGTCAAGGCCTGTTGGAGGATGACGGCCGCCTTGCGAGTAAGAACCTCGGCTTTCAAATCGTCATGTTCGTAGAGACCTTCAGGGACCAGTTTGAATTTGTCATCTTTGGCTCGTTGTGGTTGAGCATTGATGACCTTCTTGGAGTGGCCTCGAGAGAGAACCTGGAACCAAGAAAGGTCTGTGGTGGTAGCCATGAGTGGTGGTAGTGGAACGGTAGTGGTAGGAATGTGTTTGATGTGATTTAAGCAGTGGCGTAATTTTCACCTTAGGGGTAGTGATGGTTACGCGAAAGAGCCTTTGTATTACATCAAAATGTTTCTATCGATCTAACGTAACCCCTAAAATCATCTTTGTGGGACTTTGATATGTAAAATTTCGACTTTTTGACCAGAAACCTCTTTTCATATTTTCATAAATTCTTCAATAGCTTTATTCAAAATATCTATCTTACTTGGTACCATTGGATGCGTCTTGAAAAGCACTCCAAGAAGGCTTAAAGAAGCATAGGATGATCATCGCAAATCACATAGTCGAATCTGGCAGAATAGATAAATCAAGTCGATTTTGATCAAAATTTTACCAATCTTGAGCAGAGATTCGTCTGAGCCGGAATTGCTTTCTGCACGCAGCTAGCTGCTTGCTAGCAAAATCGATGTCGTTTGTATCATCAAAGCGATGGATGCTACCAAAATTATTAGAAAGACGAAAGCGCATTTCCGTGCCCAATAGGTGTACAACAGTCAACCATATATGAAAAGATAACATTATTGCCCTCTTTAGAATAGCATACAATGCTTGGATCGCTGAACATTGGTTGATATATACTAAAATCAGACCTTTTGACCTTAATCGAATAACCTCTACAGCGTTTATAAAGCTGTGTATGGCAAAAGGCAATAAAATACAATAGTTTCGTTTGTCTTATATCTTTTTGTTAAAGTGGGATGACTTTCATGCGCTAAATGACACGGTGTATTGCTCTGAATATTTGCACATGAACTGATCAAGCTACGCTTGCCCAGCCATTGCTTAGCTCCCCGCCTTTGGCTTGAATTTCAACATTCTCAGTCTTAAAATAGCATCAATAGTATGACAAATGCTGTAAAACATGGAAGTCAAGTGTAATATGATTTCATAATCACTTCCTGATCCTTGATTGCTCTTCTTTTTTTTTTTTTTTTTACATTGGCTTAGACTATTGCGATTCGCATCTATGTGGGAAAAAAAAGAACCGAATTCATCTCTTAATGATTACACTGCAAAAGAAAATTCCTGTCGTATAGCACAAGGTCCCAACAACTACCAAATGTTGAAATTAATTCGACCTGATACTTTCCTCCCAAAAGGAAGTTATATGGAAAGTCTTTTCTTTGCCTTGTATTAAGATCCCGAAAACCCTGAGGTCCCTAATTATTTATACCAGGGGAACAAAACTAGTGATTTGTAGCCCGAATGCATGGAGAAAGCCCAGATCTTTTTTCGATTGCAAACTATCTGCCACACAGCATCTTAATAAGGTTACTTTTCCACACTTTTTTTAAAGGCGACTGGATCACTCCATCATTTAGGTTGAATCCCCGTATTACAAGTGAAAAAAAGGTGCACTATTATAGCCTTTGGACCGAGTTACATCTGGAAGGAGCTTGACAATAGTAGTAACTATCGTGCAACTTGAAAAAAAAAACGCAACTAATGAAGATGCATTAACTGTTTCCAGCTCTCAATCCAGTATCCTTTTGTGGGTTGATTTGACCACTCATGCTACCAGAGAATTGCTTGCCTGTTTTGTTTCTCAACATTTGGTGTCTCATCATCCAACATGGTCGCGGAATTTCAATGAGAGCTTTACTGTAGAAGATGATGAGAGGCATTCCCGTACATTTGAAAGCTTGGGGATCGTCCATGTAGTCTCGCATTGGTAAAACAGATCTATAAATATGGCACATACATCAGAATTAAACATGCGTCCCTCAACATTTGCCAGTAAGTCTGGCTATAGCAGGATGTGCAATGTCGTATATAGTTTAAAGCTATTTTTTAACCTTCTCTTAATGAATGCACCAATCATTTCTAATCCAATATCACAGTTACATGCAATGTGTTCGTATTTGTGTCTTCGATTCATTTGAGGAGATGTTACAAGCTTATATATTTGTAATAAATGAAGCCCACTTACAAAGAAGATCGCCAACAGATGCAATGAATGTGCTCATGTCAGTGGACCATCTGCACTCTTAAAAGATAGATTGCCATCACAGTATAGTAGGGCGCATTATGCGATGTTGACGCTGCATTTCATTAGTAAATCTATCAAAGTAACTGGATCTTTCTTTTTCAGTTTTTTTTTCTTGTATCCCGTTAAAATAACCCAAGAAAGACAGGAAGAAAACCGGGCTATCGTTGTAGGAACGAAAATCGAAAAGGCTGATTATTTTTAGCTTTTCTACTTCAGCTAACTGCTTCTTGTAATCCCTTTTTTCTCTCTTACCATCCTCCTCCATAGACTCGCAAGTACCATCTATATTTTCTAAGCCTAAAACGAGCAGCATTGCAATGGAGAAGGGCTTTCATCTTCAGAAATCAACAATCAGTCAAAAACAATCCAACATCAGCGATAGAGACCCATCATTATTCAGTAACAACATTAATACATCATTACCAACCGAGCACAGCGCCAATGGTAGAAAACACAAATCATATTCTAAACATAAGCCTTAATGCATTTTATTTGATTTGATTACATAGGAACCTCCATGTATGGATATCAAGCTGGCTCACCAAAGCTAGAGCTTGAGAGCAATTATAGCAGGACCCTCTTGAAAAAGGCATTCGCCTCACAATCTCCTGTACCTTACCAACTGCATAATGCGCAACACTGTATACCAGAAAATCAAGAAGAGTTAATTTCACATACATTTGACTTGCATGATGTTATACAGAGATATGGAGACCAGCCTGAAGTGTTAGGCCTAATACTTTCTAGTAAGGTTGAAGAGGATAGAAGGAAGGCGGAAGAGGCTCGACTGCGACAAAAGGAACTTGAATATCTCATTCTCTCAAAACGAGGCAAGCTATTATAAAACTTTATGATATAGTGCAGTATCATTAATATTGTATCATAACTAGATTCTATTGCTATGCAGACAAATCTCAATCGAAATGCCAGTTTCATGGATACTTCAAATAGTCAAACTGAAACTTCAAGGGCAATCGCCTTTAATGGTAAAGGCAAAGCAAGACAATCCTTATCAAGCAACGACAATAAATACTTTCGCTCATCGGCCAACGAATCAATAGAATCACCATACGCAACTGCTGCAAAGGATACCCAAATGAGCAACAATCAGGAGCAGTTATTTGGCGTAGAAGCAAAGCGGAAACGAGAGGCAAATCCAACATATCAACTATCAGATAGTAGCGATTACTTTTCTTCAGCCTACCTTGCTGTTACTCAACCTGAGTCAGCCGCCACTCGAGATAAACGGCATGGCAGTATCAGTCAGTTACGATCGCCAAATAAATCAGCAGCAGGGAGCCCATCTGAAGTGATAAGTCATCAGTTACAGACAAGAGATCATCTCTATTCCCGTAGAGATTCCAACAATTACACACCGACATTGCCTAGATCACCATATGAAGAAAAGCCCTTTTTAGATACTATAGGAACGAATACATTACCTCCGATTAATGTATCTCTGCAATCACATGGACGAAGAGCAGAATCACCCATGTCCACTTCACACAAAGACGATCCACCCTCGACAAATCTCCCAAAACGATTCAAGAATATAACAACTTTGGATTCATTTGAAGCATCCATTCTAGAGACTCTGCCCTTCGATAATACATCGGATAGATCAAGGTAAAAACTTTTCAAATGAATTCCAAGTCCAATTGATTCACAAACTGCTTGATTTGATAGTGAATCTCTGCAAGATGAAAGGCGATCAAGTGTTCCTACCGAAAGATACTCAGGCAATAAACGAAGCTCCATCACTCTTAACCAACAACGATCCATATCATTAGACGACAATAGCAGTAAAGCCAAGATCCACAACAGTATAGGTGGGCCATCCGACGTACCCAAAAAGCTGCTGCTGCCGCCCAACAATCGTCCAACGAAGCCAATTTGCCCAGACTTGATTAATAGACCACGAAGAAGACGAAGAGAGATGCAGGCCATCAGTATGATTATTGAAACGAGAGAGTTTCCATACAATGACGAGTATGTCTGGAAAAACAATGGAAATACGATACACAAAAATACCGGGCAGAAGAGTATTTACTACAAATGCTCAAATAGCATGATGGTAAGCCATATTTAGTAGCGTACCTGTATTGAATGTGTCTCTAAGTTGATTCTGTTGGGAAAAAAAAATAGGGATGTCCTGTGAATAAAACAGTTACTTTTAGAGACAACGGTGAATATCTGATTAAATATCGAGGCAACCATCTGGATGATTGTAATAAAATTAAGCGAGTCGTTAGCATTTAAGCGCTCAGAAGACATCTATTTACTGCTGATATTGCACGCTATTTACCTGATTGAGCTTCATCTTAATGAACCTACATGGCCTTGGTGGGAGATGGCACTTCGACTCCAAGTCATTTTTACAGATGAACTGGCACACCAAGCTTTTAACGGGAATCCTTTTTCTTCAATTTATTAACCAGATCTTTGCGACATTCCTATAAACATCTAATAATAGTATACTTATAATTTCAAAAAAGCAACCTTTACAGTGCTGATTCCATGTGATCTTGGATAGAACATTGAAGCAAATGTTGATAGATCAAATCAGCCAATTGCATTCAATGCATGGTTTTATTGTAACAGCGCTGTCAAAGCTTCAGCATCCTCGGCAATGTGGTCTGCACTCAATTAATTTCATTCTGCCAAGCTGATTAAAATTGCTACCCACACCAACAAAAAAGGCCTACTGATGGATGCGTTCATCGTAGAGATCAATTCTGCGTTAATTCAACTTTTGCTAGACGGAGAATCTCTCGCACCAATTATACACCCAACTCAAGGTACATTCTACCACTACATCTAATTGTCGTTTATCCTGATTTACCTGTTTCAGGAACACAATGCTTAATATCAAATATAAATCGATAATGGGTACAAAGCTTGTTTACGTCTAAATTCATGTGGAGCATCTCTTCAAGCACTAAGCTTCAAATTAATGTAATGATAAAATGTTACACAAATTGTCTGTGCGTTTTCATTTATTTTGCTAGACAATGGAATCTATGATATATAATAAAAGTAGAAAGAGAGTGAAGTGTAATGATGAGATTTAAATGTTGATTTTACAAGAGATTTGATTTGATTTAAAAAGAGATACCCTCTTCACGCAATTCCTTTTCAATGACATCCATGACGAGTTGAGGATCAGCACGCTCAACATGAGTAACTCTGCGCTCCTTTTCTAATAAGCCATTGAATTCCTTGGGCAAGACGTCCTTGACGAAATCAAAACCAGGAGTAGTCTTCAAAGATGCTTCGACAGCCTCAGAGAACTTGGCAGGGTGAGCAGTAGCCAAACAGACGAGAATATCGGAGCCAGCAGGGTAAGTCTTGATACCAGTGCGTTGGATGTATTCATCAGCAGCGGCAACACCAACAGCAGTATGAGGGTCAAGGACATAAGGAGCTTGATCAGCGTTCTTGGGAACATAGTAAGAGAGAATAGTGGCAGAGGTCTCAACATCAGTGACACGAGCAGCATCAAAGATCTCGCGAGCCTTCAAAACAGCTTCATCAGACACGCGGAAGACACCCTTCTCCTTTAATTCTTGCATCCAGCCATTGACAGTTTGACCAGCCTTGTCGCACAACTCCTCACTATCAGTCTTACCCTTATCAGACTCGGTCTCACGGACAAGATACCATAACAAACGTTCAAAGTTGGAGGAGACTAAGATATCCATAGCAGGAGATAAAGTGGCCTTGACACCACCATCAGCACCAGTTTGCTTCTCGTAGGCTTGAGAGGCAAAGAAACGGCAGAGAATATCGTTTTCGTTGGTGGCGATCAACAACTTGTTGGTAGGAAGCCCCATGCGGTAAGCATAGTAGCCAGCCAAGACATCACCAAAGTTACCAGTAGGCACAGAGAAATCAAACTTGACGGCATCAGCAGATGCAGAGGCAGGATCAATGTTCAATGAGCGTAAGAGAGAAAAGTAGGCTTGGAAATAGTAGACGGTTTGAGCCAAGATACGGGCCCAGTTGATAGAGTTGACAGCACCCAAATGATGACGGTTGTTGAACTCCTTGTTACCGAACAAGTTCTTGACAATATCTTGACAATCGTCGAATGTACCTTCAACAGAGAAATTGTGAACATTTTCATCCAAAACGGTGGTCATTTGAGCCTCCTGAATAGGGCTCACACGGCCATTAGGATGAAGGATGAAGACAGAGACATTCTTTTTGTTACGGAGACCATAAATAGCAGCACTAGATCACAATATAAGTTAGCGTTGCACTCTCTCAATTCCCTTAAATCACACTCAACTTACCTGCCGGTATCCCCGGAAGTAGCACCGACAACAGTCAAGCGATGCGTCTTGCCACCGGCGGGTTCTTTGCTGTTACGACGTTCCAAGAAGTACTCAAAGAGGTTACCAACGAATTGAAGAGCGACATCCTTGAAGGCAAATGTAGGACCATGGAAGAGTTCCAATACATAAAGTCCGTCACGGATCTTGGCAAGAGGAGTAACATCATCAGAACGGAAAGTAGCGTAGGAGCGTTCGACGAGCTTGGTGAGATCAGCACGAGGAATTTCTGAATCGTCAATGAACAAGGACAAGATTTCGACAGCCAATTGTTGGAAGCTGTATTGGGCCCAGGCTTGACGCCAGTTGGCAGGCAAAGCAGGGATTTCTTGAGGAATGAAGAGACCTCCATCAGGGCCGAGACCAGTCATGACGGCCTCCTCGAAAGAGTAGTTCTTGGCTTGTCCACGAGTTGAACGGTATTGCATTTTGTTGATGAGAAAATGGAGAAAAGAGAGAAAGAAATCGGAAATGTCCTTGATTGAATTTATGATAAGATTTTTTTGGATTAAACGATGGTATAATTGGTTGATAAACGTAAAACAGATGCCGTGACTCATTTATAGTACCCACTTGAAGCCATTGGTTGGATTTGGATACTTCAGTTTGACATGTTCCTTGATCGGTTAGTGCCTACTGCCGCCTCAAATGAGGTGGTTTTACTTGAAGATTAGCCTGAAATTGTATCAGAGGTGCTAAATCATATGAAGATCCATATCAAGGTTATGGGATTTGTACACACTAGTTTGATTATAGCCATTGCGGGTATCATTGCTGCCATTGACCCATGGGCATCGGATCTGAGAATCAAGTCTCTTGCTTCCATAGGCCAATTGATAAACATTGAGTAATCTGTATGTGCTATCAAAGAGCTTGCTATTTTACGAACTTTCAATTTCATAGACAAGGAATTTAGGGAGCGATGCTCCGTATGTATAAAACGGTGTTGAGATCAGAAACGGTAAGCCGCTATTCGGGAGCTATGGATATGATAGCAGTTTTCTTGTGCAAATGCCAGCATATGAGTTTTTCTCGAGAGACCTCTTTGTAGCTATCCTATCAAAAAACAGATATCGAAGATGCAGCTAGCTTATCAAGTAGATATTTGGAATTTGTTAGGCAGTAGCGATGGTGATGGTATTTGGTCGAGGTTAAGACACAATGCATATTTGCAATGGCCAGCCATAACGATAAAACTTCCAAGCGTATTTAGATAATAGAGATATCGAGAAACACATGGCGCTCTTAAACCCCAAGTATATGATGAATGAGCACTAATAGTTTACAACATCTTACATCTCATCTATCCGAAAAAAAAAAGCAGCATTTGCTTTAATTTATAGTCGACATGCCCAATATTGGTTACACCATCTTCTGTGGCAAACACCAGACAGTGGCGTCTATTGAAATCAAAGCTCAAGGTATAGTCTTGATAGTTTCGATTGTCTTTAAGGATACAGTATGGAATATCCAGGCACCACTGCTGAAAAATAATTCAAGCTTCACTTCAGATGTTGGTCCAAAACCAAAATGCGAGACCGAATCGAAGTGAAAAACACCTTCTATCCAAGATTACTCTCGAAGTACTTTACATAATCTACAAAGCGTATTAAGAGTCTTGAGCTCTTCTCAAACTCCCCTATCAATTGATGCTAATAACTCGAATATTTTACATCCAAATTATTTCCTAAATTAGTAGAATATTAAATTGCTTATTTAGCCGAATACTTGAATCTCGTATTACCAATTGTCGAAAATAGTAATTTTATATGATAGATTGGACTCCTGTCTCTTTATTTTACTAATATATGTCATGGTAAAAAATGTCATTTTTGCGGTGAAAAACTTGATTGACTGATTTTTGATGATTTCCATGAGTTATCCCTCATGGAAATTATGATGATTTTGGTCAATGAATTTCGACCGCAAAAAAAAATTAAGATAATGCTACAGCAAGTAGGTACTAGTCGAGAGCAATCGATTGGTACCACTCTAACGATCTAAAAGAGCATATACAGTGAGATATAGAGAGCTCCATTCCATCAGATTTTGCTGAATTTTGGTCTGTTATCTTCGCAAAAGAGCTGAAATTGATGTAGTGCTCGGTTTGAGCACGTCGTACTCGTTGGCCCTGACGATATGCGTTTTGGAAAATGGGAGGTGTGATTTGTAATTTAGTTTCGAGGTGGATTATTAGAGTATGGAGCACCAGATTTTGCTGATCGAGCTGAGCACTGTAGCTCTGATTAGGCCAGTCTGGGGGCTACATATCTTAGCCAAGTAAAGCTACGCGTTATGATCCACTCAGATTACCTGATTTCACGGATTTGACATGAATGGCGCTCAGGAAAAAGCAATCTTTTTTAAAAGCGGCCCAGCATGGCCATGAGACGAAACGCGCTTTGCAAAAGAAGAAATTGCACACCATTGAGAATTGTTCTTTTGCACAATTGTTTTGACACCTATCATGCATTTTTTTTTTACATCTCAAGTAGCTGGAAGCTTGGAATGCAAACCTACCAATGATTTGGATAATGAAACGACCAGGAAAGTGCATTTTTGTATCTATCCCGCAGCTTCCAGTTCCCACTTTTTTTATTGTCTGCTAAATAGATGGAGCCTTGCAGTCGTTCTCGATTCGTGGTTTGCCAGGTGCTGACAGTAGCCCTGTAATTTTTTCGTTGCAAAGAACGGGAGAAAATGCCTCAATTTGCTCTTTAACATAATATAATAAGCATAAAAACTGTAGTGAAGAAGACAAGTGCACCCATCAGGGTTTGCCAACTGCCAACGAGATGCGGTCATCATTCTCAATGAATATTCTGATACATATTTTAAGAAGATCCTCATCACATACCAAAATTACTTCTTATTAGCCAGTGGCAATAACCTCTTTTAAACGAATCAATGAATCGCATAATACCTGCTTGATGAAATGCTGCAGATCATGATTGGGAAGTTAGGGTTATGTATATTTTGGTGGTGAGTCAGGTTGACGGACGTTGTCAAATATAAGAATGCCCAAAAAAAGCAAAAGAAAGTATTCAGGCTAAGACATAGTCCTTTCGACTTGATAATCCCTACCTACTAATCAGTATCCCAATCATCATTGTCATCATCAGCAACAGCGCCGCCGCCGGCCGCCGCCAAAATTTATTCAAACGCTAGATGAAAGCAATGGTTTGGCACTACTCTGGCAGTCTAAAAAAGTTTTCAACATGAGTAATCACTGCTCACATGTATTCATACTTTGCTGTGTTTTGCATATTTTTCAATCTTAAGCGGCAGCGCTTACATTCTATGAGCTTGTATATGAATTGTTCCTATTGAAACAGACATGGAGCATCGTAGTAGAATTAGATCCACAGTTAGGAGGAAGGGCTATAAAAATTTATCGATTGAATGCTTAAATCTACTTGAGATAGCAAATCCTTATTACATCTGAACTGAAATGTGTTCGGTAATAGCCCGTCGTCATTGAGCGTAGCGAGATCAAACCGCAGGTAGTCAATGATATAAGGTACAGTAGAATATGAACAGGCGCTGATCTCCTTCCATACCTTTAGGCCTCGTTAAGTCCAATTCATAGCCAATGACAATGTTAAAATGTAATAATGCGCTATTCGATATATGATCAAACAAGTTTATTCACTATTATTTAGTTATAACACTTTCTAATACGTTTGTACATTTGAGAGAGATTAGTATCATTTTGATATGCGTTCGGAATCTTTTCCAGCTTTTGCAACACAGGCTCCAACACAGTTTGGCAGGCTGCTTTCAAAGTGATGATGACGGATTTGGATGTTTGAAACAGAGCTTGTTGCAACAAGATGACATTCTCATTGGCATCATCGCTACGATCACAAGGACTGAAGTGTTGGATGCGCGTAATAGACTCTGTGCGCAGGTAGTATTCCAAATGTCTCCAGAGAATGTAGACGGCATTTTCAATCGTAAACAAGAGATCGTTCATTTCTTTGGCCTTGAGTTTGCAACGATTGGTGATCTCTGTAGTGAGTAGTTGCGTCTTTTGGGTGGGATTCAAGCTGTCGTATTGGATACCCAGTCGTTTGTGAATTGCGGTTTGTGCCAGCTCAAGAATCTCCTCGTACTTTAAAGAGCCAACATTGTTCTTTTGAGAACAGAGAGACTCGAATTCTGCAATGACTGTGGTGAGCTTTTTATCGGTAAACGAGATGCATGCGACAAGCGTTGTCAACGAAGGTGTGGTAGATGACGCTATCAAGCAAACAAGTTAGTTGATGCACAGTGAGATGACGGGATAAATCACATACCTTTACGCAATGAATTGGGTGCACGATTCTTGATGGAATCGAGGGTATTTGCAAAGATGGGTTTGAATAACTCGCCCTCTACAGTTGTCACCAAGTTAAATATCGACATGCTAATATGAGCTTATACGAATGCTTACCTTGCTTCTTGACTATTCTAAATGTCGATGCCTCGGCGTAGGACAACAGATTGTTGATGATGTCCACAATGTATTTATCGGCTTTAGCAACGAGTATGGATCCCATTTCATAGTTGTTTACAGTAGCAGGCACCTTCTCAGTCGCCCATTTCTCTTCTTCCTCATTGGTAGGCACGACAACCGAGGCCCAGTTTCTCGACAGGCAATACTTGGTAATCAAGTTCATCATGGCAGAATCTATCGTGTCCAGTCCTCTTTCCTCTAAACCCACAAAATAATCGCGCTGACAGCTCAATTGGAAGACCAAGGATGTGGTCAATTGCAGTATGTACAAGGCGGAGAGCGTGGTTTGCTTGTTTTGATCCTTTAAGATGTGCAGCAGAATGCTTTGCTTCTTGACCCATTCTTCAAACTTGAGCATGTCGTATGCCATAAAGTCGTTCATCTTGTCTTTGAGCATCACGTTAACTAGCTCCAAGATGGGAATCAACAAGCGTCTATAGCGCTTCAAGGCGTTGGGGTTGTTGTCGTTATCAGGTTGAACAGCCATGAATGTGCAGTTGTTGAGCGTTTGAAGCAGACCGTTGTTCAGCAGCAGAGAGGCGCCTTCCGTGTTCAAAGCAATTTGCATCAAGAACGAGATCTTGGCCTCGTGGATATTCAGTGGAGTCAAAGGGGCTACAGGTATACATGTTGGTCAATACCATGTCAAATGAGTAACCTTGAAAAACTTACCATCACGATCCTCAACAATATACAGCAACGTCTCATTGGAGCTTTCGATGGCTTCAATAGCGTACTTGAGAAATGCACTTTTTACCAAAAGTTGGAGCATCTCTGAGCGTCCCTCTTCGTTCAAGAGAACATAGATGGCTTCTAAAGCAGCATAGGCGGTTGTCTTGTAATCATCGAAGCCTTCACGAGCATCCTTGCACATGATGTTTAAGAGAGACCTGTCGCTATCGTCCTTGAACAGTTGCACCATTTGAGTACGGAACAGCTCTTGCAAGCTATCGTTGCAGTTGGAAACATCACCATCATCGGGTGCAATGTATTGCAATAGATTGACGAGAGCAGAGTACATGGTACTGCGAACACCTCGAGAGGTCTTTTCCTTGCAAGTACAGTTGATGATCATGACAAACACGTTACGCAGCTTGTCCACAGGCAGTTTGGCACTCGTACTGGTAAACATGGGAGGTGTCACTTGAAGAATGGCCTGACGGCGTTTGTCTTCTCTCAGGCGCGTCAACAAGCTGAGCACAACTTGACTCAAGCCCTTGAGAATATCGACATGAAGACCTGTATCACTTTCCAGCTTGGGTAGCAAAACGTTCAGCAAGTCGTAAATGATGCGCTCACGAGCTTCAAAGGTGAAAGATTCAAAGCAATCAGAAATGGTGATTTCCACAACCTGCTTCCATGCACGTAGACAATGCAAACGACCATAAGAAATGTCGCGATGACGATTCTCTGCCATGAGTTGTTTCAAAACAGCACCCATCTCCATTTCCATCTTGGTGCGGTCCACATCAGATAAGCACTTGGCACTGGGATCCGTGAGTTGGTATTGGCGCAATGTCTTATAAACGTTGCGAATGTCGTAAACTTCGTATTCACCCAATTTCTTGACAAGATGCTTCTTGGGGTCAAACCCTTCAAAGTAAGTAAACGTATCGTCCTTTTGAGCAGCAGCAGCAGCAGCATCATCCAGTTGGTCGATCCAAGTAAAATCCAGAGAATTGATGATTTCGACTAGATTCCACAAGGGCTGTTCATAGCCATGTTCTGTACCAGCAGAAGCCAGCTGCATGGACTTGAGTTTGTCTGTGAGGCTTGCACTGTCTTCATCAGAGGGAATGCCGTACATCAAGTTGAGTAATTGGGTGGATTCAGATTTCAGTGGTGTTCCAGCGAGTTGGTGTAAATCCAATGCAATCAATTTCAACAGCCAGGCACGTTGATTCAAGACACTCACCAAGGTCAAGTAATCCGTCTTGACACGCGTTTGGTCAGCAGAGATCAGTTCACCGGCGAAGTTAGGCTCTACCACAGACACACAGCTTTCCAGACGACATGAAATAGCTTGGAACTGCTTCAGCATGAAATCGTCTCCACCACGAAGGTATTGTAATGTAATGCGAGAGGTGGATTCACGAGCACACAGCTTGTAAATCAATTGAAAGCACTTTTCTGCTAATACAGGGTGTGTCTGAATCAACGTGGATTGCTCAGTGTCTTCACCATCATCGTCCTTGTCTGTGTCCATGCCAGTTTTCACCATAGATAAGATAGACAGCAAACAGGCTAAACGAGCGCGTTTATCAGTGACCAGGGAACTCTGTTGAATACTCTTGATAGTAGGGTCTTGCACATCGTAGCCTAACAAAAACTCGGCAATGGTAGGAGAAGGCACTTCCTTACCCATGCTCTTCAGCAGAATATCCAGGATACCAATACGCACGGATGCAGTGTAACTGTAGCACTCTGTTTCATCACTTTCATATCTATACACGTTGCTCATGGTCTTTTCAGCAAGCCAGAATGGAATGGTGTTGAAATCGTATTCATAGTCATCGTACGTTGTGATTTCTGCCGTGTCAATCTCGAGACGCTCGCCAAATCCAAAGACAATTTCATTAGCACTGTCACTGGAGAGCAAGATGCCTGCTAAACGAGAACCCAAACCACCGATAGGCACATTGATATGTTGAGGGAACTTGATGTAGACAGAGTCGTCTTCAGGGGCAGAAGCAAGGCTTTCCAGCACCGAGATGCTTAAACGGCAGATATCTTGATAGTCTTCGCAATTCACCATCAATGCGATTTGGACAATGACTTGAGTGTTGTACAGCATGTGGCTAGCAAGCGAGCGCAACTCGGCAGGAGGCGATGGGAAGGTATATGGACCCAATTTGAACTGACCCATGGGCAAGTCTTGCGCGTCTTGTTTCAGTTGAGGTATGAGCACATTGACGAACATGTTTTGCACACTAAACACCTTGGAAAAGATGCGCAAACAACGTGCCATGGCATTCTTCAAGTGCATGTTCTTGCTGCCATATTTTGTCTTGCAGTTGGATGCAAAGGCGTCTTTGCCCTTTTCCACAATCTTGAACATTTCTTGGATCAAGGAACCACCCGATAGAATGCGAATGAGGATATCGAAACCAGGATGAGAGACGCAAGCCAAAAGAGCGTGTTGCAGATCAGTAGAGGGTCTCTTACCAGCAGACATATTGGTACTGACAGTGCCTTCCAAGAGAGTGGTATAGCTGGCAATGGATTGGGGGACGTCCTTGCTGGCATAGTAAATGTAATCACACAGGGGCTGGATATTGAACGCCAAGATACTGTTCTCCACAACCTTCAAGCACGCATCTGTCAGTTGCCACTTGATTTCAGGGGAAACGTACTGCTGGTGCTTGAGGTTGAGCAAGATGTGATCAATGACAAGCGACATGTAAGGTGCTGTTCCAGGAGAACGATGGTTGTCATGGCCCAAACAGAAGGGGATGGAGTTGGCAGTAGGTACAAAGCCAGACACGAGTTGATCTCTTTTGCTTTCTGTGTGGATCAATGAAGAAAATAGATTCAGTACAGACATGGTTTCCGTGTAGAGTCGTCTATTCTTTTCATCCGAATATTCACGCACAAAACCAGCAGGTTGTTCAGGCAAATAGTAAGTAGGTGTAGGTCTGGCTGGTTTGCTGCCACTGCTACCTGCTGTCGCTGCTGCGGATGCTTTGCTGATGATGTCTTGAGCTTGTCGTTTTTGAGCTGCTGTAGCACCATCGCTGGCAAGTGCTGTTGCTAAGGGTGCTGCTTTATTGTAATTTGCTGCTTCAGTAGGGGCCTTGGCTGCCATGGTTTTCTCGGGAAGGATCATATCAGAGTACTCCAATGTATTCCACACTTGCAAGCTGATGGTCTCTCCAACATGGTTGATACCACCACCCCAGTTGGAACAAAAAGCAGACAGGAGATTGTACAGGGCAGCACGGAATCGAGTAGAAGTAGGGCAGCTGATCATGGCAACAATGGATTCATGGGCCTTGAGCACAGGATTAGACCAGATATCCAGACGTGCCTGATCTGAGTATTGCACAACTTGCTGACAGACATACAAGAACTTACACAAGGTGATCTCTTCTTGCAGTGGCATAGTAGGGGGCTCCTCTTCCGTGGCTGCTCTTTCCGTGTACAGTTTAGAATAGAATTGAAGTGCACTAAACAGCTTTCCCCACGAGAACAAATGACTTGCCATAATATCACCTTCTGCAATACCCATTTTGAGGAAATTGTGGGCCAGTGGAGCACATTGTTCGCCTATTGAGATGCTGCCCAAAAAGTCAAATATAGCAGCAAGGTCTTGCGCTGTCTTGAATTCGAGAACCCATGGTAAGAAGGTAGACAGTACATTGGCATGATCCCAGAACTGGAGACCTGCATTGAGACGGTCTCTGAAGATGCTGGCCATTAATGTCAAGAATTTCTGCAGGCTGTGAGCAAAGGCGACCTCTTCCGAGTTAGTGGCTGCATCTGCTTGTTGCGTGCTAGGTGTCATCTTTTTCAAGTTGCTAAAGATATCAGACATGTTCAAGATGAAGGATTCTGTCAATAGTTGCAATTCTTCAACGACAAACTTTTGGAAATCCAGTGCCGTGTCAGCTACGAACTTGGTATAGTCGTTGGGGTCCACAATCAAGCCATCCACTGCCATAGCCTGAGAGCTATCCACATCCATGTCATCTGTTCCAATGATGCTCTTTCTGTCAGCAGCGTCCGTCAAATTTTGCTTGAAATACAATAGATAATCGTTCAAGAATCCAAATACGTCTAATGCTAGCGCTGATTCCACAAATTCCACTCGGTTGGCCTTGCCCATAGACAGTGTGTTTTCGACGATGCTAGGCTGTGTAGCACTCATCTCTGACAAGGTGAGTGCCCAGCGAACTTCGACTGTGGCCTTGAGTGTGTTCACTTTCCATGGTTTTGTAGTCATGTGTAGATGTATGTTTTTGAGGTAAGCGTTGTTGGTGGTGAAGCTCTGTTTGGCTGGTTGTTTGCGTTGAAGGGACAAAGCAGAGAGCAAAGCGACAATGATATATGAACAGGTGGCATCCGAGAGATTGGCAGACTGTGCCTTGCTGATGATGGCTAATAAATCAGCTTCGTTCAACCAGAATAACGAACTGGTGTGATATAAGATTTCGACCAGGTAAACACGTTCATCTGTCAGCTTGTCGATACGCATAGATGTGGTCTGTCTGTCAAATTTGAGTTCATGTTGAGGTGGTTGCTCCTGCTGTGGCTGCTGCTGTTGAGGCTGTTGGAATAAGGATGATGTAGCAGGTTGTGGTGGTTTGTTGGCATTGGCATTAGCCGCCATGGCAGTTGCTGTAGATGCCAGCATGCCCGTTTTTGACAGCGAATGGATCATGGCCGTCAATTCCTTTTCTGTATTCAATATCTTTTGTACAAAGTTCGTGGTGCTGTCTGCGACGATATCAGCCATAAAGTTGTAAAATACGCTTGTCAGTTGAGTATCCACAGTGTCGTCTTTTGTCGCCTCCAACAACACAATCAAAATAGTCAAAATGTAGCCCCTTTCTTCGTGATACAGGTACACAGCAGCATCCAGGTTGGTTGAGTTCATAGCAGGTGCCTTTCTGATGCCCTCTAACAGATATCGAGATGCCTCAAATTCATCCATGTCCAATTGGTCTGACAAGAAGAGTGCCTCCTTGACGAAATCATCATTGACTCTGTATTCTCTGCCATTGACGGTAGTTTTGCCTAGGCCATCACTTTCAACACCACGCTCATTATAGGCACTACAAGCGACTTACCAGACTGGACCACGCTACGGTGTTCTTTGCTCTTGGGCGGGTTATCCAGAAGCTTGATGATGTGTGATTTATTCGCCTCCAATTGATCTCTGAGATGCATGGCCGTGCTTAAAGAGCATGTGGCATTTCTGTCTCTACATATCTGATCTAGCAAGGTACGCAACTCTACAGTGAGGCTGGTCATGTTCTAAAGGTAGGTGCGTATTGATGAAAAGAAGAAGGAAAAAATATTTTTTGATAGCTTTAGTTGAAATTGATGTGGATTTTGGTACGCGAATTTCCCTGATTGAGGTGCGATTAAGGTGTACGTGTGACTACAGAGAATCCTTCTATGTCAGACTGTGATTGAGGGTGTCATTGCTCTCCCTTTATCTTGACAATGAGCAGCACGCCGCCATCTCCAGAAGAACAAGGGCGAAAGAAGCTGTCAACATGCTTGATAGAGCCCACCCTATTCCAATTCAAACACTCGACATTTGAGTATGCTGTATACAAACCATCATCCCGCTTCAAGAGAGATTTCGAAAGCATCTTCCCCTGCTTGAATGTCAAACAACGCAACGAATTACTGGTTGTGCCTGTTATACAACAATGCGAATACGACATGGTTGGCCTGACTAAAGAAGTGAACCAAGAGCGAGATGTTAAGCTCGAACTAGTGAGTTGAGGACAGCCTTTATGCTGATCTTGATCTTCTAACAGACACAGTGATGCAGTTTGTTTCATGGGGGAAAGCAGTTGTAGACAGGATCAAATCCATAGGCATGTGGGCAGACATCATGGATCCAGCATCAGGCTTCCCCGTAAGTCAACTTTTTGTGCCTCCACCATGATTTCATTTCACTTCAACTGACACACTTTTCCCAGATCTTTTCAGAGGCTGGACCAAGTCCATATCCAGATGTACAAGGCACTCAAATGCTTTCCAGTAGGTTCTATGTGCAGAATATTGGCTGTTGTCATATTCTGTTCCACCCAACATGGCAGAGCCACATCTATCCATCCACTTTGTTTACGACTGCTCCTGCTGACATCTTGCAAAAAGTGATTTTGGAGGTGCTGGGTAAATAATCCTGTCGATGAATTGATTTTCTGCCATTTGAAACTTTGATCCGCACAAGTGACAAATGAACAAAAGACAAAGATCAGACATTATGTCATGATGAATCAATGCTCAACTGTTCTTTTTTTTTTTCTCTGATGTGATCATTATTATTGTTGTTCATTAGATGTGTATAGATAGAGACAGAATAAATGGTTAGATTTACGTATTGCAGTGTGTGTATGTGTTGATAATCGCCTTAGTAGAGCCAAGACACATAATATAGATTGGGGAAAGCATCACCATGGCAACAGTGAGGGTTTGGCTGAATTATTCATGCGGAGATCTTTTCCGATTGTTGCTCAAATGTCTCGTTTACATGAGGTAATCCATTCAGCATCTCTTCCCTTTTTCCTCTTTCTTTTCTTCCTCATCAAACATTTATTTCATCATGTCGACAGAATCGCCAACTGTGAATACTACCAGCACAAAGCGTGGCAGACCTCATTCCAACACCATCTCAGGCGGGAGACCTCCTGCGCTCGGCATTACCATCAGTCGTCCTACCAACATTAGAAGAAACTCTGAAGGTTCGCCTGGCTTACCTCCTCCCATTTGCATCTCTGAGCCTACACCCATTGAACCATCCAAAGACCACGCAAATGGATTCTTCAACAACACCAGTAAACCAACGAGCCGACCTGTTACGCCAGATACCGACTCTGCTGTTTCTTCCAATGCTTCATCATCTGCCAGTCCTCCTCCTCCAGCCCCGCCACCCAAAGATTCGGCTACAGCGCCTGTAGGTACAGCCAACCTCCTGGGTTCACCCGTTCAAAAGAAAAAGTCTCGTTCAAGAGCTTCCAGTGTTACTTCCAATCTGATCAATGAAATCAAGGAAAGCTCCACCATTCAATCATTGGCAAGCAAGATTCGATCTCGACATTCTTTCGAAGATGCAGATACTCCTCAAGAGCGAAACTCGTCAGATAATCAATCCACTACTGCTCAAAGCGTAGCTGGTGCCAGTGGTATCTATACTGCCAATGTCAAGAGAAATCAAGACTTTCATGCTCTGTTTCGCAGTGTGCCTGAAGAAGATAACTTGATTGAGGATTTTGGATGTGCATTGCAAAAGGAGATCCTGCTCCAAGGCCGTATTTACATTTCAGAGAGCTATCTATGCTTTAATGCCAATATCTTTGGATGGGTCACCAATGTAAGTTTTTTTTTTTAGAGAGCGCTTGATTGCTAGGAATACTCAATCTCTTTCATAGCTGGTCATTGCGTTTGATGATATTATTGCAATTGAGAAAAAGTCAACTGCCTATGTCATTCCAAACGCCATTCAGATTTCCACAGATAGTGCAAAGCATTTCTTTGCCTCGTTCCTGTCTCGTGATCAAGCGTACGACTTGATGGTCGACATTTGGCGTATTGCAAGGCCAGATCTTGTGCCTCCAAAGGAGACGGACGGCGATGTGCAAGATGCAAACGACATTTCCTCTTCTCCCTCTTCCATCACTTCTTCTTCTGCTGAAGAGGATGAGAGTGATTCCTACTATGACAGTGACACTGAAGATTCCTATAGTGATGACAATGATTCTGAGGATGTTGATATGGCAGGTACCAATGCGACTGTCACACAAGGTAAGCTTATCCATTGGATGTGTGTGTGTGTGTGTGTGTGTGTGTGTGTGTGTGTGTGTGTACATGTCCCATTGACTCCTTAATAAAACAGATACTGCAAAGGACGGCAATCGACCCCGAAAAGTATCTGCGGCCTCTACACCCAATAACAAGGACAGCTCCACCAAGGTAGATGCTGCTGCTCGTCGTCGTGCCATGTCAGAAGCACCCAGACCTAATTTTCAATCAAACGACGAAGAAAAGTCCTCGAAAGCTTCTACAACTACCACTAATGGAACTTCAGCTGCCAAATCAAATGGTCCTACCGTTAACAGTACCTCTTCGGCAACCAATAACGCAAAGGAAGGAGACGCAAAGCCTCAGCAAGTGCATGAGAAAACCGACTGTGAATGTAGTGCCAACAACGAACACTATCCCACTATTGTCATGGATCAAATGTATAATGGCACATTGGAGAAGATTTACAATATGCTGTTTGATAGTGGATTCATGAAGAAGTTTTTGATTGAAAATCAAAAGAGTACAGGTAAACATGAATGAGTTGGAGAAGGGTGTGAATTAATAGGGCTAAATGTTGCTGGTATGATAGAGCTGGAAATGGGCGAATGGAAAAAGGGCGAGGGCAATGTTGAATTTGTGAGAGAGCTATCGTACATTAAGCCTTTGGGTGGTGCTATTGGACCCAAGCAAACCAAATGCTACATTACACAAGAAGTGCTTCATCAAGACACTCAGAAATATGTCACCGTGCTAGCTACCACCTCAACTCCAGATGTGCCTTCTGGTGGATCTTTCAGTTGTAAAACACGTACCTGCTTTACATGGGCAGGCAAGGGAAAAGTCAGAGTGTTGGTCACTGTTCAAGTAGAATTCACAAAGTCATCGTGGTTGAAATGTAAGTTGTTATAGCCTTTTAGCATTCAAAAGAACGCATATTGATTTTTTTTTTTTGTATATAGCTACCATTGAAAAGGCCAGTATCGATGGACAGCAAACCTACTACAAGGAATTGGATGCAGCCATGCGACAATACTTCAAGGAACATCCCTCTGAATTTGCAGATTACAAGAGCGGCAGTAAGAGCAAGCGTAGAAAGGGAAAAAAGACCAGATCAGCACATACACCCAAGCCAGAAGAGATTGAAAAGAAGGAAGAAAAGCCTAAATCTGCAGTGCATCAAGTATTGGGTTCCATTTCAAATGTGATTGCCGATGGTATCACATCTGTCATGGATATTGTCAGCTCACCTCGGGCAGCCCATTTGACCTTGATCTGCCTCATCATGATGGTGGGCATCAACATCTTTATTGCTAGAAAGATGGCTTTTGTCGAACAGCAGCTGAACGAACTGAGCTATGCGTTACCCAACCATGCTGTTGATGAAAATGAGCCCACTACCGTGGATATCTCATTTTTGCCAGGAACACAACGTCGTCAATACAACCGTCAAGAAGAACAAGATCTCTGGGATTGGCTCGGTCGTATTGATCCTGACAAGTCGAATGAAAAGAGAGAAAAGGTAGAGATTCCCCTCGTCAAAGACCCCAAGGAACAAGAGGCTATTTGGGACGATGCTATTCAAATCTCTCAATCAGCCAAAGAGAGATTGGAGAAACACATGGCAGAACTCAGTAGCATGATTCAAAAGGCTGAGAGTAACTTACAAGATGTCACTCAATCCGTGAATGATCAACGTCAAAAGATGAAACAAGATCAACAATAGACTTTATATTGCTGTATATTTTAAAATTAGTTTTCACTGTGTAATCATATAATAAATTGTATTTCTAGGGCATAATCAATTTCATTTATCAGCTGCAGTTGCATTCATGTATAATAAGCAGCTTTCTGAGCATGGTATTTCTCCATTTGATTTTTCAGGCATGATTTAACATATGGATCATGGAAATCAATCAAGACTACATTATACATGTATCTTGGAAAACTTGACGCATCTGTAAGTCTAGCCATGCTTTAGGAGAATCGTGCTACAGTAAAGGGTTGGAAATAGCCGTGGAATTCGGGTTTGGCAATAAAAGAGAGGCTTGTGCGTGTATTACATGGTGAAAAAGCCAAACGAGTACATGTAACCACATATTGTATGCATTCAATGACCAAAAATTAGGTAAAAAGCGCCGCATTTCATTCTATTAGAAAAAAAAACAAGCATTGCATCTAATTTAATCCCTGGTTGTATTTCATCATGGCGAGTGCAATTGTGCCTTTTTTGGATTAACACATACATCCGCACACAACTACATGACATAGATTACAGTCCAGTTGCATGAGGAGTCGATAGAGATATACCATTTCGCCAGCGAGAGATGCTGTAAGATAATAAATGCCATAGATAGTGATGATATCAATCACTAGATGGTTGAAACGTTCAAGCCAGCATTGAAATTCCTTCTCTGCAACCATGCGGAAACTGTCAAATGGGCCTGTTTGATTCGCTGATACAAAGGGTGACAACAGCGACACTACCACGTTACTTTTGTAATCCTCTTCCAAGAATTCAAAGTTCATCTCAATTCAACATCATAGTTCAATCATGTATTTACTAATCTTCGGAAACATTATTTCCGAGCAACATCTCGCTTATATCTTGTGCAGTTGTTGGCATTGTAGACATTGCTAGTATACCTCTTGTAAAGAGGACATTCTATACGTTATGGTCACGTTTTCAAATTTCAAAGGCAAATGACTGAATCATGCGTTCATGCAAAACGAGGAAAAGAGAGACAAATGTGCCATGGAGGCGTATCCCATTAGTCACATCGTCGCCGGGCGGGGTAGGCGGTTGCACGTCATGGGCAAAACAGTGATGCTTGAGAAGGGACACTCCCTTAAACGGACGTTTGTTACACATTAGCCATCACATAAATACTCGACCCCATCTGGAATTTTGTTTGAAAAAGAGTAATCTCTTCTTCTTTCTCTCTTTCTCTTTATAAAATGAACCGTTTCTTCCAAATTACTGCTCTGTTCTTGATCGCATTGGTTGTATCTAGCCAAGCTCTGCCCGTCTTTGATACTGAATTGGTAGCAAGTCCATTGATGCATGAAGTTCGTATCAACTACCGTGGAGGAAGAAAAGCCGCCACTACCTACGAGCAACAAGTCGACTCTAAAGTTCAAAGGGTCTAGAGGAGGTGCTTCCTGTCTCTTTCTTGTTTCATTATCTTGTGCCACATATATATAACTGTAAATATCCATAATAGCAGCAACAATAACAACAACAAACATCTGCTACGCTTAAACGAAAATCTTGTGTTCATACACCTTCCATACATACACATGTATAAATTTCCTTTCCTTTCTCTATATAGTTCCCTTCATCATCCTACATTTCTACACAGCTCTCTTTTCCGTCTTACTCCCTTTAGCTCTCGTTGATCTATCATCTCAAAGATATTATAAATAAAGTTGATCTTTTTTCTTCGCATTACAAGGCAGTTGAAAAGGTTTCTTTCTTTCTTTCTGTTTTTTTTCCGCATGCAAATTAGCTCAATCAATCAATGAAGAGAGATTTGCTAGCAATTTATTTAGGCCATGTTTTGAATAAATCTATTTGGTTTGGAATGGAGATAACAGATGAGGGCCTTCTCTTCAGTAGATTGTAATAAGCCCCCGGGTGACAAACCACATTGTTGGCACAAGAAAGAAATGCGTGCATCAATCCATAGAGCGGGTGTCCATGATCTGAAACGCAGGCTCGCTTTGATGATATCGACAACCCATCGCAAATTGATGCATGTAACATTTGAAACTAAACTTTTTAGTATGTGAAGGTCTCGTTCTTTTTAACTCGAGTTTTTATTGTGTTTTATAGTGTATACTCTTTTTGTTTCCCTGTATCATTTAGTAAGTGGAGCCTTCAGCGGGTTGAGGCAACTTGCGGCCAACAGTAGCCATCTCTCTATAGACAACATGAAAGCGGGTGAGTCGATGATAAAATGTATTTCAAACATGTGCATCATACCTTCTTAATTCAGTCAAGACAGTTTCGAGTGTATAATTGCTTCTCCAGTGTGCGAGACAGGGCAAACGACTGGGCTCAACCTATAGATTCGTGGTTATTCAACCCCTTCTCTATCTCCCCTTTATATATACATCACAACTTGCCTTTCCGTTTTGAGGGTTAACACTAGGTAAATTGATTCTGGATACAAATTGAAGGACAGGAGGTTGATTGGGATATTGGTCACCACAGAAAACTGTTAAGCTGTAGATTCGATTCTCGTGTACAGACTAGAGTTAAAAAGTTAATATCTGTAGCAGAAAATAAAGCAAATCCTAGTATCCGGCATTACATGGGGAGCACCGAGAATAGTAGCATGCCAGTTGTGCATAAGAAGATCATCGTCAGCTAGGCCATAGCTACAAGCACCATCACCAAGTCCTTTTTCACCCTTCTCGAGCTCTTCTAATAAACGAAAATTGCGAGGAACTATCCAAAAGAATGGGCAATAGTTAATACGCGCGTTTTAGCATGAACCTGGTGAGAGCGTTTTGGGGAATGATGTAGGAGAGAACATGTCCATGTGTAATTCAACGCTATCTGTTGATCGTTTATTTCACTCCCATCTGCGCAATTCTTATGTGTGTGTCCCTTTCATTCCTTTGTTGTAAAGCCACCAATTTTTGAGATAGCTTACCTTGTGCCATTTTTAACAATTTGTTGGGTTGTTTTGTATGAAAATAAAAACTTGAATGAAAAAGAGAGGGCGATGTTTCCAATTTGCTATTCATTTTTTTTGTGTGTGTGTGTGTGCTGTTTTGATTTTTACTTGTCCGCCCGTTGATTGCCGCATCAGATATACGTATAACGGATTCTTTGTTCTTCCCTGTTCTGTCCACCCTGTAAGAGCTTCAATGGCCCCCTTTCTTTCATACACATCTCGCTTGAACCTGAGCTCATTTAGCATACACGTTGACTATCTAATGATGGTGTATTTGCCATGTCTTCATTTGCCATCATGTCTACTTGGATGGCAGGACCGGGAACTCTACCGAACAAACAGTTCATTGTGCAACTTGACAGCATGTGGGTCCGTATGCAATGAACTTTCAGCAAGACTGAAGCTTGTAATTCATTCACAGCGGCTGTTTGTAGACTGCTTCATCTCTCATGTATTCTTGCAATGTATCAAATGTCTAATGATGCTTATCATAGTTGAACAAGCAACAAAGAAAAAAAAGGTATCCAATGATCTCACATGGTGCCATCGTTTTCTTCCTCTTCTGAACTCAAAAAAGGAAGTGAGCCTATCCCCTTGATTTTGAGTAGTACGTTTCGAATGCATTAGATACATCGAAGCACATGACATTGCTATTGCAAGATCGAGCTTCTTGGACACAAAATTATAGTATATCTTTGGGCTTTTGGGCATGCAAAATAGCCATTTTATATAATACCCTCAATTTGAAGGGTTGTATAGAGTGGAATACCAACAAAATTCACATTTGCAGTATCAATCTCACTTTTAAATGTCGCAAGGTAGCAATGATGTATTTCGCATCTAGTTGTCCAATTAGCAACATTTAATTGAAATTGAGTAGCAGAGGCAAAAGAGAGTAGTTTGACTGAGATATGGTGTTTCTTTCATTCGCGACACCCTTCGTATCAGCTTCGAAAACATCAATTGTCGTTGTGAGAAAGGCATGAAGTATGCTCCTAATAACAAGCAGCAGCGAGAAAAAGCTATTCCAACCCAGTTTTTTTTTTTTTTTCAATCCAAGATTGGTCAAATTCTAAACATTTTCGACTTGTTCAATCTATTTGGCATTATTCGACTATAAGAATTGCACTGATCGTTCCACACTTCCTTAAGCTTTCTAGGAGCACTTTTCAAGGCGCATCTGATGGTGCTAATTGATAGAAGTGTCTTGAAGAAGCTTATTGAGCAATCTTTGAAAATATGAAATGTCGTTTTTGGCCAAAATGTCGAGATTTTACATATCAAGGTTGCACAAAAGTGATTTCAGAGGTTGCTTTGAATCGAGAGAAACACTTTGATTTGATATATGCCCTAGTAAAAGTCTTTATTTTCAAGGTGAAAAACGCGATTGTTTGATTTTCGATGAAAACCATGAGGGACACCTCATGCTTTTTGATCGATTTTTGTCCATGTTTTTTTTTGGTCCTAAAAAAGTTGAGCAAAGGCGTCAGTAAGTAAGTGCTAGATGGGAGCAACCATTTGGTGCTATTCTGGCAGTCTAAAACGGCTTATAGCGCGAGAAACCCCCGCCTTAGTACATCCAAATTTCGCTATGATTTGTATTCTTTGCGTAGTAAAAGACAATAAAAATATGTTGCATGCCTGTATATCAACTATTTCCATGGATGCAAGCGTAAAGCATTGTACGAGGATCAAATCCGCTCTTGAAGTCTGCTTGTGAATGGTTATTTTGCGATAGGGCATTGATATAAAATGAAATTTCGGTACTGTATATGATCACAGGCTCATACATGAGATATTCAGCCCCGAAATGGCTATTCTTACAAACGTCTTATGGAAACAATCTAAATCAGCATATCCTTTATATATTGTTCGATCTTTTCGGTAACTTTGTATACTAAAACACCATATCTACAATCTTTTAATAGGAATGATCCCTTCGTATCGGTATTTCGTACGATTAAAATTGAACTAATGTTGTTGCAACAACTTGAGTAATTTATTGGAGTAAAGCCCAGATAACATCAATGTTGAATAATCGACCGCAGCTCTTATAGAAGTCGCCTTGAATCATTTCAAAATGTTATACGTCTGCAAATTTAATGAAAGCAGACCTGGGCGTGTCAAATGGCGTGAGTTTTGATCTCTAGAACATTGAGGCTTCAAGCAATCCCACTGAATTCCAACTCCATCTGGCAGGAGGATAAGGCCTTTGTCATTACTGGATACTTTTTGATATCATGCTCATGACACGCAGTGCATGGACCCTGATTTCACATGACTTTTTATCGACATTGTACATAAGGAACTATGTTTATCCCTTGGTTGATTATCCTCTATGATCATGTTTCATCTAGAGCCAATGATGAGGTTCGCTGAAGCTTCATCATCTTGTTGATCTTGCCTATGATGGCATCATTTCATAGCATGTATGATGGTATCAAGCAGGATCTACCCTGCAATACCTTGATTGCCCACTTTAAGAGTGAGTGTCTCCTAATGGTAAAGCGATTACATTTACACTCAAGATCTTGATAGTTACTTTTTTTTTTTTTTTTGTTGCGGGAAGATTACAAATTTGATTTCTCAGCTGATTTCAAAAGATTAGAAAAGAGGTTCCATACAAATTTTTCGTTTCTACTTTACTGCCTCTTTCCTCTCCCACTCCACTTTTACCATTGACAACCATGGACCCCAGCGATGACCTTACTTCCATCACTAGAGTGTCTACACCCTACGAATTATCTCCTCTTTCTTTCGACGCACCCTATGAATTTCCACGCCATTTTTTACCGACTGTCATGAAAGGTGATTATGAAGAGCTTATGATATTACAGAGATCTAACTTGCATACACAGACGACAGTAAAATTCCACTGGTGCTAGTTGCGTGTGGGTCGTTTTCTCCTGTCACCTATCTTCATTTGAGAATGTTTGGTAAGTAAGCATGGGCATGCTGTTCAAGCGCAATCTCGTTAATGAGCAGTAATCAGAGATGGCGCAAGATCACTTCAAGGAGAGAAACGAATTTGAGTTGCTGACGGGATACTACTCGCCTGTATCTGATTATTACATGAAGGAGGGACTAGCAAAAGCAGAGGATCGTGTAAAGATGTGTCAATTGGCTGTGGAAACAACATCAGATTGGCTCATGGTGGATTCGTGGGAGCCACGTCAAACAACATATCAAAGAACAGCTATTGTGCTCGATCACTTTGATCACGAATTAAACACGGTTGGTGGTGGTATTGTTACATCATCAGGTAAAGCAGGACGCGAAGAGTGATTGGGAGCGGCACATTGATGATATATACAAATAGGTGAAAGACGCAAGATTCGAATTATGCTATTAGCTGGTGGTGATTTGATTGCTTCTTTTGGCCATCCTGGTGTTTGGGCACCTGACGATGTAAGTTATATGAATGCATGGCATGCGAAAGGGGCGTTATCTAATGTATCATAGTTGCATCATATTGTGGGACATTACGGCTGTGTCATTATTGAGCGAACTGGCACAGATGTGTATGGATTTCTACTATCGCACGACATACTGTATCAGCATAGGGTAAGCGTTAGAGTAATGTGAGTGTGTGTATGGGGATGATATACTTATATTGCACTCTATTAGATGAATGTCACTGTGATCAAGCAGTTGATCCACAACGATATCAGTTCAACAAAGATTAGACTATTTGTGAAAAGAGGCATGTCGATCAAATATCTACTGCCCAATCCTGTCATTGACTACATTCATGCTCATGGCCTCTATCTACCTCGTCCTTCATCACAGACAGCATCTGAAGAGGAGAAAGAGCAGAGATAATTTGTATACCACTTACCTTAATATAATAGATGATTCTTTTTTTGCGTGTGCCTATAAGTGCTTTATACACTATACGCATATTTCCCGTTATTCTCTGTTAGATGTGATTGTGTGGAAGTCGCTCACTGGTCTTCTCAAAAGGACATCTCATCCATAATTTAATGTTACACGTCATTGGTATTGAAGAGGCGATCTTCAAGATAGCTACAAATCATTCGTTTGTTGTGAAATGTCGTGTTTTCTTTTCTTTCTCTTTTTTTCATTCTCTTTTGATTGAATACTGAAAAATGGAGTTCACCGATTATCTTCGAATTCTAGGATGGGTGTTGGTTGCCGCATTCCCTGTGGTCGTTGTGTATTTGACTGGTGGCCCTGACCAGGAGCCTCTACTGGATGATGTTGAATACGAGCGTAGAAAGCGAATGAAGCAACAGGCCGAGAAGAGAGAGGCTGATGAAAAGAAGAAGGCTCAGTTGGAAGCACCAAAAGAATCTCCCAAGAAGTCCAGCAAGAAGAAGTCCAACAAGAAAGTCAAGGCAGCATCTAGTGAGGTTGTGCAGCAGGACAGTAAAAATAAAAGTGTCGAGCAACCACAGCAACAACAATCGAACAAGAAGAAGAACGCCAACAAGAACGAAAAGGAGGAGCAGCAGCGTGACATTGTGCCAGCAGTGGTCACCAAGGAAGAAGAGAGCAAAAAGCTTAGCAAAAAGGAAAAGAAGAAGGCGGCTGTCATTGTTGCTGAGGAAACAAAGCCATTGTTAGCCAACGAGGAAAAAGAGGAGGAACCAGTGGATCAAGAAAAGGTCAGGGAGATTGATGAGCATATGGATCCTACTGCCAACTATGCTCGTGTGATGCGCATCAAGCCTGAAGAAGAAGAGGAAGAATGGGAGGCTGTGCCAGCTGAAGATGGATGGAGCCAAGTCAAGAGTAAGTGTGTTTTATAGGGAGCATTGAGCAAAGTCAATTAACACTTGAATGTTAGGCCGTCGCCCACACACCAGCTCTGCATCTACCAAAGTCCCCATTGACAGAAACGCAGCCATCAACGCAGATCAAGTTGACAGATATATCCCTGGTTTAGACAAGAAGCAGCGTGAAAATTTAGCTCGCCAACAAAAGAAGAAGCAACAAAAGGCTGCTGCTGATGCTTTACAAGCAGAGAGGCTTCGCAAACATCAAAAGGAACTGGAGAAGATCAAGATTCAAGAATTCTATTCTTCTGGTAAAGGCAAGAATACACCTTGGGGTAAGAATGGCCAACAACAAAGATCGTCAAAGATCCCTTCTTCTACTGCTGGCATCAATGAACATGGGCAATTGATTTGGGATTAAATAAAGTATACTTTTTTTTTTTTCAATAATCATGCGGTAATCCTTATTTGCACTTGATCTCGGTGCTCTTTAAACGTAAACAGAGCGTGCTTCGCTAGTTCACTCTTGCCAAGCTCTGCTGCTGGACAGCGTAAAGACACTCAGCTTAGGTAGGCACATAGATATGGCCAGAAAGGGCAATGGAGGTGCATTTAGTGGATTGCCACCCAATCTAGCTATTGTGTGCATTTCTAATCCTTAAAATAGATTCTGAATAATGATGTACAGCAGGTTTATTAAATTTTTATAAATGCTCTATTAATTGAGGTAGAAAGGATGAGAGTAGAACTCGCAAGATTCCTCATGCTGAGTAGTAGCACTCAACTTGTAATAGAAGGCAGTGTTTTCAGCCTTGGCGGAGGCGGGAATGGTATCTTTGATGTTCAACATGTTGGTGATGGTCTCGTTACCAGACCAAGAGTCATGGACCTTGGTAGAATCACGAGTATCCAAATTGACATTGTAGAGCTCCAACTTGGTCAAGTATTCAGTATGAGCAGCAGAATCACGTTTGATTTGAACAGAGAAAGTTTGATCAGCAGTTACTTCACCACCGAGCTCAGGAGCAGTTAATTCAACACCGAAACAACCACGGTCAATGTTTTCGCTCAAGTTCTTGTATTCGGATTCTTCAACAGCATTGGAGTGAGATGACTTTTTGGCCTTGAAGACCTTGGACATCAAAGTACAATCGGGACCAGCCTTGTTGTGAACCCAAACACTATATTACACGGTTATTTTTAGTTAAAACCTGTTCTACATCATGGCAACATATAGTAAGCTTTAATTACCGGAATTCAAATTGTCCAGGGAACTTGGCCTTGGTGGCCTTTGTCAAGTCAACGCTATAACGATGTGAGTATATACAGTATGTAGTTGGCGGCTGTATTCAGTGTACATACGTCAATGTAGCCTTCTTGTTTAAGCTGTAGCTACCCTTCCAAACAGTGCTGAGATAAGTGGCCTTTCCTTTGCTGTCGATAGAGTAAGCCTATTGCAATGTCAAATGTGAGTCATTTCTTCTTTCTTTGTCTTGTTCGGGAATACATACATCAACACCATTAATAACCTTGGCTTGAGCGTTGGGCTTTCTAGCTATGGATGTGGTGTGAATAACAAGTACAGACAAATGTAGGCAAAAGGAGATACTTTACTGACTGTCACCTTGATCTTCTTGGGGTTGGTGAATGTTTGACCCTTGGTGGGGCCAGTGATGGCGATACCGCCACAGAATTTTTTCAAGGCAGCATCAATTTGATCTTGAAGGTCGTCAGCTTGAACAAAAGAAATAGCAATGATTGCTACAAAACAAGCCAAAAGTAAAGACAGCTTCATTGTGTTGTAAGTGTGGAAAAGAGGATGTAAAAAAACAAGAAAGAAAAAGCAAAAGAATGAAATGTACAAACGACACCCTTTTATACAGCACACACACACACAAAAAAAAAAGAGGAGATGTTCTGGATTACATTGTGTTAATATATGAATGTATTACACAAGAACTAATTTAAATTGAAAGTTTCTATTTATACTATGCCTTTATCCCCGCAAGTATTGGTTCCTGTACTTTTTTTTTTTTTGCTGTTAAAATAAGACATGCCATTGTGCTTCAATCAGCATAGACTCGAGGTATCAATCAAGAGCTTTTTATTATTTCATTCATCTCGATTCAAAGCTCAGAAATGATGCTTAATCCTTGACATAACACGGCTTGTTTTCTGGCAGAGGCCACCAGCAGATTGACATGGCACTTCTCTTCGGGTCGTAGAACGATACCAATGTTGGTCCAGTCAGACTTTTGAATTTTGCAGGGAGACATACAAAGATCTTGAATGTATTGAGTCGTGCGATCATTCAAGTAGGTTGGGATATCAGAGTAGGTGTAATCTTCCTTGGTCACACCCATGATTTTTTGCGTATAATACCAAATAGCGTTTCTCAGAGGCGATGTGTCTACAACTTCTTCGGCCACAGGGTGAAATATACTATGGTAATATGAGTATGCATGCCAACGACACACATCCTACGCTTACCTCCAATCTGTAATGGTCTGAGCTTCCTGAAATTCAGTAACAAGATCATCGCCAATGCCAGGTAAATAGTGGTTGGCTAAATCACAGCCATGATCTTCCCAGCAATAGTCGCCGAGCATGAAATAGTCTTCCGTGTCTGAATCAAATGCGCTCAGCTGGATTTCCTCATTCAAAGTGGGGTCTACAAAGCGCTGCAGATCTTCAAAAATAACATTGACGTCGGCAGTAGTAGTGGGATCATCTTCTTCCGTTTCATCAGGCTTTAGATTGGTATCCACCGTCATTTTGGGCGTCTCAGCTTGATTTCCGTCTTCTTCTGAAAGCTTCATCTTTTCAAAACTCTCCAATATTTGTTCCTTGATGGCGCAATTCTTTTTGGTCTTCAGTTTGTGAATTAACTCTTTGGTTGTCTTTTCAGTGTCGACAAGGTCAGTGTTGGCGGTTGTAAGGCCCAATCCTATACCGTGATCTGTATGGAACTGGTGCTGCTGTTGTTGACGATCATTGTCAAAATGGATCGTAGGCAAGTCTAATTCATTTTCAATACCACTACAAGCCTGCTGTTGGTTGGGAACAATGAATCCACCAGTCATGTCAATTTCAGGCACAATGCCACACCCCATGATGAAGCTAGACAAACCTAAAAAAGTGCCAATGATCAGTGTCACTTGCACCAATTCGCCTCGGCTCCACGCATCGCCCAAGACGCCACCAGCTAGCAAATGACTGATATCGTCCGAATTCAATCGCCATGGTTGTCGTGCCAGCTTCAAGATCAATGCAGATATATTGCGTAGCTTTGTAGGGACATAATCCAGTCCGATAAGCCAGTTGGGATCACCGCCATTGTACAGGAATTCAATCTTCATCACAGACACCAAGTACTGGCACTGCTGTTCGGATGCCACCATCAAGCCAATGTAGGATTTCCATGTTCGATTCAAAGGGCCCATAGATCCCTTTAAAAGCTTTGTGAAAGTGACATGAAACAGCTCGTAGAAGGTGGGAAAGAAAGACAAAATACGGAACAGATTGGCCAATCTTCCCTCGTCTGTGAACGTTTTGATCATCATTTGTCGCACATATTCATCTGAGGGTCTTCCACCTGTGTAGTCTTGCATGATTTTTGGTATATTTGAGCTGTTGTTGTTGTTGTTGTTGTGTTGTGTATGTATAGGTTGCTGTTCATTTTCACATGAGTTGATGGACCATGGTGAAAACGATAAATTTGAAGAGCGAGGATAAATAACATGATTGGATGATGATGAGGTGTTGGATTCAAGCGAGAAAATATCGTACAATGGAATAAAGTGAGAAGGTGATTTATATCTAGGTTTTGGTATGACAATGCCTGTTGTTTCCTATGTGGTTCTGCATAAATGACCCATGACACGCTCACTCTTACGATGTCTACTTACTTTCAAACTATTCAATAAATCTTGGAATGTTTGTCTCACGTCAGAATAAGGGCAGGTGTAAGAAAGCCTTAGTATCGTCAACAAATAGTACAGTAACTGCTCGCTATACTCTTCACCGTCTTGTTCGTATAGCTGCAGCATATGCTCTGGCGAATCACTCAAGCAGGGCGATGTTGAGTTGGAGCTGCGGATAAATGATTTGACAACCTGGATGATTTTCTCTAATGCCAGCACTCTTTCTTCGTAATTGTCTACTTGTAATCCCTTGAACAAGGCTATGCGCTGTCGACATGACTGAAGCTGGCTTGCTCTGCTGTCTCGTACTAGTGATTTTGGCTTCAATATACATACCGTATTGCCCTATTTTGTTTGCTTACTTGTCTCTGCCACTTGCTGCTCATCAAGTTGATTCGATGGTTGACTCATATTTTTTTTTTTTTTGTTTATCTGAATTGCATATATTTATTTGTTTGTAGTAAGCTGAAAGAAAAAGGGGGGGGGGCAGAAAGAAAAAAAGGAAGAAAAGAAAAAGAAGTTTTCCCACCTTCTTTTAAGTGTAATTTTATGTGACGTTATCAACAGTTTTAGACTTCTTCAAGCTCACAGAAATAATACCTCTGTACTCAAACAAATCGCAAGCAACTAATCCAATTGGTCAAAGGCATGATTCATTAATCTTGTAACTTGTAGCGTACAGTATTCCACCCACTCGACAGCTGTTCAACAAGCATCTAATTTCTGTAATTTACAATTCAAATGCAGTGAGTTTAAATGGATCAAGGTTTTTGGCGGGCGCTACAGCCATCATCATTCGCTGCAATATAAGTTTGTGTTACAATCACAAACTGCACCGTAAATGGCATAGTTATCATTGACCATTGAGAAAACAAAGAGCCTTCAAATGACTCTTTGATAGATACGTCGTATTTCAACATTTGAGGGCTTTAATGATATCAAAAATGCTTGGAGGGTGATTGACACAAGAAAGCAGAAACTTATAGTCGAATCATGATATCATACCAACACCACCTTATTCGTCGAAAAAAGCTGTTTGTCATTTCTGCGTGAATTGAGTCATTTCTTTTTTTTTTTTTTTGTAATATGCCGGATAGTAATCCTTGATTCCGAGTGGTAAATTTGGCTCTTTGTCAGAAGCATTGACAATAAGAGAGGATTTAATTTGTATAGAAGCACGTATCGTTTTGTGATCTGGCGGTACAGTAGATTAATTACGATTTTCTGACGTACAACGGCGTAGAACGTCCAGAGATACACAATTGCTATGATCGTCAACAAATAGGATAAGCGTCCTTCTTGCCTGGTTCCAGATATCCATCAATGATGCCATGGGTTCATAGTGCAAAAGATTTCACAAATAGCTTGCGTTGGGCTTGTAAGAAAAAAAAAACAGAAGGTATGTTCAGATCAAAGGAAGGTTCATCGCATAATCAGCAGATTTTTACTGAAAGTTCATTATTCAGTGTGTTGATATCACATAGTATCGCTTCGTAAACGGCTTTATGAGTGTGGATCTGGCTCTCCTACAATGCTTCTGTACATTTGTAATGCCTCTCACTATCTGAAAATAAGCGAATTATTAGAGCGAAATTCAAAGGAATTTAAGGCGTCATTTCTCGCGCTATAAGCTGTTTTAGGCGGCCGGAACAGCACCAAATGGTTGCTCCCATCTGGCACTTACTTACTGACGCCTTTGCTCAACTTTTTTAGGACCAAAAAAAAACATGGACAAAAATCGATCAAAAAGCATGAGGTGTCCCTCATGGTTTTCATCGAAAATCAAACAATCGCGTTTTTCACCTTGAAAATAAAGACTTTTACTAGGGCATATATCAAATCAAAGTGTTTCTCTCGATTCAAAGCAACCTCTGAAATCATTTTTGTGCAACCTTGATATGTAAAATCTCGACATTTTGGCCAAAAACGACATTTCATATTTTCAAAGATTGCTCAATAAGCTTCTTCAAAACACTTCTATCAATTAGCACCATCAGATGCGCCTTGAAAAGTACTCCTAGAAAGCTTAAGGAAGTATGGAACTATCAGTGCAATTCACATAGTCGAATGGTGCAAAATAGATCAAACAAGTCGAGATTTAACGAAAAATTACTGATTTGAGACGAAAAAACGACTAGCGGAGATTTAACCGTTTTGGCTGGAAGCATCCATAATGCCTTTCTTATGGAGGCAATGGGTGTTTTTGAGGCCTATACCAAACACGTTAAACTACTATAGCACAGCTTTCTGAATAATGAATTATTGCTTTGAGTGCTGGCGTTGCGCCGTCTGATGGATTTCTGTCAACCACAATGGTTCATCCTGAATGACCAGTAGCCATCTGATACTAGCAATAGGTTCCATTGTAGATGAAATGCGTAGGGAAATATTGAATGAATATCTGTACTTGTTGGTAAACGAGGCCCTGCACCCCAAATGCAAATTAGACAGGGGCTAGATAAGCTATATGATACGGCTTGCCATTATTCAATTGTTTCATCCCATCGTGCTTGGTGAGATTCAGATGTTGTCACATTTATCCGTTCTTCATCTAGGACCTGATCCTAAGAGCACAGCCTTTCACCTGACTACTGGATCTGTCCTAGACGGGTTGGTGAGGCAAGTCATTGTCAATCATTGCTACAGAGACTATTAAGCCATCACCGAGTTTCATCGCTTGGGCAAGACAGAACAAGAGCGTGCAAGGAGCGAAAGCAGTAATGTAGCTTGTGTAGGTGATGCAACTCTTGTGGTCAACTGTCCGACTTGAAGTACTACGGTTAATGCTGTTGCATGGATTTCGCAGCATCAGCAGCTTTATTTCCAAGACGAGCGTATGTATTTATTCACAGGGTTGTGGACACACCCTTTTTTTCTACTAGCCCTTGTTACTCATTGTTCTCAAACATCGTTAGACTTGGTCCCTTGTAATACATGGAAATAGCTTCGTAAATGTGTGAGATGGGAGAAAAATAATAAGCGATTTATTGTGATGAAAAGGTAGATATTAGGATTAATTATATATAAAAAAAGTGGTTGAATTGAGCAATTGTAGTGTTATACATATGACGGCGACATTAGCTATCGCAGATAGTCTTGTGTGCACCGTTGTGATGATATTGAGGATAAAATTAGACGGATTCATCGTGAGCGAGCTCAGCCTTCTTTTCACTGAAGGAGTCAGCAGCACCGTTGGCCTCAGCACGACGAAGACCTCTGTCCTCAACCCATTTGTCCATGACGTCTTGAGGAATCTTCTTGCGAGGGTTGTGCTCAAAGACGATATCCATTTCTTCAAGCTATAAAAGCATGCAAAAAAAAAAAGATAGGTTAGTATACGTACAATCACATGTTGCAATTTGAAGTATTATATTTACAGTGTAACCCTTGGTCTCAGGATAAGCGATGAAAACGTGAAGAGCCATCAAAAAGTTAAAGGCAGCAAACAAGAGGTAGAGACCGTAGTGAATACGCTCCATCATCAAGGGGACCACAAAGTTCAGAACCCAGTTGAACAGCCAGTTGGAAGCAGTGGACAAGGAGACAGCCATGGCACGGACACGGAGAGGGTAGATTTCAGAGGGATAAATCCAACCCAAAGGACCCCAGGTGGTAGCAAAGGAGGCAACAAAGAGGTAGACACAAGCAACAACACCATTGGCCTTGGAGCTGGATCCAAGATCAACGAGCCATTTACCATCTTCACCAACATACCAGCGACCAGTGGCCAAGACACCACCGACCACCCACAAGAAGGTAGACATGAGAAGAGCACCAAAGATCAAAGTAGGACGACGACCCCACTTGTCAACAAAAAGGATAGCAGGCACGGTCATAACAACGTTAACGACATAAGAGACACCAGATGAGACAAGAGTGGCCTCTTGAGAATCTCCAATACCGGCTTGCTTGAACAAAAAGACGACGTAGAACATGATAATGTTCATACCAGTCAATTGCTGCCAGATTTGAAGACAGACACCAAGAGAGACACGGTAAGCTATGCCAGGCTTGAACAAGTCAGTATAGCGGTGAGAGGCAACGTTCTTGTCAAAGTGGATGGTGGCTTGAATTTCTTCGATTTCGAGAAGAACACGAGGATGGCTCTTGTCACCGTTACCGTGGATATCAGCGAGAACTTGCATGGCTTCTTCCATACGACCCTTGTCAGCGAGCCATCTAGGAGAGTGAGGGAATGCCCACATACCACAGCAGAGAATCACGGCAGGAAGTGCTTGGACGCCCCATGGAATACGGAAGGCGGCGGTGTTGGGGATGAATTGAGAGCCATACTGGATCCAGAAGGAAATGAAGATACCCCCTATGAAAATGAAAAGAGAAGGTCAGGATAATCGTAAAAATGCAATTTCGCTACTTGGAACTGATTGGTACATGTAATACTCCATTGCTGGATAGCTACAAGACGTCCACGAATCTCCTTGGGAGCTACCTCAGACTGGTAAAGGGGAACAACCATAGAGGTGATACCGACAGACAAACCGTTCAATACACGGCCGACACAAAGCAAAGGGACACCATTAGTAGCAGCTTGGAAAACAGAACCAATGACAAAGAGAAAAGAAGCACCGATGAGGGTGAATTTACGAGAGAATCTATCCGCAGGATAACCAGCGAAAAGAGCACCTACGAAACAACCAGCTGAAAGGGCGCCGTTGATGCCACCTTGCAACAAGGCATCGGGATGATTGAAAAATTCCTTGTATCTAGGCAAATGTCAGCATTCTGACAGGAAGTCAAGAGGCACTACTACTACTTACTGTGATGTACCGATTACACCAGAGGCAGAACCGATATCAAAACCAAACATGATACCAGCAATAGATGCAAAAGCACCAATAGCCTAATGAGATGAGATGGATTAGCATGTGTTGCAGAGTCGATCGGCAGAGAGACATTACATAGATATTGGTGGTTATTTTTGTTAGAGCCCCCATTCCTATCTTGGTTTGTATTCAATAGACAAAAATAAGATGAAAGATCAAAGAAGTAGTAAAGAAACAAGAAACGAAGCAGGCGAATCTACCCCGTCTTTTATACCAAAATGAGGCGTCCCTTTCTGGATTCAGGGAGCCTGTATAATTGTGGGGAAACACAGATTACTTAAGCTAAATCAGCGACCTTTAACCCGTTTCATGTGATTTACAGAGCAGTGGTTGTCGTTGCCATTGGATGGTATCCTACGGGAGCTATATAAATCAAGCAATGTCTGCTTAAGTAATCCAAGAGTACAAAGGCTGGGAGTGCTTGTCCGCGGACAAACAACAGATGATTTCCTGACGTGAGAAAATCCAGGCGAGGGCACCATACAGAACATATAAAATTAGGAACGGGAAGGGTTTTTTGCCATGTTTCACTAATCCATACATTGTTACTCGAAATTAAAGCTTCACAACCAATAATGGAGATTTGAGAAGGAGATCTATGGATGTAGATTTGATGAGATATGCCATTTATACTACACGGCAAGCATTAGTCGCAAAAAAAAAAAACGCAAAACAAGTTACACGGCTAACCATCCGTATTTCGTTGTGTGAGAGTAAAATAGTAAAATGAGTGTCCATGAATAGCAAACACTAGGTGAATTTACTCATGCATCTCATACGACATTGTTGTCTATGTGTTACAAACGAAGCACCTTTATTGGTCTAGAAAACACATTCTGTATATATTACTCTGTTCCTAAAAGTCGCAATGCCTAGCATGTCGGCTCTCATTCCATTTGATGTAGCCTAGTCATGTTATGTGTACACTTGTATGTACAACTGCATATGAGCCATCCCCTTGCTGCTTGTGCGAAAAAGAATGGTCATCTTCCAGCTTAGTATTGATCCGCACAAGTTTCCCATGTGTAACAAGGACAATGGAAAGAATAGAGTTGAATCCCATCCTCCCCCACACGTTAACCTTCCAATAACAATTTACTACAGTGGATTCCAAAGTAAATTAGTACAGGTTCGGATTCTATAACAACCCTAGTTTAGAGCGCCGTTGACGGAAAATCTCAACCTGGAGAGACCCCTTGCCACCCTGCTTGATTCGTGTGTTTGCAATGTACCCGTTCCTGTGGGTAAATGTGCTGAATTTTGTGATCCTATCCTATCTCAACGAAAGTTCTGAATATAATAGCCATTATCTGCTTACTACTTTAGATGCGTGAAGAGGCGGCCGTTACGGTATCTGTATCAATATGAGCCTTGATATTGAGCAATGCATTTTAGAAACCAAATTTGTTAGTGGAAAGGGGATATGATTGATAGTGTTTGTAAATAGACGATAGATGTGAACTTGGCTATGCTTGTTCTATTGACACATCGATCTCTAGATATAGTTGTTTCTTGTAAATGAAATGTTAGATCAGTGCTGGCAGTAGCAGCAAGACAGGCACGATGGTTTGTATGTAGTGCTTCTGGTGCAGCAACTGATGTGCTGAAATGTCGTTAGAAATGCTTGTCAAAGGTTCATGTCATGAATAGAGTAAATGTAACTCACATTTGTTGATGCTTAACGACATGTATCTTGCAGTTATGATGCCATTGGACCACAAAGCACATGCTTTTTTTTTTTTGATTTCATACATATACTTTATTCATCTATTTTTACTTTAATATGGTATTGAGCTGGATAACATATGCCCACCCTTGTTTGAGAGAGAAGAAACAATTGAATATACATATATCAAACTGTGGGAGAGACTTAAATTTACCTTCAATAGCGTGTTTTTTTTGTAAGCAGTATCAATACAGATTTACTCGAGAACATCTTTCCACACCCTTGAAATGTGCACATTGGCCTGATTGCTTAAAATGAATCCATTAGGGGTGATGTTGGCTACTGTCGCGTATATTTTGGAGTTAAGGCTTTAGAAATGAGCTTTTATGTTGGTCTTTGTTGTGTAAGATTTGCGACAGCTAGGGAAAGCGCAAGCAACTCTCTACATAGAAGCTTGGCCAGGCGCTGCAATGTCGTGTAGTTGATTTGTAACCTTCAGCAAAACTTCAATAGGCTTGAAGCAGTAGCTATTATGAAGAACTGCTGGACATGTCTCTTGTTGAAAGCCTCTTTGCAAGTTTGGCAAGGTAAAACGGCTCCAAAAGAAAGCTTTACTCAGTACAAAACCATTGCCAACAACTGTTTTAAGTGCTTGCCTGCGTTCAATCCTTGAATTCTGCTCGGTCCCTCTGATTTAGTTCACCTCTTGCCAGTGGTCATTTTCAGAGGTAATAAGCGGAGGTGTCGAGAAAAACAAGACAGAAGGATACAAGTTCTTGACTGATTTCTGGCAATATGAAGCTCATGATCTGAACAATCTAATCTATCACAGATCCATTATTATGCAAACTTGGCCTCAGCCGTTATGCTGCTGCAAAATAAACAAGCCATACGAATGGCTTTCAATCAACCCAAAGATTATGTATATTAGAGGTATCCCAAAAAGACTATTAACTCTTGAGAAGCAGCTTCAGATTCTTAAAGTGAGTCTCAAGGGGATAGAGTAACTTAGCTTCTTATAATATGAGTAACCAACTAGGCATGTCATAGATACTGGTGCTAGTCTTATAAATCACTTAGTCTTTTACATCTTGGCATGACTTTTCACTTGCATGTTGGAAGAGAGAATTGGATCATAGAAAATAGAGGCTAGAAACCTGCTTTAAAAGTACCTCGCCTTTTATATGCAAAAGAGGAGTTAGGGGCCGTTTTTTCTTGGATTCAGAGACGATGATGTGACATCGCTGATTGCCCAAACCAAACCTTCAAGGTATTTTATACGATGGCTTCTTTTTATTTTTATTTTTTTTTTTAGCTACCATTGGTTGGTACTGAACGGGATTCATAGAAAACTATATGGTTTTGCTGCTTAAGTAATCAGTGAGCACAAGAAACTGGGAATATCGTTCGCGGAGCAAACAGTGCATTCGTAAACAGATGATTTCTGTGTTGATATGAGAAAATTCGGAGATAATGCTCACTCACTCACACAGTGCTTGGGCATCACTCCGCAAGACCAAGACTAAGCAATTTGTCATGCTTCATCAAGTAATTGCTTTATATTAGTACATCATTGCTTGAAATACCACTTTTGGTTCATTTACACAGATGCGCTTTGATGTTTAGAAAATCGTTGTGTATATCAGATAGCAGCATGAAGCAGCATCAAAGGATGTATGGCGTACTGAAGAATGCTACACGAAATACCAAAACTTTACTATTTGCGCAGGTATGCATCCACAAATAGAGATACCCTGTACAGCCTTAGACGTATATACAACATCATCATAATCCTCATACGATAGCAAATGTGCTACAAATCAATTTGGCGCTTTGGAAAGATGCATTTGTTTGTTGAAAAAAGTATATCACAAACTAGTTAGACTACCAACAATGCATTTTACTATAGAAAGTATATCAGATCAGTTTTATACTAGATCGTTTAGTGTGAGCAACTTCCCACCGTCCTCTTGTCTTTTTGGATTATTTCTAACGGAAAATGAGTTATGAGAAATCGCAGATTCTGATACCAAAGAATCAGACATTACGTCCACATGAAGAAACGGGATGTGGTGTGATGATAAGACATGTACATGCTGATGCATGAAAGTCTCATACAGCATGTAGATCATCACCGAGATATCCTCATCAACTGACCAGGAATTGTTTTGCTGGTTACAGGAACAGGAAAAAAAAAAAAAAAGTTAGTGTAATACACCCTGGTTTTGTTGAATGGTCCAACCGAAAAGGTACTCCCTTCTCTTTTCATGGCGAGAAAAGAAATCATATGCTATATACCATGTATTTGTACCATGGGATGTCATTTCGCTACTTTCAGCAATCTAAATCACACTTGCAAATTTGGAACATGGGTATGAATTTCATCTAAAGCAATACACAAGATGCTACTAAACAATCGAAATGATGTTTACTGAAAATAGACGAAAACTGTATGGTTTGAGGTAACTCAATGGTAGAGTTCTTAAGGTTGAAACTCATCATCCCCCACACCTAAACCATCCAATCAATCAGCATTACCGGTTATACAGTTGATTCCAGACAAAACATTATACAATCTCTTTAGGACAAATGGGACGTTGTCATACCATCAGAAAGAATATACAGCGGTACTGGCAAAACTATGTCTAAATAAATGACAGTTTGTGGGAAACTGATCTGTAGCATTACATTGAAATCGATGCCATGATCTCACATTTGAAAACTCAGTTATAATGGCTCTAACAACAAAAGTATATAGCCGCATACGAACAAGATGTTTTTTATCGTGCGTATGATGGGATAAGGTGGTACTTGCTTAATTAATCTAATTAAATATCCCCTGCTCAAGGGAAACCTCCTAAGAGCAAACCTATTCCGCGGTTGAACTCTATCTCTTTGGAAAACGAATAGGGCTGGAAAAGCTCACAAAGACATCCAAATACCCTTTATTCAAGATGTATCAAATCACATTGTAAATAAATTCTACAACTACTGAATATGTGTTCTTTTTATAAAGGCTTTCCATTCATAATTGCAATTGAAGTATTGCCACAGAGCAGCATGTCAGTCCATGCAGCGACTTGACAAGCGTTTGCCACCTCGGATACACACAGCAAGTTATAACAAATGTTACGGCACTGACGATGCTTGGTTTTCCTTATATTATTCGTGCTCCGAGTGATAAGCATAGTTTGTAACCACGCTTGTAAGGACAGTACGTATTACCTCTGAATTGCTATATTTATATCACCATTTTTAGATGCCTGAAAGCAAGATAATAAAGAACACTGCATTGGAAGTGGTTAATATTTCATAAGAAAGCCACTTCTTTATAGATGACACATCAACATATTAGTTAACATGATTATATATCTAATTTTTGAGATAGCATGCAACTGAACGCCTCAATGTAATCTTATTCTACTTGACACAAGCACAAAAAGACACAAAACAAGCTTCTCGGACAGGTTAATTCTGACAATTTACAAAAATATAGGCCAAAACCTCGGAAACTGCCCTGCCCTAATGAACACTGTAAAAAAGATCTCCATTTGTAAGAAAACTTTGGCGAGACATATGAAGACATATGAAACAAACGTAACTAGAGATGTAGTTTGGTAGGATGTTTACGGTTCCTAATCTCTTTATCCATGCCTGCAGTATAGCATACCAGAGACTTCAAGTGACCATCTCGCTTGGAAACATTATACTAATCGGGACCATTCAAAGCATGCCAAATCTCACCAAAAGGGAAACCAGAGAGTAACTGCACAAGATATAAAAGAAGAAGAAGAAGAGGAGGAGGAGGAGGAGGAGGATGGAAAAAAACAGACTGTTACTATGTAATAAATGTCGAATAGAAACTCTCATTTTTCTCGTTGCGTAAATCATTTGAAATTCTCATTAGAGTGTATCTGAATAAAAAATTTGTTAGTTGAGATGTTGTCCAGTAAGACATATGTTCCTAGATCTGTTTTGCTGCACATGATCAAATCATCACCAACGACATATATTGAGCTTTTCCGTTAGTTGATCTAATGAGAAGAAGAGAGAACTAACGGATCTAGGCTCCAATATATCGTTACATAATAATTTATGATCCCTAGACGTTTTCAAAGCTTCAAAAAGGAAAGCAGTTGACCTAACAAGTATTTTGATATACTGGCGTTATTAAATATGGAATCCAAAAAAAATAGCATGGCTATGATAGTGTTATGTAATTTTCCATATGCTTCAAAAGCAACTATTACTGTATTATCTTCACAATGAAAATGGCATTGAGTTTGCCAGCCTGCCCCTCCAGAGGCCATAATCAATTGAAACCCAGAATAATAGTCTGCTCTAGATTGGCCAAATCATGTTAGTTTTCGACTCGATCGAACTATTTTGGCAGATTCGACTAAATAAAATTTGATAATCATCCTTTGCTTCTTTAAGCTTTCTTGGAGTGCTTTTCAAGGAGCATCCAATGGTACCAAGTAATATAAATGTTTTGAATAAACCTATTGAGTAATTTATGAAAATATGAAAAGAGATTTCTGGCCAAAATGTCGAGATTTTCCATACCAAATTCCCACAAAGATGGTTTCAGAGGTTACATTAGATCGATAGAAACATTTTGATGTAATACATACCATAGTAAAAGTCTTCATTTTCAAGGTGAAAAACGCGATCATTTGATTTTCAATGAAAACCATGAGGGATACCTCATGCTTTTTGGTCAATTTTTTGGCCATGTTTTTTGTGTCCCCAAAAAGTTGAGCAAAGGGGTTTGGAAGTTACTGCTATTCAAGTACCATTGTTTGGCGTCATTTGGGAGCCTCAGAAGAGCCTGTATTCCAAGATATTAAGTCTTGAAAGTTGTCAGATTTGAACGTGGATGGCTTCTGCTGATCAATCATTTTAGAGCTCTAGCATACACTATTTGTCGTCCTTGAAAGAAGTTTGCGTGAAACGATGACATATGAAATAAAACAAAAAAGTGTTTTTTTTTGCTGTTATACTTTTTTTTCCGAGCCATGGATCACAAATGTTGGATGAAGGTTGGTTGTCGATCATTAACGAAAACAGTGCAAGACGAAGGATCAAAGGAAAGTATGGGCCAATGCTGTCTTTCAGAGAGTTGTTGTTGTTCTAATTGTTCCTTGTTTTGTTACTAAATCTATGGGTGAGTTGTCGAGGATGAATAATGTGTGGTTGATGTGTTGTATATGGTTCCTGGATGCTGAGTATTGTCATAAAAGGAGATTATGCTGTTTTTTTTTTGAGTCTTCAATTTTCATAAGGCGCTTTACCACAAAATTGTTCATGATAGTTATATCAATAGGCGAGCCAACAAAGACACACAATTATGAATTTTACAGAGCAGTAATCTTATCAGGTTTGGTATTCATGCCCATTAGATTGGTTTCAAAGTTTTGCCAGAATTACTTATTCGCTGTGTTTATCAATCCAATTTTCTAATAATCAACATTTGCGACATTTGAAAACTCTACACTCATCTTTTGCACAATATCATTTTCTTCTGCCAAAAATTTGCCGTAATATCAATGCCAGCCCTTCAAGGTATTTCAATTGATTTACTGAATCAAGACATCTAGTCTATGGATACCTTCAATCTAAATCAATGGATCTTGGCTCTCGCCATCAAAGAAATAGACGTGACCTTTTTTGAACAATGGGGGGAGGGGGTACATGAGCGCATCTTTCAGGAAACGCCATCATCCACAGCACGCCTTTCAATTTTTTTTTTTTTTACACACAAATATACATCTACAGCATGGCATCGCTCGGAGACGCAGCTTACAAATTAGCCAAAGAAGCCAAACGTACAGCGGATCTCACCATCTCGCCCTATAATGACGATCTTGTTCAGAGCATTTGCCGTGAAATTCGACTCTTACACAACAAGGCCAAAGAAACTGTCAATACAATGAAATCTGATGCAACAGGCACAGCAGTGAACAATCCCAGTAATATGTCGCAAGTCATGTTGTATCATCTGTCAGTGAAGCGCAACAAGCGAGTGCTGTTTGCTTATCATCGTCAACGAATGAATAAGCTCAAAGAGATTCTATGGAATGTTGGATTACAGTCGAAATACAAGAGGGAAATCCTTGCCAGTCTAGGGCCGACTGAACAAAAGTTTCTAGACGAATATGGAGATTTGGTCAATTCATACAAGCAGAGCTTTCTAGAAGTGGATATAGGAGGGCCCAGTGGCGGTGGATTGGATCCACCTGTAGATCTGTTCATTGAAGTGCGTGTGTTGCGAGATGCGGGAGAGATCAACACAGAATACGGCTCGTTGAATCTGTCAAAGGGAAATCAATTCTACGTCAAGCGAACCGATGTCGAGTCATTGATCAAAGCAGGCTATCTTATTCATGTGTAATAAATAAAATCATCGTGTTGTGCGTGTATCATTTGTTTTATTAAGTTTATGTATAGAATGAGCTTATTCCTCGGCAGTTGATAAAGGTTTGAAGAATTCCTTTTCATGTTGTTTCTTTTCCTCTTTTGTCTTGCTGGCAAAACCTCCCTTTAATTCACCTGTGGCCTCGTATGCATACATGGTGGCTCCAACAGCAGCGCAACCAACGCACATTTTGGAGAATGAATGGCCTACTACATTGTCAATCTCTGCCTTCAATTGAACCTCACATCTCTCCACTTACTCTTGATACCAGCCAACATACCGGCTGCACAACCACCAATAGCAGCATTGACGGCATCGTCTTGTTCACGAACACCCTTTGCTGCACATTCACCGAGAGTGAAGATACCACCCATAGCAGCTATAATACATGAGGGTGAGTATGAAGCTTGCCATGTCAATCTACATGTTGTTACCAAAGAAAGCAATAGTGCCACCCGTTCTAGTGAGGACACCTCTAGCACCAGTGGTGTGCTTCTGAGCTGTGTTTTGCATGGCAGATACAAAGAGACCGATACCACCGGCAATACCAGCAGTTTTACCTGCTTCAGCAATACAATCCTTTGAGTTTGTCATATTTAGTGTAAGTTTTTGTTTTTTGTTTAGGTACAAGGAAATCAAAATTTAAACAGAAAGGCGGGGTCGATTCAATTGGGAGAGGATAGCCCCCTCCCTCACCTATGACTGGATCAAATGGAAGGCATGTAGCGATACGTCACTAGGTTGTTTGACCATCCGATGTCTCCTCCATTTGGTCTTTCATTAAAGAGGCGCAGAAGCTATCAGCACTTGAAAAGCTTTTTCAATTTGCACTTCATTCTTCACATTATGGGAGACGGTAAGTGGATGCTATCCTATGCTGCATTAGACTCTCATCTCAAACCAACGCTAGACATTGAAAACGAAATCAAAGCTGCGCAAGCAAAGCGCACTCAAATCACAGACAAAGACATTAGCAAAGCAGTGCTCGACAATGAAAATCACGCCAGTTTGACTGGACTCTCCTACGACACAGACTTGTATACGACTGATAAATTTGCAGGCTACTCGACATCTTTGGCTGCTGATGACGAGGAAGACGACGATGATGAAGTGTATCAAGAGACCAAACGCAAACTGAATTCCTACACAGCATCCAAAGACATCCTGAACGAAGCGAGAGAGGGATCGGATGCGCATGACCCGTTTGCAGATACGATGCGTGAACGCACCATTGCTGGCAGACAAGATGAATATCAACAACGCAGATTCAACCGCATGTTGTCGCCCAGTAGAAAAGATGCCTTTAGCCAAGATCAATCAGACGCAGGAGAATCCAGATCCTATTCAGAAGTTGCCCGTGAAGCCGAATTAGAACGAGAGGAGCAGAGAGTGTTGGCGATTATTGCACAAAAGAAAAAGGAAGAAGCTGAGACGGGTGTCAGTGCTCGAGTACAGCAACCGGCATCTGTAGAAGACACACCAACCGCTACTCGCAAGAAGAGAAGATGGGATGTCGCTACACCTGTCAGTCAAAATGTGGATGCAACACCTGTAGGCACTGCCAAACGATCTCGTTGGGATGCCACGCCTGTGCGTAGTAATGACCCTGATGCTACACCTGTGCGATCTTCAGAATGGGATGTCGATGCTACACCTCGCGGCACAGCTAAGCGATCTCGTTGGGATGCGACTCCTGTTGCTGGTGCTGCTGGTAGTGATTTGACCATGGCCACACCTGTAGGCGGTATGGGCATGATGACACCTACACCCGGTCAAGTGTCGCAAATGACAGCTGAGGCTACCAATGCCTTGCGTTGGGAGCGTGAACTGGACAGTCGTAACAGACCCCTCTCTGATGAAGAACTGGATGCCATGTTCCCCACCACTGGCTACAAGGTTCTGGACCCTCCTGCTGGCTATGAGCCTATTCGTACACCTGCTCGCAAACTGACAGCAACGCCCACACCTATGGGCGATAATGGCTTTGTGATGCACGATGAACAACGTCAAGTGGTTGCCTTGGATTTGCCTCAAGAGATCCCTGGTGTCGGTGCATTGCCATTTTTCAAAGAAGAAGATATGCAACATTTCGGTAAACTGCTGGACGAGAAGGATGAAGGCGCCATGTCCATGGACGAACTCAAGGAACGCAAAATCATGCGTTTGCTGCTCAAGATCAAGAATGGTACACCTCCTATGCGTAAAGGTGCTTTGCGTCACATTACAGACAAGGCTCGCGATTTTGGACCTGGCCCTCTGTTCAACCAAATTTTGCCCTTGCTCATGTCGCCTACCTTGGAGGATCAAGAGCGCCATCTCTTGGTCAAGGTCATTGACCGTATCTTGTACAAGCTGGATGATTTGGTGCGTCCCTTTGTTCATAAGATTTTGGTAGTCATTGAGCCTCTTTTGATTGATGAAGACTACTATGCTCGAGTGGAAGGTCGTGAAATCATCTCCAACCTGTCCAAGGCTGCTGGTCTTCCCACCATGATCACCACGATGCGTCCTGACATTGATCACCCCGATGAATATGTGCGTAACACCACTGCGCGTGCCTTTTCTGTCGTTGCCTCAGCGCTTGGTATTCCTGCTTTGTTGCCCTTCTTGAAGGCTGTCTGTCGCTCCAAAAAGTCGTGGCAAGCACGCCATACCGGTATCAAGATTGTGCAGCAAATTGCCATCCTGTTGGGCTGTGCTGTCTTGCCTCATTTGAAGAATTTGGTTGAAGCCATTGGCCATGGTCTTGAAGACGAGCAGCAAAAGGTACGCACCATCACTGCCCTGGCTATTGCTGCCTTGGCTGAAGCTGCTGCCCCTTATGGTATCGAGTCCTTTGACTCTGTGCTCAAGCCCTTGTGGACTGGTATCCGTAAGCACCGTGGTAAGGGTCTCGCTGCCTTCTTGAAGGCCATTGGTTATATCATCCCCCTGATGGACGACGAGTATGCCAACTACTACACCAAGGAAGTGATGGTCATCTTGATCCGTGAATTCCAGTCCCCCGACGAAGAGATGAAGAAGATTGTGCTCAAGGTAGTCAAGCAGTGCGCTGCTACAGACGGTGTCATGCCTGCTTACATCAAGGAAGAGATTCTGCCTGAATTCTTCAAGCACTTTTGGGTGCGTCGTATGGCCCTTGACCGTCGTAACTACAAGCAAGTGGTCGAAACCACTGTGGAATTGGCCAACAAGGTCGGCGTCGCTGAGATTACCAGTCGTATTGTCAATGATCTCAAGGATGAAAGTGAGCCTTACCGTAAGATGGTGATGGAGACAATTGAAAAGGTGGTCTCCAACTTGGGTGCTGCTGACATTGATCCCCGTTTGGAAGAACTATTGATTGATGGCATCCTGTACGCTTTCCAAGAGCAAACCGTGGAAGATGTGGTCATGCTGAATGGTTTCGGCACTGTCGTCAATGCATTGGGTATGCGTATCAAGCCTTATCTCCAGCAAATTTGTTACACTATCTTATGGCGTCTCAACAACAAGTCGGCCAAGGTGCGTCAGCAAGCCGCTGATCTGATCTCTCGCATTGCTGTTGTCATGAAGAGCTGTGGCGAGGAGAGTTTGATGAGCCAACTCGGTCAAATTCTGTACGAATACTTGGGCGAGGAATACCCCGAGGTCTTGGGGTCCATCTTGGGCGCACTCAAATCCATTGTCAATGTCATTGGTATGGCCAGCATGACACCCCCCATCAAAGACCTGCTTCCTCGTCTGACACCCATTCTACGTAATCGTCATGAAAAGGTGCAAGAAAACTGCATTGATCTGGTGGGCCGTATTGCGGACCGTGGTGCTGAATACGTCTCTGCGCGTGAATGGATGCGTGTTTGTTTCGAGTTGCTGGATCTGCTCAAGGCGCACAAGAAGGGCATTCGTCGTGCATCTGTCAACACATTTGGTTACATTGCCAAGGCCATTGGTCCTCAAGATGTGCTGGCTACACTGCTCAACAATCTCAAGGTGCAGGAGCGTCAGAACCGTGTGTGTACTACTGTGGCTATTGCTATTGTCGCAGAGACCTGTGCTCCTTTCACTGTGTTGCCTGCCCTTATGAACGAATACAGAGTGCCTGAATTGAACGTACAAAACGGTGTGTTGAAATCACTGTCTTTTATCTTTGAGTATGTGGGTGAAATGGGCAAGGACTACATCAATGCCGTGGCACCCCTCTTGGAAGACGCTTTGATGGATCGTGATCTTGTGCACAGACAGACAGCATGTACAACGATCAAACACATGGCATTGGGTGTAGTTGGCTTGGGATGTGAGGATCCTTTGCGCCATTTACTCAACTACATTTGGCCCAACATCTTTGAGACAAGGTAAGTTTTGCTGTTTAGTGTGTGATTAGATCAGCTTCTCACTGTTTATGTATATAGTCCTCATGTTATCAATGCCGTGATGGAAGCCATCGAAGGTCTCCGTGTAGCATTGGGTGCAGCTACCATTCTCCAATACACTGTGCAGGGTCTGTTCCATCCAGCAAGAAAGGTGCGTGAAGTATACTGGAAGATTTACAATACTTTGTACATTGGTAGTCAAGATGCTCTGGTTCCCTTTTACCCAAGACTGGAGGACGATGAGCGAAACAAGTATCAACGCACAGAATTGGATTACGTTCTCTAAATTTTTTTTTTTCTTACATGTCATTCTCTCTACTTTTCATATCAAACAATAAAGCTAAAGTGTAGTATATATCAATTTGAGATGTTACTCTTCATGTAGCCACCCACAACCTCCTATGAGCTACAGCAGTAAAGAGATGAACAGCATCGTGTGAGATGTGTGTATCCTCTCGTATTGTGACGTCAACGAACCCTCCATCCCATCGTTGCTTCAAATTGGATTGCCCTGGTGGGTCGTTCAAGCCTGGCTTGAAAAAACAAATGTGGAGAAATGAGGACTACAGCTTTATTTTAGACATTTTCCACAGCCAAACTTTTTTTTTTACATTTCGAAAAAAAGAAATCGTATTAAAAGGTAAATACCTCCATCATTTGGCATATGACAACTGACTAGCTACTAATATCTCATACCATGTAACATTTCAATTCATCTCATTCGACTGTGCAGTATTCACTTTTATATATTTGCATCCATCTTTTTCAACCCATTTAATATCCAACTCCCCACTCTACTACGACAACAACTGTAAAAACAACAAAACCACCATATAATGTCATTTGCTACCAGAGTATGGGCTCGTAGACTCGTCAACGCTGCCTCAACAACCCCTGCTGCACGCACCTCTTTGCTTAGACCCCGTGCAATGCCCCTCAAGGCATACAAGCCATTCCGCACCATGGCAACCGCTGCTAACCACTCTCACGAATTTGCTGGCGATGCTTCTGTTACAACTATCACTGAAGATGCCAGAGATTTTGGTGGTAAGCATCACAATGACAGATACACAGAAACATGTCGCAATTAAATACGCCTACATAATAGCTGTTGACGATGAGGATGAAAGTAGAATGCGTAACTTTACTGTCAATTTCGGTCCTCAACATCCTGCTGCTCACGGTGTGCTTCGTCTCATTCTCGAATTGAACGGTGAAGAGATTGTCCGTGCTGATCCTCACATTGGTTTGTTGCATCGTGGTACTGAAAAGTTGATTGAATACAAGACTTACTTGCAAGCCTTGCCTTACTTTGATCGTCTTGATTACGTCTCCATCATGACCAACGAACAAGCTTACTCATTAGCTGTTGAGAAGCTCTTGAACATTGAAGTGCCTGAGCGTGCCAAGTATATTCGTACCATGTTTGGTGAAGTTACTCGTATTTTGAATCACATTATGGCTGTCATGTCCCACGCTATGGATGTTGGTGCCTTGACCCCTTTGCTTTGGATGTTTGAAGAGCGTGAAAAGTTGATGGAATTCTATGAACGTTGTTGTGGTGCTCGTCTTCACGCCAACTACGTTCGTCCCGGTGGTGTATCTCTCGATATCCCCATTGGTCTCTTGGCTGATATTCACGACTGGTCCGAACAATTCGCTGATCGTGTTGATGAAATTGAAGAACTCTTGACTGGTAACCGTATCTGGCAGATCCGTACTCGTGATGTTGGTATTGTCACTGCTCAAGAGGCCCAAGATTGGGGTTTCTCTGGTGTTCTTGTGCGTGGTTCCGGTATCAAGTGGGATCTCCGTAAGGTCGCTCCCTATGATGCCTATGATAAAGTAGAATTCGACGTTCCTGTCGGTCAAAATGGCGATTGTTTCGATCGTTATCTCTGCCGTATGGAAGAGATGCGTCAATCTCTTCGTATCATCCATCAATGTATCAACCAAATGCCCGAAGGTCCCATCAAGACAGACGATTGGAAGGTGACCCCCCCTCCTCGTGCTGCCATGAAAGAAGACATGGAAGCCTTGATCCATCATTTCAAGTTCTACTCTGAAGGTTTCTCTGTGCCTGCTGGTGAAACCTATACTGTTGTTGAAGCACCCAAGGGTGAATTTGGTGTCTTTTTGATGTCTGATGGCTCCAACAGACCCTATAGATGTAAGATCAGAGCTCCTGGTTTCTCTCATCTCCAAGGTGCCGATTTCATGTCTCGTAACCATTTGCTTCCCGATATGGTCACCATCATTGGTACAATGGGTATGTGTTTATTACTTGTTTGATGTAGGGTTGATGTACTAATGAATATATTCATAGATATTGTGTTTGGTGAAGTTGACAGATAGAGAAAGTTCATATAAACAAAATTGCAGTCTTTTTTAGGGTATTTGGAAAGAAAAACTATTACAATAATAAAAAAAATCACAAATATGAGATGATCAACCAACGACGAAAGAGAGTGGACAAGAAGAATGATTTGCTTGATGGCAGATGGATGTAAATTGACATTGTGTATGAATTGCCAGCAGCTTTATATCTACGATCCATTCATTGCGGCTGTGGAATGTGTTACTCTTTCAATGAGGCAGATAAACCAGTGCGTACTTGTTGACAGTTCTTGTTGACTCTCAAAGGATGTGCATGGAAGAGGTGGATCGGCTACTAGACCCTTTGCTTCCCATTGAATGCATTCGCTGTATATAACCATGTATTCAACTTGACTCATACAATCTGGTGAGCCGTCTCCAAATGTTTCTTAAGGTATCATTTTGGAGCAAAAATAATGCTTCTCTCACTGTGCGCAGTACATGTTGGGATCATTCACGCCAATCGTGGCCACAGCAGTTTTTATTGTTTTCTCTTTTCTAGGCAGCTTCATCTGAAGATATTTTGCTAAATGGTGCAGGAATTGATTCTGTTCTTTGACGTTTGATCACACTTGGCACAAGAATGAGTATGTCTATGGCAGCATTGAGGTTTGTATTCACTCTGAAAGGACGAACAGTGTCATACGATGCAAAGTTTTTAGAGTATAATCGACAAACATAGCAATACCAATTGGGGTCAAGAGGGTTGGGAAATTGGTTGGGGGTTATATGCCAGTGGCTTTCTGATGGACGTCTGATGGGTATGCCACGATAATATCTCTTGAAGCGTATGTGTGTTGACAGGTACGGCAATAGCTGTTGGGATCATCGATATACGGTTTCAATTTTTCACTATTAGATGGTGTCTAAACCTCCATTTGTGTTCAAACGATGTGTCGCAAGCTCGACAGTGATTATCAGGATCATTGATATCTGGTTTTATGCTTCTTGTTGGCTGAAGTGCTGAGTCACATCATCAATCTTATGAATGACAAGTAGATGTCTGTTTAGTTTTCCTTTGCCGCTATACGTTTGGCTACTAATTTTACATTGATTGCTAGGAGTTGGTGCTTTTGCTCAGTTTTGTGTGTGGTGTCGCACAGTTTGCAATGGAAATTGGAGTCGTGCAAGTCAGGCAGCTCTTCTTTGCATTGCAGCTGCTTCCTGTGTTTCATTTTGTGGGCATATCTGAAATGCGCCAGGAAGAGCGGTTTTGTACTATAATACTGTCGTTCGCAAGATGAACAATAGCACTACGTACAGATCTTACGAATGGAACCAGAATTTCTTTTCATAGTATGTGCTTTGAGAATCTGTATAGAGCACCACTTTTTGTACAATTCAAATATGTGGTAGTCGAAATGGATTACAGGGTGTAGATTTGCTAGACGAGACATTAACCAGTAGACTGGATGATTATAGCCGCAAAGCACTGCTCAAACGGTAACATCTAATGCGACATACCTCAATGGTTTGCTCTAAAACAGTTGTATGAATCAGACCTTCTACTTCACAAGACGAGTATCATCTAGATCAACAAATACAGCATGTTAAACCTATACACTACATTGATCCCAACTCTCTTGGGCCAATAATAGATCCAATTACAGCAAAATTTGGTGCAATACAGCTCGGGATATCTCTCTATAGTATTGGCCGTTTTAGATTGCAAGAGTGGCGCCAATCGATTGCTCTCGACTAGGACTGACTTGCTGTAGCACTATCTCAATTTTTTTTGAGGTCGAACTTCATTGACCAAAATCCTCACATTTTCCATGAGTTACCCCTCATGGTTTTTATCGAAAATCAAACGATCGTGTTTTTGACCGCAAAAATAAAGACTTTTACTATGGCATATATTACATCAAAATGCTGCTATTGATCCAACGCAACTCCTAAACCCACTATTGTAGGGTCCTCCTATGTAAAATCTGGCTATTTTCGCTACAAACATCATTTCATATTTTATTGAATTGCTCAATAATTTCAGTCAAAATACTTATTGCAATTAGCACCATTGGAAACGCCTTGAAAAGTACTTTAAGAATGTATTAGGAAGCGTAGGGTAATTATTACCACTTATATAGTCGAATATCGCAAAACAGATTAAAGAAGTCGAAAAAAGACAAGATCTGTCCAATCTTGAACAGAAAAAAATAAGCTGGGTTTGAATCAATTTTGGCGGTGGCATTGCTACTGGCTGACCTAAATGCTTTTCTGTTGATGGCAATGATAATTGCAATGCTGATTAAATGGGGATCATGGAATTGAAAGGATACTTGCTTAGCCCAAATACTTTTTTTTGGAGAGATTTGCCTCATGAAGGTGTCTTTTGCAATGACAATATCTCAAAAAAGCCGCTGTAGATCTTACACAAGCCCTGTATTTATTTATGGCCAGCTTTATGTCGCCATCTCAAGAGCAGCATCAGGGAATGGATAACTCCCTCTGCTGGCTCTAATATATCTTTTCTACTAATAATAAATTGTTTAAAATCTACTTGATATACCAACATTCTATTATATCTGATGTATAATGTCTTTGGCGAGAGCCCACAGGGCGACGCCGACATCGACTGTATCGAGATAGATCAGCTAGTGTATGATATACTGTATAGTATCGCCTTAAATGAACAAAATGCACAGTGTAAAAAATAAATAAACTTGCATGAATTAGTTTAATTCGAAACACTAATGATGCTCTATTGCAATTGTAAAATCAATAGCTAAACCAGAGAATTGTGTCGAGCAATGATTATTGCCCGTTGTCACTGATAGCATTTCTGATGCTATGAAAAGCTTTGGTTTCCACAAAAGATCAGTGGATCCTAGTTTCAATAACAAGCGGATGCTGCTGTAATATCCAGTGCAAGCAAAACCAGCACACTTTATTAGAGGGATGAGTTGATGTAAAAAAAAAAAAAAAAAAAAAAAAAAAAAAAAAAAAAAAAAAAAAAAAACGATGAAAGGTATAATAAATAATTTGGCTCTATGTACAATTTAAGCAGATGCTGTCGAGGATGTGATGGATGCTGATGCAAGCCTCTCTCTGTTTCGTTTTTTAAACACACTGGGCACCCATCTTGGATTCTGTTTGGCATCCACATCTCTTCTTATTCGCATGATGAATATCACAGCACCAGTCATCAGCAGCAAAAAACCCAAAATACCAAATGTGATGCCAACGGCCAGTTGTGTTGTTGTAGGCGATTTGTTCGTGTTGGATACAACGGTGGCATTGCTATTGTTGTTATAGTCGCCGTCATCACCATCTGTGTTGGGTATCACTACAGGAAATGTGAATCGACATGTGGGTGCTGTAGTAGTAGTGGCAGTGGGAACACCTATGCTGCTAGTAGGTGGTATGCTACTGACCCAAGTCCATGTCTTCATATCCAGAATCGCAGTATCATCTGTATAAATGGGCCCGGCCGTACTGTCATAACTTTGAATGCCCATCATCACAATCATGTACTGGTCTCCATAGACAATTGCTTCATGGCCTGCACGAGCAGTAGGAGGTGTGCCGCTGATCACTGGCTGTGACCAGTTGAGAGTGCATGTGTCCAACACATAAATGTCGTTTGTAGCGTCAAATGTCTGTGTGTCTGTTGCATTCTGACCTCCAAACAGCACAATTGATTTTCCATCTAGGCCATTCACGGTGGAGAAGCTGTTTAAACCATTAGGCCTGTTATCCTCCTCCCCCCCCCCCCCCTCACAATTGAATTCTTGTCAGTTACCTGTATCGTGCTGGTGGAATATCACCCATCGTTGCCATGCTAATCGCTTGATGATTCGCAGTGTCATAGATCAATATACTCTGAAAACCACCAGATGCAAGTGTCCAGCTATTCGCATCTGCAGAATGAACAGCCGTTTTTCCACCAACAATGAATAGGCGCTCAGATCTATGGTACAAACATATGAATTACTACACTTTCATATAATAGCATTGGTGCTTACATCAAATTGCTGCTATGGCCGTATCTCGCTGGTCGATGACCTCCAGAATAGTAAGTGTCTGGCCAGTTCCATGTGGATGTTTGTATGTCGAAAAAATAAAAGGAATTAAACTAGAGTATGTTGGTATGTCATTGTTTTCTGTATTCCCATAGTCTATACGTTACATAATCACTTGATTGCTCTGTTGATTCTGTCCTTCCCCCATAGAACCAAGCAGTGTTTGTTGTTTCATTCAGTGATACAGACATACGAGCCCTGGGTGATGGTTCGCTGCCTTGTGTGATGGCTATAAAATCATGATTTAGCAAGTCAAATGATGGTCATCTGCTGCTAGCGCTACTGCTGTACTTACGACTGGACCATGCGTAAGTAGCAAGATCAAAATAAGCCAACCTTGACATGACAGTGGACGCATTATCGCCTGCTTGCACAGCGAAAGAGTCGTCTGACACTTTAAATCCAATGCCGTGTTTGTACGGTTGATAGGCTGTAGTGATATTGGCTGTTTCATGGTCAATGCCACCGTCCAGTAGATTCGTCCAACAATTGTGATGTATATCCAAGCCATTTGATACATCTCGCTGCCACACTTCCATACGATGCTATAGTCCCCATCCATGAGTTACACACTAGCTCTCCTAGAGAGTATGTCCACTTACTGCATTCCCGCCAGTCGCAATGATGGTGTTGTTTACGAGTAAAACTGTGAAATCAGAGTAATTACTTGGATGGTCGCAGCTAGCTGTTGGGTTGTCAATCAACGCTTGTATTGCATCCAAATGAAGGAAAGCTGCAATAGCTATTATCGGCTGGAAATAGCGGCTTCGTATAATCATGGTTGAGGAGATGGTATAATGAAAGAATAGAGAAATGCGGAAAAAGGAGAACGGCTTTTCGGTTCAATGGAACACTAGAAAAAAGGCAAGAGAGACTCGTTGAAGCAATGTCATTGGCTTGAAGGGACAAGAAGGGGCGAACAAGGGGCGAGACTTTTACACGATGCTTTCTGCATTACTTGCAATTCATTTGAGTCTAATCTACAGTATCGCTCTTTTTTTTTTTTTTCAATCGTGGCAATGATTTGAATATCGATTTTGCATGCATCTCAAGCGCTATAGAGTGCTTGAAAGGCCATTATTTACTCAATGCCAAGAGAACAAAAAGTGAGTCTAGATTAAATGTAACACCTGCAGCAAGATTTGCGCAGGTTATACTCAGAGCATGATGGCATGGATTGCAAGTCGAGAAATCGGCACAGATGACTGATCTTACACTCAGTATTTCGATGATGAGATCAATCACACAAATGGTAGATAGATGCAGCGCTATTCCGTAATCGACGTGTTTAGTGAGCTGCTTCGCTCTTCTAGTAAACACACTCCGAAATGCGACCTTCATTCAGTTTTTGACACAAATGAAATCTTTTTCACTACTACGCGCCTCTCTCTTCTCCATCCAAACACTCTATCGGCCAAGTCTACTCACACTTCACATGGTTGCAACCCGTAAGAAGATCACCACAACCACCATTGAACAAGAAAAAGTGGTTGAAAAGCGTGCCCTTTCATCAGAAGAGACTGATGAACAACAAACCACAGTTGTAAAGAAGGCCAAAGTGACCAAGAAAAAGACAAACGTGTGGACACCGTTTGATCCATCGTTGCCCAACAACATGACATTTCCCACCGAATTCAACATTCCAGAAAAGCCTGACCATAGCATCAAAATTGCATCGTACAATGTGGCTGGATTAGCCGCTTGTATCAAGAAGGGATTCAATACCTATGTCAATGCAGAGGATGCTGACATTCTGTGCATCCAGGAACACAAGCAAAATGCGCCCTTGTCCACTGCTGTGGATGACAAGGTCTACAAGTATCGTTACTGGGCAATTGACGAAAAGAAGGGCTATGGTGAGTAGTGTATACAGAGAGCGGATGACTGTATCAGAATGATTGACATATATATATCTATCTATCTATCTATCTACGTTAATAGCTGGTGTTGCCCTGTTCTCCAAGTACAAGCCTTCCAATGTGATTTATGGCATTCCTGGATTTGAAACAACCACACGAGGAAGAGTGCTTTCTTTGACATATCCAAGTTTCACGTTGATTGGATGCTATGTGCCTAATGCTGGAGATAAGCTGGTTCGTTTACCCGAACGACAGGTGTTTAATGATCGCATGGAAAAGTACATTCGCTCGCTGCAAAAGGAAGGCAAATCTGTGATTTGGACTGGGTAAAGTGCACATGTGTGATTGTCTTGTGCCATGTCGAGATATTCATCTCTTTTTTCTTGTATAGTGATTTGAACGTTGCTCATACACCAGATGATCTCGCTCGCCCAGAGACAAATCAGCGTTCAGCTGGCTTCACTATTGAAGAGAGAACCGATTTTGACAAGGTGTTGAATCCATCCAAAGAGGACAACTTGCCAGGATTGATTGACACTTGGCGCCACTTTCATCCAGAACAAAAGGGACACTACACATACTATGGATACCGCTTCAAATGTCGTGAAAAACTGATGGGATGGAGATTAGATTACTTTTTAACAACACCTGATTTATTGGACAAGGTTGTATCGAGTGACATTCGACACGAGGCATGGGGAGCAAGTGATCATGTACCTTTGGTTTTGACGCTCAAAGATGTCGAGTTGTAAGGGGAGATTTTGCGTTGTTTATTTGCTAGGTTTGATAATAATAAATACTAATTGGGAGTAAAAAAGTGAATGTTGTGTGTTTTACAGTGGAATAATCATGAGAATTCTAAAAGATGTGATAATATACAAAAATAAGGGCATTTGGCATGGAACTTTTTTTTTTTTTTTTTTTTTTTTTTTTTTTTTTTTCTAGGCAGCATTGGGCTTTTGCTCTACTTGATCAGGTTTCATTTGGTGGAGAGGAGCAGCATTGGTGAGGGTGGGAGAAGTGACATTGGATCCAGGCACATGGCCGTAATACGCTTGTTGCTGGTAACCACCATGATTGCTGCCAGTGACACTGCCATCTGCGGAATAGTCATGAGCAGCAGCATATTCATGGTTATTGTAGTACTCCTGTTGCTGATAATCTTGATTGTAATCAGGGTGAGATCCATCATGATACACACCGCCAGCATTGTAATCTTGGTATTGCTGAGGTTGATAGCCTGCGCCGCCGACATTGGCATTTTGATGATACCCGTACTCTTCATCCTGTAAGTTCATGTAGCCAGTGGGATTGGATGTGGGAGGCACAAAGCGGCGAGCATGTTGGAAAGGCGATGGTGGGGGGAGATTGTCGGTCGAGTGCATGGCACCAGCACCAGCGCCAATACCGCCTGCAGCCACTGTATTCTCAGTCATCTTGTAGTCATTCTCGTTGGTAAAGTCCTCTTGGGCATCACGACGGCGTGTACGACTTGTACAACCACCACGACGATTCATCCAAGTAAGGAGACCTGCAATGAGAGCAATTCCCACTTTAAAAAACCTGTTAGGTGAATCGAACGGCCATCCAGACAATCAAAATGCTTACCAAGACCACCGACGACTGAACCTGCAATCACTGCTGTTTTGTTTGAGCTTGATTCAGCATCATCCTTCTTATTTGCAGCACCGCTTTCTGTAGGCTGAGCATTACTACTATCAGTGGGAGTAACGACACTAGGAACAAGGCTTCCATTACTGGAGATCATAGTGGTAGAGGGTTGGAGGGTTCTTCCAGTTTGAGATGAGGTACTGCGTGGTTCGGATGTCTTTGAAGAGACAACCGCTGCATCGGATGTTGGTGCTGCTGTTGTGGTAGCACTGGTTGGTGCTACGGTGGCATCAGTTTTAGTGTCTGGAGCTTGCGTGGATGTTGGCTGAGGTGCCTCGGTTGTTGTGGTTACAGCAGGAGGAGGAGTTGTTGTAGTAGCAGCAGGCACAGATGAAGCAGCAGGCACATTGGATGACGATTGTTGCTGCTCTGGTTGCTGACTCTGTTGTTGCTGGCCACTTACCACATTACCAGACGCTTGATCTTGCTGCTGTTGTTGTTGCTGTTGCTGTTGCTGGGAATAGACTAGATGTGTACACTGGAATACGACGAGTGCGAATAGGATGGCTTTTGTTAGCGATGGTCTCATTGAGATTTGGGATCTGAATTATAAGAAAAAAAAAAGAAAAAAGAAAAGAAGAGAGAGAAGAAAGTGGGTGGGAGAAGGATATTTATAACCATCAGTTATTGAAATACCGTAAGAGAACGTGTAGTTGAACGGTAGATGTCTCTCATTTTCTTGTTCTCTCTCCTTTCAATTATAATCATCAACATTTTGGCTGTCGGATGGCAGACCCCGCTTTGTAATTAGGCATGTGTGTAACAAGCCTACATTTCAGTCTTGATAGATACCAACCAAGCTCGACTTGATCATTGCATCCCATGTAGTGTCGTGGGGAAGAGATCGAGGTTTGATTTCATTCTGTCCATCTTTGTTTGAATGGCATTGATTTGCAAAGTTTCTGGAAACAAAGAATTCATGGGACAGCAGGGCCAGATCTTTTTTTTTTTTTTTTTTTTTTTTTTGGGATAGAAATCTATTTTTGGCATCTTTAGACAATAAGTTTTGTGCAACTACCATATTTTTGTATATCTGAAGCTTTTTTTTTTTTTTTTTTTTTTTTTTTTTCTTTCGGGGATCGCTCGCTTGGCATCAGATTTTAGTGTATGGCTGATGTAATGTGATTTAAGCTAGTGGTACCCTCTTGCCTGGATCTGGCTGGTATAAATGCCAATCCCGCTAACCACTAGCCACTCGGTTGTATTTCTGGATTTCACCTAATGGTTGTGAAGTCGACCACGTTGCAGACGCAGCAGTCTATATGAAGGATCTAGGAGTAGTTCTTACAAGTTGAACGTACAGTACGATATTAAAAGCCATAATGCAAAACATAACCACATTTGACAGCTTTTAAGCCTTCATATCTTGACATGTAGACCTTTCTGAGCCACCGGGATAACGCCAAACAATTGTACTTGAGTAGTAGTAACTTCCTGACATCTTTGCTCAACTTTTTGAAGACCTAAAAAACATGGCCAAAAATCGACCAAAAAGCAAGAGGGGTACCTTATGGTTTTTTACGAAAATCAAACGATCGCATTTTTCACCGTGAAAATGAAGACTTTTATTATGGTGTACGAGCCTTTCAGCACTTCGGGTGGTTTCCTGACCTACGCTTCGCTTCGGTGGAAACCAACCTACGTTCAAACGGCTCGCGCTGCCGCGGGCCTTTGGCTAATATCCCAAAATTAATATAGCTAAAATGTTAGAAGAGGAACCCTGATTGTTGATTGATATGTAATCACTAATCGTATGAGTGTTTATGCTTCGGATGGTTCTCACCGAAGCGTAGCAAAGGTAGAGAACCAACCTGCGCAGCGGCAGCTCGTGCTACTGATTGCTCTTGCGTATTTTATCAAAATACTGCTACTTTCATTTTGACCCTCCACTTACACATAGTAACCCTTCATATTATCTGTGGATCTGATTCTTATGTGATGTTCTACATCCATATACACGTAGCTACTTCATATACGGGCAAGCAGCATACTGGTATTCCCACTTTTTAGTCCTTAGTGTCCCTAATACAGCAAAATATGAGTGCATTTGAGCTGCATTTTCTTGCGTTCAAGGCCGTTTTAGATCGTCAGAATAGCCCCAAATGGTTGCTTTCATATGGCAGTTACTTTCTGACACTTTTGCTCGACTTTTTGGGGACCAAAAAAACATGGTCAAAAATCGACCAAAAAGCATGAGGTATCCCTCATGGTTTTCATCGAAAATCAAACGACCGCATTTTTCATCTTGATAATGGAGACTTTTACTATGGTATATCTTGAATCAAAATGTTTCTATCAATCCAAAGCAACCTCTGAAATTATCTTTGTGGGACTTTGATATGTAAAATTTCGACATTTTGGCCATAAATCTCTTTTCATATTTTTACAAATCATTCAATAAGTGAATTCAAAACATCTATTTTACTTAGTACCATTGGAAGCGCCTTGAAAAGTACTCCAGGAAAGCTTAAGGAAGCATGGGGTGATTATCATACTTCACTTAGTCGAATCTGCAAAAATAGCTCGATCGAGTCCAAAATTATCAAAATATGTCCAATCTGGAACAGACTATGATTCTGGGTTTGAATTAATTTTGGCTGGTAGGGCCAGCTGGAAAACTCATGCCCTTTTCATAAGGCAATACAGTAGTAAATGCCCTTGAAGCGTATAGAAAGTAGGTGGCAGGTCATAGCACTATCGTTTATGATGATATTTTATTGCCTTCTATATCGTTCATAATGATATTTTATTGCATTCTATATTTAATAACGTTAGTCTGGACATTGACAATGCATGGGTTGCATAAAATGTCTGCAGTAAGTAATGAAATCTCTGAGGCTCTGAGACGTCGCTCAAATAAAACATTGACAGCACTGAGCAGAGGAAAGAGGGTAGAAATTACAGTGGTTTTTGTTGATTGATTGTAAAATCATTATTCTCATATGAGCCAGGTCTGATAGATGCCTTGAAACTCAGGTTCCATATTAGGATTGTAAAGTGCAAAAGTACTGAACATTTATTATGTTATGATATCAAATCAAAATGTTTCCCTCGTTCCAAAGCAACCTCTGAGACTACTTTTATGAGGCCTTCGTATGCAAAATATGGCTATTTTTGCTAAAACCTTCATTTCATATTTTACCAAATTGTTCAACAATTTCATTCATAAAACCTATTACAATTAGCACCATTGGAAGCGCCTTGAAAAGTACTCCAAGAGTGTATTAGGAAGCGTAGGGTGATCATTACAGTTTATATAGTCGAATATGGAGAAATAGATTAAAGAAGTCGGCAAAAGACAATATCTGCCCAATCTTGAACAGAAAAAAAAATGTGCTGAGTTTGAATCGATTTTGGCAGCGGCATTGCTGCTGGCTGGCCTAAATGCTTTGCTAATGATGACAATGATGATTACGATGCTGAATAAATGGGGATAATGGAACTGAAAGGGCAATTACTTAGCGCAAATACCTTCTTTGGGGAGCTTTTCCTCATGGCGGTGTCTTTTGCAATAACACTATCTCAAAAAAAAGTCGCTGTAAATCTTACACAAGCCCTGTATTTACTTATGGCCAGCTCTATGTCGCCATCTTATTAATGAAGAGCATCAGCAACAGCGAATGATATGACAACTCTATTATCAGAAAATGGCGGTTGTGATATACAAATGTTGCATACAATTTGAAATTTCTTTCCTATTGTCCCAATAATAAGCTTTGTTTGATATCAGTTTAAACAAAAGGGATGCTGAGGGAAGTACCTCCTCTCCTCCTCCTGGCTCTAATATAGCCTTTCTTTTACTAACTAATAATTGGTTGTATAAAACCTAATTGATATACCAAAATGTTATAATATCTGATTTAAAATGTCTTCGGTGAGAGCCCACAGGGCGATGCCGACATCAAGCGTAGCGAGGTAGATCGGCTAGTACCTGTCATACTGCAAACTACTTTTTGACAGATGAACTGGTTTTACGATTTCGAATAAAAAAAGGTAATATCATTGAATCCCTTGTGGAACATAATTTAGTAGTTTTATATCTACTCGTATATTCTTAATTGTGGCCGAATAATCCACTGTTTCTATGGATATCAGAATGATGGCATTTGACCGAGGAAGCTGCCAGCCAAAATTATTTCAAGCACAGCTCGTCATATCTCTGAAGATTGGCCAGATGTTGAAACTTTTCGACTTGATCGAGCTATTTTGTCAGATTCGACTATACAAGTCTTCATAATTACCCCGTACTTCCTAATGCAACTTAAAAGTACTTTTCAAGGCGCATCCAATGATGCTAACTATTATAGATGTTCTGACTGAACTTATCGAGTAATTCTACAAAATATGAAATGGAGTTTTTGGCCAAAATATGAAGATTTTACATAGGAGGATCCCACAAAAGTGGGTTTAGGAGTTGCGTTGGATCAATAGCAGCATTTTGATGTAATATATGCCATAGTAAAAGACTTCATTTTTGCGGTCAAAAACACGATCGTTTGATTTTCGATAAAAACCATGAGGGGTAACTCATGGAAAATGTGAGGATTTTGGTCAATGAAGTTCGACCTCCAAAAAATTGGAATAGTGCTACAGCAAGTCAGTACAAGTCAAGAGTAATCGATTGGTATTATTCCAGCGATCTGTAACAGCTTCTAAAACGAGAAATTGGCGCTTTGAAAGTAGCTATATTTGGCTGTATATAAGTTGATAAGGAACAGAGCTTTCTGATATATAGTTTTGATGCCGATATGCTACATTCGTTTGTCTAGATGGAAGGCATTGTGTAGAGTACGGACTTGACTCTACCATGATTCTGTGATGTGTTTAGAATGAATAAATCACCCGAAATGCCAATGTGGGGCTCTTTTTCTGATGCAAGTCCGTTATGCTCCATGCCTTCAAACAAAAATGCATCAGATACTCTATATCGCACTAGTTGATGGCCTATCTGAAAGAAATTCAAGGATATTGGGTGCTCTACAAGCGCTGGACGATGTTGAGATGGGTTGATAAGGAAGGAAAAAGACCGATTCAACGCATTGCTGTAGAGATATCTTTTGCAACCGAGAGTAATCTCGCTTCCACATGATACATTACAGTTCTGATTGTATTCCAAACATAGAGCGTACGACGTTATTGTATGTCTTTTGTCGATAGCTCAAAGAAGGTGGCGAGTACAGCATCTTTAGGTATAATAAATTGGCTTTCTATTGCATTTATGTCTCTATCACTATAAAGGAGCACCTTTATTATTGTGAGATATCAAAAAAATAATGATGGAAAATAGTAAACATTGCAGTATATAGCAGCAATGATGATGCCACATGATTTCTAACAGGATTAAATCATCTATTATATACCACAACAGCACACATTGGGTAGTTGAAAAACGCTCTTCTTATTCTAATTGGCCTTTAAATGGTGCTACCTATACCAAGGTATACCCCTTGGGATCAACTATTTGCTTGACAACATTCATCCCTATAAAATGAAGCTGTGCTAGCAATGGAGTCATTTTCCTCACTGTCTATCTTATATACGTTGTCAATGATGAGCGATGCGTCTTCTTACGACAAGGACACTGGCTATTACAGAGGAACACCACCACCCGATATAAGCGCTGAGATGCCAGCCTCGCATCAAGGAGCGCAACAGCAACCAGGTCTCATTCATGTGCCGTGGGACGACGACAACTTTTCCTTGTGTCTTGATACGTTTCCTTCGTCTCGTCTTGCTCGAACAAAGTACAATCAGTATCCAACGACAGCCTCACCCTTGCGAAAACAGTGGGGCGCTTCTTCCAATTGCTCATCCGAGCATGTATGTATGGATGGTGACGAAGATGAAAATGCGATGCGAGCTTGTTTGAATGATACGCCCCTGCCAGGCCTGTTGGACAATGTCACCCCAAAAAAGCTTAGTAGAGCCACTTCCAACACGACGTCCACTCCTACTGCTACTCTCAGTAGAGCAGCCTCCAAACGAGACATGGTTGCTGGTGGTATTTTTCCTTACAAGAACAATGGCAATTTCTTGACTCGCATTGATTCTGCAAAGGAGCCTACCAAGATTGTTACACAGCAGTACCCTCTCCAACGCAACTCAAACAGGGTCGAGCACATCTCGCCGTTATCCAACTCATCCATTATCCTGCAGAATGAGAACGACATATTCAACCAACGTGCTCCCTCACCAAAACCATCATTATCGCATAGATCCTCCAATTCATCCGTGCACAGTAGGTTTTTCAGTCATAGCGTACTCTCTCACCCTATACATCGTCGCCATCAAGAGTATTTTAGCTCTAACAATAGCCAGTTCTCTGACAATTACAGTCAGTACTCTGACAGCGGCGAAAGTTGGAAGCTTGCTCAGAAACAGCACGGTTCTCCCATTATTGTGATGCCATCGATACCTGCTCAATCGTATCCTATTGCATCACAGCATCAACAGTACCATCATCGTCTAGTTCATCTGACCAAGAGTTCCTCCTATTCGCAGTACAGAGAGCGTCAGCAAGAAGATGCTGCGTCTGTAGGATCTGCCAGTGTAAGGTATGTTGGCGCCAGTCAACGCGATTCAGACATCAATTACACGACTCCATTACAATACGGCAGTGGCGTTGGTTCCTCTATTGGTTTCTATACACCTCAAGCATCGCCAGCACCTTCTGTTATTTCTCGTGGTAGCGCCCATGAATCTGTCTCGACCTATCGATCCATTGCCGTGCCTCGGAATGCGGATGCTCTTGTGCTCTATACTGCTTATGAAGATATCACCCAGGTGAAGAACAGAGATTCCACTTACTCTCAGGTATTTGATCCTGCTTACAATGGCAGGAGAAAGAAGAGCACCCGCAAAAATATGACCAGTGGTATCTTTGCCAAGCTGATCAAGAATTTAAAACAACACTTTATGAAGCCTACTACTAAACAGTAATGATATTTGTATTTCAATAAATAAACCCCTTTTAACCCTTCTTCTTTATACATCTAATACCACAGCAGGACAATGCATATTACCTAATGGACCCTAATAATAGCATTGTTTCAAGGAAGATTCTCCCGTCATTTTACCCATTATCTACTGTGTGTGCGTGTATTTTCAGTTCCGAGTAGTAGGTATCATGTATATAAAAAAAAACAAGAAAAAAAAATATTTTTCATGTTTCTTTTTCATTCCTTTTCCTTTCCAGTTTGTAGCAATGTCTCCCAACCAGGTAAATATTCAAGTCTTTACCGACTTTGATGGTACACTGTCTCTTGAAGGTGAGTTCAGTCTGGACGAGAGGGGCTAGGTACAGACGCTGAATTCAATGGCAGATACCGGTGTATTGATCATTGATGATCCTCGCTGTATGGGAAGTGAAGAAAGAAAGGAGTTGGAGCGTCAAATCATGGACCATGAAACACCTTACAGGTATGTGGATGTGGAATTGCATGGATTGTAACCGTGTTGACAAGGCTACTTTGTCTAGAGATGCTGTCTACAAAATGTGGGCCTCTTGTACATTGACCTGGGAAGAAGCTTGGAACGATCATTTGAGCAGTAAGTGGATGGCATGATAGAAGAGACCCGTAGGCGCAGAAATTCTCATTGTAGAGGGTAGAGTGCAGCGTTGATCCTGGCTTTCCTGGATTTTACGACTATTGCAAAAAACACACTATCCCGGTTACTGTGGTCAGCAGGTATACATACGGCTGAATACCATCACCATGGGTATTCGTAGGCTAATCTTTTCGTTAGTGGCATGAAGCCATTGATCTACAAGGTGCTTGTCAAGTACATGGGCGAATTGGCTGATGAACTCAACATTGTGGCTAATAACGGCAGAATTGAAGACAGAGAATGGGAGATCCTCTACATTGACGATACGTAAGCTACATGCCTTTGTATGACCAGTAGACCACTGTACTCAGATTTTACACAATAGTCCTTATGGCAATGACAAGTCTAAAAGTAAGTTGGTGCTGCATTAGAAGGCAGATGGTATCAACTCATCATGCAAACAATGACAGCTCTAGAAAAGGCTCGAGCCAATGCCTCCAAGGATACCATTTTTGTTTTCTGCGGTGATGGCGTGTCTGACATTTCTGCTGCCAGACATGCGGATGTCCTGTTTGCTAGAAACGGCAGAGATCTTGTCACCTACTGCGACCGCCATCACATCCCCTACATTGGATTTGACACTTTTGAACAAGTCGAGAAGGTAGTCGCTGATTTAGCTCAAGGCAGATCAAAGATTCAAAAGGACGAGACGACTGGATTCTCTCAAGTGGTACCTTCATCATAGACTTTTTAGAATAAAACCGCAAGGTCTGTCAAAACGGATAATCATTATGTGTTTGAGATGTGTTTCCCGCCAACATAGTCACAGTGTGAAAATGAATCATCCTTAAAAAGCTTTTTCATCTCTATTTTTTTTTTCTTGTGTGTGTGTGTCAAACCAAAACACTATAAACAAAAATGAGAAATCTCGTTGTGCTCGGTGGCTCTTCTCATCCTGAATTCACTGAAAAAATCTGCAATCGCCTGGGCATTTCAGAGGGCAAAACTCGCCTCACCAAATTCTCCAATAATGAAACCAGCGTTGAAATGAAGGAATCTGTGCGTGAACAAGATGTCTACATTATCCAGAGTGCTTGTGGTAATGTCAATGACAACTTTATCGAACTGCTGATCATGATCAATGGCTGTAAAATTGCTTCTGCCAAGCGTATCACTGCTGTCATTCCCTATTTCCCTTATTCTCGCCAGCCAGACGTCCCTTTCAAGCAGTCGGGTGCTCCATTGACATTTTTACCTCCTCAGACACCACCCTATCAGCCCAACCAGCCCAACAAAGTAGACGATGTGTCCAGTCAATTATTGCGCAAACTGGGTCAAGCGTCTGTTGAAGAGCAAAAGAAAGAGAGTGCTCCTTACAGAGAGTGGCGTGCCCGTCCAGGTGTGTTGATTGCTGATCTGTTGACTTGTGCTGGTAATTAGAGTGAATGGACGTATGTATGTCAAGATGGCTGACATGAGCATTAGGTGCTGACCACATTATTACCATGGATCTTCATGATGCTCAATATCCTGGATTCTTTGATTGTCCTGTTGACAATCTTACTAGTTTGTACACTGCCATCAATTACATCCGTCTCAACATTCCAGATTATTCTGAGGCTGTCATTGTATCGCCCGATGCTGGTGGAGCCAAGAGGTAATGCAACTGAGAGAGAGAGAGAGAGAGAGAGAGAGAGAGAGAAAGAAAGAGATCCAATAGATGAAATGAGCTGACAGTGAATCATGTATAGAGCTACTTCCATCGCTGAGAAATTGTGTATGGATTTTGCGCTTGTTCACAAGGAGCGTCATAAGGTGCATTCACAAAAGAAAGAGTCCATGCTTGTGGGCGATGTGCGTGGACGCAATTGTATCTTGATTGACGACATTACAGACACCTCTTACACAATCACAAAGGCAGCTCGTTTATTGAGAGAAAAGGGTGCTTGCAAGATTTATGCTCTCGTGAGCCATGCCATCCTCTCGGCCGATGCTGTCAATCACATTGACCAAAGTGCTATTGATGAGCTGATTGTCAGCAACTCTGTGCCTCAAACCCAACACATGACTCACCCAAAGATCAAGGTCTTTGATGTTACCTCGCTGTTTTCAGAAGCCATTAGACGCACCCATTTCGGCGAATCACTCTCAAAATTGTTTGAAGAAGCTTAAATAAGCATCCTCATATACTCATAGATTTTTCTCGTCATCTTCCCTTGTCATATATATGTAAAATACTCGCTAGAATAATAAATGCCATGTCGCCTGGGCCGTTGTTATTGCTTTAGATGCATCATGGTTTGTTGTTGCAAGCAATCTTGTTTTTTTTTTTTTTATTATGTGTTGTAAAAGAAGACTACCTACTGCTACGTTACAAAAGAGAGCTAAATACTCTGTTATGACGACATATGCTAGGTCCGTATTCGTCGTATTCTGCCTTTGTATGACAAGAGTTATAAAACTCGCCCTACATTGAAATTGAAATCAGTATGTTGCTTGTATCCATGCACACAGGAACTTACAGTAGAGGCCAGCAAACTACCACCAAACCAAACAGCATGGCGCTGCTTCTTGTGAGAGATGACATTGACCTCCATAGGCTTGGCCTTCATATCCGAACCACTGGTCACCTCACTTGCTTGAATACGCTTATCGACAGTACGCTTAATATCACGTTGAAGCCTCTTATCGAATCCCTTGAACATGGTGGAACCTCCAGATAATACAATGTTTTTATATAAACCTCTACGAACATCGATAGGACTGGTTTGAATAACAGTGTCGACAATCTCTGGTAAAGGTGTCAAAAAGTCTGAGCTGGCGATTTCTGGATTGAAGAAGATTTCTGGTGCAAGGAAACGTTCGAAACCGATATCGACAGAGTAGCTCTACTAACGCATGAGATGATCATGGCACGCTTTCATGTTGTATGTGTATGTGCTTACCTTGCCGGTCAAAGAGTGGATGCCATCATATTGCTTGAAGTATTTAGAGGGTTCTTGTTCGTATTTCTTGAACTCTTTGACAATATCAGGACAAACGTAACTGTAATCTTCCTTGATAGCTTGAGCAATGCGGAACGAGTCCTCAGGTGGGATGTTGGTTTCGCCACGCTCGCGAAGTAGATTTTGGACAAAAGAGGTGATATCGCTACCTGCAATGGGTACACTCTTGATTGAACTGGCAATGACATAACCTTCAGCCTGTGTATGATCTAATTAACACACACACACACACACACACACACACACTCTCTCTCTCTCTCTCTCTTTATGATGGACAACTTACAACAGGAATAACATGAGTGACGCCATCACCAGAATCAACCACTGTACCAGTAAGTGTTTGCTCGCTCACTTTGCTAGAGGTCCAAGATGCAGCCAAAGCCAACACAGCCTGAACAGCAATGTAAAGACCTTGCACGTTGAAGGATTCAAACATAATTTCTGCTGTCATTTCACGATTTTCGGGAGCGTTCATGGGAGGTTCAGTCTGCATATATGAACATTGCATTAGTAAATAGCCAAGTCAGTGTACAGTGATACTTGCCATGAGAAAGTAGTGATCTTCGGGCTCACAACGTAAATACTTGAAAATGGATTGTTCCCAGAATCTCTCCATATGATCCCAGTTGTTAATCTGACCATGACGAATGGGATAATTCAAAGCCATTGTCTTGGCTTGTGCAAGTGCTTCATCTCCAATATAAAAGTCGAGATCTTCAATACCACGCTTGGAAGCTAGGTTGTTGCTCAAGAAGGAAGGCTTGCTAGGGATGCCGGGTCTGCCTGTGCTTGAGGGTGATTCGCGGGTAGATATAGCAGTTGGAAACACAAACGAAGGTTCATTGTTGCCACTGAAACCGAGTTTGGTGTACCTAAGATAGGATAGATGAATAACGCGTCTTGCACTGTTTGCATGGAGAGAATGCGCTTGACTTACCCAGTACCGTTATCCATAACTACGACAGGTAAGTTGGTCATTTTTGTCCTTGGTTTTTCTTGATGAGTAAGGTTATTGTGGTTGTAGTAGAGAAAAATAAAAAGGAAACAAAGGTGGAAAATTAATCTAGAGAGAGCCAAGCTCTGTTCAAGTGGAGGAGGAGGAGGTATGTAATGTGTGTGTGTGTGTGCACCCAGTTTTCATACTCCAACTCGGCGATTCAACCCATGATGATGATGCTATATGCTTGGAGATGCCTCAATTTCGTGCGAACGAGTTGCTGTTACTCTGTGAGACGTATATAGACTACATTGCTTCATAGTATGATATGGATTCAATTATGTAATTGGCATCTATCAAGACGAGAGGAAACAGTTGATGCGTTTGAAATGTTGCATTACTAACATGTCGTCCATGATTGCCTGCAAAATCACATCAGATATCGATATTCAGGCTACGAAATAGGGCGCATTTGCTGTGGTAGATATACAGTACATATACCAAGCATGAGACCTCTCATCTTAGAGCTAAACTTATTACTCGGCAGTCGAGATGGTCAGAAATGCCGTGGATGGCTGTCTCGCACACATTGGAGAAGGGGAGTTTCAACCACATTGTCGGGCGCTGTGGTTCTCATCAATGCCCTCCCTACTTGATTTGAGCCTTTCTTCCCCCCCTCCAATGACTCGACCGAGTCATTACACATCCACTGTTGACATGAAACCAATGTCACAAATCATCCGGCAAATATATAACCTGTCAAAAGTGCTAATGCTACCTCTTTTCACCTTTTTATCACCACAACACATTCTACAATGGCAGGCCATGTTACATATGCTTGTCAATGTCTCAATGTCAAAATCCATCTGGCCAACAAGTACTATCTGGACGGCCATGAAAAGTTTAGAAGGGACAAATTTACTCGACTCGAAGAACCACCCATTGCAGGATGGAAATTTGAATTGAGCATGGATGGTGTTATAGTGGTAAGTATTTTATGTCCATTAGAGACTGACGTTACAGCCTAATGCATTACACGATGCATAGGAATACGCAAGCTTAATTCGCTTAAGAGTCATCATGGACAATCCCGAAGGCTGGGTCACTGTCAGTTGTCATAATTGCTCCACCGGTGATGTGTACTCTGTCAAGCGACCCAACACTAAAATTACCTATCCATTCAATCACTCTTTACTGAGCAAGTTTGGAGATCAGGTTATCATTCATAAAGGGACCATTGTAAGTCTGATCTGCGTCTAGATATAGATGTGTTGCTAATAACTATACCGCAGTTTGGCTCAGAGATTGGCAAGCTCCAGAAAAAGGCAACCTACTCCAGCACATTTCACATCATTCTTAATCCAGATTTACCCATCTCACATGTAGCACAGGAAGACGAAGGTACAAAAGACCGAGCGTGCTCATTCTGTTTAGCAACTAACGATGTCTGTAGATGACACTTATGGCCGTGAACTGAAAAAACAGCATAAACATGTGCAGAAACTGCTGAGGCAATCCCTGGTAGACTTGGAAGAGATTACCGAAAAAAGAATTCAAGAATTTCAGCGAGAGCAAGAAATGCTGCTGGTGAGAGAAAAGGAAAAGGCGACCTACGACAGCGCCATACTGTGGCAGCGAATGAAGGAGATTGCAAAGACAGTGCAAGAGGAAGAGCAACGTGTGCGCAGATTAGCACTCCAAAAGACAAAGAACGGCGTGACAGACCAGATCTTGTTTAACTGCATTATAAGCGAGGAAGAGCAAGACCAAACCATTCGAGATACAGCGCTGGATGCCGCAGAAACCGAGATGAAAAGACGCGGATCGCACGTTCATTTTGCGCCGAGCGATTCCTATGAACCAGCATCAGACACGGCAGTAGAGCAAAGAAGACGATCCTCTGCTTTTAAAAGAGATTTGTTTGGTGGTTTTGGGGCACCTATACATCACGGTAGAAGACGATCCAGCTATGTATTGGATGAGAGTGCTATTGCAAACAGTTTCAAAAACACACACCCATTAGAGCCTGTGCCAGAAATGCCACAGTTTCATCGCAGACGCTCGTCTTTGTTGCTTCTGCCACCTCAGCAGCATCCTTCTCACAACAACACACATCCCTTAGCTGAGGCTAATCACCATGTCCATCCTCTTGCGCCAGCACCTGCTGTAGTTCCCATTTGCTCGAATACATCACCTTCGTGGGAGGATGACGAGGAGAATGCCAGTAAAGCACACAATGATAGTAGCGAAGAAGAGTTGTTTCCCTTGGACGAAGATATGCAAGATCTTGGTGAACACAGCCTACTACAGAGCAGAAAACTGTCTAGCAAAAGAAGGCCATCCAGCAAATACATTGAATTTGAAGAAGAAGAAGAAGAAGAGGAAGAACAAGAACAAGAACAAGAACAAGACAAGGAAAGCCATGGACAACAATCAAAGTCAAGGAAGCATACCAGCAAATCAGATCCTCATGATGAGCAACAAGGTACGTTTAGTAGCCATTTTAGAGTATATATATATATATATATATATATATATATATATCTTATTAAGGGCTAAATGTAAACTACAGATCACAGTTTTGCAACGTCTGTTCCTATCACTATTCACCATCCTCCTGCTTTTTCCGTCAAAAACAAAACGGAAGATATGCAAACGTCTGTGCAGAAGAAGCATCCCTCGTCTTCTTTTATACAGCAACCTACCTACTTGAATCCAGCAGCAGAAACAACAGGCCGAAGACCTTCCTTTGTAGGGTTTGATTATGCAGAGGCTGACAGACGAGCTTCTCTCAAATTTCCGCCCTTGAATCTCAAGCGAAATTCAATACATCATGCCATGCCAACCTCTCGTCGTAAAGATGATCATACCCAGCAACAGCAGCAACAGCAGCAACAACATTTAAACAGCAATAAGAACAAGATTGAATTGGAACTAGAAGAAGAGGATGACACGGAACAGGACCAAGATGGACCTATGATACCTCCTCATATTTTAGCTGCTCACACAGTAACCGATGAAACAGAAGCATTGTTTGGCTCTGTGCCTCGCAATAGCACTCGACATAGACCATTAGAATAGCCCATAATAAAAAGAATCATATTTATTTCTCTTGCAGGTGTCTGTTGTGTATAGAATAGAAGGGAGGGTTGGTTGGTAGAAAGTGGCTTTTTGTGATTTCTCTCGCTCTCTCTTTGTGTTTTTTTTTTTTTGCGAGGTACTTAGGAGGTGACAACAAGTAGGGAGACAAAGGAACCAGTGAGTATAGTAGATAAAAAAAAAAGGGGCGGGGCGGATGATAGGTGGAGCATAGCAGTGCTTGAAGAAGAATTACATACAGTAAAGTATATTGGTTTGGTAGTAGGAATAATTGTTAATAGTAGGAATAATAATAGTAGTAGTAGTAATAGTAAGAAAAGATATATGTATATGTATAAGGTAAGAAGACGGGAGAAAAGGGGATAAAGTTACATCAAAATACAACCACAGCAGCCATCATTACGAGTATCTGACATTTCAAAGGCTTCTCTTTGCCCACCCTTTGATCTACCTTCTTGTTCCTTATTCATACGACGAATCTCTCGTACCACCTCGTAAAAAGTATCATCCACTCTGATGCGCTGCTTTGCAGAAGTTTCACTGAAAGGGCAGCCAAAGCTCTTGGCTAAATCTCTGCCTTCTTGGCTGGACACTTGTCGATCACCCTCCAAATCACACTTATTGCCAACCAACACCATGGGGAAAGAATCACGATCCTTGACACGTCTGATTTGCTGGTAAAATGTATTGACTTCTTCAAAGGATAGACGAGATGTGATTGAGTAGACCAAAACAAACCCTTCACCGTTTCGCATGTACTGCTCTCTCATGGCGCTGTACTCCTCTTGACCAGCTGTATCCAGCACATCCAATAAGGCGGTTTCATCATCAATAACGCACTGTTTACGATAGGAATCTAATCGAGGGGCTCAGCATATAAACGTGCTGTTCTGTGCACTATGATACAAACCTTCAATGGTGGGGTCATACTCATCGACAAAGTGAGATTGGATAAATTGGATAGTCAGGGCTGATTTACCAACACCACCACCACCTACAATCACAATTTTGTACCTGAAATGGCAAATAACTCAGATGAATTGATGCAACGTTTTATAGACATCACAATGCTTACTCTCGAAGAAATGATGCTTTTGACATTAGAATATATACTTGACCCTAACTGGACAGCAACGAGAAAGAAGAAAGAAGAAAGAAGAAAACAAGAGAAAGAGAAGAGGAAACAAAAAGGAAAAAAAGAAATAAACACGTACAATAAAAAAAAGGAGGAGGCATTACAAAGCAAGTGTTCTGTAACACGCTGCATGAGATGAGTTTCCCTTAATAGATGTTCGTTCTACAGAAGATTAAATTATTGTATTGCATTAGAAAAGTCAATGTACCATTGTCTTTATATATATAAATCAAGCATGTTTAGTCTCCTTGCAATGTTGATTATATGCCCCTCCCAATCACTCTCCTTACATCAGTTGTTCCATGTAGATGAGTATGATGCGCATGTTTGTTGTGGTAGTTGCCAGCCTAGAGCCAGTTAGCATGTCCCTCTCCTCCTCGCCCCTTTCTCTGATCTGACCCGCCCTAGTTTTCCAGGCAATTTGTATAAAAGCCATCGCTCTTGACCCACCCACCCACTCACACACATATTACAAAGTTTATCTAATAAAAATGATCGTGTGATATTATATTTTCCTTTTTTACTTGAACAAAAAAAAAAGATTGATTGTATATCTATCTAATTTAGAAGAGATCGGCGTTAGCAGGGAACTCAAAGACGACATCCTTGCCAGTGAGCTTCTTGTAAACAGCAGAGAAGGTATCGAGCTTGTACTCGAGAGAGGTGGCATCCTTAGCATCAAGGAAACTATGTACAATAAAAGGGTCAATCCATGCTCCATTCCCGTAAACCTTTGAATACTTACACCTTGAGGGTCTTGGAGCCATCAACCTTTTGACGAAGTCTCTTACCGACAATTTCGGTAGGGTAAACCATATCGTCCAAGATGGCATCGTGGACAGCGGTCAAAGTACGAGATCTGGGACGGGGTTGCTTACCGTTGTTACGACGACCAGGAACAGCCAAGATACGACGTTGAGCAACAAAGACAACATGACGATCAGAGAACTTCTTTTCGAGTTCACGAGTGAGCCTGTAAGCACACAGCCATGTTAGATCTCTCTCTCTCTCTTTTTTTTTTTTTTTTTTTTTTAACTCTCTAAGCTCCAATTGCTCAAACTTACTTTTGTTGAATCTTGTTGAAGCTCTTGAGCATGGGGACGGGAACAAAGATGACAAGAGCCTTCTTACCAGCACCGAGTTCGACCTATTCAACATACACTGTCAATGCCACAAATTCCACATGTCATCTATTCGCATTCAATTCATACCTCCTTGGCGCTAGAGATAACGAGAGCACGGAGCTCAGGGACACTGGACTCCAAGTCAACAAGAGCTTGGGCAACAGCGAGTTCAGTCTCGTCAGCAGGGGCGGCATTGGCCTTTTGGATTTTGTGCGAAGCCATGATCGTCTTATATACTATACATGTAAGAAAAAAATGTCAGTGCATCATTGAATCAAATGTCACCCCTATAGATCCATCCATTTATTTTATCATCCATCTCGACTGTATATCCAGCACCCATGTCTCTATCGCTTCCATCCATATACACATCTCACCCATAGTCATCTACATACGTTTTAGGACCCGGAAAAGAGAGAGTACTTTGACGGATGCCTCATTGACCTCTTTTTCTTTGTTAGAATCCCTCCCCACCTGGTTTTTGGCATTCAGTGTGGCCCGCTCAGCTAATTGGGCGGTTCGGCGCTTATTGAATTCCATCTTGACAGATTCAACCTGTATTCTTTCAACAGACTTGCCATGGATGGCTATCACTCGATGTACAAGGCAGTGCTGGATCGCTACACGCATTCACCATAACGGAGCACATGATTGTCAGTGCGAGCACTAAACAGCGCAAAACTCTAGAGCGTCTATCACATGCAGAACATACATTTGGCATTATCAGATCCAGAAATAAAGATTTACAAATAGTGCAAATTAAAAACCAAGAGATGTTTATTCTTGCTATGCAAAAAAAATATGTAAAATATAAAAAAAAAATCGCAGCATCATGACCTTTAGGCTTCGGTCTTTGCAGGGGCAGCTTCAGTAGAATCAGTTTCTTCGGTGTTGGCCTTAGCTTCAGCAGTGGCATCAGCGGCAGCAGCATTCTCCTCAAGAGAAGCAGCAGCCAAAGCAGCAGCAACCTTGGCAGGAGATTCACCATGAGCAGTGAACTCGATAGGAATGTCTTCAGCGAGATTGAGAGTGGCTCTAAGTTCTTGGCTGTAGGAGGTGTTAATTTCTAGGTATGTTGACTACAATGCGATTCCAATTACCTAATCTTTTCAATCTTCTCTTCATCATCAGAGGTCTTTACCCACAAGGCGATTCTGTAGAAAGACTTGCGAACAGAGATAACAGCACCACAGATCTCTTCATCAGTAGCTAATTGCTCACCAATAACAGCCAAAAGCTGGGTGAGGCGACAAAAAGGAGCAATTTAGCAACTTTGACCAAGTCAACATGTATAGATCTTACAAGGTACATCCAATATTCGTTAATGGCATCACCAGCCTTGTTCTTGGGGAATTGAATACCAAATTTGCCACCTTCAGCATTGGCCTCATCCTCCCATTCAGGACGAATACCTTGCTTGAAGAGATGGTAGTTGGAACTAGGGCCGAGATGATTGACCTTGGCTACATTATTGAAAGTGCTGATCTATGCATGAGCATATATATATATATATATATATAAATGTATCAATCCATTACTATGGCTCACCTCCAAAAGTCTTCAACAGTGTCAATGTTGATGATTTCCTTCAAATTGTCAGCCCAAGATTGAGCGCTGGCCTTCTTTCCAGGGTTATCAAACCACAATGTCCAAGTGTTTTGAAGAGGGTGCTTGACAGTGTAGTCGATAGTCTCGCTCAGTTGAAGCACTTCAGGTGATTGAGCAGCAGCAGCCATTTTTTTTGCAAATCTGTAATGTGTCAAACCAGGAAAAAACTTTTTTTTTTTATTCTGTAGCCATTGCTTTTTGGGGAGCTGCCTCTGCTCTCCTTCTTCTGCCCACACACACAGGGCCCTTTCTTTCTCCACCAGATCAGAATGCTTCTGCCCGGCTCTAGTGCAAAGGATTTAGCCCTGTGACTCCAACATGTGCGAACCGAACTCTTTTGAAAAGAACATCCCTTGGTAGGTAAATCAGAGAAACCCAAACGTGGAAGTTGGAGGGAACATTGGACTCGCGACGTGCGATAAATTGTGAAAGCAATCGCTATTGATGAACTGTCTTTCCCCCATTTGACGAGTCATGAAGGTGTGTAATAGCAACCATTCAACCACAATATACACAGATCAAGAATCAATGCTAGATATGATGGATGGATTGATTCAACTTTGATCTCATATATATATATGCTTGGATGGATGATTTTCAGCAATAAATTTACTTATATACAATTCCATTCTATAGTTGAACATCGCCAACCCAGCCACTGGCTGCCAAAAGTTGATTGAAATCGAGGATGAGCGTCGTCTGTAAGTAGCATTAGTGTATAAGCTTGTATTGTGGATATATATATGTGTATGTGTGTATGTGTGTGTGTGTGCGTGTTTAGGTGTATCTGTTTGCAGCATTGGATAGTAGACACAGTCGATTGAGGACGTTGGAGCAACTCAACATACTGGTCATTTTGCACCTACGAATATTCACCTTTAGAAATCACTTTTAATTGAAGAGAAAGACTCGGTGACACGGCAACAAACAAACGAATGATTATACATACACACATATACCACATATACATGGCACAACTCACTCAGCGTGTTCAACTGACGAATTTATTCGATTATAGCCGTGGTTTCTACGATAAGCGTATGGCCCAAGAGGTCTCTGGCGATTCTCTCGGTGATGAATTCAAGGGTTACGTTTTCCGTATCTCTGGTGGTAACGATAAGCAAGGTTTCCCCATGAAGCAAGGTGTCCTTTTGCCTCACCGTGTTCGCCTCTTGTTGTCCAAGGGTCACTCTTGTTATCGTCCTCGCCGTACTGGTGAGCGCAAGAGAAAGTCTGTCCGTGGTTGTATTGTCGGTTCTGACCTGTCTGTCTTGTCTCTCGTTGTTGTCAAGCAAGGTGAGCAAGACATTCCCGGTTTGACTGATACCACCGTCCCCAAGCGTCTCGGTCCCAAGCGTGCTTCCAAGATCAGAAAGTTCTTTGTAAGTTGACATGTTGATTTGTGTATTTTGTATAGACCCCCAACTCAATGTTTCCTATAGAACTTGACCAAGGAAGATGATGTCCGCAAGTATGTCATTCGTCGTGAGGTTCAACCCAAGGCTGAGGGTAAGAAGGCTTACACCAAGGCCCCCAAGATCCAACGTCTTGTCACTCCTCTTACTCTTCAACGTAAGAGACACAGACAAGCTCTCAAGCGCAGAAGAGCTGAGGCTTCTCGTGAGGCCGAGTCCGAGTACAAGCAATTGCTCGCCAAGCGTGTCAAGGAGTCCAAGCAAGAGAAGATTGAGCGTCGTCGTACCTCTTCCATGCAAAAGTCTGCTTCTGCTTAAGCATTTTCTTTTCTTTCCTCCCCCTTCGATACTACAATCAACTTGGTATAATAAAAAAAAAGTAATCATTTTTGTTTGCGACCATAATGTATAGCGTTTGTGTGAATGAGAATTGCTTTCAAATAGGATGGGATTTGTTAGCTGCATGATGACGGAAAAAGGCATGGTTGGAAGACTCAAGTTGACGCATTCATTTAACGAGGTTCATTTTGTATTGTAAATGCCAACATGGCGGCACGTTAGAAAAGTTTCCGCAGATTGCCGTAGTGGCTGTATACAAAAATTGGTATTCATCCAACAGTAATATAACGCTGTAATATGGCAAGAGAGTTGCAATGCATAATTTAGAGTAGATGTCGATTTCAAGATACAACACCTGAATTTCTAATTGAACTACTTGTGCAGTCATTATATGATCTTTAAGCATTATGAGACGCATTATTAGCTTGTCATGTCAATTCTATATGCTTCCACAAGAGCAGCAGTTGGGGTTTTCGATGAACTGCATGCATTACTAGTAGGATACTGTTGCGTCGACATCTCAAGGAGCAGAGTAACGCATTTAATGAAATAAATACGTTCAACTGTAATTTGATGCAAAACTAAAAACTTTTTGATGGAGTCAAGTATCTACAGTATCATCTCAATCCGGAACATTAGCTTGGCCTAGTTGAGTTTGACATCGCTGTTCATAGAGAATCTAGGTGTTATTGACAGATCTAGAGGCGAAAAATGTGTCCTGTACTTTCACTGATAGAGGAAATTGCTCTTGCAGCAAACTTCTAATTTGACTCTTGTTAATATTACCAAAGTGTCCTGGTATGAGCTTTTTGTTGCTGTTCTTCTAATCCCTACTGGAACTTTGCCCAACTTTAGACACAATTAATCAGCAATCAGTAGGCATCATATCTGAAAATATTGATATAGTGGCCAGCTGCATACATAGGGTTTCAATTGTAGTCATTGTGCCCAAGATAGAGTAGAATTTAAAACAGATGAAAGTAATTGAAGTTTGCTTGGTGCAATTGGATATCATTTGCTGACGATGAGGGATATACAACTTGGAGAAGGCTGCTAAAACCTCAAACTCTTCAGCTGTAGTGGGGACAGTGTTGTAGACAACAGCCCTCATTGCTTCTAAAAGATCTGTTTCCTTGATATTTTCTTGCTGTTCCACTTTCTCAGTCTCTTCTTTCGTCATCCAAGCCTTCTTGAGATGGTACCTGAATTTAGGATCAGCACCAGATTTAACACGAAAGTAGCCAGGTTTGGCTGAATTGCCAATGATAATGGGTTCATATTTGTCTGAACCATCAGCATTACATAAAAAGACAACCGCCAACCTTGCTTTGTCCATCTTGGCTCCTGCTGTATATGCTCACCAAGCTATTATGGCCAGGTAGCTCCATGTCTAACAGTTACAATTACGTACTACAGAAGCCGGTTTCCCATACATCTAGAAATGACCAACTCAAAGAGAAGAAAATTGTGCAGGAAGGTAAAAACAAAGAGAACAATAGAATAGACAACATCATATCTCTTATAATGGAAAGGTCTCATTCAATTCTTCAATATATATACTGCAAAACGTTCAAAAAGATGTAGACAAACAAAGTATACCCTTTCAAAAATTTAAAGAACTGAGTACCGTACAAGGCGAATAAACCACCGGCAAAGCCGGCATTAGGGAGGGGGTTTGGAGGGGGATGCTAAGCCCATCCACTAAGAACATAACTCATCAAATTCAACATTTGGTAGCATTGACTTATAAGGCGGTTTTACCGTAGCCAAGCAAAGGCGTAAAACCATAGTGTGCAAGCAGCGAATTCGGGTTTTCATTTCCATTGTTAATAAACTTACCAGCAGCATACTATATCTCATCAAAATTTGCATGAATCAGCTTTACCGAAATCAATATGCCTCCTGTTCCAATTAGAAGTTGCACAGACTGCAAAACTGCCCTTCCAGAAGACTTTCGCTGCTAAAGATGTGTATCATGCCCTGTAAATAAAAGCTATAAAGCAAACCATAACCAAATTGGATAGTTTTCAAGCCTTCATATCTTGACATGTAGACCTTTCTGAGCCACCAGAATGACGCTCAATTGTTGTACTCGAGTAGTAGTAACTTCCTGACACCGTTGCTCAACTTTATGGGCCAAAAAAAACATGGCCTAAAATCGACCAAAAAGCATGAAGTACCCCTCATGATTTCCATCAAAAATCAAACGATCGCTTTTTTCACCTTAAAAATGAAGACTTTTACTATGGTATATAGTAACTCAAAATGCTTCCCTCGTTCCAAAGCAACCTCTGAGACTACTTTTATGAGGCCTTCGTATGCAAAATATGGCTATTTTCGCCAAAACCTTCATTTCATATTTTACCAAATTGTTCAACAATTTCATTCATAAAACCTATTACAATTAGCACCATTGGAAGCGCCTTGAAAAGTACTCCAAGAGTGTATTAGGAAGCGTAGGGTGATCATTACAGTTTAGATAGTCGAATATCAAAAGATAGATTAAAGAAGTCGACAGAAGACAATATCTGTCCAATCTTGAACAGAAAATATAAGCTGAGTTTGAATCAATTTTGGCAGCGGCATTGCTGCTGGCTGGCCTAAATGCTTTGCTCATGATGACAATGATGATTACGATGCTGAATAAATGGGGATCATGGAATTAAAAGGACAATTGCTTAACCCAAATACTTTTTTGGGGGAGCTTTGCCTCATGAAGGAGTCTTTTGCAAGGACAATATCTTAAAAAAGTAGCTGTAAATCTTACACAAGTTCTATACTTACTTATGACCAGCTTTATGATGTCGCTATCTTATTAAGAGTATCAGCAGCAGCGAATGGTAGTATGATCAGAAAATGGAGATCGTAGTGTACAGATGCTGAATTTTCTTTCATATCCTCTCAATAATAATAGGCTTCGTTTGATATCAGTGTAAGCAAAAAGGGTGCTGAGAAAGATACCTCCTCTCCTCCTCGTGGCTCTGATATAGCCTTTCTTTTACTAACTAATAATTGATTGTTTAGAATCTACTTGATATACGAAATTTTATTTTATCTGATTTAAAATGTCTTCAGCGAGAGCCCGCAGGGCGACGCGGAAAACAAGCGTAGCGAGATAGATCGACTAGTAAAGTTACACATACTACTTAAAAACAGAAGAGTCTCAAAATCCAGTTGTGTAAAAGAGAGCTTAGTATGACAAGCTATTCTCTTAGCATATATGTAGTGATCATCTGTGGTTATCACATCTCTGTGGTTGAAGCAATGTCATTTAGTGCAAGTGAAAAATATAGGTATCAGATGAGGCTATTATAGTATATCTAGTTGATAACTCGCCATCCTCCCTTCAAACCAGCAAAAATAAGATCAACTAGCACGGGCCAAGTGGTATGATAACTTTTTTTTATTTCTAACTATGTTACATAATTCTACTGATATCTACCATTGAGTGATATCCACCTCGGCTTCGCCAAATAAGCTCGTCTTTGTAGCCTTGACCACCTCGCCTTGTTCAAGCTCCTCATCTGTAATTGTAGAGGAACTGTAAATTTCAGGCACCACACGCTTGATAAAGTTCAACAAATGACGGTTGATTTGATCAAACTCAAGCAAGAAGCCATCATGTCCATCAGGAGAGTCAATCACAATCATTTCAGTGTCTGCCATACCCTCAGCCAACTCATACTGCTCAGAAATGGTGAACAGACCGTCTGATTCAATGCCAATCACCAGAGCAGGTTGAGCAATTGATGCCAAAATATCGAAATAATCGCCTCTTCCACGAGAAAGATCGTGCGAATCCATTTTACGAGTCAAAGCGATGTAGCAATTGGCATCGAAGCGATTGATAAACTTAGTGCCTTGATATCTCAAGTAAGACTGAGCTGAGAAAACAAAGGGTGTTGGCATGGATGGATTGTTGATGGTAGGTGTTTTGGTGTTTTCCTTTTCAGCTGATTCGGGAGGACTGGTGGCACGATGGCCATCATTGTGGATCAAGCGATTGGCCTCTCTTGGTGAGTGTGGTCTACTGGTAGGCTTCATGTCTGCTGCTTTGCGGCCAAATCGTGATTCAAACGAGTTGCGGGATCTATAAGTGAGTAGAGCAGACATGCGTGCAGCTGATAATCCGACATTGGGAGGGGTTTCATCCGTGTAATACCCATCCGCTAAACAACATGAGTATGTGGAAACCAAGATACAGCATGAACAACTTACCATAGTTTGGATCACTGTAAATAGACTGACGTTGAGCTTCACCCCAACTGATACCCCAGGCTGAATGGCGCCCTGATGTGGCAATAGGCACAATGGTGCGCACATAATCCTGACCCATCTGAGCCCATTCCAGCACTTGCATACCACCCATGGATCCGCCCACACATACAGCAATTTGCTTGACGCCGAGATGATCCAAGATAAGACGATGAAGAGCGACATCGTCTCTCACACTCACCAAAGGGAATTCGGGGCCGTATATATCACCCGTCTCTGGATTGATTGTCAATGGAGAAGCAGAGCCATAAGGGGAGCCGAGTACGTTGCAGCAGACGATAAAGAACTTTGTATAGTCAAAGGCTCTTCTAGGACCCATCAATGGACCCCACCTAGTATGCAACCATGTCAGTCTCCAATGTCCCATTATGCATAAAAACTCCACCTTACCAATCTTCGACATCAGCACTGCCAGTGAGCGCATGGCAGATTACCATGCAATTGTCAGCCTTGTTATTCAATTTGCCCCACGTCTTCCAGGCAATCGGAATGTTGGTAAGTGTTACGCCTGATTCGAGTGTATATTCTGGTATGATGGTGATGTTCTGATCAGGTATAAGCTTCACCAGCTTGTTCTTTGATTCCTGGAGCGGTAACTCATTTACAGTTGCATAAGTTTTGTATTCTTGCATGATATGTTGAATAGTTGAATAGAACACACAAGCTTCTTTTTTTGTTGAAAATAAAGAATATACGAAAAGAAAGAAAGAAAGAAAAAAAAGAGATGATGATGGCCAAACTGATGGCATCTCCATTTTCATAGCCTTCATAAATTGATTGTCCAGTAAAAAGCATAATGCACATGTCCAATCAGAGAACTTGAAGATGACACAAAATCTCTCTTTGCTTTGTTTAGAATCTATTGCTGGAGTGACGTTTATACACGCCTTGAATCTGTCTTCTTTAAAAGGCCATCACCGAGTCAGAATCCCTTCCCTTTTTACTCTTTAGCTTTTTTTTTTTTTCTACATCACATACAACATGTCTGAAGCAATTCCCGAAACTCGTGCCCGTGGCTCCTCTTTCACTCAAAACAAGCCCAAGGTGCTTAGACCCTTCAAGACATCTGAAGTCAAAATCTTGTTGTTGGAAAATGTCAATGCCACTGCTGTGGATGCTTTCAAGAAGCAAGGCTATCAGGTAAAGACCACAGTTTGACATGGAGATCCAGTAGCTGTGATCTAACAACAAGGCAATAGGTTGAAACTTTCTCCAAGGCTTTGGTGGGTGATGAGTTGATCAGCAAGATTAAGGATGTACACATTATCGGTATTCGCTCCAAGACAAAGCTCACCAAGGCTGTCTTGGATGAAGCAAAGAACCTTTTAGGTATCGGTTGTTTCTGCATTGGTACAAATCAAGTGGATCTCAAGGCTGCTGCAGACAAGGGTGTAAGTATAATATACCAAGATGGGGCGTAGAGAACACGATGACTCACTGTTATCATTCCAGATTGCTGTATTTAATTCTCCCTTTAGTAACTCCAGATCAGTCGCAGAGTTAGTCATTGGTGAACTGATCACACTCGCCCGTCAATTAGGCGATCGTAACACAGAAATGCACCAGGGTATTTGGAATAAGGTCTCCAAGAACTGCTACGAGATTAGACACAAGGTATTGGGTATTGTTGGCTATGGCCACATTGGTGCACAACTCTCTGTCTTGGCTGAAGCCATGGGTATGACAGTCTACTTTTACGATATTCAACAGATCATGCCTCTCGGTCAAGCCAAGCCTGTAGAGTCCTTGGAGGAGCTGTTGGCCATCTCTGATTTTGTGTCTCTTCATGTGCCAGAGACGGAAGACACAAAGAACATGATTGGCGAGCGTGAAATCATGAACCACATGAAGAAGGGATCCTATCTCTTGAACAATGCTCGTGGTACCGTGGTCCAAATTGCTGCTCTTGCAAAGGGCTTGCAATCTGGCCATCTTGCTGGTGCTGCCATTGATGTCTATCCCAAGGAGCCTGCTGCCAATGGTCCCAACTTTAATGACTACCCTGATTTATTGTCTGCCAACAACTTGATCATGACTCCTCACATTGGTGGTTCCACTGAAGAAGCCCAAAGCATGATTGGTATCGAGGTTTCCACTGCTTTAACCAAGTTTATTAATGAAGGCTCTTCTCTTGGTGCTGTCAACTTTCCTGAAATCGATTTGCGTGCTATTTCTCAAGACGACAAGGACACTGTCCGTGTTCTCTACATCCACCGCAACATCCCCGGTGTCCTCAGAGCCATCAATGAGATTTTCGCTGAGCACAATGTCGAAAAGCAATATTCTGATTCAAAGGGTGAGATTGCTTATGTGATGGCAGATATCTCAAATGTTACACAACAACATTTGGAATCACTTTACAATGCTATTGTTGCTACTCCTGCTAATATCAAGACCCGTGTTCTTTATTAAGCATATGTACATTTATCTTTTTACCAAAAAATAAAATTATATACATTTCTATAGATCATTCTATATATTCTGCTGATTGTGAGTCATCATCATCAATTTGCATGCCTTGTCAAAATGAACAAATGTTTCATCTCAGCTCCAATGTTTCAACTCTAAACAAGCCTTGTGTTCCTGGCATAAAACTCCACGTTTGTGTTCACCGGGATGACCATATAAAATGCTATCCTAACCATCGCTTGATCTTCAAGTGATGACTGGTTCCATCCAAGACATTATGTTTCGATGTCTTTGATACCAACAGCCATAGCAGTGATGTCCATTTTGCGAACATATTGCCTACGAAATTTCGTTTTTTTTTTTTTTAGCTCATTGACATGGAAAGTCAAAAAAAAAAGAACAGGCTGATACGGGCCACCTTAGAAATTCTTATGGGCCATCTACTGAATCAGAATTTGTCAACTCTCAAGCAGATTGCAACCATCATCCCCGATGAATGGTCTGATGCAATTTTTAAGAATATCTTCATCGCATACCAAAACAGCTTTTCAGCCGATGGCAATAGTATCTTTAAACGAACCACCGACACGCATACAGCCTACATGCCATGTTGAAATGCTGCAAACCATAATTAGCAAGTTGCGATCACAAATTTTTTGGTGGTGAGTCTGGTTAACTGGCTTTGTCAAAAATAAAATGCCTAACAAGAGCAAAAGAAAGTATTAAGGCTAAGATATAGTCCTTTTGACATGATAATCCCTATCTAATCAGTATCCCAATTACCATTGTCATCATCATTGTCATCAACAGAAAGGCATTTGGGTAAGCCAGCAGCAGCGACGCCTGCCTGCCAAAATTAATTCAACCTCAGCTTACTTTTTTCTGTTCAAGATTGGCCAGATTTCGTCCTTTTTCGAATTGATTGAACTATTTTGCGAGATTTGACTATATAGATTGTGATGATCACCCAACGCTTCCTAATACATTCTTGGAGTGCTTTTCAAGGCGCTTCCAATGGTGCTCATTGTAATAGATGTTTTGACTGAAATTATTGAACAATTCGGTAAAATATGAAATGAGGTTATTAGCGAAAATAGCCAGATTTTGCATATGAAAGCCTCATAAAAGTAGTCTCTGTTGAGTCTGTAGCGGTTGCGGACATTCAGTAACTCAGCAAGAGTTGGATCATGATTTACATTGTTTCTCACTGTCTACATTAGGACATTAGGTTCGACACAGAAGTGAATCATATAATCGATTATGATGGTCTCTGATAGTGAAGGATAATGATGGCTACAGATCGTATCATCATGGCTGATTGAACGAATCAGATCCTTCAATTGACTGATATTAGATAAACATGATACGATGTATTGACTCAGTTGAAACAACAAGATAGATTGATGATTCATCAGTAATGATCTCTTATAAATAGGATGTGTTTGAATCAGTTAATAAATCTGAAGTTTTCGTATCTGGTTACTTTTTATAGTCTTCCTTTTTTGAAATCTATCTTATTTTGTTAATACTGTATCTTTGAATACAACAGTCTCAGAGGTTGCTTTGGAACGAGGAAAACATTTTGATTTGATATACACCATAGTAAAAGTCTTCATTTTCAAGGTGAAAAAATGCGATCGTTTGATTTTTGATGGAAATCATGAGGGGTACCTCATGCTTTTTGGTCGATTTTTGGCCATGTTTTTTTGGGTCCCCAAAAAGTTGAGCAAAGGTGTCAGGAAGTTACTACAACTCGAGTACAACAATTTGGCGTCATTCTGGTGGCTCAGAAAGGTCTACATGTCAAGATATGAAGGCCTAGGAGCTGTCAAATTTGGCCGTGTTTCATACATTCGCTTGTCAATAGGCACTTTTTTGTTGATACAAAGGCGTAAAGACATTGCATTCATTATTATTGAATCAGAGCATGCTGTTAAATCTATATATTAATCTGAAAAAATTAGATTACGTGGCACTGTTGTATCGCTGTATTATAGCATAGTGATACAGCTTATTAGTGAGATGATGGCGGTTGTAAGGCAAGCAGGTCATTTTAGATGTAATAGATAGTCTGCATCTAGTCCTTTAATAATCACCTCTAACACAAATACTGGAAACTTGAACGCAAAAGCGTCGTCGTAGCCAATCAGAGATTAAAAGCCCTCTCCCAAGAACATAACGTATCTAATTCAAGTGATTTCTTGCCTGCTATCTGGATATGGATTGAATGATTTGCGGTCTCAAAGCAACATTTGGTAGCATTATTGGTCTTGAGATGTCTTTACCGTAGCGAAGCAAACGTGTAGAACCATAGCAATCAAGCAGTAAATTTGGCTTTTCATTTTCATTATTAATAAGCGTACCAACAACATAATGTATCAAAATTTGCATAAATTAGCTTTACCAAAATCAGTATGCCTCCTATTCAAATTAAAAGTTGCACAGGCTGCAGAACTGCTCTCCTAAAGAATTTCTGCTATCCATCCAAGATGCGATTCACGCTGTGTAAATAAGAGCTATAAAGCAAAAACATTACCAAATTTGACAGCTCCTAGGCCTTCATATCTTGACATGTAGACCTTTCTGAGCCACCAGAATGACGCCAAATTGTTGTACTCGAGTTGTAGTAACTTCCTGACACCTTTGCTCAACTTTTTGGGGACCCAAAAAAACATGGCCAAAAATCGACCAAAAAGCATGAGGTACCCCTCATGATTTCCATCAAAAATCAAACGATCGCTTTTTTCACCTTGAAAATGAAGACTTTTACTATGGTGTATATCAAATCAAAATGTTTCCCTCGTTCCAAAGCAACCTCTGAGACTACTTTTATGAGGCCTTCGTATGCAAAAATCTGGCTATTTTCGCTAATAACCTCATTTCATATTTTACCAAATTGTTCAATAATTTCAGTCAAAACATCTATTACAATGAGCACCATGGGAAGCGCCTTGAAAAGCACTCCAAGAATGTATTAGGAAGCGTTGGGTGATCATCACAATCTATATAGTCAAATCTCGCAAAATAGTTCTTTTTTTTTTTTAAATTGTGTTTATTGATTGAGCCGCGTACACTAAGAGTAATAGGTCAGAGTGAAGAGGCGGGTGCAATTGAGAAATGAAAAAAATATAAATATAAATGGAAACTAAACTAAACTAACAAAAGGAACTATCTAACTATCTAAATTACAAGAGGGAATGGATTTGATCTTCATCCACTGTCTGTCGGACAGTGGAGTGGATATGTACCAGAATCGCCTCAGGGACAAAGATAGTGCCGTCAAAAACAAAGCGCATATGGGCTAGCCATATTTGAGACAGGGTGATGAGTAGGATTCTGTATGGATGGATGCCTTTGACTTGGGAGTACCAGATATCTGAAAAGTCCAGGGACAGAAGAGCCTCTTTGATGTCAGTGATGGACGTGGTGGGCCATAGGAACTCAAAAATGACGCCTTGCCATACCTTTTCTTTGGATACAAAATAGTTCAATCAATTCGAAAAAGGACGAAATCTGGCCAATCTTGAACAGAAAAAAGTAAGCTGAGGTTGAATTAATTTTGGCAGGCAGGCGTCGCTGCTGCTGGCTTACCCAAATGCCTTTCTGTTGATGACAATGATGATGACAATGACGATTGCGATACTGACCAAATGGAGACCATGTATTTGAAAGGACAATTGCTTAGCCCAAATATATATATATATATATTTGCTTTTGTTCAGAGTTTTTCCCTGTAATGGTGTCTTTTACAATGATAATCTCTCACTATTAATTGAGTGTCTAATATCTAACTGATATCTCTGAATTGAAATGTCTTTGGCGAGAGCCCGCAGGGTAACGCCGTCATCCAGCGTAGCGAGATCGATTGGCTAGTTGTCTTATACATGAGATCAAATACATTGTTAGATTTAATTGACATGTCAGGACCCGAAAAAATGTATGGCGAGTGAAGAGGATATTTTGTTGATACGTTAGCCACCCTTCTTGTAGTAGCAAGGGAAAAATTTACAAATCAGACAAATGTTGATTTTTCGGTCGAAAAACGAGACTTCTTCTTAAGGTACATATCAGATGAATTTGTACAAAAAACTCGTCTTTATCTAATAAAAACATTTATCTGAAGCCTGCAAGCCAAATTTTTTGGCTTTTACTACATCAACTAAAAAGCAGCTTTTTGAGTTTATCTGTGCAATTTTCAGCGACATTACAAAAACAAAAGATTCTATAAAATAGAGCGTAATTGAATGTATGTCTTTTGCTAGAACATCTATCGACGTTTAGTACCCTCACGAGGATGTAAAATTTCTAAATTTTCCTGAAATGACATTTTGGAACAAAATCGAACTGGATTCACATTCAAGATTCAACCTCAGAAATCGCTCCAAAGTCGCTCGTTTTAAGTGTGTTTTTGTTAATCAGGCGAGGCTAAGGCTGTGTGGTAAATAAAGCTGTGTATTCTACGTAGAATATAGCTCATCGATACACTCGTATATAGTTACCTTGATATATTCTACACTTTTAGTAGATGTAGGCGAGAAAATACGGTGGCTTAACGCTTATAATGATGATGTTGGCGAAGCAGTCGAGGCCTTCCCCTGGATATTAACAAAAGCCAAGTTTTCATGCACCTATATGAGATTCATGGATAGTTTGTTTCTAAAAGGAACTTATATTTTGCATTCAAGTGGCAGCAGCCGATCAAAACATCTGTGAAATAAGTAGTGTGTGCATGACTGAGAGACACTAATTAGTGAATTGTTATCAGTACCATCTTAAACTACTATTTGCACTGTTTATATTGAACTCATTAACTTTATCGATTATACTATCACTATAATACATGGTTTGGTAAAAGTCGTAAATCTATTTCAAAAACTAAAAGGCATTGGGCTTCGACATCATGAGATGTCAATTAATTAGGATTTTGGTATAAATTTCGAATGATGATGATGTTCACTCTTTGATTCACCACTGCAATAGAAGAAAACATATATAAGGAAAGCGTTAATTGAAGCTTAAAGTAAACTTGAATGAACTACATAAACCGAATACGATTCAAATGAAATGTTGAATAGCTGCATTATCATCGATGCCTTGGAATCAAACATCATGCCATGGATACGACCCTGTCTCGAAAGTCAATCCAGCCGAATGAATGACTACAAAGATTAATCCATTTATAGGCTAGATTTATTATAGTGACCATTTCAAGTGACCCTCAATCAGTCTTAATGTGAAGCAATCCAGAGCAAAGGTAGAAGTTTGCAAAGGTGGAAGTTTACAATAGCCGTGGTCGTTAAGTCGGGATTTTGGAGTGAAAAAGCTCATTGCATTACGTTCCTAAAGCGATGCGTGATTTTAGTGAATGTTCTTTTACCTTTTCTTCTCATTTAAATCATTGTTGTTAAAATGCTGTTACGCTCAGGCTATGAATACAGTGTAAGTATCATGACACAAGACAACTACCAGAAAGCAATATTTCGTACTGACATATGAACATTCATGCCTATGCCTCTGCTCCCTCCTCTACCACTAGCATCCGCAGCAGTAGAAAGAGAAAGTCGGCAGATGATGAGTTAGATGAGCGACCTTTGAAGAGACAGGATACTACTCTTGTCCTTCAAAGGGAGCCATCTATCTCCTCTCATCTTACTCCTCCAGTTGCACCTCCCTCCTCTTCCAATCCGCCATTACCTTCTTCTTCTTTATCCGAATTACCTTTAGTGGGGGATGGAAGCAACTCTTTCGGTGATACAGTTCCTGTGGAGGAAGAGTCTGCTGGCAACGAGAGGGGTTCTCGGCGGGTACGTAACCACGTCTTTGTGGAAACGTACCTGTTTGAGGCCGACGATGAGCCTTGTAGAGCGGCAGACCACAAGTATGTTGATTACCTTGATTACATCTAATGTTTGCCAATCTCAAGGTTCATCATTCTCTTTCTACTGTCTTTCCCTTTTCTTCTTTTCCGCAAGTAACAACAACAACAACAACAACAACAGCAAACTTGTTGATCAAAAAGCTGCTCAAGATGTATCCATTCTGGTAAGAGAGAAAATGTAATGCACAAAGTCAAACCTATCTTACAGCTGCTTAACAAAGGGAACGACAATTATCACTGTGCCTGGGCCATCGTAACAAATACCAGCAGATTAACTAGAAACGCGATCCAGTCAAGGTACCATCGCTGTAGATAACGGTAATAGCATTATAACAGACACAGATAAGTAAGTCAACGTGAGATGATATATAACAACAACGGCAATAGCAAAGCAGCTGACTGACCCTCTTCTATCAACTTTTAATACAGCATCGACAACCATGTATGTTAAATAGCCATTTATTGCAAGCCATGATGCACAATCATCAATTGTCACAGCCAAAGTATGAAAAGGGAATCAATCTTCAATTCATTTGCGAATACAGCATACAGCTCGCTCAGCACGTTATCAAAAGCAAAGCTCACAAAAAAAAAAAAGGATAGCACTGACAGTAGTTTGAAAGACATTCTCAAGTTCAAGCACGATATCTGGCGCCTTCAAAATATGTTTCAGCCTCTGAAAAAGTATTGATACGACTCTCTCAGCACTTCTGTGACTCTAGCATTATCATTGACAGCTTCGAAATAGGCAACTTGGGCCTGATGAAGACGTTATAGAACTATTTTACAAGCATTAGCAACGACGACACACTTGAATTTTTATAAAACGAAGCATTGAACAAGTCCCCATACGGCAACAATGTGCAAAAGAAGTTGGTAGATTGTCTGCAAAAGATTCTGAGTCGATTCGACACCTTTGAAGAAGTAACAACATTGGAATCCGCCCTCAATGACTCTTTAGAATACACAGCAGTGTATTATTATAAAGCCAACAAAGATACATCTCAGAACAAACACAACATACAGCCGTTCTCTCAGTCTATCATTCTATCTTTTTGATCGTGTTTGGATTTGTCGCGCTAAACAAGAGGAGAAACGTTGCTAGTATTGCCAATCGACAGTCTGATTCAGCCACCAAACACAAGGAAATGAAAGAGAAGTCGCTGCCTGCTGTCAAGTTTTAATATTCTGCCTCCTGCCATCTTCAAGTGTTCCAATATCAGTACCTTGTCAAGACTGTGTGAAATGTAAACTGACCTCCAAAACCTACGGTGCATTATGTACAAAAACTCTCTCATTGTGGCTAGCTCATGCTTTCTTGTATATATATACTGGCTCTTGAACTAAACTCTTTCTCTGGAACTGGCCATTTGCTTATTCCAGGTACACCATTTGGTTATCCTCGACTCACTAGTCGCTAGCAAAACCTTCAGAATGCGTAGCAACATTCAGGATAAACATCTCAATGACAATGCAAATCAACAGCCTGTACTGGGTAGTATAGGGAAAAAAAGTGAGGATTATGCGCACACAAATGCTGGTATCTGCCGTCAAGATCATATACATGTTTGAAAGGTGGCCTATACTGCTCCAAATCGAATACATGGGAGAAAAAGGCACTGGAATGGGCTCTATCTTGTACGTTCAATCCAGCAGCATCACAGAAACACAAAAAACCAACCAGGGAACGATACAGAATCGAGAAGAATAGTTCGCAAGTAGTAGCTTATTATTCGAAAATGCATCAAACCAGGATCAAGATGATCAAACGCCTTCTTTAAGAGGTATTATGTATAATAAAATTATTTATTATGCAGCATCAAGGTAAATATCGCTCGTCAGACGCTTCTTACCCATAACTCATCTTTTGTTTCTACTTTTAGTTAAAATCAACAGAAGCAAAAAACATTACTATATACTTTGGAAAAATCTCTCTCTTGGTCTCATACTGCCTGAAAAGAACGACAACTGTGAACTGGATGTAAGTCATTCCTAAATAAACATTGCATGCAATGTCAAGATGAAACTTACATGGTTATGTTTGTTTGCTTAGACTAATGGACGGGTAATCATTGTGGATACCAACAAACTGAAGCGCTTTGACCCACTACAGAATACTCATTGCTGGCACTGGCATATTTCAAAGTAAATCAACACTTTTACAGAAGGCTTCAGTGGATGATTCACTATCGATGGTCTAAAACAGCTGGCACCTTTTGAATCGGTATTGTTCTTTGGCAAAGCATCCAAAGATGGGAGCTATATTACGTTACTCCATAAAATTAAGAATGACCACGGTGTAATCTCGTCAAGATTTCAATTTTACAGACGTGGAAAGCGCCAAAACCGTCAATTGACGGCAGAATCATCCAAAGCACCCTTGATTTGATAGCTACAAGCCCTCTGTCATGACCCATGCCAACTCGAAAATGATGTACTTTTATTATTCGCATTTGTGTGATACCAAATCAAAAACCACTTTACAAATAGATTGCATACTTTTGCTTGGTTGCACATACGGGAGCTCAATAAGATACAGTGTTTCAGGCATCTAGCAAGCATGGCCAACTCCTTCTTCCGAGGAAGTCGTTGGTTTGTTTACCTGTGGTATTTTCCCACAAATGCATGCCTGCATGGGCGTGTTGTATTTTTCTCTCGAGCTGCTAACCACGATCTCTTTAAACATCAAAATTGAAATGATAGTACACCACCTTTCAAGCATTGTGATGTTAAGAAATCAAACAAGTGATAAGCCCATGTTACCCGATCTTTGAATTTTTGAGAGTAATTTGACTCCATGGGTGCAACCAAGCACCAAATCATGTTGCGAAAAGATCAGGATATTCATTTAGAATTCAAAAACGTGAATAAACTTATTTGACAAAACAGTGTAACCGTTTAATCTTCTTCTGCGTAACAGGGTTTGGCGTAACAACCCCTTTTTCCCAAGACAACTGTATAAAGTCCATTATGAGGGCAAGATTATCAAAGAAACAAGGGTTCAGGACAGCGATTATTTTGAAGGGAAGTTACATTATGATTTATATCTTTGAGTTCAATAGAAGAATAAAATGTATTGAATAATAGTTATATGGAAATAGAGAAGAAAGAAAAAATTAGGTGGATAAAGTAAGATATGCTAGCAACAGCATCAAGCTATTGATAAAATACTAGAGTATGAGGCTATTAAGTTTTTGCTGTGAATGTTGTTTGATTTGAATCATAATTTAGGCTTCGGCCTTCTCAGACAATCTCTCGTTGATGGAGCCACCTTCCTTGTGCTCATTGACGTTCTCGAGGTTCTCGATTTGACCACCAACCATGGTACCAACGGCATGACCGTCAGTAAGATTGTCGACAGTTTCAACGGTAACGTCGGGTACAGTCCAGGAGACAACATAGGCGAGAACAAGACCAACAACGTTGATGACAAAGACAATAATGAGTTGAGTCATGTAGGGGACATGTTGAGCTTCAAGTTGATTAGCAACAGCATTGGCAGCATTTTGGATGGTCTTGTAGAAACCACCATAACGAGCAGCACGTTCAGTATCGTTGGTCATGGTACCCATCAGCCAGTAAATGAAGCCTTGATAGACAGCATCAATGAGACCAAAGAGGGCATATTCAACAACCAAACCACCATATTGCTTGTCATAGACATCAATTTGGACCCAATCGCCTCCTGGGGCAATAGCTTCACGAGTGAATCCCTTTTGAATAACAACAGCACCAATCCAAAGACCAGCAATGATAACCAAAGTGATAGTGTTACCGTACATGGCACGCTGCTTACGAGAACCAATCTTGGCGGCATCAAGGAACCAACCAAAGATACCAGCACCGATAATTTGGAACAACCAGTAGAGCAAGTTGTTGAGAGCACGGGCACGAATATGCATGAAGCCAGGACCATTATACACTTGGAATTGGTAGATGTAGAACCAGTTGGAACCAGCAAAGAGAGGAATCAAAATAAGCATACGCCAGTCCTTGAAGAGCTTCAAAACTTCAATAGCTTCACGCTTCCAGTTGGAAAGCTTGTGGAGAGAGACTTGAGCACCGTCAGAACGAACAACTTTGCTAGCAGGGAGAAGGGCAAGAGTCAACATGGCACCGAAAGCCATAATGACCATGAAAGCAATATAAGTAGAAGTCTTGACTTCAGTCTTTTCACCAGAGTTCCATTCATTGCCCAAGGGAATAGCAGCACCCAAGGTAGCACCCCTAAAATTTCAATGACATTTAGTTAACCAACGTACAAGAGCCATTGACTATCAAGCACTTACAAGTTGAAAATCATCCAGAAAAGAGAGAAAGCCTTACCCTTGTCCTTTTCAGAGGGGTAAGACATCATAATACCAGCTTGAGCTGTCCATAAGAAACCAGCACCGATACCGAGAATGGCACCAGCAGCAATAGTGAAAGCATCGCTTTTTGAAAGGAAAGAACCGACATAGAGAACATAGGCGAGAGCAGCAGGAATAAGAATACGATGACCAAAGATATTATAGCTGCAGTGTTGGAAAGGTTAGCTAATGTTGTTGATCTGAGCTACTGCTCCATGTACTTACACAGGGGCACCGATCAGAGAGCAGAGAGTGAAAGTGACAGCCAAGGCAGTACCACTGTTAGTGGCAGCTTCAGTGGAGGATTGGCCAGCACCACCAATACCACTAAGAGCGTTGTACATGCCAGGACAACAGAAACAAATCATACCCACGATGAACACTTGGAACATTGGGCTGTTGTAGCGAATGAGACCCATATTATTGATGTCTTTGATCGAAAGGAAGAATAGAAATAAGGTAATATAAAGGGAAAAAGGGAATCAAAAGGTTAAAGAGAAAAAGAAAAAAAAAAGGGATTTGTGAAATTAAACAACATATATATATATATACTCAAGAAAAAAGAAGGGTTGTTGCAGTGTATTGTCAGAAGATCAGGTTATCCAGGGTCCTTTTAGGAATTGCAAAAGGTATTGGTACAGTTGATGTTGCTCAAATGTATCACTAAGAAAAAAAAAAAAAAAAGCTTTTACTCGATGATAATTTTCCCAAAGGCTGGTTGGTTGGTTGTTTAGAGTAATTGATAGCATGATTACGTTAGAAATCTCTGTGAAAAACAAGGACCTTAGTACGACGCTTGATTAGTGGTATCCTATCTTTTGCGATACCTGAAAAGTATATTTTGTGATCCAAACACCCTCCTTCTCTCTTTTAAGCTAATGTATACAGGTCATCTATACATGATTCAAATGCTGAATGCCGCAAACGTGTCTCCAATGATAAGTCAATACTATCTGCCCATGGTCTTTTTTTTTTTTTTTTTTTTTTTTTTTTTGCATGGATAATGTTGTGTTTTGGTGCGCAGTGCATAGGCCACTGCTTCTATACCACACGGATGCATACAACGCGCACCTACACGAACGAGGGATCATACGATCAAGGGAATTAATAACAAAAAACCAATCATGGTAAGGAATACATGAAACCCTGCTGAACCCTGAACAAAAAGAGATTGCAATTGTCCTACTTGTCTCTCTTTTCTCATCAAATAGTATAACATTGACTCGTTGACATTAAGTCTAATTAAATCTATATTCTTTATTTCTGTATTATGCTCTCTTCTCAGAAGCCTTGTACTTGATAAAGGCAACCAGGTTCATGAGTGCTTCATCGCATCTATTCCTCAGATCAAAGTTCTTTCGTCGATCTGTTGATTTGACCTACAGAAAGCAATGTTTGATATGTTAATTATTCAATTCCAATCTAGTGGGTATCGGGCTGTTTACCATGGCTTTCACTGCAGGCAAAATTTGCTTCAATTGTTGATTGAATTTGCCTTGCACATAAACAGGAGCATCGTAATCAAACGCACAGTCGCTGTAAACATCAAATATGAAATTCAATGCCTCCACGGCCACATCCGGTCGAGTCTTTTGAGAACCGATGTTACTCAATACTTCCATAATAAAGACACCAATGTCCTACATCACTTGTTGTTAGTGCACACGAGAGCACGACAATGTGTAACCGTGATTACCTTATTTGTGTTAACATCTCCCTGTCTCACTGCAATGGGGCCCAAGCATCCCACTATTTTAACTTGCATAGACTCGCTGTTAGTGGCTCTATAGGCGCCGCATAAAGAAGGGACATGAGCAGGTTCCAAGGGCTATGGTAAAGAAAGAGAGAAGAAGGAAATAGTGTCAGTTGGAGGGTTGATACATGGTAGAAATAGGTGTGCGAGTGGGTGTGTGAAATTTAAGGGATCATATTATATAATGAGTAAAACAAATAATCACTTGTGCGCCACCCTTGATTTTTTCCCTTAAAACTTACGATATTTTCACGCAGACCACGACCAAGGGCCCAAAGACAACCAACAATCACCTCCAAGATTTGGTTGCGGTCCTCAGACTCTGGAGCAGATCCAATGGCATTGGCAGTGGAGAACAGCCATGTCCATGTTTTTTGAGCATCGTCTACATGCTCCTTGAACCAGAATTTGGAGGGCACTTCATTCATGGCCAATAAAAAGTTGTTGAGGCATTCTAGAGCACGCTGATGAGTCAGGGTCAAACCATGTGTGACACCAGGACTGAAGGTAGCATCTGCAGGGAATGATAACACGGTCGGGGTCGAGAGTGAGAGCAACTTGGGAAAGATCTTGAACGTGAAGTTACTGAGCACAGGGTTGGATCGAACAGCAGCTTCATCCACAGCAGTTGATGTGTTTTGTCCTAAGTTCTCAGCATCACGCAAATAGTCATCCACATTGTCCTCGTTCAAGTTGTCTGTCATTTCCTCAGCATCCTGATCTTCCTCCATAGTTTCACCAGCATCTTCCCAGCCATCCTCTTCGGTATCGTCTTGCAAACAGATGTCTGCTAATAGTTCCAAGGACAATTGCAGCGTAGTTAAACGTTCTTCCACTTGTTGAATGTAAATCTATTAATACAATGATTAGGTAAAAGTGTAGGTTTAGCCGAGGGTGCTACAGCTTACATCTCCCTTGGTCAATGGCTGCTTTGGTTTGGGTGTAATCTCTACAGAGTCATCATGCTTGGTTACATTCTACACAGTTGAGATAGCATTAGAATCAAACTCCTTCCATTCACTATCACTTATCTAACCCTGACATCCCATGACTCTTATATAATACTTACACCACTATCAATAATCTGTTTTGTCTCTTCAGCAGCCTTTTGAATATCAAAGTCCAATGATGAGATCAAAATGGGCATCACAGTCTTGTTCAATTCACCAAGAGCATCACGTTCATCATCCCACGATCCTGACAATTGCACCACCTCACGCACATTCATTAATATAGCTATTGGGAGCACAAATACCATATAAGTGGTCATGAAATTTGCCGTTGTGTTCAATAGAGAAAACTTATATAATACGTACCGCAAGCCAATACTCGAACAAGTAATTTGTCGGGGCTCTCGAATTTGGTCAAGATGTTGAACAGCATTTGAATGTATTCAGGATGGCTCTGGAATTCAATGTAGATGTCCTTGTTATCGTCGGTTAAGGTAGTCAAACATTGTCCTATCATGCACCAAGGGGTCAGTCGACGGTCAAACACAGCACTGCAAGCAGCATCTCTTACCAGCAGCAACAACAACTTTGGTAGGACATTGGTCGGCAGCGGACAAGAATGAGATCAAAAAAGTGACAATGTTCAAACGGTTCACAGCCTTGATGTACTTGTCAGATGCTTCACTAAACTTTCTGTTTGAGCTTTCGTTTCTGATATTAATCTCTATCCACTTACCTCAACCCCCAAATAATGCAAACAAAGTTCTCTGCAACATCCCAAATAGTGGATCGTTTATCATGGTCGGCAGTATCAGCCAAAGGAGCATTGGTAAGCACAAGATCGATGATTTGAGAGATCTGCATGAATTAAGATTAGCAGCTTATACGCACACCTACGCACACACGGATCAGATCATTCGTACCTGAGGAAGCATGCTGCTCAAAGGGGTCAGAATATCCTTTGAAAAGTATTCTTGACACACATCAGGATCCACTGCACACAAATTTCTATATGCCACAACATGAGTAGCTATATCTCTCAGTGCTCTCTACTCTACTCACCTCAATGTTCCCAAAGCTTCTTCTACAACCTCACGAGTATCGTCGCTCAACAACTTGATCAAACTACCCACAACACCTTTAGAGAGCAGCAATTTGAGGTTTGCATCATTTGACAAGACCAAATTAGAGATACAAGCAGCAGCCCAACCTCTCTCAGTTGCATCAGGCGATGAGAGCTGTTATTGTGTAGGTATTGAATACAATGAACAAATCATGTCAGAGTTAATTTTACCTTGTCGACAACAGGAAGTACTTGATCGGGTTGTAATGTCATTTGCTGTTCGTTGATGCCTTCTTGCACACCAGCAGCAATTCTGTTTCCAAGAGGGTTTGCGCGAGGCTTGAAGGATTTTCTGGTTTGTTTGCCCATGATAGCTTGTGGGATTTGATATGGACTAAATCAAAAAAAAAAAAGAGGGAAAAAAAAAGTTGAAAACATGTCAAATGAAAGACTGCTTTTACTAGAAAAGGGGGGGGGAGATGCATTGACATTTGAAGCAGCTAAAGTGGATTTCCAATGCATTGTAGTGGCGCTGGTATGCACATTTGTAATCCGTACCTGTTTGATTTCAGGCACAATGAGAAGATCATCCTAGATTGAAATAGACAGTATCATGTCAATTCCATAACGCAAAAAAAAAATAACGAACACAGGCTGAAAAGAAAAGTGCCACGATTTGTAAAAATATACAGTATCATCCTGACAAGAAATTTTCTTTGGTGTCAACATAGGGCGTGAAAACGCTGTTCTCCCTTCTTGGTGAGGTGCACAGCAGCACAGCTTAAAACTTTTCCCAAACCACAATAAAGCAGTATATTCTCAACAAACAATTTCGAATGTAATGCTTCCCAACATCGCTGTAGCGAAAAAGGGGTTGAAAAAGCAGATACAATACCGTTTAAATCCTTCTTTATTCGAAATTAGGATAATGTGCAATAAAATGTATATTCTACGTCTCTATTTGTATTATTTGGTTTATATCTCTTATCTGTCAGCAGTTGATTAGTTGTCAGTGATTCCATTATTTTGTATATTAGTGTTAGTAGGCTATTTAGTTGATCTGATAGATCAAGAACGGTATTTCAATATATGGTTTGTGAATCATGCGTAAAGAATAGCTCTTTATTGTTGAACATGTATCTTTTTTTAGGTATATTTACATTACAACACATTACAATATCCTTGACATTTACTTTAGTATCTGCCAGTTCTTATTTTTAGAGTATTTTACCCTTGCTATCATCAGGCTAATACTATTATTATGCATGCTTATCTGTTGATGGTAGCAAGGCTTGATTGAGCTGACATTTATTTTGGGCCTTGTTTATGATGAGAATCTAGTCTATTTCACTTCAATAGGCGCTGCTATTGCAATAATAGCTGGCAAATGTTGCTGATGTTTGATTTAAAGTAGCAATTAATGCAAGAGCACTGGCCATAAAAGTCGATTGGAGTAACCTTGGTGGCCTTGGATGAGCTATCGTCATAGCATGATTTAATGTAGGAATGTATCAGAAAGCATTTTTTGTTTGTAGGGGAGACGAGCTCCAGGTTTTATTTAAAGTCCTTTAAATGTCATACTGAGGGATAGAAAAGACTGTTGGTGGACCCAATGTCTGCAATGAAGGGGAATAAGATATTTTTGAGCTAAGTTGGGAAAGAAATCTACTACTAATAAGGTGCGACACCTAGAGCCAGTACAGTCTTGCGGCAATCGTCAAAATATAGATTATGGATAAGAGTACAAAACACCAAACGAGGACATCAGTACTACGTCAAAAAATCAAACAACTTGCGTTCACCAGGATTTGAACCGGGGATCCTCCCGTTGGCATACGGGAGTTCTACCACTTCGCCCTACCACCAGGGACTGTATCAGAAAGCATCGGATAATCATCACAGTTTACTTAGTCGAATCTGCTAGAACTGTTCGATCAAGTCGAAAATATACAAAATCCGTCCAATCTTAAGCAAAAAAATGTCTGAGTCGGAATCAATTTTGGCGGCGGGCGTCGCTGCTGCTGGCTGCCCCAAATGCCTTTCTGATGATGGCAACAATGATGACCAAAATGATTGCGATGCTGATTAAATGGAAATCATAAATTTGAAAGAAAAATTGCTCAGCTTGTGTAATGAAATAGTCTCCCAAACGCAACGTGATTGAAAGCCGGAATTTATCAAATATTACTCATTCAAATTCATGCTATTTGAATCTACCAATAAAGCGCTCAAATGTACATCAACAACCACTTCAACATACTAAAGTAAAAATACATACTTACTGTAATGATTTGCATTATATATGCTTCAATCCGTATGATTGAAACATTAGTGTAGCATATAAATAGCCTTCCTTTTGACAGGTATTAAACATTAGTGAAAATATCAGTCATTACCTCTTCATATAATAATTTTATTACAATAAATCCACCACTCAATCCTAATACTGCTTGTCCAATATTATTTACACTTCATATTATAATATATGTTCAGTCCCTAGACACGTTTACAACCCTAATATGGAAGCTGATGTGCAAGGCATCATCTGTCAGACCTGGCTCCTATAAGATTAATGATTTACAATCAATCAACAAAAACCACTGTAATTTCTACCCTCTTTCCTCTGCTCAATGCTGTCAATGTTTTATTTGAGCGACGTCTCAGAGCCTCAGAGATTTCATTACTTGCTGCAGACATTTTATGCAACCCATGCATCGTCAATGTCCAGACTAACGTTATTAAATATAGAAGGCAATAAAATATCATCATAAACAATAGTTCTATGACCTTCCACCTACTTTCTATACGCTTCAAGGGCATTTACTACTGTATTGCCTTATGAAAAGGGCATGAGTTTTCCAGCTGGCCCTACCAGCCAAAATTAATTCAAACCCAGAATCATAGTCTGTTCCAGATTGGACAAATTTTGATGATTCTGGACTCGATCGAGCTATTTTTGCAGATTCGACTAAGTGAAGTATGATAATCACCCCATGCTTCCTTAAACTTTCCTGGAGTACTTTTCAAGGCGCTTCCAATGGTACCAAGTTATATAGATGTTTTGAATACACTTATTGAATGATTTGTAAAAATATAAAAAGAGGTTTCTGGCCAAAATTTCGAAATTTTACATATTAAAGCCCCACAAAAATGATTTCAGAGGTTGCTTTGGATTGATAGAAACATTTTGATTCAAGATATACCATAGTAAAAGTCTTCATTACCAAGATGAAAAATGCGATCGTTTGATTTTCGATGAAAGCCATGAGGGATACCTCATGCTTTTTGGTCGATTTTTGACCATGTTTTTTTGGTCCCCAAAAAGTCGAGCAAAAGTGTCAGAAAGTAACTGCCAGATGAGAGCAACCATTTGGGGCTATTCTGACGATCTAAAGCGGCCTTGAATTCAAGAAAATGCAGCTCAAATGCACTCATATTTTGCTGTATTAGGGACACTAAGGACTAAAAAGTGGGAATACCAGTATGCTGCTTGCCCGTATATGAAGTAGCTACGTGTATATGGATGTAGAACATCACATAAGAATCAGATCCACAGTTAATATGAAGGGTTACTATGTGTAAGTGGAAGGTCAAAATGAAAGTAGCAGTATTTTGATAAAATACGCAAGAGCAATCTATAGTACGAGTTGCCGCTGCGCAGGTTGGTTCTCTACCTTCGCTACGCTTCGGTGAGAACCATCCGAAGCATAAACACTCATATGATTAGTGATTATATATCAATCAACAATCAGGGTTCTTCTTCTAACATTTTAGCTATATTAATTTTGGAATATTAGCCAAAGGCCCGCGGCAGCGCGAGCCGTTTGAACGTAGGTTGGTTTCCACCGAAGCGAAGCGTAGGTCAGGAAACCACCCGAAGTGCTGAAAGGCTCGTATACCATAGTAAAAGTCTTCGTTTTCAAGGCGAAAAACGTGATAGTTTGATTCTCAATGAAAACCATGAGGGACACCTCACGCTTTTTGGTCGATTTTCGGTCATGTTTTTTTTGGTCCCCAAAAAGTTGAGCAAAGGTGTCAAAAAGTAACTGTCGGATGAGAGCAATTGTTTGGTGCTATTCTGACAATCTAAAACAGTCTTGAACGCGAGAAAACGCAGATCAAATGCACCCATATTTTGCTGTATTAGGCACATTCTTGACTAGAAAGGGGGGAATACCAGTATAATACTTGCCCGTATATGAAGTATTTACGTGTATACGGATGTGGAGCGTCGCATAAAAGTCAGACCCACAGATAACATGAAGGGTTTTGATGTGTAAGTGGAAAGTTAAGATGAAAGTAGCATTATTTTCGATAAAATGAGCAAGGGCAATTGGTAGCACGGGCTACTACCGTGTAGGTTGGTTTTCATCGAAGCAAAGCCAACGTAGAAAGTCATCCAAAGCGTAGAGACACTCGTATTATATAGTAAGTATTACCCAAGCTTTAAGAACATACAAATAGCATCGTATCCCATTGGCCAAGCGTTACTAGCGTTGCTTTGTCCTCTTGCACAGACTTCTCAGCTCGGACACCATCAATCGTCGCCAAAATGACATCCATCGTTGTCAAACGTCGTGACAATGGTGCGGAAGCTGGTGGTGATGAGGAAACAGCTGGTGGCGGTGGGTTTGATGAGAAGAAGGAAACATCCTCAATCGAACGAGGAACCTTGTATCCCTCTGGTGCCTGATCGTCACTTGGGTACTATTTAGCATGCATGAACCAAACTGTCAAATCAATGACCTGTAGAAACTTTAGATTATCTACTTTGTCAAATTCGCTTTTGCCTAAAAAACAGTATTTTGTTGTAATTTTGCTACCATCATAACTATTGATGAAAGCACTCTGCGAAGAATCTATATTTTAGAAATGCAAGCAAGGTAGAGATTAAAAGATGGATGTGGCAGTATCTTAAGATTCATAGGCGTTGCGTCCCTGAAGCAAACCCCTTATTTGAAGTACCGTTCTCGACTCATTTGGTTCGCATTTAACATGCTATGGCATTGTCTCATAAGGGCGAAGCATCAGCTTGCTGTTTTCAACAGTTAATAATGACAACCGCACATGTGAATCTCCACAAAACTTATCAAACGCTTAGCCAGCTCATACAAGAATAGCAGATTAAACAAATAAAATTGCTGTGGACATTACAATTGTTTGTTGCATCTATAAGATACATGTAAGTTTTGAAAAAAAAAAAATTGAATAATTAAATCAAGCAGGCTAACATTACCTTTTTGTGACAGATACACGACTGTGGCGCTTATTATAAAAGAGTAAACTATACCGTGTTTTCAGTTCTGACTCCTTTTTTTTTTTTTTTTTTTTTTTTTTTTTTTTTTTTTTTTTTTTTTTTTCAACATGTTATTGAATAATGAAGCCAGCAGTGCCCAAAGCATCAAAGGAGAAATGCCATGGAGCGATAATATCAAATTTGAGGTAAAAGAGCCACCGCCACTGTCACCACCACCACTGTCACCACCACCACTATCACCACCACCATCTCAACAGCAACAAGAACAACAACAAAATATTCCGTGTAGTCCACTCATAGGCTACATGGTGAAAAACAACCCAATTGATATCAAACGCGAAGGAGCCGAGAACGACAAAACGAGTAAACAGCAATTGACTGGAGCAATAGACATAGATATGATGACTCCAGTGGAAGAGTCTGACAATAACGATGATGATGATGATATCAAGCAAGAAGACTCAATGAAGAGTGAGGCTTTAGGTATACATAACTGACATGATTATCTAAAAACACAAGGCACTGAATATACCTTGATATAGCTGATACCTTAGGGATGAGCAACAAGTGCTACTACTACCAATGTCGCCTGTGCAAAAAGGTGTTTTACAATTTTCAATCAGTGATGAAACATCGCAGGACGATTCATAAGATTAAAGTCAGCCGTCTATTAATCAAGCACATGGATCTGGAGCCTGATTTCGATGACCCAGACAATTATTGCAAGAGCTGCGAAAAAAGCTATACCTGCAAAGGCAATTACCGAAAGCATCTCGCAAAAGTGCATCACATAGCCAAGAAAAAGAAGAAAGATAGATGCTTGCCCTTGTCTCCCAATCCCAACGATCCCAACTTGCACTGCTGTTCGTGCAAAACAACGTACAAAAATCCTGCTTCGTTCAAAGCTCATCTCTCGAGAGTCCATGATATGCGGCCATCAAAACGTAGCGTTACTGCGATCATACACCCTGATATACTGCCTGACTGGAATGATCCAAATTACTATTGCCCATCTTGCGAACGCCAGTACAAGGCAAAATTGCGCTTCGTAAGTCATTGCAAAAACGTCCACAAAATGAAGAGCCCAAACAAGCAAATCATCCAAACAAAGGAGTTGCCTGACTTGCACGATCCCAATTTCCACTGCAACGTATGCGACATCACCCACGAAACTGAGAAAAAGCACAGAACGCATTGCTACAAAGTACATGGCATGCGTATGGCCATTTCTGATATGACTGTGAAAGCGCCAAATCCTAACCACCAATGTGACCTATGTACTAGAACGTTTTATAACAAGGATAGGATGCATGAGCACCTGTTTATCGTTCATAAAATAGACTGTGACTCGGAAGTATCTCAAGCACGCATGGCAATGCCAGATATCAACGATCCTTATTATCACTGCAGCGTTTGCGATAAAACGTTCCAAGACAGGTCGTATTTCGCATATCATTTACTCGCCATGCATGCCATTGGAGAACAGCAGGCTCAAGAAAAAGGAGGATTGAAACCTGATCTTGACGATCCCAACAACTATTGCCGTGTCTGCCAAAAGAGTTTTTGCTCCAAGGCAAATTATCGTGTTCATCTTCGTTACATTCATCAAATAGTACTCACAAGAGCCTCAGCATATGACCCCAACCGATCCCCCGACCCTCTTGATCCCAACTGGTATTGCAGAGTTTGTCAAACATACTACGGCGATCACTTTAAATATCGACAGCATTGTAGAGTAACACATCGCATGAAGCTCACCCCGGCGACCAAGGTTAATGTATATCCCAACGCAGAAATCGATATATACGATCCCAATCATTACTGTGCGAAATGCAACAAGAACTTGAAGAATCAGAGGCAATTCTTTACCCATTTGAGAAAATGTCATCGAATAATGCAGCTAAGAAGCACAATAAGTAATCCAAGGGCCACAATTGACAAGAACGATCCCAATTTCTATTGTGCACAGTGCGAAAGGCATTATTCCTCCAGCGGAAACTTCAAGGCTCACTTGAGTAAAATTCACCAAATTACATAAAACAAGAGGGTTACAACCAATGAGACGTAGAATGCGCAACAACTTATAGTACGACAAGTAAGGTTAAATAAAGAAGCATGCGTGTTCAGTATCAGTTACATTGTGTGAATGCGCGTAACATAGTTACGTGTCCCAAAGAGCTCCCCTATGTATTTGCACCCACAATGGCTCTGTACCGTACAGTCGTGCTTGCCAGAGTGCCTACGAGTGTCAATAGCATTGAAGGCTATTGTATACGGCGTATTCGAGGCGATCCATTTGCATCTCCGGGGAAAAGCCTTCACATTTTCGGTCGCGCGTTCCTTTATCTGATAATTTCTGCACGCACATCGTGTTTTTTCCTGTTTCTACCTTTCTCTCTCTACACAAAATGGCTACAAAAAGAGAGCGCCCCATCGATTTCTTTGACGAAGACGAAGACGATTTGGACTATTTGATTGAAGCGAGTATCGAAAACGACAAGAATAAAGAGAATAATGTACTTGGTTTAGACGAGTACCTAAATCAGAGATCCACTAGCAACCTAAAAGCAGGTAAGCTCAAGCTTGTGGTAACCAACACATTACCCTACTGACGACCACTTGCCTGTCATGCTTAATAAAGCAAGCAATGTTTTGGCAAATGATCCATTCACTGAGAGCATGGAGGATGAAGGATTTGACAGCAATGCATTTGAACAGGGCTTATTCGATATCCCCGTGTGTCCTGCTTCTCCTCGAGAGAGATCAGTAACAGCTGCTATGGATTTCATGGGCATTACTGATAACCAGGAAATTGATATCGACTTGACTGAACCAGCAATGCCACCCATTACCCCTGACGACATGGCAGATGAGGAGGCGGCGGTGGATACCTTTGTGGATTATAAGGAAGTGCCTCAAACAGGAGCTTTCATCTCGGCCACATGTCCAACCACAGGCACATCGCTTTTTTTCAAGAAAAAGACTCCAACAGAGCTGAAGCGTAGACAAAAGACATTGAATGACATTGCCATTAAGAAAAACCGCAGATCATTGCTGTCGAAACCTCTGTGGCAGTTGAGAAAAGAAATCGAAAAGAGCAACCAGGAGGAATTAAAGAGGATTGAAAAGTAAGTCCTTATGAGGATTCAAAGCGGCTTTATCTTGTTATACTGATGTATGTCATAGGGAAATTGAGGATGCGAGAAGCAGAAAAAAGAAAAAGGTACAGCCAAAAGACGATTCAGGTCAATTGTGGGTGGACAAGTATCGCCCCACCTCGTATATGGATTTGATGGGAGATCAGCGTGTCAATCGAGATGTGCTGCGATGGGTCAAACAATGGGATTATTGCGTGTTCAAGAAATCTGTTCAAAAGGAATCACAGCGTGATAAGCAGCTGAGACACTACAAGAGCACATTTGGTGTAGAGCCCAAGTTTGCTGCCTTCAAGAAGGATGTCAAGGAAACCAACGATCCGTTACTCAGACCTGAAAAGAAGGTACGATACATACGCTAGCAACACGACCTTTTCTCTCATCACATCAACAGATCCTACTCTTGTCAGGTCCTCCTGGATTTGGCAAAACAACCTTGGCGCATGTCATTGCCAAACAAGCAGGCTACAATATCATTGAAGTCAATGCCAGTGACGATCGTACGGGTGAAGTGGTTAAATCAAAGATCAAGGCGTCGTTGGAGCACCAAGCCATCATAAGAAATGTGAATGTAAAGGAAGAAAAACGAGAAATGTCCATGTCATCCAAGCCCAATTTGTTGATTATTGATGAGATTGATGGTGCCAGTAGTGGTGGCGGTCAAGATGTATGCTGCGTATAGGGTCATGTTGGATGTGCTGATTGGACTCACGGTATGTATTTTGTGTAGAGTTTTATCAAGCAATTAGTTCAGATTGCCACTGCTGAACTCACCAACGAGAAAAAGGGTAGGCAGATAAGACACGCCACTAGAGAGCCGAGCTAATATCATCTTTATAGGCAAACACAAGGGGCCAAAACCTCTGCTTCGGCCTATTATTTGTATTTGTAACGATGCGTACGTGTGTGGTTCATGTGTATAATCAGAATGGATGGCTGACACGACACGCTAGATATGCACCCGTACTTCGCCCTCTTCGTATGGTTGCTCAGCAAGTTCAATTCAGAAAAGTGCCAATGATGTCTTTAGCAAAGCGCTTACAGAACATTTGCGATAATGAAGGACTGGAGAGCGATTTGAGGACACTCAGTTTGTTATCAGAGACAACAGATGGTGATTTGAGAAGTTGTCTAAACACGTTACAGGTAATGATAGGTGCCACATGTACGTGATATACTGCTAATAGAAACACGCTCACAGTTTGTCAGAGGCAAGAGCAATGTTCTCACGCGAGATATGCTGAAAGAGGCTGGTCTTGGTAAGAAAGATATGGGCCAATCTGTGTTTTCTGTGTGGGAGGATCTGTTTGCAGCACCCAATGCCAGACTCAAGAACTCGATTAATAAGGATGATTTCGGTAAGCATAGCAGCACACGCAAAACACATGCCCCCTTGTCGACTCACCTATACATCATAGACAATAACAGGTATCTAAACAGATTGACAACTGCCATCATGTCCAATGGTGAAATAGAGAGAATCATGCAAGGCTGTTTTGAAGCGTACCCCTTGATGCGATTCCACGATGTTGCCCTGGAAAAGTTTTGCTTTATTGGAGAATGGCTTCATTTTTACGACCAACTCAACTACAGAACGAATGAAAGACATGAATACGACATGTACAAGTATTTGCCTTACCCTATTGTCAATTTCCACCGCTATTTCGCTGGTGCTGCTGTTCAGGAACACCGCGTTGAATACCCCAGAGTAGATTATGAAGTGTATTCTACCAAGAAATCGTACGAAAACTTGATTGAGGTGTTTATGGCGGGTATTCATCCTCAAAAGAGACGATTCCTGAACCGAGACATGATTGCAAATGAATTGGTGCCCTTGTTGATGCATGTTATTTCGCCTGAATTGAAGCCGGTAAGTAGGCTACTGCAGGAGAATGGGTTTGTATATTTACTCTGAGGCAATTATTAGATGAACCAGCAGTTGGTCAAGCCTGCAGAAAAGATCAAATTAGACAGACTGGTGCATATCATGATTGAATTTGGGCTATCTTTTGTGCACGAAAAGAACGAAGAAGGCCAATATGTGTTCAAGTTGGAACCGTAAGTCCAATGCTTGCCAGTGCTGGTGGTAAAAACTAATGTTGTTACTATGGTAGACCTGTTGAGCAACTGCTAAACTACACACTGTCCTCACCTAAATCAATCTTACCAAAGCAGTATGCTGTTCGACAAATGATTGCACATGAGGTATGGAAAAGCACAAATGTACGACAGTGCAAAATGAAGGCTCATATGTATTGCATAGATTGAAACTGAAATCTTGAGACGAAGAGAACAAGCATCTCAGGCACGAAATCAGGGAAACAACAAGAAAAAACCAGAGACCATGTAAGTCCACTGCTTTAGACACGCTTCATGCATACTAAGCATGGCTTCTATACCAGGCTTACACCCGAGAAGATCAAACAGAAAATTTCTGCAGAAAAGCAAGTTGCACTTGATTTCTTTGGCCGTGTTATTGTGCCTAGAGCAGAAACAGGTCAACCCTTAAAAAATCTCAAAATGGAAGGTAAAGGAGTACACAAGATGAAAACAGATCATAAGATCACAAATATTCACTTTTGCTACTAGTGGATACACCAAAATCAAGCGTATTCTATAGATACCACGAAGGCTTTTCCAATGCTGTTCGAAAACCAATGACAGTGCAAATGTTCCTTTAATAAATGTTTATCGTAATTGAACAAACTGACAAGCTACACATGCTGTCCATTTCTTTTCATTCTTTAATGTACATTGAGGGCAGGACCAAAAGTCATCTGAAACGTCAACAACAGTAGCATCATCATCATGAGGCCGTTCCGTGAAACAGATTTGACAAGCCAGTGTAATGGGGCCATTGATAAAAGTGCAAGTAGTACAAGCCCATCCGTCTTTCTCTATTGTTGTTGTTGTTGTTGTTAGATCAATCACACTCGTTTCAAGACTCTGCTTTTTCGATCGTGTATCCATCTCGGCGGGTATATTGGAACTGAGCTTTCTTTTGCGTGTTACATTATCGGAAGGCGAGGAGGGTACAGCAGGTGGAGTTACAGGTGCCGACGATGCATCGCCCTCACTGCTGCTGTCTTGTTCTACCACACTACCTCCACACCAAACCTTATCTAATTGTCGTTTTTGTGCTGCTCGTGCTGCTGCTTGGGCAGGTGTCATGTGCTTAATGGTGCTTGATCCGCCGCCTAATCGAATGCCTCCAGTTGGCAGCATGATTTTGGACGTCTGCAATCGCTTTTCCGCTGCTTTTGCTGCTATTCCACTACTCATGTATCTGGGCACAGATTGGAATCCCAACAGATGTCCATCTGAGAAAAATCCGTCGCCTCTGTAACCAGATGCCATCAACAGCTCTGTTTCTTGCTTCAGCTCATCCAACAATTTGTAGAAATGTTCATCATGGGGTCCTCTCACAATGTGTGCCATTCTATCAAACAAACATTCAATCATACCATCCTCATACATTGACCCAAAACGCAACTTACTCATGCAACAGTGTGCCTAGAATGTCTTCATACTCCAAAAACTGCGTTTCATCGTAATGCGGTCTCAATCTCAAATTGACCTTCCATCCTCTATTGGTATTCATCCCTTGAATGCCTATTAGCACATGGCTAAATCCATCCATGCATTACATACCTAGCAAGTTGGGATTAGTGGGAAAGAACTCGACCAAATTCTTGATAGTCCAATTATGCTTCAGCAACACCGGTTTCACTTGCGATGCTAAACGTTTCAGCAGTTGTAGAGCTTCGTCATGTCTTGGCTTTCTCACCAACGCCTTATACTCCTTTACAGGGTCGTTGTTCATAAGCGAGATCACAGAAAACACAGACTTTTTTTTTTTTTTTTGTAATGTAAGTGAAAGAAATAGGGGGTTTTCATTGATTCATTTACTGCGATATTTATAACCCCATGTGACTGTAGTGGCTCACAGCAAACCTGATGTCTACATGAAATGTCGAGTGGATTTGCTGTGCAAAGCGGCCATACAGATCATGTGGATACGAAAAACAGTAGTAGCGTAATCTCTATCAATGGCATTTGGGATGAGTGCATGGAGAAAAGCAGACGACACGCACAGACAGTCGGAACAAACCCAAATCAGAGCATCCAGCAGGCAAATCTCGATGCACACTGGCATTGAATACCATTACTGCTACTGTCACTTGGCTACTGCTGCAGGCACACATTCCTCGCTTTACATGGCTGCTATCTTATCACTCCACCCAAATTGAGTCGCCCCTTTGAACCTGTGTGCACGACCAAATCAACAAAAATGGCAAGATGTTCTATCTTGCACCTGGCATTGAAATCATCATGATTCCCTGTGTAAAGGTGCAACAACGGAAAGTCAAATAAATACCTTCCTCTTTTTGATTTTTTCTTCCTTCCTCTTCTCTTCTTCTTTCGTTTCTTTTTCTGATTTCTCGGTTTATTTTTATTACGCTCATGAGCCGCCGTAATTCGACTGCAATGAGTCAAGGTTCTTCTCCCAGAGACATCCATGGCGGATCCATGCCCAATGCCATGGTGGATGAGGAAATCCCATCACGTTCGTACTACTCTTCTCATTTGGCCATTGAGCCAGGAGGTAAGCAGTGTCTAGGTGGAACTTATGTACCATTATTGACCTTGATCTCAGAGCACGCCACGTACTCTGCTTCTATGGAGTCTATCCGTGCTCACTCGCTGGCACTGGGCGATCGATACATGCAAGAATCAAGTCCAGTGAGCTCGCCTCCCAGCCATGGCACATCGCCGTCGCTCTCCAATGACGCCTTGACCAGCCCGATCTCGCCTGTGCAGCCCAGCTCACACTCGATACTATCCAAGCTGCTGAAAAAGGACGAAAACGAACAAAAGCCCTTACTGAAACACTCGCACAGAAAATCAAAGAGCTACCTATCAACGCATAGCCATGACAGCTTTCCTAATATGGATCCTGAAGCTGTCCGTGTTATACCACCTACAACCACGGCACAACAAGAACAACAAGATGAGCAGCACTCTTATCACTATGCATCACACCACCAACACACCAAGGAATTTCGTCCTACTTGGAAACAGTTGACGAATCCTGAAATCTGGATGAATTGTTTCACACAGCCCATCAGTTATATACCTGCAGTCATTCTAGGATTACTGTTAAATTTATTGGACGCCATCTCTTATGGTATGATTACATTTCCCCTGAATAATCCCATTTTCGCTTCATTTGGTCCAGATGGCATTTCCATGTTTTTTGTCAGGTTTGTTGTCTGCAATGTGTACAGAAAAAGAAAAGGTCCGACAGTGTGTAGTAATGATCTGATCCCACTAGTTGTATCATCTCTCAGCTGGTGTACTCCTGCGGTGGAAGTGTGTTTGATGGTGGCAATGGAAGGTAAAAGATCATACCGCGTATAGATGGCAGGGAGACTCACCTCATGTTTGTTGTTGGACAATGTTATCAGTATGATGATTGAAGGTAATGGAAGGCAAATTCTGATTGATACGACGGATGCTAATCTCGAGCGTATATAGTGGTCCCCTTTTTACACATCATGTAAGCCCATTTATCAACCTCTTTTGTTCTTGTTTTCCTCACACATGTCTATCACTAGGGCAGAGAAAATCGTATCTGTGGCTGGACAGGACAATCCTGACGTTGTTATACCCTCGACCATGGTGGCATTTGCGCTCAGCAGCATCATGACGGGCCTCGCCTTCTTTTTATTAGGTGCATTGAAGCTGGGCTCGCTGATCGGCTTCTTTCCTCGACACATTTTGGTAGGCACCATTGGCGGTGTGGGCTGGTTTTTGGTAGCAACAGGTATCGAAGTAGCAGGTCGACTGGATGAAAACTTGGTGTATACGATCCCCATGTTCAAAAAGATCTTTTTGGATTCACATGTCTTTAGTCTCTGGTTCTCGGCGTTGGCCGTCGCCATCTTGTTGAGATTAATACAATATCGTATCACATCCCCATTAGTCGTTCCCGTCTTCTTCATGGCACTGCCACTGGCCTTTTATCTAATTGTCTTTGTCTGTGGTTTGGATGTCAATGATGTTCGCCATGCTGGCTGGATCTTCCCCTTGGTCGAGAGCAACCTTCCCTTTTGGCACTTTTACACGTACTATGATTTCACCAAGGTAGATTGGCGTGCTGTGGCAGAGACGATCCCAGCAATGTTGGCGCTAACTTTTTTCGGTAATGTTATACAAATGCTTTCTCTTGGCTAATGCCGCTTTTTTTTTACTGATATTCTACAGGTGTATTGCATGTACCTATCAATGTGCCTGCACTGGGCGTATCCACCAACAAGGACGATGTCAATGTCAATCGTGAATTGGTAGCGCATGGTATTTCCAATGCTGTCTCGGGCCTGTTTGGCACTGTGCAAAGTAAGGAAGACATCTTTATCGTTATGACGATAATCTTAGATAGCGATACTGATAATATTTTTAATTAGATTATCTTGTGTATACAAATTCGCTGCTTTTCATTCGCTCCGGTGGTGACAGTAGAGTTGCAGGATTGATGCTGGCTGGTGCCACAGCCATTCTCTGGATGGTGGGTCCATGGATTGTTGGATATATTCCTGTGATGGTCGTTGGCAGTCTAATCTTCCATCTCGGCCTGGATCTACTTAAAGAAGCGCTTGTGGATACTTGGAACTCTGTCCACTACCTTGAATACATTACTATTTGTGTCATCATTGCGTGCATGGCAACATTGGGCTTCGTGGAAGGCATTTTGGTGGGTATCATCATGGCGTGTGTCTTCTTTGTCGTGCAAAATGCGCGTCGCAGTGAAGCTATTCGCGCTACTTATACTGGCCAATACATGCGATCCACCGTACGTCGCTTATACCGCCAAGAACGCTTTCTCAAACAGGTGGGTGGCCAGATTCAAATCGTCAAACTTCAAGGCTATCTCTTCTTTGGCACCATTGATCAAGTGGAACGTGCCATTCGTGACATGTTGGACGAACATGCCTGGGATTTGCACCCAATTAGGTTCCTGATCTTGGATCTTCAGCTGGTACAAGGTCTCGACTTTAGTGCTGCTGAAGCCTTTGTACGTATTCGTCGTTTATTGCGTGCTCGCCAAGTGTATATGATTGTATGCAATGTGGCTCGTCGATCTGATGAAGAAAAGGCATTGATGAAGGCTGGCATTTGGGTGAAACAGTCTCAAGAACAAGATGAAGGTGATTTGAAGTGCTTTGAACATATCAATGATGCCATAGAATGGTGCGAGAATGTCTTGTTGACGACTTATTTCGAAAAGAAGCCCAAGCATCTCCAAAGTAGGTGATTTACATGATAATTTGTCGTGCCAATACTCATCTGTTTGTAGTTACCACACCTGCAGTTACTGTGCCTGTCACCAGCACCACCACAAAGCCATACAGCCTTTCAGATCGATTAGCCTCAGCTGGATCTCCTCGTCATGATATCATATCCAACGCCATCCATCATGTCTTTAGTGGTAAATAGTCAATACGCATAATACATGACAGATGATATTAAACCTAATTGATACAGAAACTCACAGCCCTGCAATTCACAAAAACACGACACAACCTACACTCATTCTTGTGCAAGCATTTGGAGAAATCAACAATGGTGAAACACCACTGGAATTCTTTCACAAATTGAGCAAGTACTTTGAAAGAGGCACATGTGACAAGGGCAACCCTTTATACCGTGAAGGAGATCCATGCGACTACTTGTTGGTACTGGAGCAAGGCTCATTGAGAAGTTTGATGTACGTCTTGAAGGAACAAGTTACCGTAGAAACCATTCTACCTGGTACAGTGGTCGGTGAAATGGGCATCTTTAGCGGTAGTTCTGTGCGCTCTCGCTCCTTGGTGGCAGATACAGACTCTGTTTATTGGAAACTGACGCGTGAGTCGTTTGATCGAATGCGAAAAGACGATCCAGCCATGGCAAATCAGTTTATTCTTTTAACATTGTATTTTTCATCTGAAAGATTGGATACCATGACACGATACGCATTCCATTTGCATTAATGAATCATAAAAGCAGAATAGAATATCAATTAATTCATTTTTTTTAGTAACATGACATTATTGATAAAATCGAGGCCAAACTAATTTAAACTTCTTTCTCTTTCTTTCGCTTTCACGATTGTACTTCTTGATCGAGCACCTACTCATAAGACGTGTCTCGCACATAAGAGAGTGGTGCTGGTGTAAGAATGAACTCGACTGCACAGGTGAGCCTATGTATTTCCACTTGTTTTCCTTGGCAGCAGCTGAACATCTAGCTTATCTGTAGGATGGACCAAAAACATTGCCTGTCTATCATACAAGCTACTGGAAGCTCAAGCAATGTATCTGTCTTTGACAAGAGGGATGTGGACGTTATTGCCAATGATAACTACACCTCAGAGCATGCAGGATACTATCAGCATGACAATCACAGCCCATGAATCAAGTGCTGTCAACGAGTTGGGCAAAGTTGAACGACTATGATCAACAACAATTATCAGCAGTTGAGCAAAACGGATTTATCAGCCTATCGCCATTCCTAACATACCTGCTACTCATTCGAAGAGAGCTTCGTACATTGGTGTCTAATACCATTCTTGTCTTCAGTCCTTGGTTCGGAACCTCGTTTGAAAATGGATAGATGAAAAGTTACACTCCACATGAAAACGTAATTCTGATATAATTTAATTACTGACTGCAGGCATACGTTATGAATCTCTCCTCTGCCAGTCTCTAAAGAATGGCAAGTCTCTCCAAGGTTGAGCTGCTCAAACATCTGGACCGAGTCGCTTTGTTGCCAAACGTTCTCGCCCATTTGCTACGCTTCAAGGGAATTGCTCGTGAAACTGCTACCAAGGTGATGATTCACTGAATATGCAATTCACACCAGTTATTACCCTTTGCTATGTCCTTCATTGATGCGAGAACCAAAAGAGCCGAGGGTGCCACTCTATAGAGCTAGGCATTTAGAACGTCCTGCATCGAACCTGCCCTCCTAGTGGCTCGTAATGCAAAACGGCGTGCTCTCCCGGGTCCTGCAAGAGTAAAAGAAGTGAACAAGCCTACTCTAGTATCAATCTTGACCTTCATTGATTCATTTATTGCAATATTTACTGCTATACAGTAGTCGCTCTATATAAGGCCGTCCTATATAAGGCTATGCGGGGAATAAGGCTGAAATTTTTCAGGTTTTTTTTTTTACCAGCTATTTAGCCTTAATAGCCTAATTTTATATAAGGCTACAGATTCTAAAAATTTTAGCCTTATTTCATAGTGGTGATCGCTGAGATTGAATTTAAGGCCAATCAGATAATAAAAAATATATAGCTTTTATTGAAAAATAACACATTTAAACAAAATAATCACGTAAATCTGTTTGATTTTTCTCTGCTACTTCCTCCGATCTGATATCGTTCAGATTCCTACGGATAGTTTTCAGCATAGACTTTTCTTTTTCATCCATTGGGATGGTATGGTACAAGATAGTTTCATACGCATGCTTCAACTTCTCTCTTATCTCCTTCGTATCAACATCGTAAATCTCTACTGGTTCTTCCTCTACCTCAAGCTCTTGTGATCCATGGGTAACATCATCGCCATCCTCAAATTCAACAATCACGGGATTAAAAACGATTGCATCAGACTCATCTGCATTTAGATCCAAGTCGTTTACTTCAGTTACCAATTGAACCCCATCATTACTTCTGTTTCCAGGAAGTTCAGGGATGATTTCGTTCAACTGGCTGACTAGATCATCGTCTAAAGGTAGCTCGAAAGATGGGAGTACATCCTCCGAGTCGACTCTCTGTCTCTGAGCAAACTTAAAATCAAGGATCTTCGTATGATCCCAGCAATTTTGGATTGTTTGAGGCTTAACTTTGATCCAAGAATCAGCAAGAAAATACAGAGCATCCACCTCATCCATTCTGTATTCCTCGGTAAGATCAAGGCTTACCCCAGCAAGATACTTGTTCACTGCCCTGTAGTATTGGTGCCAACGAAACTGAGCCTTGAAGTTCGCAATGATTCCTATCGAGTGTGTGATTAGAGATGAGTACGTATATCAATGAAATTTGTTGATTTACCGGCATCCAAAGGCTGCAACTTGCTTGTTGTGTTTGCTGGAAGGAAAATCAACTTAATATTGCTGAATTCTTCTTTCAATTTATGCACTGAAGCATTGTCAACCAAGAGAGCAACTTTTCTTCCGGCGTAAACGAAAGACGCATTCAAACGTTTTACGTACTTCCTAAAGATGTCGGTGTTCATCCATGCATTGGGAGATGAATGGTACTCCACGTAATGGGATTGCCCGATGTTGGTGGTTCTTCTGTACAAAGCAGGTTTTTTGTTTGCTGCCTTTGGTGTCTTTCGTTTCCCAATTACAATGGGGTGCCCTTTATAGGATCCATCATAGTTGGTGATTAGTCCAACTGTGAATCGGTTCTTGCTTTTCCTTGAACCACCTAAAGGTTCCTGACAAATGGTGCGAGTTGGTTGTTGCTCGTAGTATAAGCCAGTTTCATCAAAGTTGAGAATATCTTTGGGATCATATGGCTCCAACAATTCTTCAATCTTTCTGAGTTCTTCGACAATCTTAGATGATGTTAAGTCGACTGAGCTTTTTTCACCATATAAATGTCTTGACTTGACACCAATTCTCTTGAAAACATCGGTTAGCCATCCATCTGAGAAATGGATTTGCTTATTCTTTGGCAATTCATGCATGCGGTACTTTCTGTGTGCGACTACTTTTGCAAAAGCTGCAATAGTTCCACGATTGACAGGAAGAGATTTTGCATTCATGGCTTGAATGTACTCCAAAATGTCATTGTCCAATTGTGGCATCGTCAAGGCTCTGCTGCTTTTTCCCTTCAAATTTCCTCCTTCGTAAGCTTTGATCACCTTGTCCTGTGAATTCAAGACGTTCGATACAGTTTTTTGCTTGACTGAGTGATGAAGGTTGAATTCCTTTTGAGCCCATTGACCGAGTTGCATTTGCGTCAGATTAGGAAAGTGCATGTTGTGCATAATAATGCGATACTTTTGCTCGATTGTGAGGCGATCTCTTGATCTTTGATTAAGGCACATGATAGGATATTACGTTCAATAGAAGTAAAATAAACAGATAAATGAATGTTACTGGGGAGGTATCAAGTTGATTTATTTGATCAACTATTATAGTAATAGATTCTACGCGCACGACTTTTTTGACAGAAGTCACGCGCGCCAGTTAAGGCTATGCGGGCAATAAGGCTAAAAAAACCTCGCCAAAAAAGTAGCCTTATATAGAGCGACTACTGTATATGGAAAAGCAACTAGTTGTTAGCATAATGCGTGCCATGTAAATGATGGGCCTTTTTATGCCCTTGATTACAATAAATAAAAGAATCCTTGTATTGATTGATATATTACATGACAACAATAGTGTGTGCCTTAATCAACAAGAATACTAAACACTTAGAACGCCATTTAATATCTGATCGATCCAATTCTAACTCATGAGTAGAGCTATTTGTAAACTAGCTAGAGTTTATAAAATTGGTATATTGATATTGGAAGCAGAGTATATACAATAAATAAAAGGGTAGCAGGAAGGGATATAAAAGTATGTAGTAGTGATAATAGTTGGCTTCGTTGCTGTTGTAGTTGTTGTAGTCGATATGGTGTGAATATGAATATGCAAATCAGGATAAATGCTGACAATGTGTGTGTATCTGTGCTTTAAGGTAATGGTGGTGGCGATGGCTCAGGTGGTTGTTCATCTTTTTTCACTATTGCTACAATAACACTAATATCATCTGCTTTTCCGCCCTACAACAAACAAATCGGATTAGCAAAACAGAGAAATCCCTAACCACACACAGCACATGTGCTGCTCACTACAAGTTGGTACCTGGTAATAGAGACCTTCATGCATGGCTCTCACTTGGAATGGGGAACTAGGATTATCTGGGTCTTCACTCACAATCTTGGCTCGCCAAGCCAACGCATCTGATATCGTTTGAGGTGCAATGCGGTGTAGCATCGAGTTTTGATCTTCTTTTTCAACATTGTCCTCCCCATCTGTGTTGTTGTTGTCGGTCGTTGTCTGCTGATCAATGCAATTTTGCACCTCTTCCAAAATCTCGTCGTCATATAGATTATCAAACAATCCGTCAGATCCAAGAATCACAATATCACCCTCCTCAACCTTGACTGTAAATTGCTTTTTCCTATAGGTGAATATCAAATGATTTCATTGTAAAAGAGAAAATTTACATTTTACCTGTGCATCATTCGGGGAATCAAAGGAAGCTGTGCCTAGTTGATAAGGAAAGTTGAATGAATGTTGCTGCTCCTCAGATCGAAATATGTAGTCGTTCCGTCGAATTACTGACACGCCACAATCCCCCAAGTTGGCGATGCGAAGCTCGTCTTGACATAAAATAACAATACAGGCAGTGGTCGACCCAACTATACCCTAAGTGATGGACAGAGATGAATACCCATTTTCCCAACATAATCCCGTCTGTTTTCCAGCTTATACCTCGTTTTGTGCATCTAACGTCGTCATATGATAAGCGCTCTCCAACACTTGCACTGGATCTGGTTTGGCTTGTAGTTGCTGAGGTCTTACATTTGTTTTGATACGATCCAGCTCCACTTGAGCGTAATGCATCAATTTACGTGAATATAAAGCAGGGTTGGCACCTAAATATAATATATATATATATATATATATATATATATAAAGCAAGGGGTGATGATGATTTGGGGATGAGGAGGAAAAGAATAAAGAGGTGGGCCATGGTCAATTATACGCTATTACACACCCGCATGAAGCCTTGATCAACTTACCTTTATGCGATCGCCAGCCGCCAACACCGTCTGCCACACCCAACGCATCCTGACGTTTGAAATAAGCATCATCGCCCACTTGAACGCTTGAATAGATGTTTAAATCATCCAGCTGCTCCACAGGCTTCCCAGCTTTTGGATAGCCAGATACGCCCAGATTGAGTGTGTAGTGAAACAAGGTGGACGACAATGAAGGATGGAAGAAATCAATGACATTGAGGTTTGTGCGAGGTTTTTCTTGCGGTGAAATTGCTGCAATAGATCTCTTGGCAGCACAAGTGTGTATTGCACAGGTAGCTAGTATTGGACGAGCAAATTGTTTGGCGTATATAGAGACAAATGCATGATGAGAGCGGTTTAGCATAGAAATGATATGATGATGAAATTACAAGAAATGAAGAAAAAAAAAAAAAAAAAAAAAAAAAAAAAGCGAAAGAAAAATGGAGTACAGAAAAAAAACAAAAGAAAAAAAAAAATATACACCTCTGAAATTATACCTAGCCAAACCCTTATTTAGTAATAACTATACTGTTTATTCAGGAGAAGATAGTTTACGATAGAGATCTGCAACCAAGTAAAGAGAGCCACACAAGACAGCAACATCACTCTCTGTACATATGCTTCCAGCCTTGGCGAGTGCCTCATCCAATCCAGTGCAGCATTCCACTGATTGAGCCCCATGGGCTTCTTTTGCAATGTCGCTAGGCAAGCTGCTCTTGATCCAGGGCATCCCAGCAGGCTGGCTAAATGTCACTGCATACACAACATCCTCTTTGCGAATCAGTTTCTTCATCATGCCATGCAGGTCTTTGCCAGCCGTTGATCCGATTATCCACACCACTCGTTTTTTATCAAGGCTATCAATGTATTGTCGCAGTGCAATAGTTGCAGGTGGGTTATGTGCCCCATCCACCAAGATTTCCTTTAAACCATAGTTGTCTAAAAGAGTCGAGTCATTCACCCAATCCAACCTGCCTGGCCAACGCGTCTCTTGCATGCCGGTAGCCAATTGCTCAGGTGTCATTTCAATCAGTTTCAAGCGATACATCCAGTCTAATGCAGTTACTGCTGTTGCTGAATTCATACGCTGATAGTCTCCCATCAGCCGAATGGGATATGTATAGTGGACTTGATCGAAATCGAGTTGACAGATGTTGGCTTGGATAAACTCAGATGGTTGTACCAGTGTGTAAGGAGAACCGGTTCTATCGGCATGATGCGTCAATGTGTCCAAGACACTGCTTGAATCTTGTGGCGCTATCACGACTGGACATCCCGGTTTCATGATGCCTGCTTTTGCACTAGCAATTTCTTCAATCGTATGACCTAATATGTGGGCATGATCTAAACCAATCGCAGTAATCACTGTCATTGCAGGATGTCGAATGGCGTTAGTGGCATCGAGCAATCCTCCCAATCCAACTTCGAGCACAACAAAATCGAGTTTAGCCCTGTCAAATACGTAAAAAGCTGCGCCCACCAAGCACTCAAATGAGGACGCACCAATAGCGCCGTTTGTGTTGAGCTGATGAACATGCGCAAATGCCTCATCGTAGAGCGATTGACTGATGGCCTGTCCATTGACGTTGATGCTGTCGCGGGGTTCAATCAGATGAGGCGAATTGAAGCGGCCTACTGTATATCCACACGTTCTAAGGACACTGGAGATGTAAGCACACACAGATCCTTTGCCATTTGTTCCGGCTACATGTACGATTTGAGTGCGTTCATCGGGTCTATTCAAAGCCTCCAACAGACTGTGTATTCTTTCCAAGCCAAAGTTCATGTTTCTACAACAAATGAAGAGAGGAAAAGTTGATTGACAAAATAAAGGGGCAGATGGCCTGCTACTTAAACTTGCCATCGATGTGACAAACAAAATGAGGTGGTGATACAGACAGCTGAAAGCCAGTCTTGAGACATGAAGATTGGCATCTTTGCACGGAGAGCATCCTTTAGTTGTATATGCAAGATAGGCATCCGGTAGAAAGACGCTAATCATAAAGAGCTTATGACTGCAACTATTGCTCTCCCGTGTCGATTGAGCCAGCTGCCTCCTGTATGTGTCTGAATCCCAATGCCTACAAGTCAATGTCATCAAGAAGCGATACAATCGCCCAGCTAAATTATTCAATCGTATCAAGCAAGCAGTAGATATGTCCCTTGAGGAGCTGTACATCTCAATCACGCCCTACTAGATGAGCCAGACATTCTTCTCCCCAAGGCACAGTGCGCCAAATCATGGAGCCGTAAAAAGTGACAGGTGGTGGTCGCAGCGTGAATGGCTGAAACGCGCAAAGCTTTCAAATTTTTTAGAAATCCCAGTTCCAAAAACACGTCTTTTGAATTACACTTTATGTATCCAACAAAATAATGACTGATCTCCAGGAACAAGGTATATATCTTTACAGTTTGAGCCGTAACGTTGAACGACCATCTGATGCAATGTCAATGTAGCTCAGAATGAACTGAAAGACATTGAGATGTCCGAGAACTTCTTTACCGACGACGACGACGACGACATGAACCATGTCGACAACAACTTTTCCAGAGTCAATATCGATCAAGACAGCACAGTACAGCACAGAATGAATCATGAAAAGTAATGCCATACACAAGCATCAGATAGTTCGCTGCTTTACTGACACAACTGCTCGCCTTAGCTATGCCAATGACCCAATCTTCTTGTACAGAATGTTCTATAACAGACTGTTTCCCTTCAAAACATACTTTAGCTGGCTAAACTACGACACAAGTAAGTTGTGACATATGCTTGATCAGATATCTGGCTAAATGTGGCATTCGTAGCACCGACAAGGAGCTTTACACATCGAGAATTCAGTTTCACCTTGCTAAATGATATCTACATCCGTTTCAAATCATTCCGTGATGCCGATGAATTGAAGAAGGAAATTGAGAGAATTCAACCTGTCAAGATTGATATTGGTGCTATTTACGCAGTGAGAGTAAGTCATCCACACATTGCTCACATCAACAACACACTCACCTCGGATGGATAGCCCAACGACAAGAAGACGGTGAGCGAGAAAGCATTCAGGCCATTGGAAAAGGAACTCGTCTTTGATATTGATATGACAGACTATGATGAAGTTCGTACTTGTTGCAGGTAAGAGACACAGAAACGGATGAGAGATGGGCGCATGCTGACATGAGTTCTAGTGGCGGCGATGTGTGTCTGCTGTGCTGGGAGTTTATGACGGTTGCTATCAAGGTCATTGATGCATCTCTCAGAGGTGAGTGCTTTGTAAATATGCATGATTTGATGCTGTTTTCGCTAATGGTGAGCGCAGACGACTTTGGATTCGAACAAATTATGTGGGTATACTCTGGTCGTCGTGGTGTCCATTGCTGGGTGTGTGATGAAAGTGCACGTAAATTAGATAATGACAGCAGAAAAGCAATTGTGAGTTTTTTGGATATCATCAGGGGTGGTGCTCAAGTAGAACGTAAAGTCAAGTTGCCCTCTATCCTGCATCCTTCTCTCAAGTAAGTTGCTCCCTACTGAAGTCTGTTGTGCACGATGCTTATACATCTTTGATAGACGCTCTTTCAACATTGTGGATACACACTTCAACTCATTGGTCCTATCAAAGATGGGTGTTTTAGACAAGACAGAAACGTGGAACAAAGTACTGGCCATCATCCCTGATGCTGAAGTTAGAGAAAAGGTCGAATCGCAATGGACCAGCCATCCCAATAAACCAGCAGCAGAGAAATGGGACATCTTGGAAAAGGAGATCAGCAAGGCGGAAAAGAAGAAAAAGTTCAAGGATGAGGTTGCTAGAGATATCAAATTCCAGTATTGCTATCCTCGACTCGATATCAAGGTCACCACTGCCATTAACCATTTACTGAAGAGCCCCTTCTGTGTGCATCCAAAGACATGTAGGTTTTAGTGAGCTTTTGCAAGTGAGTTGATAGGGCTGACTCGTCATATACAGTGAGAGTGTGTGTACCCATCAAAGTAGACGAATGCGAGAATTTCAATCCCTTGGCAGTGCCTAATCTAGCCACCCTGAATCAAGAATTGGAGGAATACAACAAGGATCATCCCGAAAATACTCGACTTGCAGATTACAAAAAGACATCACTGAAGCCCTACATTGAGCACTTTGAGAAATTTGTGAACGGCATGATACTGGATGTCACTAGAAGCAAACGAGGTAAGCTGCTGCTACTGCTGTTATCATATCAAATGATGATACTCATGTTCTTGACAGATGAAGCCGAACAATCCATGGAGTTTTAAAGCTGCTTTAACCAAGCACTGTGTTTTAATTACAATAAATCATTTAAACATCTAAAATCTTTTTGTCACAAGGGTCCCCTCTTTCACTACACTAATTTTCAATCCAACGAGCTCGATAAGGCAGCATGCTCAAGTGTCTTGTTTATATACCAAAGTCTCATTTGCCAAAATGTCACACCAGATTGGCCCACCACACCCAGCACTATAAGCCAAATCAATTTCAAAAAAGGTTTCAAAGCAACATTGAGCAATTTACGTCCAATTCACAGACCAAGCCTGAACCCATCTTGACAGAGCTTGTCTACGGCAGAAAGCGTATCTACACTAGCTTGCAGACGATTGGCAAAACCAAGTCAGCGACTGCATCCAAGGGACGCATTGCTGCACCTGTCACTACTTCGCCCATGTCTTGGGAATGGATCCAGCCCGCAGAAGATACGAATAAGACGAAACGAGAATGGTATCAGCTCAGGCAGAACAACAGCGGCTTTAGTGCGTTCAATTCAATGAAACAAAACATGAGAGAAATGTTCTTGCCAGTGGGATATCCCGAATCAGTGCATGATTGCTACAAAAAGTTCCATGCTTGGTTGTTTTTGGAGACATATGTTGGATCTGCGGTAGGATGACATATATAAAAAAAGTGTGGATTCTGTGCGCACAGACTGATTTCGTATGGGTAGATTGGTGTGCTGTGCTCACAAGCGATGCTGGCTTCATTGGGGCTGGGCACAATGGAAGCCACTGGAGGTGCTGTTGCAATTCAATGGTAAAACCACAATACCACAAACCCATACGTTGCCATGTATTGACGCTAGGAATTAGGGTGTTGAAGGATGGCATAGGCGAAATTGGTAAATTGTTCTTTATCAAGAGATATGCTAGCTCTTTTGATTCACATCCAAAGACGTGGAAGTTTGTTTGTGAGATTTTCTCTACTGTGGGGTCGTTTTTGCAACTGTGTACATCAGTAGTGACCCCCAAGCTCTTCTTACCATTAGCAGCAGGTAAGTGGGTTATGGTATGACAGTATGATTTCGGAAACTGACAGTGTATAATATAGCTGGAAATATGTTTGAACTGATTCACGAGAGTATCTGGATTGCATCACACATGACATTTACAAAGCACTTTTCGGTAGGCTATAGAGGAGAACGAGTGTGGATCAGCTGTACTCATCTGCATTGAATAGCCTAACGGTAATATTGGTGATATCGTAGCCAAGGATGATGCCCAGATGTCAACAGCGCATTTGATGGGCATGTTGACTGGTGTGGGTCTCATCTCAGTATCACATTCTCCCATGTTTTTGTTTGGTGTATTTGCTGTGCTGTCACCTATCAACATTTGGTCTACCACAAAGATGCTTCATGCTGCAAAGTTCGAGATTTTGAACCAAGCAAAGTTGACACTGCTCAGTCGAGAATTCATTGATTCCGGAGCTGTGGTGGAATACGATAAACTGAAGGATCGTGAGATTGGCTTTGGTGAATGGATCAAACCAACCTATGGCAAAAACAAAAAGGGTAGTATCGCAGTGAATCTCAAGCTGGGCCCAAGCGCTGAGCAAGCGTACGGCGTTGCAGGAGAAGTCGAGGGTGTCGTTCAAGTGTTGAAGGTACGTCGTGTGCACATTATTGCAGGAATGGTGTATCTGACATGAGGACAATTAGCACGAAAATTATCTGTTAAACTTTCACAACAACACAATGTGGGTCATGTTCCATCAAGACGCAGGATCCAATGATGTGATACGATCCATTCTGCATTCACTCAAGTTCCACGATAGTCTCAGTAAAGCAAACATCACTAAAGAAGCAGATTGGAATGGATACATTTGTACATTAGAAGATTCGTTGGCCTGGACCAAGGAAAACTATCCAAAATTTGTTGCTGAATTGGATCAAAAGAATTGGCAAAGTGATATTGTATATTGGAATGACAGGTAAAAGCATGCGTAATTGATTCCATTGTCCCTTTCTAATATTTCGGCATAGTGGCATGAGACTCAAATGGAAGGAGCATGAGCTGGCTGAGGAAGACATTCAAATCACAAATTAGACGATGGCAACATCAATTCATCATGTACATATACTCATCTCTTGTAATAAATACCCTCTCCCTCTCCTACTGTCTACGCTTATTAGTGGTAATTTAGCAACACAACCCTAAAGCTATCCCGCAAATATCAACTTGAGAGATTAGTATTCCTTTTATTATTACTATCTATCAACAAACAAAGCTTGTGCTGGAGTGCATCGCCATCGTTTTCATATCAAATACCAGAATTGAACACATTACATGGCTTATTTTATGTGCGCAGCACATCTTAGAATAGAGAAACTGTCTCAGAAAAGATACTGAATCAGCTCAAGATGATAGTACCAAAAGATTAAGACGAGCTTGAAGCACTTTTTTAATTACTGCTGTATTGCCTTCATGATTAGAGGGACTTTTGAGTTTGCCAACCGGCCCCACCAGCCAAAATCAATTAAAGCTCAGATTTTTGGTTTACTTCAGATTGGCCAGATTTCAATAATTTTCGACTTGATTGATCTCTTCTATGAGATTCGATTATATAAGCTGTGATAATCAGCTCGCACTTCCTAATACATTCTTGAAGTACTTTTCAAGGCGCTTCCAATGGTACCAAGTAAGATAGATATTTTTAATAAACTTATTGAGCAATTTATAAAAATATGGAAAGAGGTTTCTGGTTAAAAAGTCAAAATTTTGCATATGAAGGCCTCATAAAAGAAGTTTCAGAGGTTGCTCTAGATTGAGAGAAACATTTTGATTCAATATTTACCATAGTAAAAGTCTTCATTATCAAGGTGAAAAACGCGATCGTTTGATTTTCGATGAAAACCATGAGGGGTACCTCATGCTTTTTGGTCGATTTTTGACCATGTTTTTTTGGTCCTCAAAAAATTGAGTAAAGGTATCAGGAAGCAAGTGCTAAATGAGAGCAATTGTTTGGTGCTATTCTGACGATCTAAAACGGCCTTGAACGCAAGAAAATGTAGCTCAAATACACTTAGATTTTGCTTTATCAGGGACACTAAGGGCTAAAAAGGGGAAATGCCAGTATGCCGCTTGCCCGTATATGAAATAGCCACGTATATATGGATGTAGAGCATCACATAAGAATCAGATCCACAGATAATATAAAGGATTTTCATGTGTAAGTGGAGGGTCAACATGAAAGTAGCAGTATTTTGACAAGATACGCAAAGGGCAATCGGCAGTGCGAACTGCCACTGCGCAGGTTGGCTCTCACCAAAGCGAAGCGAAGTTAGAGAGCCATCCAAAGCGCAAACACCCACCTACTATAGTAACAGTCTTCACCAAGGTGAAAAACGTGATCGCTTGATTTCGGATGAAAAGCATGAAGTAACCCCTCATGGCTTTGGAGTCAATTTTTAGTGATTCAAAAAAAAAAAGGTGAGCAAAGGTGTCTGAAAGATCGACATGTCAACATATGAAGGCTTGAGAGCTGCCAAATTTGTTTGTGTTTTATACTGTACATCGGCTTAACAAAAACGCATCTATTATCGACAAGCAATATCAACATTATATAATTGCACAGCTTGTAAATGCGTGAAAAGCAATACCATGAAAATAATTTGTTACAAAAAATAATTTATTTTTTTAAATATGTAAAGAGAATGAAAAAAACTGGTTATTATATCAAAAAGGATAATGTCTATAAATGCTAAGGAGAGCTATACTGTTGAGGTTATTTACAAGCCTAATTCTTCATCGGTAGTGTAAACTTCTTCACCACGCTTGCGACGTTCCATTCTGTCCTTCTTCTTCTTACGGAGCTCCTTGGAAGAGAGCTTCTTCTTCTTCTCGACAGCCTTGACAGTGTTACCTTGAGCATCGACAGTATCCTCCTCAGCCTTCTCCTCGATCTTGGTTGTACCGTTACCAGAAACCCAGTTGTGACCAGAGGGAGTCAAACGACCGGCATCAACCATCCAGACTTCGTTACAGAGAGCTTCAGTGAACTCACGGTTGTGAGTAACAATGACGACACCACCACCGTAAGCCTTGATAGCCATAGCCAAAGCACCGAGAGATTCACGATCCAAGTAATTGGTAGGTTCATCAAGAACCAACATGTGAGGCTTGTTCCACATGGCAGCACCAATAACGAGCTTGACCTTTTGACCACCAGAGAGACCACGGATACGAGAGTGAGTAGCAAATTCGGCTTCAAGACCAACTTCTTCCAAGTGCTTCTCAATTTCCTTGGCAGTAAGAGGACGGTTAAGACCCATCTTGGCAGCTTCAGCGGAATCGACCTCAGCAATCTTCTTACCGAAACCCATATCCTCGAGCTTTTGACGAGAGATCCAGGTGTTGTCAACAGATGAACGACCAACCCAAGAGATTTCGTATTCGTAAGATTGCTTAAGCTTTCTGCGACCGACGAGTTCCTCAACAACACGCTTCTCACCATCGATGATGAAGACTTGCTCCATGACCTTCTTGTTGGCTTCACCGTTCATACGGTCGTTCTTGTCAAGTTCTTCACGATCTTCACCAGTAGCATAACGCCATTGGATGTATTCGTTAGGAGTAGAATCCAAGTGCTTTTCAATATGGTGGAAAGCGTGTTGAGCGACGTAGGCAATACGCAAGTTAGGATGCTTCCAGACGGAACCGACCTCGGACTCAATTTCACCAGTCAACAACTTGATCAAAGTAGACTTACCAGCACCGTTGGGACCAATGACGGCAACACGAGAGGCAAGAGAACATTGCATGGAGATGTCGATCAATTGCTTTCTGTCAGAACCGGGATATTGGAAGTCAACATTCTTCATCTTCAAGATAGCACGCTCCTTGGTCTTGATACCTTCGAGGAAACCAGGCTCAGGGAAGGTGAAAGAGATTTGAGAGACCTCGAGAGAGTAGTAAGAAGCAGCACGGGGAACCTTCTTGACGAATTCGGACAAGTTACCACCATAACGCTTGAGCTTGTAGTTAGGCTCATAATGGATGATATCGGAACAAACGTGATCCAAGAAACCAGAATCGTGAGAAACAATGATAGAGGTGACAGTCTTGAGACCCAAGAGGTAGTTTTCCAACCAGGCAACGTTGACAACATCCAAGTGATTGGTAGGTTCATCCAACAAGAGAATATCAGCGTTCATCAACATAGCACGGGCAAGAGCGAGCTTCATCTTCCAACCACCAGAGAGTTCACCAATGGCCATCTTGGTAACCATGGCTTCAGAGAAACCGTATTCCAAGAGAATCTTGCGAACTTGCTCAGGGTCCTTGGTTTCCACACCATCGGAAGCGAGGATGAAGTCAACAAGAGGAGTATCAGCCTCGGAACCATCGATATCGTGTTCGACGTAGACAGTCTTGAGCTCAGAACGAGGAGGGAAACCTTCGACTTGTTCGTTGGCAATGGCACGCATAAGAGTAGACTTACCACAACCGTTACCACCACAGAGACCATAACGACGACCACGCTTGAGACGGAGAGAAGTACGGTTCAACAAGATCTTGGCACCATAAGCAAGAGAGAACTCACAGTTACAGAGATCCTCACCTTCATCATCCTCCTCCTCGGGGTCCTTGGCAGTGACAGCCTCCTCACACTTCTCCAAAGCAGAGAAGGCGAGCTTATCAGCGTCCTCAGCGGAGACGAAAGACTTGGCATAAGGAGCAAGGGCAGCAGTCCAGGAGTCCTTGAAGAAGTTCTTGGCAACACAAAGAGTGAGAGCAACATCGTTCATGTAAGTAACGGTGGTATCCAAGAAAGAATCCATGTTCTCGGGCAAGAGTTCCTTGATGGAAGACTCAACCTTGGCCTTCTTTTGGACCTTGGTGAAGACCTCGATGGAGGGGTTACCGACACGTTGAAGAGTGGCGAGAGCCTTTTGGACGACACCACGACACTCGGGATCAGCAACGACATCTTGAACCTTTTCAAGAGCAGGCAAAAGAAGAGGCAAGAAAGGAGCAGCAACATCGGGATCATCGACAAGCTTGGACATGTTGTCAACAATCAAGGCAGCCTTACGCTTGATGGGGGTAGCACGTTCGTTCAAACCACGGCCCAAAAGAGGAACCATGATGGAGAGGGTGGCAGAGTCAACCTCTTGGACGAAAGTGGTGGCACCGAGCAAGTGAATGGTCTCAGGAACATTCTCGGGGTGGTTGATACAACCAATGACAGCGGGAATGAAACGTTCGATATCCTTGTTATCAACGAGAGAACAGATGATGGTCATGGTTTCAGTGGCTCTCTTCTTGACATCAGCCTTGGTATCCCACATACAGTCAGAGACGGTAGGAATGACATCAGGAATAGCGACAATGAATTCCTTGGGGTTTTGCTTAGCAAGGAGTTCCAAGAGCTCAAGAGAGAGCATCTTGGTTTGCCACTTACAGGAGTTACCGAGACCTTCGAGGATGAAGGGGACCAACAAGGGACAAGCGAGAGGGTTGACCTTGGAAGCGAGGTTCTTGGCAGCAGCTTCAGCAGCATCCTTGATGGCAGTTTGCTTGTCAGCTTGGAGTTCCAAGAGGTTAGCAATGAAAGAGACAATGTAAGGCTCAGCTTGACCTTCGAGGTTCTCGTTGGAAAGAGCAGTGATAGCAGCAACGGCACCAGCACGAGCGTTGGCATTCTTCTTGGAGACAATATCCTTCTTGAGTTGCTCGATAACGGGCTTAAGAGAGAGGACACCATTAGCCTTAACAACGGCAGCAAGTTCAGCGGCGACAGCCTCACGATCAGCATCGGAAGCAGCGGCGAGCTTGGTAAGGATGTCCTTGGCCTTCTTGGTCTCAACCTCAGAAGGAGCATTGGAGACGATAGACATCTTCTTGCTCTGGATTTCGCTCTGGGTGTTCTTAGCAGCAGCGGCAGCTGGCATATTGATTATTTATTAAAGAGAATGGATGAGAGCGGGAAAAATAAAAAAGAGAGGGAGTCCACAAAAAGGTAGTTTGTGAATATAAGGGAACAAAAAAGTTAAAGAGGTATGTATTGCAATGTCAAGAGCTATTTATTCAGTAAAAATTTTTTTCTTTTGAAAAAATTTTCAAATCTTTATAGTACAACTATACGCAATTTGTTTCGCTTTGCAACCAAACGAATTGCATCGGGATTTGCAAAATGTTTAGATCCATTTCTAGTGATCTATTAGATTGGTTATCTCACAAACATGTCGACTATAGGCATCGCTACGCAAACATAAGCCACAGAAAAAAAACAGAGTCCATTTATTAATTATGCTTTATTGTCATTAGATGGGGTGTTGGTGCTGGCAGCAGCATTGCTCAAGTCTTTCTCTACTCTCACAAATGGATGATCAGTTCAATGGCTCGCCAAATGTCATGTGCTGTTCATTTTTTTTTTTTTTTTACCTAATCCCCATACATGAGTTTTTAATTCGAGATGTTCGATGTTTAATGTGTCCTGTTGGTTTTATGCAAACTCCATTAGTTTCACTGAGAACCATCTTCCAAGCATGACTTTACATACGTATAACTTGCGGAAATCCACCTTCATGTCAGCCAATTGCTGCTTGGTGGCTGTAGTCTCCTTCAATTTAGCAACATCCCTATCCACGGTTTCAATGCGCTTTGCATAATCCTTAACCTATTACACTCGCATCCTCAATATCACACAATGTCACTACCAATGACTCTTCTTTTCATTACCTTGTCAGTAGATGCTTGAAGCTCTTGAACGGACAATAAGAGAGCTGCTGAAGCATTGTTGTATTCACCCAAGAGATAATAATAACCAGCAGAACCAGCAGCTGTAACGCCCAAAAGAAACCCAATCACTCTACCATCCTGAATTACTACAACATGTCCTCGATTCGGCTAGTGATGTCGCCTACTTACCCTCCTTTGGTAGCACTGACTCTGGGAGCTGCTGCTTCAGATGAATACATACGAACTTGCTGAGAGGAGAAGCGAGGTGTCAAACGGAAGAGAGAGTTCATTTTGTGTCTATACCTGGGATCGTTACCATCATGCCTGCGTATGTATGCACAGCGAGTGTGCTCTCCATTTGAATCTTACTGTTGATAATGTGTGAATATCTGCAAATGTATTGAGCGGCAACAACAACAACAACAACAAAGAGCAGTAGGCTAACAGCTACTATTTCAAGAATCCACATTCATTATCCAGGGCCCTTTAATTTCCGCCTGTGTTAGTTGTGCTTCTTGGTACCTGCAGCTTGAAAACTGATGTCATTTATGTGACGATTTGTCAATGGTTTGATGAATCAAATTGGCATGATTCAAGGCATTGCTACTAACTTGTCAAGGTACAAGAAATCTGCTTGTGATTTTTCTTGCTTTATGAGTATGTTAGATTGACAGTTATATTCTGTGAGTGCTGAAATGTCCACATCTTGCTGGGAATGACTTGATTTGACACCACGCTACATACATTTAGCAGCTGCTTCAAATCAAAGTATGGGAAGCAACATTATAAAAGATGCGGCATGTCCATTTGGCTCGATCAATCAGCTACTATTGGCATTTGCTCTAGCTAGATCTTCCTCTGCCCCATCAATTCACAAGATTTGAGAAAAAAAAAATGCCATGCCATTGCTACCAGTGTATACATTCAATTTCATGAGCGATAACTCTTTAATTAAACGCAATTGATATAAAAGTTATATAGATATTTATTAATCAAGTTAAGGCTTAATAACGTTTTGGACAAAATACTTGTTGTTATTACCAACAATGTTACCGAAAGGAGCGTAAGAGCAAGTATACAGTTTGTAACCCTTACCAAGGTTGTTACAGGTCTTGACACCACAGCCAATCTTTGTAGTAGACTTCCAGACAACAGCAGTGAAATGGCCAGTGTTTCCAGCGAAGCCAGGGTTGCTGTAATCGTAGTCTTTGACTTCGCTGTACCAGCCATTGATAGCAGCTGTCCAGGTGGGATAGCCCAAGGCCAAGTTCTCGCCATAAGGACCTCCACTGTGCTTGAATTCACACTTGTTGCTCCACTTTTGAGCATAAGCAGCTAGCTTGGTATCCCATTTGACAGCAGGAGCATGGTGTTTAGCACGAAGTTTGTTGTGCAATTTGAGAATGTTCTTTGCACTCTTGGCAGAAGCAGCAGAGACTTGCAATGTGAAGCTGATCAGGACAATGGCAAGAGAGAACAAGATGATATGAATACGAGCCATTTTATAATAGGAATTGCGAGTCAAGGAGTGGAAATGGATATGTTTGAATCAATGATTTTCGAATTGAAATGTGAAGTATATATACAAATTCGTGTAGTACACAATATCAAATGAATAAATATAAATTTCAATTAAAAATTACAGACTAAGCGTTCGCCTGTTGCACTCGATCATTGCACGAGTTTTCCTTCTACTTGATCTTCTTGGATTCTGTTTTCTGTCGCTTCTGTTGCTGCTTGGAACTCTTGATCTTTTGCTTCAATTGAGCTCTCTTTGTATTGATCAGTGCTGAAATGGTCGCTTTGAGAATGAATATCTAGAGCGCACAATTGCAAAAAGTTCATCAACAGATCAGATTTCGAACAAATATTGCTTTCAAATTAAATCCTAATTTTACCAGTGTAACAAACCCATTAAAAATTAATGGGAACGAATATACAGAAACAATAAATATACCAGATGCATCGAAATATGGTTCATTTGCGAAGGATTTCCAATGTTTAATACCGAGATGATTAAGAGGCTGTGTCAATGCTGCTAACCCCACTATAAGATCGAGATGTTAATGCTTACTGTTAATATGCGTCCATTTTCCGATACTTGCATAATACAAAGAAATAAACAGAGAGCGCATCGTGTTTGTTTCGCAATCCTAGCGTCACTAGAAAGCACACGATATGAAATGCCATCACTGATATTAACCAAGGCTGAGTCCAATCTACCTATTGAGAAGCAATACTTTAATATCTTATATTAATGAAAAATGCAAATGCTACATTACTGCATTAAAAAAATCGATTGTGCGCTCTGCGTAAGAGCCCAACATGTCTGCATTTTTCAGTTCATATCGGATGCTTGTTAATATATTAGCCAAAGGATCTGCTGTTTGCCCTGACATGTTGTAGTAAATTCTGGAAGAAATGAAAGATAGCCAAAAGTCATTGGAGTCACATCCATCGCCTTTTCCCGGAGAAGGATGATGTTGGAATGAAATGTCGAATCTCACAAATTAAACCAATCAAAAAAATCCACATAAAAATACGCTGCCTATATAAAAATCAACGAGCCGATGACAATTTGTCGCATTCTTCTTTCTTCATCATCATCAACATGAGACATCATCGCTACCTCATTGCCTGTATGCTTCCGTTTCTGTTTCCATACTCTGTATTTGGTGACAAGACGATTCAGCAGTACCTGTCAGAAGGCAACGACTATTTGACAAGTGGAAAATTCAACGATGCTTTGATCAGCTTTGATGCAGCCATTCGTAAGTTGACAGAAGCTCATGTTGAGTGGATTCTGTGTTAATCCTTTGACATTTAGGCCAAGAACCAGACAACTATTTGACATATTATAAGAGAGCTACTGCCTATCTCTCGTTGGGTCGCAACAATGCCGCTGCCGAAGACTTTACAACCATCCTAAACCTGAAACCTGACTTTGACAAGGCTTTGTTGCAACGAGCTCGCATTTACATCAAGGAAGGGCACTTTGAGATGGCCATTGCCGACCTTAAGAGTTATCTGATCAACCATCCCAATGACAAGGAAGCCGAGAAGCTGGTAAGTTTGAGAACAATGCAACATGTTGGCTAATTTGTCCATACTAAATGCTCAATTGTTTAGCTCAATTCAGTCAATATTGCTCAAAGCGCCACAAAACAAGCATTCACTGAAAAAGAAAGAGGCAACTACGAGGAATGTATCAGTCTGGCCACATCAGTATCTCGCACGGCACCCATGTTTTCAGATGCCCGTTTATTGAGAGCGCAATGCCATGTCGCCAAGGGTGAAATTGATGAAGCCGCTGGCGATTATGCTCGGGTAGCTCAATTGAATCCCTCTGATCCCAACACCTTAATCTTACTGTCAAAAATCAACTTTTATTCCTTATACGAGCCTCAAGGCGCATTGACCCACATCAAGCAATGCCTGTACTATGACCCCGAACAAAAGCAGTGCAAGCAGCTATTCAAAAAGATAAAGACGTTGAGCAAAGACATCACCTCGATCGAAAAGGACATTGAACTGAAGAAATTCGCAACTGCCTCCAATCGTCTCATTGGCACACCCAATCGCCAAGGTATTCTCCCCGAGATTGATGCGGATTACGAGGCATTAGAACAAGAACTAAAGACGGACAAGTTACCAAAGCGCTTGCATTTCAAGTGCTATCAAATGGCTTGCAAGTTGCACGGCGAGCAAAAGGAAAAGGACGAGGAAAAGATTAAATCTTGGTGCTCGAAAGCATTGGAAATTCAAGATGACGATGTGGATGCACTGACCTATCGTGGTGAAATTTTGCTGAACAGAAAAGAGTTTGAAGCTGCCGTCAAAGATTTGGAGAAGGCCAACGAGATATCGGGTGGCCGCGATCATCGTCTGAGACACTTGCTACAAAAAGCACAACAACAATTGAAACTGTCGAAAAAGAAGGACTATTACAAGATGTTGGGAGTGTCACCGACTGCTGATAGTCGTGAAATCAAAAAGGCGTATCGCAAGAAGGCGCATGAATGGCACCCAGATAAATACAGTGGCGATCTCGAGAAGGAGGAAGTGGAGCGAAAGATGGCAGAGATTAACCAAGCTTATGAAGTGCTAAGTGATGCTGGTAAGTAAACACATGAATGCGAGATGGTAGACCCTTTGAACTAACAATCTAATCCTTTAGACATGAGACAACAATACGATAATGGTTTCGATCCATATGATCCAGAACAAGGTAGTGGCGGAGGAGGACCACCACCAAGCTATGGCGGATTCCCATTCCAGCAAAGACAGGGAGGATTTAGCTTCCAAAATGGTTTCCCATTTGGAGGTGGAGGCTTCCCTGGTGGAGGCGAATTCAAAATGCATTTCAACTAGACTGTACATCCTTATCTCTCTCTTGTATCATACACATCACTCTCTTTACATATCCTCTTCATCTATCAATAAACACACACCTCTTAATATTGCACTCGAAGGTCAAAGCGCCTTTCGATTGTTATGCTTTCAAGACTAAATGATTGCAGCTTACTCTGTTCCACTTTCTCCAGCCTTTCAATCTAAGGTATACATATTCTCTGCTAAATAGATACAATTCAAACCCCTCTTTATTCAAAAGTAAGATATGGTGCAATTATTTGATTAAGCATCCATAAACCATTCTCATGTGGAGGTTGTCTTTTGAATTGATTATATGGGAAAAGTTATATAACAGGTACTACACCAGTGTACTAGTTACAGAATCCTCTCGGTACTAAATGCCCCGCCAAACATGCGTTGTTTATCATTGATTTCCAACATACCTTGGATCGATAGAGCATAATAAATGTTTTTTTTTATAAGTAAACACTTCTGTTTTTAAGTCCTTAAATCGTCACCTAATATAAGGGAGAGGATATAAAGACTGGGGGATATACGGGGAAGCTCAGATTATTGTATCGAAGGAAAGTTGAGAGTCTAAATTGAGGAGAGTACGGTGAATGGAGTGGATGACAGTAGACGGGATGAAAGGGACGTGCTGGAAAACTTGGCGGTAATGAGCAGACCAGATGGCCTGTTGGATGCAAGCAAAGACCTGGAACACGGATAATGCAGGAAAAGGTTCATGAGATGAGCGGTCAATATCAAGGCGAAGGTGGAGGATGGCAATGTATTCCTCATACGCAAAGTGAGAGAAACGAGGTGAGAGGTAAAGAGAGAGAGTTTGTCGCCAGACGTCCAATTTTCGAGGACAGGAAAAGAGGAAGTGCTCAGTATCTTCGATGATGGTGGAGGTTGTGGATGACGAAGACTGACAGTGAGGAAAGTACGGGGTAAATGTTTCGCGAAGCCGTTAATGTAATAATTGACGAGTAGTAACTTTTTCATAAAGGATCCGGAACCAAGTATTGCGAGCATTCAAAGGAATCTGGAGAGTCCAAAACTGCTTCCATTTGGCAACACCTAAAGGGCACGAATAAGAGGAAGGGTTAGTGTGAAGGGGGAGGGATTTGAATCCTTGATTAGTAAGAAGAGACAAAAGGAATGGATGAGACTCAAAAGAAAATGAAGTTGCCAGTAAAGAGAAGAGAAGTGTGGATACGTGGCTGATACTATCGGAATAGTTGGTGATAGTAGGGAGGTCGATGTGTGTGATGGCTGGACGAGGAACAAGGAGCAACAGGTTGAAGTGGATGAAATTGGTGAGCAGTAAGTTTTGAGCTTGAAGAAAATTGATAGCGCGCAAGTTGGTGGGTTGGTGGGGAAGGCCGATGACCGAAGTGCGAAGTTGAAGAGCCTGAGTGGTCATATCAAAGATGAAAACATCATTACCTGTAAGTTGAAGCACTCTGGGGTAGTGTTTTACCACTTCCTTTGGTGAGCGAAATGTAGGCGATAAACTATGATTGGGCAGAAGGCTATGTTCAACCAAGGTCGAAAATGGCAATCGTAGACAAGTACTGAAGGAAACATGACAGACACCAAACTTGCGAACAATGGTATCTACGGCGCGAAGAAGGTTGTAGAGAGGAGCGATGACCTTTCTGGCGCTTGATGGCCGACAGGCAGGAAAGAGGAGAGACCAGTGGTAAGTGGGGTATGAGGGAGTAGCGAGGATGAAGTTGAGGATGACACGGAGATAAGGAAGAAAAGTCTTGGTAGGAGGGGTGGGATCGGATGGGGTGCAAAAGTGGATGAAGCCAGCGCCACTGAAGGGCGTTGATCTGCACAGCAGGATCCAAAAGACCAAGACCGCCATGAGTACGAGGGAGACAGAGAGTAGCGAATGAGAACCAAGTTACTTTGGCATTGTGATTTACGAACGAAGCACCGAGTTGTTGTAGCTTATGAATATCTGTAGCCGAAAAAGGAAACAAGCGTGCAATATGCCACGCTTTAGAGAACAAGACTGAATTGAGAACAGTAGCCCGGCCTCGAAAGGTAAGGTTGCGTACGGAATAAAGACGACAAAAGTCTCGGAGGCGAGTGAGAAGAGCATCGAAATATGAGTTCTTTTGAGCGGTAGATGAACAGATAGGGTATCCGAGATAGATGATGGGAGCGGTAGCATTCTGGTCATGCCAAGACGAGATACCAGACGCGCGAAGGCCGAGAATCCAGGATTCGTGCGGTACACCAGAGAGAGACAATGCTTGCATCTTGTGATAGTTGAGAGAGGCATTGGACGCGGCGGCATACTTATTTATCAACTGTTGAAGCTGGTGGAATTCACTAAGATCGTTGAGGAAAACTAGTGTGTCATCGGCATATGCCAGGACTTTGACTGGATCTGCGAGAGGAACATTGTCAGCGAGAGGGGAGGAAAAACGAGGATTAGTGGCTGCAATGCGTGTAAAGTCAAACCCAAGTATGTTTTGATGTTGGTTGATGGCACGGAGGAAGGGGTCGAAATAGCATAATAAATGCTCAGTCCTTAGACACTTTTACAGCCCTAATATGGAAACTGAGTTGCCTGGCATCTGTCAAGCCTGGCTCATATATGTTAAACCAGCCCAACAGCAAAAAATAATTCAATCCCAGATTCATAGTCTGTTCTAGATTGGCCAAAACTTAATGATTCTCGACTCGATTGAACTATTTTGCCATATTCGACTATATAAAATATGATGATCATTCTCTGCTTCTTTAAGCTTTCTTGGAGCGCTTTTCAAGGCGCATCCAATGGTGCCAAGTAAGATAGATGTTTTTAATAAACTTGCTGAGCAATTTACGAAAGTATTAAAAGCGGTTTTTGGCCAAAAAGTCGAGATTTTCCATATCAAGGTCCCATAAAGATGATTTCAGGAGTTACGTTAGATAGATAGAAACATTTTGAATCAATACATGCCATAGTAAAAGTCTTCATTATCAAGGTCAAAAACGCGGTCGTTTGATTTTTGATGAAAACCATGAGGGGTACCTCATGCTTTTTGGTCGATTTTTGACCATATTTTTTTGATCCCCAAAAAGTTGAGCAAAGGTGTCAGAAAGTAATTGCCAGATGAGAGCAATTGTTTGGTGTTATTTTGACGATCTAAAACGGCCTTGAACACGAGAAAACGCGGTTCAAGTGTACCTAGGTTTCGCTTTGTTTGTGTATTTAAGGGTGATAAGAGATAATGCAAGTATACTGCCTACCTATTTTTGGCTGCCTTCATTGATGCAGTCGTAGAGCACCCAATAGAAGTTTAATTCGCAATGACAAGTCGTTTGTAAGAAATTTGCTTGTGATAAAGATATTTTATAAGGCACATATTAGTAGGATGGCTGCTAGTCCACCTTAAAAAGATGTTTCAATAAAAGTAGTAACAGACGTCTAAAATGCTTATGGCCATCAGAGAGCCATCTGTACATGAAGATGGAAACAATAATCCTCAACATGTGAAATAATCGATACCAGTGGTTTCGTCCCAAATTTTACTGTTGATCACCAAGAACAAAACGTTTGTCTTCCCAATCGAAATCAATAAAAAGATTCGGAAGACTAGATCAAGAAACATGAATTCTCATTTGACATGGCACGTTACCTGAGTGGTCAAAGCTCTATTTAAACATGTTACAAGTAGAAATGGATCTCTGAAAACGATTTCATCACATAATATATTTGTCTGATCTGATGGCGATTACAGAAGATTGTGTGATTGAATTCCATCTTTTTGTTTGCCTGAGTGGATGTGCTGATTACATTCTTCTGAGGCCAACGTGAAGAGTCTTTGAAATCTAATACTGATTTCCATGCACAACTGCCATGAGACATGTACATAGCGCCAATATATAGATCGACTATTGGAGCCTAATGCTGTTCATCAGATCAAATGTGATAGCTTTGCCTCCAATTAATGCTCAAAAGTGATACAAAGTTTCCCAGCTCAACAAGGTTTGGGTTGTGTTTTGCTAATTGTAATGCCGTGTCATGGGGATAGGAAGAAGCGTGAAAGAAAAGGCGTAATTTACGTGAACTTTCCGGCATGTTATGCCATGGATAACACAGCAACCATTCTCCAGCAAGCTTTACATCTATCATTGTTACCAATCTAAAATGTGGATGGTTTGTATTCCAATGTGATCTCTATCAAATTCTGCACTGATAAGTAAGCAGAAAATACACCATGACGTACGATGACTTACCTATTAAAACTTTTTGTATGTATGGTGTGTGCCAATTTTAGGCTCTTTTTAGATTCACCATTTCGTGTGGGTCTCTCTTTATTTCTTTATCTCTCTCTTTTCTTCTTTACTCTGTATCATACTATCCCCCGTCCTCCTCCCATTTGGTTGAATGGTTTTTCAACATCAATACATGACAACGGGCAATTATGCCGTCAATAAACCAGACACCATACCCAACTATAGACTCAAGTTAGATTCCCTGGCAAGGCCTTCCTCCTCAGAACTGCAGCAACTACAGCAACGTCAACTTGCATCTACCGTAAGATTGCACCGTTCTAAATGCCCGAGTATGCCTGATTAACCCTGATGTTTATCTAGTATTTTAGTCATGACGATCCTGCTGCATTTGCCTACTTTCAACAAGAACTGCTGTCACCTCGCTTACAGCAAGCCTTGCTGAATCAAGCTGCCACAGTATCTGATGTGAATAATGCCAATTACATGTCTCTACAGCAGCAACAACAACTACTGCAAAATCAGCATCAACAAGATCAATTGCATCATCAACTACTATTACATCAGCAACAGCAACAGCAACAGCAACAACAACAACAACAGCAGCATTTTCATCAGTTACAAACCCATCATACACTGCAGCAACAGCAGCAGCAACAGCAACAACAGCAGCAGCATTTACAACAGCATAGTCATTCTCAAAAGCAATTCATTCCATCCATCATGGTTCCTCCTCAATCGCCTACATTATCAAGTTATTATTTCGAAAATGGCTGGGTCAATCACTATTACGATCCAAAGCGTAGACAGTATTTATCAAGTAGAGTGGATCCAGATTATCAGCAGAGCTTCTCAAAGAGACAAGATTTGGACATGTTGCAGCAACAGCAACAGCAACAGCAACAGCAATATGTCTATCCGCGAGGTAACAAGCGATCTTATTCAACTGCATCAAATCAAAACGAACCCACACTTGTTTTATCAAATCATCAACATCATACAACCAGCAACACACAAAGCAGCTATCTCACTGCTGCTGCTGCCGCTGCTTCTGCTGCTGCTGCCGTAGCCGCAGTGTCCTCCACCTCGCAACAACCCATCATACCATCCCAGTTATTGCAATCACCTCATGCTACTACTACCAGTGCGGATGAATGGCGTGAAAGCTTATTGCAATATGCACACAACCTGTATTCCACTTCACCACAAAACCCATATCTGTTACCACTGCTTCATGCACTCCACGATGCTTACCCAACTCATTTACCAACACTGCTTCTACTGGCATGTGTCTATTATTCCTATCAAGACTATCAATCCTCACTCAAATACAACCATCTTATTCTGAAATATGATGCCAACTATGTGGAAGCCATGAGTAATATTGGTACCACATTACGAAGCATTGGAAAAACGACAGATGCGGAAAGATGGTGGTATCAAGCAGTTAAATTACGGCCTGGGTATTGGGATGCTGTCGAGAATTTGGTGGGTGTGCTATGCGCTAAAAATGAAGACGCCAACAAGGACGATCTACCACCACGCTACAAGGAAGCACTGGGTGTGTGCGAGTTTGTGGAAAAGTTCTTTTTCAAGCAGCAACCTACTATCCTCAAACAACCTCTTCAGTTGCCTATGCATCAACTGGCTCGTTTACAGAATCTGTTTTACGCAAAGGGTAACCTCAAATATGCTCTGGGCGATATTCAAGGGGCACAAAGGGAGTATGAAAAAGGTTTAGAACTAGCCTTTGGGGGTATAGATCTGTTATCTATCTGTAACTTGATTGTGTATGCGTGCAATTCTGCCACAACCGCGGGGACAACGCCTGCAGTCGTCAATACTAACGCAGAGGTGCCTCTGGTACTGTTACAGCCTGATCAAGCTGTTCGTATCCTGCAAATTGTGTTTCCTCGTTCTGGCGGTGTGCTGCCCAGCCTCGTCAATGTCAGTAATGCCACATCCAGCAACACAGAGTCCGTGTCCACCATCCAGCAGACAAATCAAACGACATCGACCATCTTGCTAACATTGTCCAAGCTGTTTCAAGATTTGATGAACCCCACCACACCTGAATTGGTGGCTGCTGCTGCTCATGTCAAACAGCCATCCTTGTCTATACTATTGCCTCTGTATTACCTCAGTTTGGCGCTTCATCCCAGTCCATCCACTGCAAACAATTTGGGTATCATCTTGAGCAACATCCCTATCGCTGTAGCCAACGCTGCTGTCAAACTACCCACTGTTCAACAAGCCGCACCACTGACGGGCACCATGTTGGCTATGCAATACTACATGTACGGTCTGCAATTGGATCCTCAACATCCTCATCTGTACACTAATCTGGGCTCTCTGCTCAAGGATATGGGCCATCTTAACGAAGCTGTCAGCATGTATGAAAAGGCAGTGGAATACAATCCTCGCTTTGACGTCGCTCTGGCCAATCTAGGTAACGCTATCAAGGATCTGGGTCGCGTGCAGGATTCGGTGCAATGGTACCGTCGTGCAGTGGAAGTCAATCCCAACTTTGTGGATGCTGTTTGCGGGCTAGTTAACTCGCTGAGTGGTGTGTGTGATTGGCGTGGTCGCGGCGGTGTTGGTAATGAGGCCAGCGTAGATCAGTATGGCCACTATTTCCCTCCCACCGGCAATGCCAATGCAAAGAGCGGCTGGATCGGCCATGTAGTGGATATCGTTGAAAAGCAACTGGACGAAGGTGCAATTTGGGGTGCTGGTATTCTCAAGATGCTTTGTGGTACTGAATCAGTTGGACAACGCTTGATTAAGCACATGATGGATTGCACTGGCACACAACACAAGGCGGATGTCTGGAAATCTCGACTGGCTTTTTATGCATCCAACAACGATAAGCTCAAGAGGGATGAAGGCGGTTGGGTGATTCGCATGATTGAACGCATTATGAGACGATTGCAGCACAAATGGTACATTGAAACATACGCCAAGGGCAGCAACAACAACCACAAAGGACGAATTGTTGTGACACCAGAACTCGCCGAAAAGTACGCTAGACCTTTGATCCCAAGCAGCTTAGCGAGTCCTCCTGTTCCCACCGTCCTGCCATTCCATACATTCACCTATCCGCTTACTGCTCGTCAAATCCGACTGATTTCGCACCGCAATGCACTTCGCATCTCTCATACATCACTGAGCTCTACCTGGGTGTCTCCTCACGTGTATCCGCCTCCTCCTCCACCTTCTCCACGGCTTAAACTGGGCTACGTTTCTTCCGACTTTAACAACCATCCACTCTCTCATCTAATGCAATCCGTATTTGGATTTCATGACAGAATCAAGTACGAAGTGTATTGCTATGCTACCACACCCAGCGACAACTCACCGTACCGTCAAAAGATTGAGCGAGAATCGGAACACTTTTTGGATGTCTCTTCCTGGTCGAATCAGCAAATTGTAGAAAAGGTGATTTCGGACGGGATCCATATTCTGATCAACTTGAATGGCTATACCAAAGGCGCTCGAAACGAAATCTTTGCTGCAAGACCGTGTCCTGTGCAATGCTCATTTATGGGGTTTGCAGGTACATTAGGTGGTGGCTGGTGCGACTGGATCATTGCCGATCCCATCGTTTGTCCTCCTGAAATGGTCAGTGGTGAGATTTGGCGTCAACGTGGCTCTATTCAAAATGCTGCCAATGGTGATTTCGAAGGTGACATCGACCCTGAAGATGCGGCTCAAGATGACTTTGTGTACACTGAAAAGTTCATCTACATGCCTCATTCGTATTTCGTCAATGATCACAAGCAGGGATTCAGAGACGACCATCACGATCAAGCGCTCATGTTACATAACGTTCAAGCCAATGAAGACTCGATCTGGGCTGTGGAAGAGGAGAAGCGATGGAAGATGCGCCATGAGGTGTTTCCAAACCTACCGGATGATGTAGTGGTGTTTGCCAACTTTAACCAGCTGTACAAATTGGAACCTGGCACATTCCGTATGTGGCTTCGTATTCTGGAACGCGTGCCCAACTCGATTCTCTGGTTGTTGCGGTTTCCTCCTGCTGGTGAGCAGCATCTGAAGCGTTGCGCACTCGAATGGGCTGGACCACAAGTAGCACACCGAGTCATCTTTACGGACGTCGCACCCAAACATGTCCACATCCATCGAGGAAGAGTAGCCGACATCTTTTTGGACACGCCTGAATGCAATGCTCATACGACAGCAGCTGATATCCTATGGTCTGGCACTCCCATTGTCACTTATCCCAAATACATGCACAAGATGTGTTCTCGCGTGGGGGCAAGTATTGCCATGGCAACCGGCTTTGGTGATGAAATGGTCGTCATGAACGAAAAGCAGTATGAAGACAAAGCAGTGGAATTAGCTGGCAGCCTGTATTACTCTTACGAAACATCACAGCTTGGCTCTGTATCACGCCGTGGCCATGGATCTTTGATGGAGTTGCGCAAAAAACTGTTCTTGTCGAGAGAACAAAGTCGCCTATTTGACACACTACGTTGGACTCAAAATCTCGAGAGAGGCTACTCTGAAGCTTGGAAACGCTGGGTCAGTGGTGAAGAATTTGAAGATATTCCACCTGTCACCACCAAGTCTGGTTGCATTTGGGTCAAAGATCCTGATGATGATGTTGCTGCTGCTTGATACACTTTCTCCCCTTCTTAAATTATTTGTTTTTACCTTTTTTTTTTCTTTTGGATACTATGGCGATTGTTATTATCTCTCATTTTATGCTAAAGTAGTTTATGATTTATTTATATTTTTAAAAAAAAAGAAAGAAAAAAGGCAGTGGTGATGATATTATTATTGTGTGTGTGTGTGTGTGTGAATGAGAGGATGCTTACTAACTATATGCTTTAAGAGTTTCATTTCACTACTAGGAATTGTAGCAAAATACAACGACATCGCCTCTTCTTCGTCTATCATCGTGAAAATGACTATTGAAAAATCGACGGCATTCTGTATAGCTTTGATTGTCCAAATAATCTCGAATTTCAGGTATCAAATTGTCAAACAAAAGGAGATGAGTGGTGGGCCAGATGCGATCTTGCTGGTGTGATTTTAAGAATTCGGTGGGATTAGCGTAAAATTGATCTGCTTCATCCAATGCATTGGTTTCTGCTGTTAGTGGAGGTTCGCAAGTAAGGAACCACATGGGGATATCATCATGAACGATAGAGTACCAGGGCGTAGAATGACAGGGCATAAGGACACCAACAGTAGTGGTTTTAGCAGGCAGCGATCGAATCCATAGCATGACATCCATGACGCCTCGTTGATGCCAGATGGATGTATACAGCGCCATGGGTATTTGAGTTGCTACCAGAAGCAACATGATGCGTCTGCGCCATCTACTAGACCCTACTTGTTGTATACCGTAAGCTGCAATCATCAGAATCAAAGGTACGATGGGGTATATAAAGCGGAATTCTTTGTGTGGCAATAAACTGTATATAATGACAACCCAAATGGATAAGTAGAGCAATGATTTGATGCGATTGAACATGGGCGTGGTATAGATGCGATAAAGTCCAAATCCAATCAACGGTAAAAATGTTGTAAAGATGAATGGAATGCCCTGAGACACATACCAATGCCATGTATGAACACCATAGAGTAGAGAAACGTTGTTGACTACATTGATCTTGAAGAACAAGTAAGGCGTGAATACAAGATGCTGTATGAAACCTGTCCAGCTTTGATTGTAGAGTCGTGTATCAACCATCACATCCAATGCAACTACCAAGCCGCAGATTAGCAATGCATTGATGGCCACCTTGAACTTACTGCTGGAGCATAGTAACAATTGAGTGCCCAAAAACAGCCAAATCAATCCATTAGTAGGTCTCATCACACAAGCAATCGAGGCAAAGACAAGCGATATACGATAGCGCTTTGCCCACAATTTTCCTGTTGTTTTGACAATACCTGGCAAGGGCCAATAATTCAATGCAATGATGGTGAACACCATCTCCATGCTGTTGGACAGTGTTCTTGCTGCCATCAGAAAATTGAACCAGGAACATAGTGTCGTAAAAAGCTATCCAAACAGCAGATTAGTATATGGATATACAGATTACATTTGGGAATAGGTCATACCATAGATAACGCAATGTCGTTCCCAATCACCTTCTTAGCCAATGTATATGTAGCCACATCAGCTACCGCAGCCAACGTTGCCTGAAAGTACCGTGGCGCTGCTACAAGCACATGGGTGTTCTCTAATCCAACCACTTGTATCAATTTGTACACAGCCGCAATAGCTAGCGGATGAGCAAAGCTTCTGATCTTTTCCCTCCATTCCCATGTCAAGTACCCATTGCCAAACACTAGCTCGTGTGCTACTTCTTGCCCTTGCCAGTACTCATCTGGATTATCGTATGTTCGTGTATAAAATGCATTCAATAGTCTGAATAATAGGCAAATACCAAATATAAATGTGAGTGAAGAGGTGGTAGAAGAAGGCTGTATGGTTGCTTGAACCATAGTTTTTGTACTGAATAGTATGATCGAGAAGGCAATTCATTTTGTCACCACGAATGTAGGTTGTAATAGACGGAGTATCAACGCGGTGGTGGTGTATTTCAATCGCAATCCATGTAATTCTCCTAAATGCGCATCAATAGTCCATTGGCCTGCCTATGAATCGGTGTAGAGGCTCTCCGTTAGAGCGAGCAGAAACGGTTCAATCAGCTGGTTTAATAATGAATGAATTTACCACTCATATTGCTCTAGTAAAGATGCATCCCTACATCAGATGTTGACACACTACATACAATGCCAAACCAGCCAAAAATCTCAAGCCTAGGGCATATCAAGTTTCAGTGATTATCAGTTGTGAGTACAGCTGTACCTCTATCTACGCTGTTGCCGCTATGCTGTGCTATGGATCGCATTTCCAGCTGCTACATGATGTAATCTATATAGACAACTGGCAACATTTCAATACGATTCAAATGGAGTAGCATTTGGCACCATTTCAAACTGCCAATTGACATCTTGTTCCTGACAATCACGCAACACTTACATGACAACGAGGCAGCTGACACGTACGAAATCCCACGCCTGATATCTATAAAGTGTATGAAACAGTTGTAATCTTTTGTTTATGTAGATGTGTATTCGCTATCAAAATGGCTTAGGATCCGCATTTACTACATTTAAAATAAAATAGTGGCAAAGTGTTGTTTGTATTTGTTGCCATCAACACTTCTTCAAATGACAAAAGGGCTTTTAGCTCGGTTCCTGTGAGTTATTTGCATAACAGTAGTAAGCAGAATGAAAGATCAAAGCCAATCTTTCCTTAATAGTCGCTGTCCTTTGTTTTTATCTGTTTTGCATGTATATAAATGTGATTCGGTGTGGAGGCAAAATGAGGATAAAGGCCAAACAGATGTAGGCATTGCAGTACACATCTCGCTGAGGTTGGCACTGTCAAACACACTACAGTGAGAAAAGAGAGGGTTCTGCTTTATTCTTTCAGTGAACACAAGCTTATCCATTAAATGAAAATCTGATCTTTACCATATGGAATCAGAAAACATTTGGCAACAAGGTTGATTTTGTCATTTTACAGCAGGCGCCATAATTTAAGGTTTTTTCTGAGGCTTTTGTTTGTCAAAAGTATTTTACTTTTTTGTGATTTATTCAAACTATTTTAACGTGGGCTGATTGTTTATAAATCCTTCAGCCATACATACATTCCTTTTTTGTCAAACAATGTTGAAATCTAGAATGAGGCGTCCTGGCTGGCTGTGGTTGTGTACACCTCTCATTCTGTGTATGGACATGGCTATGTACGTGTGTAGGTGTGGAGGTTGATTTGTGGTTTTATAGTAGGGTATTAAATATATACATGTATGCAAAAGACGAGATGTGATGCTGAAATATCTTTAGGATCTTGCTTCTTCTTTGTCCCTGACCCTGACCCCGACCCCTTTTTTTAATTTTATATGAAGGTCATCTTGTCAGTGTTGTGAATCGAAGCTGTACCAAAGGGGTCTTGCCAAATCCCTGCACGAATACTGTTCTTTATCTTTTTACCCCATCAACAACCCAAATCCACGTTGCAGCTGTTACTGTTTCACAGCAGGCCAGCATCCAAGCTTTTGTTTTTTGTGTAATCTGTAGTATTACAAATAAAAACAATAGGTTAGAGTTTGCATCTAGTAGAGAATTAGTGTTGTAAATGTGTTTTTTTTTTTAGATACTACTACACATTGAGTACGCAGATCAGAAATTACTTCAGATAGCTGAACTGACTTTACGCGTATATCGAAAGAAATACATCTAAAAAACGCTTAAATCAGAGTTTGAACGTATCTGTGGCACGTAGGATAGGACAATAGAATGGGGATTCGTACGAGACTCATTCAAATTCAATTCATGTAAAAGTTTGAAGTTGAATTATAAAAAAAGATCTGTCATACCAAGGCATAGCAAAAAAAAAAAAAAAAAAAAAAAAAAAAAAAAAAAAAAAAAAATAGATGAAAACAAGCCAAAGCAGAGCACATTTCACCCCAAACATATATCAAACGAGAAAATGTCTTTTATATGATCTACTACTACTGAACATTTGGAATCTATTGGTATTTCATTTTCGACCGACTAGATGCAGAGTAGCAGAAAACCATGACATCCCATAGCATGGAGACACCCGTAGGTTGGAATTACACAAGATACAAATATATACCTTATATAGGCCTCGAAGAAAATATGAAGACATAAGCCTATATGGATATCAAATGCTACTGGCAATTTGGCTTGATTAGTGCTTTTGCGGTTGTCGCAGTCAGTTGTATATTTGACAACATTCGAAAACAGTGTTTCTATGAGCAAATGGTATGGAATAGGTCATGATACCATTTCTACAACAAGGTTGCCGGCAAAATACGAATCCTAGAAAGGAAAACGGAGGTGGCTTACAAGGGGCGATTACTATATGTATGAAGATGAAAAAGAAAATTCATGCCATCTATCTATAGATTTCATTTTGATCCCTGTATTGAATGTATCTACATTTTGCATATACAAATGCTAGTTTTTGATCAAAATGCACATTCATAGGGGCTCATATGCGACATCTTGTATCAATACCACAAAAAAAATTGTTCATATGCTTCAATTATGATACTCTTTTGATTTATTTTTAGCATTTTATGATACAACCAAGACTTCCAAAAATTTTAAACGACAAAAGTGTTGCGCATATTCGGGTCATATGAATCCAAAGTAAAAAAAGAATCCTGTACAACAAATGCTGTTCATCGGAAACGGGTAGAGAGCGAATAGGATGCATCAGTTGCACCAAGCATTCATTTTAATATAAAAAGGCCATCGTTTTCTTTGATTCTCTTTTTTTTTCGACATTTCTTGAATCATATCAAACACTCTCTACATGATGAATTCTACCGCTTCGTTCTACACTCAAGATTTTTTCTCATCGCCTCCTCTTTCTTCCACTTCTTCATCCTCTTCCATCAACATGAACCAAGCATACTACACATCTCTTGATCAACTTGAAAATCCATTCTTTGCCAAAGACTGTCAATACTACTATCCCAGCCCAAATGATGACTGTATCAATTATCAACAACAACAACAACAACAACAACAGCAACAGATCCTCATGGTGCCTCCTCTTGGTCATTTTGAGCCCTCTACTTTTGATTTAGCTGCTGCTTCCTTGGAGGCCTTCACTTCAATGATGGTACCTGATCTCTTCCAGCACAAGGCTCCTGCTATTGATTTGGTAGATCAATTTATTGCTGAACATGAAGCTGCATTAAACTTTCCTGAACAAAAATCAGTACAACAACAACAACTTCCTATTATTGAAACAAATTGGTCGCATTGGACTTACAATAACAACTCTCGGGAAGCTTCTCCGGAAATCTTATCCGAAGGTTTATCATCTTCGAAATCCACTTCTGCTTCTTCGGTTCCTCCCTCATCGCCTGTGCCTGAAATAGCCACCTTGAAAAACAAAAAGACGAATAAGGTAACCAAACCATCCACAACAACACCTGCTCGTCGCGGTCGTGGTAAAGGTGTCAAGAATAAGGTTGCAAACAAGAAGGCTGTTGCTGCTGCCATCGCTGCTGCTACTGCTGCCAAGGAATCTTCCTCCTCCTCCTCCTCATCATCATCCAAGGCTCCTGTTGAAGGTGCTCTCTATGTGTGCCAACACCACGAATGTGGTAGATCATTCACTCGTCCATACAATCTCACATCTCACATGCGCACTCATACATCTGAACGCCCTTATGCCTGCTCTCATTGTGGTAGAAGATTCGCTAGACAACATGATCGCAACAGACACGAAAAGTTACATTGGGGAATCCGTCCTTACGCTTGCCACCACTGCCACAAATCATTTGCTCGTATGGATGCATTAAATAGACATTTACGCATGGAAAATGGCTGTACTGGTGTACATTTATAAACAACTCACTCAAAAAAAAAAAAAACTCTATACATACTTGTTCATATCCCTTCCTTTCCTTCTCGCATATTCCTCTTCCTCCCATCTGTATTTTATTATTATATATTTATCATTCTACTCAAAAAATATCTCTCTTGTAAATAATAAAAATGAAAAAACTTGCCGTTTTGTTTAACAAAGTATACATCAAAATATTGGGCTCAACAACAGTGTTTAATAGTAGTACAATAGCCGCAGCTTCCATTTTAAGCCTTGCTTGATACATCAGCCCTGACTTGGATCTTGTATCATAGCAACCGTTTTGTGTATCTGTCATTCTTTGCTTGGAGATTTTATATGACACGACTAAAATTCAAATAGCATATACTGATAGCAGAGATATTTTTGTATCAAATGTGTGTCTAAAATGACGTTTTTGATATACAGATCCCAAATGTAGACATGTGTTACAATTGTCAGTTACAACCATGATATGCTTTGTGAGAGATTTTTTGTGGTGGTGGCTGTGTGAAAACGTTTCCATTTTAGATCATGTTTTTTTACAAGAATAGATTTTTGTTTTGACTTACTGACCACCTCTTTTAGGCTGCTCTTCACCCACACACTTGACTTTCAGCTATACACATAAAAAAAGTGCCTTGGGGCCCAACACTTTACTGCTACTGTATACATCTGCTTTGCAGCAGAGGCAACAGCATATCATTATTTTCGTTATCAGACCTTTAAGGTTATTTCCTTTACGAGTGGATTCCCCGGTTCAGTTTTCATACTATGATATATCGATGCCTTGAAACTTTTCAGTTTTCCTTGTTTCTAGACTACCTGATGTAGATGTCGTCTATCCTTGGCAGTCAGACATGTACCGACAAAAAAAAAGTACACTCATCACCTTGGCATACGCTATATGCTTAAATATAGATTTGCTATATTTAAACAAATACGAGATGTATAGTATCCTGTACATGTATATACACACATCAGCAGTCAAAAAAGCTAGTTTGTATTTTTAACAAGATATCAAACATTCTTTTTCCCTCTCACGTTTGTGTAACTGATGATTGATTCTCGGTAAAACAGAACCAGGTACAAGAGGATAAACTTATTTTAAGTTTGATTCTACCATAATTCAGTAGTTATTTTCATTTTCATCACCATTTAGAGAGAGGTCTTTTCTATTAGCAGAGAATGTTATTGATTTCAACATGTATATTATAAATAATCATGCAATAAAAACAATGTCCTCATCAAGTTGTGGTGGCTACAAATCTTACGTAGCCAAATATAGACTACTGGCAATAGCAACAGTAGTATATAGTTTGTTATCGGATCAGATGTACGGGAAAACATCAAAAAGAACAAAGAATATAACATCTTGAAACATGCTACGTATTCTAAATCAGATTGTTTTCTGTGCTAAGAATAAGCTCAAGTATATGAAACTCGTAGTATGGATTTATACGTTCACGATGTTGACAACAACAACATTTATATGTCCAAATGCAGGGTAGATACTGGCTACATTAGCACCCATTTATAGATTTATGCTAGAAGCCTAATATACACGCTGCTGGAATACATTGCTTTGAGTGGTTGATCAAGATGGTATCACAAGGCTTCTCTTTTTCCATTTCTTATTATTTCATTTTTACAAACATCATCATCATCATAATACCTGGGGTATATATAAACTTGGATCTGAACTGAAGTGGAGGAAATTCAGCTATTGGTTTCCATTGTCTTCTGAAACATGCTACTGCTCTCGATTTCATCTGGAATTCGTTAAAATTTTTGTAGATCAAGAAATCTTCAGAAACATTATGTAAGCTACATGCCATTTCTGTACATCCATGAGATTCAGTAGACCTGCCTGATAATTGGTTTTGGGTCAAAAAAAGCGCGTCTTCAAGGGAATAATGGAATGTAAACGGCACTCAGAGTTTATTGCCGCGCCAAATGCCATCCGATATCAATTTCCTGCTATTTTTTCTTGACCTATTATCCTCTGATCTGTATTAAATAGAGGGATAGCAATTGGCCGAAAATTCAAAAGCTGCTAGTTTGTTTCTAATCCATACATGTTCATTTTAGACATTAGCACAAATCGTAGACGGCGTATCTTGAAGCCATTATCTAGATAAAAACTGTTGATTTCTTGCTTCTGATATTGAGGGCTGCACTCTTGAAGTATAATATACCATCTTGAGTAGGATGACGATTTTACAGTCCGCATCATAAAGGTTGCACTTGAAATGAGCAGTTTACACCACTTGAGCTCATAAGACACGAATTTGAGACACAAAAGCAAATAAAGTAGTCAAAACAAGCTACATTATTTTATAGTTTGTATCCCCCTTCATGTTGGCTTCACAAACATTCATTGATTTCATGATGAAGGCATTATTGATTTGCAGGCAGAAGCTGATTTAATCTCCGATTAATCACTGCCTTAGATTGGACAATTCTGCTCAAAAACGACTCGATTAACATATTTTGCGGTATTCGACTATATAAACCGAGATGATTACCCCATACTTCTCCAAATGAAGGTAGCAGTATTTTGATAAGATATGCAAGAGCAATCAGTAGCATGAGCAGCCGCTGCGCAAGTTGGTTCTCACCGAAGAGAGGCGAAGGTAGAGAACCATCCAAAGCATAAACACTCATACAATTAGTGATTCTGTATCAATCAACAATCAGGGTTCTTCTAACATTTTAGCTATATTAATTTTGCAATATTAGCCAAAAGCCCGCGGCAGCGCGAGCCATTAAAACGTAGGTTGGTTTCCACCGAAGCGAAGCGTAGGTCAGGTTACCACCCGAAGTGTCGAAAGGCTCGCTTTTGAATAATAAGAGATAATGCAGTATGCTATCTACCTGTACAAGGTCTGTTTCCACCAAGGAAGACGTGAATTCTCATAGAAGATTGAGATTCACTACTACAGGTCGCTTAAAAAGTACAAAACCAACTTTACCGCCTATTTGCGCAAACCCCATCGTATAAAGGAAGGAATATGTAAAAACAATGTAGAGTAACCCTCCCCCCCCTCGCTTTGATTTGATTTATGAAAAAAGGTAGAAAAATATGCAATTTGAAATTATAATAACAAACAAGATATCAAAAATACCAGACTGAAAAGATTTACTGTTGTTGCATAACCATTTGCACAAAGCGGTCAATTACCTACAGACAAAAAGGAATCAAATCAGCAAAATAGCCCACCACAGCAGACTCAAAACCAAACAGAAACTTACAAGGTCGGGTCTCTTCTCTCTCACTAAATTTAATGGATGCATAGACTTGACACCATCTTTCCTATTAGCCAGTGAAAAAAGCACGCTGTTAGCCTCCATTCAGATGCGTTATCTTGTCCAATTTCTCAACTTACCATCTGACAAGACAATAGAGATCAGATTGATCTACCTCTTTTCCAATATATTCCACACGCTCAGTCTGGGTTGTCCAATCCAAAGGAGGATCAATTGCATATTTCTCGTTGAAAATGACTTCTTCGTCTTCTTGAATCTCTTCAATATCCACAACTGTTTTTCTAGATTTGAGAGGTGGTGACAAGCTTTCAACTGAAGAATCATCTGAAATGCCTAGTTCCTCTCTCTTTCTCTTCTTTTCGTGTTGTTTTAAAAAGTAGTCTTCTTGTTGTCTACTGCTGTCATTGCCAGCAGTTCTTTTTGTGCTCGCTTCTTTAGGCGCTTCCTCCTTTTTCTTTAAGCTGGTCTGGTTATCAGATGCAGAGTTTGATGGCTCTGATGGCTCTGATGAAGGTGTGGGGGTAGCAAAGGCATCTTCATCATCTGTGTCATCAATCTCCATTTTCTCCTCCTCTTCATCCTCATCTTCGTCCATATCGTCATCCTCGTTGTTGTTTGTGGCAATGACTTGTGGCAATCTAGCAACAGGAGCAGCAGGAGCAGCAGCAGGTTGTTGAGGTGCTTCAGCCTCCTTCTCTTTGCCCTTGCCATTGTATACACCAAAGACACTATCTAAAGTCTGTTGTTGTTTGCTATTCTTGGCAATATTAGCAGAGGATTCGGTGCTGCTGGTGGCTTCAGCAGGAGTAACAGTGGGTATAGTAGCAGGAAATGTTAATTTGATTGGGTTTTTGCGGCTGTTGTTGATCTTTTCAAATTGACGTCTGTCCTTTGATGTAGGTGGCATGGCGTTCCAGTATTTTTCAATCAAATCAGTGGCAAATCTGTGTTCTGGATGTCAGTGATAAATCCACATCAGCGAGTAGATCTACCTACACATTGGCCTCTTTTTCCCAGGTGTTATCCTCTGGTGAATAATTCAACCATTTGATGAAATATAAGACCTCCTGTTCGGTATCCATTTGATAAGAACAGCGTTCAATCCATGACAGCCATGATCCAATAATTTACCTTGTTTTTCTTGACAAATTTGTGAGCTTGGATCTCCTCAACCTCGAAAACTTCCTCTTCTGCTGAATCGCTCATGTTAAATATAACTTTTGAATAAGAAGGGAAAAAGAAAACTTTTTTTTTCTTTCAGTTGCCTTACACACGAAATGTTCAGCTCCAATTTACGCGTCTCACAGCATTTAACACCCCCCCCCCCCAGATGATATCAGCCATCATGGAGTCAAGGCACTAAAAACAAGAGATCAAATCAAAATCCGCATTTACAAGCAAATCCAGTCTTCCCAAAATAGCTTTCACTAGTAGCTGCACTCATCTTTTCTTCTCTCTTCTTCTTCTCTGTTGGCTACAAGGATGGCAGGCTCTACAAGGTAAGAAAAAGACGATGAAACAATCCGCTATAGTCAGCTTGCCCTGAGAAAACAGGGACACAAAGACAAGCCACCCAAGCAATGTACTAACTGCATGAAATATGAATATCAACTACATTTTTTTACTTGATTACCTTTTATTAAAATGCAAAGATTGCATCCTGAGCAGCAAAACTCGTCGCTAGGCATCAGCAAAGCACTGCAAGAGGAAGTGCGCATGATGGAGGACGCAGAAAATAACAGCAGTGGTGGCCCCATTGTAAAGAAATCGTTGACTGACGCCATGTTCAAAGTGCCCACCAAAGAGGCCAACTTCTTCACCTGGGTAAGGTTCTATATTTCGCTTTACTATAACAAGGTATGTGTTTGTGTGATACATGATTTAAGTATACTTGTACTAAGGGCAGATTCAGTTGGCTGTCAATTGCTTTGGATGTCTCACAGGATGGGAATGGTACAATAGAGTGGATGATTATATAATACTCGGTGCACTACCAACTCCCTCGCAGATCAAGAAATTGCACAACCAAGAGAAAGTGGATACCATTGTCAACCTGTGCTTGGAGTTTCCTGGATACGAGAAATTGTATAAAGATATGGATATTACACAAATTCGATTAGAAACAGCTGACTTTTCAATACCGTCTATCGATTTGATCCACCGTGGCATATGCGAAATCATCAAACGAAAGCAAGAAAGACCGAAAAGCACAATCTATTTGCATTGCAAAGGTTAGCATCATAGTGCGTGTCATCTTTACTTGATGAAATTCATTCAAAACTTTAGCCGGCAGGGGCAGAAGTGCTGCAATTGCCATTTGTTATCTACTACGAACATATAATCTGAATCTGAGTGATTGCCAACGTTTGCTGCTTGATAAACGACCACAGGTAATGTTGCATAAACGAAATGACACCATTGCAAGTCGGCTAATACGGATGTCAAGGTGGATAAGGATTTGGTGCAGTCTGACGAGATCCGATTGTACTACAAAAGCCTATTAGCAGATCTTGAGGCTGGCAGATACTGTAGACAACCCCTCAATTGATTTCCTCCCCCCACAAATACAAGCAATCATAAGCCTCCATACCATTCGGACACCCAATGGCATTAATTAAACTGAATAAAAACCAATGAGGGAGGGATAATCATGTAACTTCTTTCTTTTCTCTCATCGTTCAGCATGTCCAATAAACTAAATCTATCAAGCATAGACTCATTCGATAGTGAAAACGCCTACTCTGAAACTGCTCAAGATTGGAACACCACCATCAAGCATTCAAGTCAATGGTTTAAGGATACGCATGGTAGAACACTGCTTATGAGAGGCATCAACGTCTGTGGCTCATCCAAGCTGCCAACAAAGCCCTACCCAGGCTCCACTCATCTTTACGATGACCTTTTGTTTTGGGATCATAGAAACGTCAGCTTTGTTGGAAGACCCTTTCCCTTGGAGGAAGCGGATGAGCATTTCAGTAGATTAAGAGCGTGGGGCTTGACGCTTGTCAGATTATTGGTACCTTGGGAGAGTCTTGAACATTCAGGTCCGGGCATCTATGACGAGGAATACATTGATTACTTGAGAGCACTGATTGAATTGATGCCTAAATACGGGCTCAAGTGTGTCATTGATCCACATCAGGATACGGTATGTAGAGCCACATACAACTGTCAATTTTATCACTCTAATAAGGGATAGTGGTCGAGATTTTCTGGCGGATCGGGTGCCCCTGGATGGACATTTGAGGCTGCTGGTATGAACATGAAGAATTTCAAAGAGACTGGTGCTGCCTACGTGCATAACACAAACGCTGTTCCTGGAGATCCACTCCCTATGGTAAGTCCTTAGCTGAAATTCTGGTCTCAACTTGCCAATGTTCTGACCAAGTTTTAGGTTTGGCCCACGAATTATACCAAATTAGCATCCTGTACCATGTTTACGCTCTTCTTTGCAGGAGACACATTTGCTCCCAAGACACAGTACCAGGGCAAGCCTATCCAGCAGTTTCTCAACGACTGTTTTATTGGCACCTACCACCATTTAGCGCAACGACTAGTTGATTTGGACGCTGTGTTGGGATTTGAATTTATGAATGAACCTCATCCAGGTTATATTGGGCTAGATCATTTGAACGAATTCGATCCTATTGTGAACCTTATTTTCGGTGATGCTCCTACACCTTTACAGAGCTTTGCCTTGGGTGATCGTATCCCACAAAAGGTGGGTGTTTACATCAAATCATGGCCATTCCCAACCAAAAAGTCGCATGACCGCATCATCAATACCAGCCGGGTCTCTGCATGGACAGGGGAATGTATTTGGAAGGAACACGGCGTATGGAAGCCTGACGAGACAACTGGTGATCCCGTCTTGGTAGATTCTCACTATTTCTCAAAGCACCCAGTTACCGGCCAAAAGATCTCGTTTTACGATGATTTCTATGTGCCTCTTGTCAATCGATACGCCAAATCAATTCAGAGCGTCAAGCAAGATTGGTACTGCCTAGTCGAGCCATTAGCGAATGAGGTATGGAACTGGCAATGGAATGTGGAGCGCAAGCCTTATTGATTTCGTTCTTGTAGAGAGCCCCTGTGTACAAAGAAACAGATCACCACCACAATGTAATTTTCTCGCCTCATTGGTACGATCTGAATTGTGTATTCTACAAAAAGTTCAATGGAAAAATTACGCATGATGTTCAATGTCTTCAACGGGTATAGTCCATATACATGGAATAAATGATAGCATTAGATATTTACGTTTTGTTTATAGGGAGGCAATGTCGTTAGCGCAACTTACTTTGGTAGAAACGGAGCCAAGAAGAACTACCGTGGTCAGATTAGAAACATCAAGCAGGATGGACTGAGAAACATGGGCGAAAAGCCCTGTATCCTCGGTGAAGTAGGCATTCCAATGGATATAAACAACAAGATTGCCTTTTCAGACGACAACTATTCAAAGCATGTTCACTTTTTGGATGCCGTTATTTATGCTGTCGAGACCAACCTGATCAACTTTACGTAAGTCGACATCAAGCATGTCCAGCATCATCTGATACTGATATGTTGCTCAGGTTATGGAACTATGATGTTTGTAATGATCATGAGTATGGAGATCACTGGAATGGAGAGAACTTTTCCATCTACTCGGTGAAAAAGGCAAAGGAAGATTACCTCGAGCATGATGATGGCAATAGCAAACTGTCCAAAAAGCATCTTTATGATGGAGGCAGAGTATTAGAAGCAGTTTTGGTAAGCTCTTAGTGACATGTAGTGTAAGAAGAAGTAACTAAGCCCTTGTGTATAGCGTCCCTATGCCTCCAAAGTGGCTGGCACACCCTCATCTTCTGAATTCGACTTGGATAACCAGAAATATACCTTTTCTTTTATACCTTTTACATCCGACGAGATCAGCAAGTTGCAAGAAGATGGCTATTCTGCATTGGACAAACTTGCTAGTGTCACTGAAATATTTGTTCCCTACTTCCATTTCGGCGGAAAGCCCCTTGAAATTCAAGCGAATGCTGGTGAATGTGATTACAATGAAGAGAAGCAAACTCTCTACCATCACTACAACCGCAAAGAAGAAGCCATCGACTCTGTTACCATCTCGATCAGTGTCGTGAATAATAATACACAGTCTGTCTCTGCGTGTACCGTCATGTAAATGTTGTTCGATACTTGATAGATTTCTTTAAGCTACAATAAATACTGGTTGCTAGGCAACGCCATCAAACAAAATCTAATAGTATATAGATTGATCTGAACTTTATAAATTTTATTCAATGGTTATTTACACAAGTTTTTAAGTATCTAATTTGAATGAGTTGTGATGTGTTGATGCGAAATGAAAAGATATAATAGACTATCTAGTTGGCAGGGTTATAAAACCCAACTGATTGCCAGCGAGCCAAAAACTTGCCAAACAAGTCGGCATCAAGAACAGGAGATTTGGCAATGATGGGAGTCATGGCGCTGGTCTTTTCAGTCTTCCAGACAGGCATCTTGAAGTTCTCCTTGAAGTTGCCCTCATAGAAGGACATGAGACGGAAGGCAGGGTTGGTATCGTCCTTGGCAAGCTCCTCGACCCATTCAGCAGGTTCAACAATGTCAAACTCCATACCGTTCTTCTTCATGGCAGTAAGAATGTCGGACCACTTGACAAGTTTAGGATTCACAATGTGATAGATGGATTGTTCAGGGTTGGCAGGAAGGTTGGCCGTGCGAAGCATGATATCAGCAATAGAAGCGGCAGCATAGTCGACGGTAATCCAATCGATGACAGTATCCAAGTTGGGCATCTTGTGCATCATGGAACCGCCACCAACAAACATAAGAGGATATTGTTCAGAGACATTCCAGACGCCGTTCTCGGAGTCACCGCAGACCTGGCCAAGACGTTCAATGTAGCAGGGAAATTCCTTCTCGGTAGCCAAATAGTTGAAGAGGATCTCAACGATAAACTTGCTGTGGGCGTAGCCCATCGGCATACCCACATGAGGATCTAAAGGCAAAGGTTCTTCCAGAATTTCTGCCCCAACAGCAGCACTAGCAGAGATACTTGAGATAAAGTGGACATGCATAGGGTTAACCTCCTTGTAGGCAAACTTCAGCAGGTTGTAGAAGGGCTGGATGCATTCCTTGTCAAAGTGGTCCACAGGCATGTTAAAGTTGAGCAACCAGGCACAGTGTTGGACAATGGTAACTTCTTGCTTGAGTTGATAGTAACGCTCCTCAGTTAAACCTAGGAAAGGCTCACTGAAACGCATAGGCAAGACCTCGACGCGATTCGTGTTTAGAAGAGAGGTATCAAGAGAACGAGATTCAAAGGCTTCCACGAGACGATCTCTCAATTGGCTGTCTTTGCCACGAATGCAACAGTAGACCTTATCAACAGTTGGATCTTGCAACAAATCACGCAACATGAAGGAGCCAAGAGAGCCAGTGACACCAGTCAAGAGAATAACCTTGCTCTTGTTTTGGTCGTAAGAGTTACGAGCACGAGGAAAGTCTCTCTTGGCCATCTTGATGTAGGATTCAGCTAATTTTTGAGTGCGTTGGTATTGTCTTTCTATTTGAGTAGAGGGATCTTCTTGGCCGCTCATGAGAGCTTCGCGCATACTGATGATGCTAGGATGCTGGAACAAGAAACTCTGTGACACATCGTCAAAGTATTCAGCGATACGGTTACGAAGCTGAATAGCAGAGAGAGAGTTAAGACCAAAGTCAAAGATGGATTGGGTGCGATCCTTAAAAGTAGTTTGAGGCACATCCAAAACTTCAGCAGCACAAGTGATCAAAAAGTTTTCAGTTTGTTCAGGAGTCCAGACAGAAGTATCATCGCCAGCGTTGGTCTTTGTATGAGAAGCGGGGCCTTCCAAGAAATCCTTGTAGAGCTTCTCAACCACATCTTGATAGGTGGATTCAGCCTTCTTACGCATGACAGTGCCCTTGTCAGTAGAAGGTAATACCTTGTTGAATGGCAAAATCTTGACCATTTGAGGGAGAATCTTACTATGACCAGGACATTCAAGATTGGCTTCCTTGACAGCAGCGTGGACAGTAGCAATGATTTCTTCAGGACCAAAACGTTCAGCAAATTCTCTGTCCAATTGAATCAAAGCAGCAGTACATTGACGGCCGTGACCGAGAACAGCAACTTGTTCGATCATAGGGTTTTGACGGATAGTAGCTTCCATAGGAACAGGATTTGTCTTTTCACCATTCTCCATAATCAAAGTGTCGTCGCGGCGACCCAAGTAAGTGTAATAGCCAGGGAAGTTGGGGTTTTCAATGAATAAATCTTGAGTATCGTAGCCACCATCAGCACGATTGGCAACGTTATTAGCCAAGGTAGGACTATCAGCATGGATGTAGAGATGCTTTACGTTGGGTTCGCTTTGATCATTGATTTCAAAAGTACCATAAGGATGGCCTTGGGGGTCGCAATGGAAGAGGCGAAGGGAACCCCAGTTCTTGCTGTTGGGGTCCAAATCAGAGGTCATGATAGCACCAATCTCAGTGGTTCCGTACATATCACGAACATTGACACCACGAGCGTGGAACCATTCCCCAGAAGCGTGTTTCATGGGTGCTCCTCCAAAGATAACATACTTGAGATGCTGAATAGCAGAAAGGTCCTTTGTTTCTTCAAGATAAGGGATCATTTGCTCGAGAATGAGAGGAGGAGCAGCCATGATGGTGACATTGTTGGTTACCAAAGCCTTGGTGATTTCAGTTTGAGAAGGAGGAAGCTTTTCCAAAAAGACGCAGCTGCCACCAAATGCTGTGACAGAGAAATGGACAAAGAAACCAAAGATGTGGAAACTATAACAGAGCACTGTTAGGCATAGCACTGGAATAAATGATATAAAATTTATACTTACAGAGGCACTGAGGGAAGTGCAACATCTTTCTCAGTCAAGCTTTCCAAATGGTCCTTGGAGTTGACTAAAATCTCGAAGCAGCTCATGACGTTGAAGAGGTAGCGATTACTGAGATAAATTGGCTTGGGGAAAGCAGTGGAGCCGGAGCTATAGTACGCATTGTGAGCATTCTGTCATGTCAAACAATTTTCGATGGCTTCCTTACCTATGAATGATCAAAGCAGGCTTCAAGATGTCCTCATCGGAAAATTCAAGGTCCAGGATTTGCTGATAGCTGGGATTAATGGGTTCTTTGAGTAAAGCCTCAATATCAAGAGGAGGGATGACAATGAGCTTGACACCTGGAACCTGAGAAACAGCAGCCTTGGCAATAGATTCATACTTGACATTAGCAATGAGAAGCTTAGATTGAGTCTTTTCCAATAAGTTGACATCGGCAGCTTCCGAGTTACGAGGAGAGATAGCGAGCATGGTAATACGCAACTTCATAATAGCCAGCATAACAATCATGTAATTCAACGAGTGATCACTGATGAAAGAGACAACCTCAATATCCTTGGCATCTTTGCTCCACTTGCAGGCGAGATTGATCGCAAGGCGGTCAATATCAGCGTAAGTCATGGCTTTGTATTCACCATTGGAATAGTAACGAGCAAACACTTTATCAGCGTGCATCTTGGCTTGTTGGTTCATGTAGTTGGTGAAGGCCTTGAAATGTTGGGGAACAGATTGACCCAAGGCAAAACTGACATTGGTAGGAGCGTTTAAAGCAGACATGGATATAGATGATATGAATGTATGTATGTATGTATGAGAGATGAGATGGAGATGTAATGAATGCAGGAACAGGAAATGAGACGAATGCAATACCCTTTTATACACTCTTCTGATTTGTTCTAATACCTTGCCATGACAATACTTGGAGGTTTCGTTTGGGATAATTTTGCTATTTTTGGGCATATCAACGACTCGGTTAATCTTTCTACTTCCTGATTATAAGAATAATATTATCAAATTTAAGGCAATCAAGATATACAAACCAGCTTACAGTCTGAAATCTTTATTAAGGAAAATCTATATGTTAAAAAAAATCATATATCTATTATAAGATAACATTGTATCATATATTCTCTGCCATGGCTTGCTTATTTTCATTACACACGGTAGAAAATTCAAAGCACTTTGTGAATTATCTCCTCGATTCCGTGCAACAGCAACTAGCATAATTTGTGATAAATTAAAAACAAATACTCTACAAATGATGCTAGATCAGGGCCATGACGTTTTGAATAAACGGGTAAAACTTTATGTTGAAAGGGATTGCCTCTGTAGTGCAACAGGAAGACTACTCGGAAAATCAGTTCATGTAATGCATGCGCCATGTTCATAATGTAATACTTGCGTTCAACTACAAAACTCATGGATACAGCAGTGATTGAACGTCGTTGCCAAGATTGAGTAGAAATTTTATCCATGAGAGTGTCATAAGCAATTTGCAAGATCTCTTCCATTTCGTCGCCGATTCTCATCAAAGCAGATTTCACGTTTTAGGAATGCTTTGTCATTTTGCTTGTATCCACATCTCCTACCCGGGGGAAGCATCCGGTTTCCTATGCTTACTTTTTAAACGGTAGAATCAATCATCCGAAGAGAATCAACTCTTTACAACAGCGGCCAATTCCAATATGCAGTAATAACCACATCTCCAGACTGATGCCAGTTTATCCTTTGCTATATAATCATTTTTTCATTGATTTCCCATACATTCCCATCTCATGGTTTCCCTGAACCGCATTACATAAGTGATTTGCTTGATGTCAATTATATCTCCATTTAAATAATCTTGATGAAGCAGGTCTACTTAAATATAGTTTAATTTGGATAATCCATCATGAAAGAACTAAAAATTCCACCTGAACAAGCCATAGATGATTAATTGGGTATAGCATTTGAATGTAAAGCCGAAAGATTAAGGAGAATTTAACTTGCTGATTTGATTTTAAACACGTTTTTGTAGTAAATAACGTTGATTCTATATCAAACCCTAGGCTAATGATTACTCCACAGCTACATTACGAAGCAATCATTTAATCTTTTTACCGTTCACTTGGAAGCGCAGTGTAGACATCTGAATATCGATCAAGTCTAACCATTAATTTATGCTCCCACGAAATGAACCAGCTTTGTGTTCGATCTTTTACAAAAATCAGACTGCAACACAATACAATTATCGCAGAAATGTAATCACAACAGATTGCTTTATACGTAATTTTGTCGTATACACAAACACAGTTGCTTGATTAATTGGGCAATGATGGATAAATATTTTAATTCCTGCAACGGATGCACATTGCATGTGGATTTCAAGAGGGATCTAGCACTACGATACCATACAAAAGCAAATGAAGATACCAGCGATATTATAGAATGCTATTTTCAGCTAAGTGTCCATGCGTTTCTAATCGTAAGTTATGTATACAACTAAAGTCTTTATATAATGAGTACCTCGATTTCCAGGCGACCCAAATGATACGATAGTTATGTCTTGGCCTGCGTATATAACGCAGAGTGTATTACGGTACGTATCACAATATGGCCTCTCAAGATGAAGAGGGGTTTTAAAAACAGATCAGTTTTAACTATCTACAGTTTATTAAAAAGCTATAACATTAACAGCTAGAGGTTGAAATGCTACTTACTTCGGCAGTTCAATGCCAACCACACTGAGTTCTCTACAAGAAACGAAAAGCACCCGCGGCTATAGATGAGGATAGAGCCATCTGTCTCCTGCAAAAGAGGAACAAGGTGTGCTAGAGATTGAATTATGAACCAGGAACTGTTTTGTTGGGTTACACTTTTAGCTGGAGAGATCTTTTGGTCTAGCGATCTCAAGAATTGAATTCAGGATTCGCACTCGGAGGGGCATCTTTCAAAGATTAATTTTTTATCAGATGACGAAAAAAAAAAGCAGTAAATAAAAGCTAGATCATACGCTATGGTACTTTTTCAATCATTAATTCCTTCTTTATTAACTTCAAAAACAATGATTATCCTCATGAAAAGGCATTTTGCCAGCCAAAATAAATTGAAACTCAGGTTACTTTTCTTTCTCGAAATGGTTCAAAAACAATTCAATCGACCTATTTTGCAAGATTCGACTATATAAGTCGTGATAATTATCCTAAACCCCGTTAAGCTTTCTTAAAGTACTTTTCAAGGCGCATCTGATGGTGCTAATTATAATGGATGTTTTGATGAAGCTTATTGAGTAACTCTTGAAAATATAAAATGAGGTTTTTGGCCAAAATGTCGAGATTTTGTATAGACAGGTCTCACAAACAACGTTTCAGGGGCTGCTTTGGATCGAGAGGAACATTTTGATCTTATAGATGCCTTAGTAGAAGTCTTCATTTTTGGTGTCAAAAACGCGAACGTTTGATTTTTGAAGAAAACCATGAGGCACCCCTCATGCTTTTTGGTCGATTTTTGGTGATATTTTTTTTGGTCCTCAAAAAGTTGAGCAAAGGTGTCAGGAAGCTAGTGTCAGGTGAGAGAGATTGTTTGATGCTATTCCCGTGGTCTAAAACAGCTTATGACGCGAGAAAACACGGTCTGAATGCATCCCTTTTGCTGTGTTTTACAAATATCTGAACGGTAAGAGGCAATACAGATATGCTATCTACTTGAATATCAATTTTTTTCGTTGATGCAGATATGAAATACCGCAAGAGGGTTGAATCTACAGTTGGAGTCGTTTCCGGAAGGGTCTTAGATAATAATGAACGCTTGAAAATGGAAATTTCAATATATGATGATATAATCTGATATGGATGATCTTACACTGCCTGCAGCATTTTAGGGTAATAGATTGTTCAGCCAAAGCCAACATGGATCGGGCTGCTTGATACTCTGAAAGGTTTTGAATTCATCAAATTTTTAAGCAAGATTGAATAGCAGAGGACGTTAGGTCTTTATGTTTGAGTTAAGGCCTCTTCATTTGTTGTCAGACCTAGGATTAAATTTGATATGGGACTCAATACTCCTTCACACAAATGAATCAGAGATGCTAAATGTACTTGTAGGAGGTTTGATTCATACAATAACAGAGGAAAAGATGCAATCCCTTGTGGGCTCATATGGCAACATTTTAATGCTAAAGATACAGCATTGAATTTATAGACTAGTCTGACGAACAATCTATCACAGTATTGAACGGATGACATCTGGCAGGTGCCAAATTGAGACTATTTTTTGTTGTTGGCAACACACAGCTATATCATGGATCTATTATCAGTTACTGGTGAATCAGCTGTATATACCAACCTATGGCGCCACTAACCCCATAACCACCTATCACCGCTCATCCCAAGCTGATAAACCCACTGATGGTGGAAGTCGAAAATAAGGATTCAAGTGAAACCATCAAAAAATCCTGCTTTTCTTTCACCTCCTTAAAATATATTTTCTTTTGTCAACGCACCGAGAACGCATTTCACACCTTTTCCATCTCTGCATTGGCCTTGATCACCACAAACACATCTCCCAGTGAGTTACAGCAGTAATATCAGCAACAACAACAACAACAACAACAACAACAACAGTGAGTATATAGTTGGCAGGAATTAGTACAAGTCTTTTCGATTTAAACATCCATGCTGCTACTGCTGCTTGTGTTCTGTAGGGATGAATGGCAACAGCAACAACCGGAACAAGCGAAACAACATGGATAAATCCAAAACTATTCGTGTGTCAGACTTAAACCCACTCACTATATCATCTACGTTGATGGAATACTTTGATAGATTCGAGACTGTAAGAACAGCTATCTTGGAAGAAGACGATAATGGTAGCATGGCAGGCACAGCCATCATTGTATTTCAGTAAGTTTTTTTTTTTTATGTGGACAACACACACAGACAGCCCAAGATCGATACACTCAAATCTCCCCCCCCCCCCAACCTTGCCATGTAGGAGACCTCCTTCCAATCCCAATGAGCTCACAGAAGGCAACCACAAAATTGATGGCAGAAAAGTAAACATCAAGTTTATCCGAAATGAGGTATCAGACACACATCAGCTGAAATGGGATAGAGACATGATGTTTCCCCGCTTTTTCTCTATGGGCTTCATGCGCACACCAAAGAACTTTATCGACGGATGGTCCAGCACAGAAAGAGACCTCAAGTTTGAATTTAATTATACGCTGCGAAGAATTAACATCTTTTTCTCCCATTTGGGCCAAGAATACAAAGTGGAATTCAAGTTCAAGGATGTTGCTGGAGAGATCTATGCCGAGAGAGAGAAAAATACCACCATCTTGACCATCCCACTGAGATACCCGGGCATCTTTTGGAAGAGAAATCACCAAGTGGTTACCAACACTAAGCATTCATCGTCAAGAGACAAGAAATGGGAGCGAGTAACACTGATCCCTAGGACAGCGGATTCTGACATCTCTGCACCACAAAAGACGCCCTTTTTGCCTGTAGCCCATCCCGATGCTCTGGATCTCGGTAACTGGCTGACATTTCGCCTAATGTTCAGCCCACAGCCTCGATTTGCTGCTGAATTCGATCAAAAGTTGCAGAATGCCGCCAACTACAATCTGGTACCTCGTGAATTGGGTTGGAAGGCGCCATTCGTCAAGGTGGATAAATTGCAAGATATACCAAAGCCTTTTGGCCACAAGGAGCGCTGCGAGCTGGGCTTGGACTTTGACGTGCTGTACATGCTGGAATCAGTCATCTCTTACCACTATATCAATGAATACAACCTGGACGACGAGTTCTATTCAAAGCTCATCAATCTAGACCCTGTTGTTATTTGTGCTGTTCTTCAGATGTTGAGCGAGTCAAAGCAGCGTGTGTGGAATCCGTTGGCTGAAATTATAAAAATCTGGAGCAAATGGGACATGAAAGTGATCAAGAAGCGAAGTGTGCCCAACCATTGTGCTTTACTGCGCAAGATCATTGTGACACCCACCCACATCTACATTCAAACACCATCTGTAGAGACCACCAACAGAGTCATTCGACACTACAAGGATCAATCCGAAGGCTTCATTCGCGTGCAATTCATGGACGAGGGACACAATCGTGTGGGTGGTGCTGGTAACGAGAATATGGCCAAAGACTCTATCTACCTCCGCATTTTCACCATCCTGAAGCGTGGCGTGCAGATTGGCAAGAAGCGTTATGAATTCCTCGCTTTCTCTAGCTCTCAATTGCGTGAACAAGGCTGCTGGTTCTTTGCTCCTACTACGGATATCAATGCACATACCATTCGTACCTGGATGGGTGTCTTTTCGCATGAAAAAGTGGTGGCCAAGCATGCCATTCGCATGGGCCAATGCTTCTCCTCGACGCGTCCTGTCTACACCTTGGAGGAAGATGAAGTAGAATACATTGAGGATGTCAAGCGCAATGGCTATACCTTCTCGGACGGCGTGGGTAAGATTTCTCCTGAATTGGCCAAAGAAGTAGCGTTCCGTCTGGAGCTCAAGTCACCACCAAGTGCGTTCCAGTTCCGTTTGGGTGGGGCCAAAGGCGTCCTTACCATTGATGAGCACTTGGCGAATACAAAGGTCAAGGTTCAGTTACGACCCAGTCAGATCAAATTTGAATCCAAGCACCTTACGTTGGAGGTCATCCGTACATCGACTTACATTCATGGCTACCTCAACCGTCAAGTCATCACACTGCTGTCGTCTTTGGGTATCAAGGATCAGGTCTTTATGGACTTTATGCATGAAATGCTGCAAGATGTGGATCGCTTGTTCTCCAGACCTGAAGAAGCTGTGCGTGTGTTGCTAGGCAACGTCGATGAAGCTGGTACAGCGTTGTTTATGGTGCCTCTGATCAGAGCTGGTTTTCTCGAGCGTGGTGACCCTTACATTAAGAACCTGCTCAACTTGTTCCGTATCAATATTCTGAAAGATCTCAAGAAGAAGGCCAAGATTATCGTTCCTCAGGGTGCCTACTTACTGGGCGTCATGGACGAAACTGGAACGCTGGAAGAAGGAGAAGTCTTTGTGCAATTTCATGACACGTGTGGCATGAGCGCCAAGCAGCAGCTAATCACTGGCGATGTTGTCGCCTTTAGAAACCCTTGTTTCCACCCTGGTGATGTACGTGTTGTCAAGGCTGTGGACAGAGAGGAACTCCATCACCTTGTTGATGTAATTGTATTTTCGTCCAAGGGTATGCGTGATATTCCAAGCATGTGCTCTGGTGGCGATCTTGACGGCGATGACTACACTGTGTACTGGGATCCAAGACTGATTCCATCTGGAAACTACGTTGCTATGGACTACACACCAGCGCCTCCCAAGCTCGTGGATGAAGTGAAGATCAAGGATATTCTCAAGTTCTTTGTCAACTACATTAGCAATGACAACTTGGGCCAGATTGCCAATGCACATCTGGCTACGGCTGACCAAAGCCCCACTGGTGCCAGAGATGGCAGATGCATTCGATTAGCACAACTTCACTCTGAAGCTGTCGGTAAGTACTACAAGCGCATGTCTTTAGACACCAGGGAACTCATCCTCTCTTGACTAGATTTCCCCAAGTCCGGTAAACCTGCCAAGCTGACCTCTGATCTCAGAGTACAAATCTTTCCAGATTTTATGCAGAAGAAGGATCGCGAGTCGTATCAATCAAAGAAGGTTCTCGGCCAAATCTTCCGCTCGATCGACAAATCCAATTACAAAAACTACAAGTCGACTCTCACATCCGAGTCAGAGTTTGATGTGCGTCTGCGTGTGCCTAATATGGAGCTTTACATCCAAGAAGCCAGAGAGCTACGCGCTACCTACAACAACAACCTGAGTGCACACATGAACCAATTTGGCGTTCAGACTGAAGCGGAAGTCTGCTCAGGCTATGTTATCAAGTGGCTCAAGAAGGGCAAGTCAAAGAACAACTACCAGCAGCACGAATACACCATGAAGGCCATCAAGTCTTTCAAGAGCCTGTGGAAGAAGGAATTTTTCAAGGAGTTTAGAGATGGCTCTGGTATGATTGATCCAGCAAAAAACCCGCTTATGGAAGCTAAGGCTGCAGCGTGGTACTATGTCACTTATCATCCCAACGAAAGAGAACGAGACATGTCAGTGGAAGGAGGCTTTTTCTCATTCCCCTGGATTGTATCTAATCTCATATGTGAAATCGCGAAAAGAAGTAATCAAAAGAAGGACGAGATCGATATCATGGCCTCTTATCCATTCACAGAAGAAGAGATCCGCCAAGGCCAGGCTAGATTAAACGTTATGAGACAAGAAGTGGTCATTGTCGAGCAGGATGAAGACGATGACGACGACGACGACGAGGAGGAGGAGGAGGAGGAAACCGATGGTGAACATGAAGCGGATGAAGGCGATGACCATCCCATTTACGTTAATGACAGCAGCAAGCTCTACCCTGCCAAAGGAAGCTATCCAAAAGCCACTGACAGATCCTTTACCGGCACCAGGTCTCCTATTTTTGCTATGCCATCGCACCGAGCAATTGTTCAAAGTTCAGCCAATGCCACTGATGAAGAATTGATAAGAGCTTTGGATCTTTCTTGATGTGCCAAGTCGGCTTCCTTGTATACCTCCCATTGTAGTTTGAATAAAGCTTGCCAATCGTTCGTACTGATGATCGCTTTGATACCCATCAACATTAGGCTTTCGACACTGTGGATCACCTCTAGGGTGACATTTAGATACGCTAAGCATGACTACCCTTGAATCAGCACGTAGTGGCAAGTGTGTCACTACAAAACCTTGCTTGTATCAATTGCATTTGATGAAACCTGACATTCAAATTCTCTATAACGCGGGTTCTATTGAAACGCGCCTCCAGTTCTGGTCCTGGGCATTAATTAGGCTGGTGCCAGAAAAAATTTCAGTGTGTCTTTTGCTTCTTTTGATTCCATCTCTTTCAAGATGAAACGAACAACAACTCAAAAGAAGGAAACACAAAAGAACACGCTGCTCAGCTACTTTGCATCCACAAAAGCACCACCCAAGAAAGAGCCCTTATCCTCATTGATTGATAAAACAAACCCTCACACCATCAAGCAGACAGCATCAAATCCAAGCAAAGCAAGAAACCAAAAGCGGCAACAGCAACCTATTGACATGACAAACGATGCTGACGACAGCGACGATATCATCATGATCTCATCTCAACAAACCGTGATAGATCTCGAATCGAGCCAAAGCAGCTTCCAATCGACAAGCAGTAGTCAAAGTTCTACACACAGACTGAACACAACAGAGATGGTCAATAACTCGAAATACAACAGAAAAGGATGGTCAGTAGAAGCAAAGCAAAGAGGGCCACTCTCATCCAGTCAAGATAGCCGCTTATCGCAATCAAAGAAACCATCACAGCAATTCGAACGACTCCAGCTCAATAAACCTCGCATCACTGCCAAACCGTCTTATGAATGGTTGGGTCCCAACGATGTCAAGCCTTACAGCTCCAACTTTAGTCCATTTGTGTCTGCAGCAGATCACCTCAAAGACGATGCACCTCGTGTTACATCACAGTTTGAAAGATCCAATTCGCAGCCTTACATATCATCCTCCTCTGGAGGAAAGAGAGGTTGGACCGACTATGATGATTCTTCATCATCCACCTCTTCATACGGATCCAGTTGGAGCAGTAATAGCCTTACCAGCAGCAAGAGACGCACTTTACCCACACAGCCAACAAGACCAAAAGATACCAACTGGTCCAAAACCAAGGCGAAACCTGGCTATGGCCGACAAGCGCATGCTAAAGTGTCGTATGATAAGCCTATGGTCATGAGCCAAATGGCATCTTTATCTCCCACAGCGTCAACAGAATTCACCCCGGAGCTATCGGATGAACAGAAACGAGTGTTTGATATGGTGGTCCGTGAACGCAAAAGCATTTTTTTTACGGGCTCGGCTGGTACAGGTAAATCTGTCTTGCTGCGTGCTATCATTGCAAAACTGAGATCTACCTATGGAAGTCGATTGGCAGTAACAGCATCCACTGGTATCGCTGCTTGCAACATCAACGGCTGTACATTACACAGGTAAGCGACAGTATGGCATTAGGACGCATGGCTCTTTTATTAACGTCTTGGATAGCTTTGGTGGTATTGGCATAGGTGCAGAAAAGGCAGAGGAGCTAGCAGCAAAAGTAGAATTCAACAGGAGATCCAGCGAGAGATGGAAAGAGACCGATGTTCTCATCATTGATGAAAGTAAGTCGTTGCGCAATTTGCGCCTCAAGCTCAACGCATTACTGACACACACACACACACACACACACACCTATGTAGTCTCTATGGTGGATGCCGAACTTTTCGATAAAATGGACTACATTGCAAAGCGTGTCAGACATACAGATGCTCCCTTTGGCGGTATACAGATTGTTGTCACTGGTGATTTCTTCCAACTGCCCCCTGTGAACAAGGAAAGAGCATCCAAGTTTGCATTTGAAGCAGAATCATGGCGAGCAGCTATTTCTCGGACGGTGCTTCTTACTCAAGTCTTTAGACAAAAGGATGGCAGTAAGTCTGTTTCACTGTAGGTTTGTCATAGCACACTCACATTGCAATCCTTTAGCTTTTGTCAGAATTCTGAATGAAATGAGATTGGGCATCTTGTCAGAGGAAGCCATTTCCATCTTTAGTTCCTTGTCTCGAGCGCCTGCTGCGTGTGATGATATTCAGCCTACTGAACTGTAAGTTTGCTCTATGCCTAATCGCAATTGTGGCACACATGGCTGACAACTATAAACCAGATACCCACTTAGAAATGAAGTAGATGATTCCAACAGAAGACGATTGACTGAGCTACGCGGCGAGGAAATTGAATACAAAGCGATTGATGAGGGTGATTCGCGCAAACTGCAGCAATGCATTGCTCCTACATTGCTCCACCTGAAACTACACGCACAAGTCATGCTGCTGAAAAACATGGATGCAGAACTAGTCAATGGCTCCCTTGGGGTCGTTGTTGGCTTTGTAGGCAGAGGCAACTATAGGAACAAGGCGGAATGTGAGATGTTACGAACACCACAGCGCAAAAGAGATAGAAACAGCTTGTTTGCAGCAGACAAGGAAGGTGATGGTGAGATTGACATGGATGTGCCGTGGCCCGTGGTCAAATTCGCAAATGGCAGGGAGATGATTCTTGAGCGTGAAGCCTGGTCTGTTGCACTGCCAGGTAAGAAAAACGGCCATGTGTAAAAGACGTTGGCGATCCTAACTATTCATGCAACAGGTGGCAGAGATGTGTCCAGAAGAAGACAGCTACCATTGATGCTTGCTTGGGCTATTTCTATCCACAAGAGTCAGGGCCAAACACTGGATGCCGTTCGAGTGGATCTTGGAAAAGTCTTTGAGAAGGGTCAGGCCTATGTCGCATTATCCCGTGCTACTAGTTTGAAGCAGCTTCAGATTCTCAACTTTGATCCCGCCAAGGTTATGGCGCATCCTACCGTCTCTAATTTCTACAGGACCTTGCAAACATTCAGATAATGGATCTGTGTAGTAATAAAGTTGTGTCCCCTGGCTATCTGCAGGCTTGTTCCATGGCATGGCTCGTCCCAAAAGCAGATGTCTACAACTCGAATGAGTTCATGGCATCTCGATTCATTCACCATTTAGACTGAACAAGTTTAACACTGCCGATTTCTACAAACATTGATATTATCTTTTTTTTTTTTCAAATACAAATCGATCACCTTTTCAATGGCACAAATAACCTTGCTATGTGCCTGACCAGAGCAATCGATCGAGCCTATTTATTTACTATTAAGGAAAAAGAACGTTCAAGTAGTACAGATGAGAAGATTTGAGATCAGTTTTGTTGATGGTGCCATCATTTTTCGGTTCTTTCTACAGATCCAGCAGTTTGCCTTGTAGTAGATTCCAAACAATCTAAAAAAAAAAGCGTTTCCAATTGACGCTATTGGATGTAAATAGAAAGATACTAAATTTGTTTGCTTGGCTTCTTTTTTTTTAAAAAAAAAAAAAACTATATAATGAGGACATTCTTTTCTCATGTTCCCTGATCTGACAAAAAACGCTAAATTCTTCATCAACCTAGCGAATGGTAAGAAAACGTATATATGACACATAATTGACTAAAGCCTGTATCTACAATGTGATTTGCTGTCATTTTATTAGCTATCATTTCAATTGCTTCAATATGAGTATGTTATGCATTAACTGACACACGCCAAGATGAATCCAGATCCAGAAAAGGCAATAAATCTATCGAGATCAATCGGCATCCCGTGCGATAAACCAATCGCTAGGTAGAAGCTAATACATCTGCAGCAGATCCACACTAAAATGTACTCAGAATGTGGTACAATGTCTCTCTTCTTCAAGCTAACTGCGGGGCACACAATATCGCGATTTACATTCACCATTGGAAAACGACAACCGAAGGCTGTATAACTCTGATATGCTGACGATGGGATTGGTAAAGTGCTCTTGGTATTACATCTCTGCATGTCGTACAGTGTAGTGGCTTTTACCCTCTTTCTTTGTCATCTCAAATGTTAACATTCTCTGTAGCAAATGCTAACTTGGCATAGCTGCGGCAGGATGGACATGATAGGATATGTCATTGGATAGGTCTTCGATTTCGCATCTGGGAGTATCAATTACCTGACTGTTGGTTGAGGGATAATCTCTTGGGCTTGAAGCTTAAATATGTGAAATTACTTTTCCAGAATTATGGAGAGCAGGGGGGGGACCCATAAAATTTGATCCAACGGAATGGAACACCAAAACATTTCAGGTACTATAACAAATCAAGCTATTTTCGTTGATAGCAGCCTTCTGCTGCTGTTGCGATCTTGATAAAACTTAACTGTTGCTCAACACTTATTTGTTTGCCTTCCCTTTCAATCGGATCATTCCGCCTAAATAACATGGCACAAAGCTAAACGAAATAAATGTGTTTTAAATTTTGCAATGTTGGTGCCAAGCAAATGTCGACATCAACCCTGTTTACCATGGCATGGCAAGTGGCGTGTTTTCGTACGTGAGTGCCAGTGAGATGCAGAGAGCGAAAACTCGTATGATTTTCGAGAGCACTTGATTGTTTACTCTAATTTAGGCGTACAAGGGGAGGGGGGGGACATGTTAAACCAGGTGTTACACATGCGAGGATGCCTAATGCTTTGTATGTGTTTATTGGAACCAATAGGAATTGCATTTGAACTAGGGAAAAGCTCACTATTTGCTTTAGATGGAAGCTCTGTGGCTGATATGTTTTTACTAGAACAAGCAATTTGTACATTGAAAATCGGTTGTGTCTATTTCTGGAATCATCTGGCTTCCTGTTCCACTGCTACTTGCACTTATTCGATCGATCGATACATTTCGCCATCCTTCAGCTTGCATCTCTTTGTCCCCTCTCTCTCTTTCCACTTCTTTATGCTATCATCGACATGGCTGTATTCGTGTTTTGCTGTTGTCTGAGTGGTACATTTAACGTTGCCTGTTATTTTCATTTCGAATTGCCCTATCGATCGGGTACTTTTTTTTTTTTTTTTTTTTTTTCGTCTCAAAATGACACTACTTGACTCGTGCTAAATCTGCATCCAAAATACAAATTTCTGTAAGAAAACACACTAGATAATTTTGGAAAAATTAGAAGTAGGTATGCCATTTAAGTAAACGTAGAAGAAATTTTCTGAGTTTTGGCTACAGGGCAAACCAAACAAGTGGTAGTTAGCTTTGGGCATTTGAGCTTTTTTGATCCAGTAAAAAGCTAGAGATAAATACCATTTGCATTTCACCATGCATCGGTAATTTAGGCTGCCATGCCATACAGGGCAAATGACAGTGTATCAATTTTTGCGATGCTTGTTGGTTTATCTGTGATTCAATGTACCAAAACAGGCAATAATATAATGGCCTGGCTCTCTATCTCTGCTGCTGCTGCTGCTGCTTGTGGTTTGACAATGGAACGGCCCAGATTAGATACACACACAGCATATACATATTATTGCAAGGACGATCTTGTTTTTTAGACATTTAAATGAATTCAAAAATTTCTTTTTTTTTTCGTTTTCTTTTTCTTCTTGCTTTTTTCCACATATCCTCATTCTCACTTTCACCCTCATTTCTCATCTCACATGTCTCAGCAACGCAGAAAAAAGGCTGTAGAGTATCATTTCGTCGACATGAATGACCCTGATAGGTACAAGAAAATCAAAGTAGCTAGAGCCTGTGATTTCTGTAGAAAGCGCAAATCAAAGTAATTCATCATTCTGATGCCAAATTGAGAAACTCTAAATTAATGATGCCCCTCTCTTAGATGTGACATTGGTATACCAGGCTCAGGCACTTGTTCTAACTGCAAAAAGGCAAACAATACCTGCATCTTTTCGCCTGTCTCTTCCAATACCGCTAGTCCAAGAAAAGAAAGACCCTCTTTAGCGCTGTCCCAAGACTCCTCGTCTTCAAACAGTGGCCGATCAAGCTCATCCTCCCTCAGCAGTAGCAAGAAAGCCATGCCCACAGCAAACACAACCTATCAGCCTCAAAACCCCTTCTTTTCCATGGACCAGAGAGGTCGCTGTAGTTACGAGAAGCAAGACAATGGCACTTACAATCAGATGGCGATGCCCTCTGCATCTTCATCTTGTTTGCGTGAGTTGCCAGCCTATACAAAGCAAATGGAACAAGAGCTGTTTGACATTTACTTTTGCTATGTCCATCCGTTTTACCCAATTCTTGATCGCTATTACATGATACAAGCCATGAAATACGATTCGGAATCCATACCAACGTCATTGAAGCTCGCTCTAATGGCAGTGTCTCTTCATTTCTCCCCTCAGCAACAAGACGCAGAAATCCTGGCAGCAGCATACCATCAGCATGCCTCCATGCAATTGGACCACACACCCTCCTTGTCATCACTTCAGGCCCTGTGCTTGCTGTACAAGTATCAAGAATTGATCACACCCGTTGGTTCTTCGCTGTCCAACGTAGCTGTCAACTACCTCAAGGAGATGCAGACAATGATTAGCCAGCTCCAGCAACCTGAAGTCGAGAATGATCGTGCTGTGTGGTCTACTCAAGATGAATTTGTATGTCGCGCAAACTGGATTGTCTTTATCATCATTACGTTCAGCAGCACTTCAGACGACAGTTGGAGAAGCATGTTGGATTGCTGTGATCGACGCTCAAAACTCCCTTCATTGACTGAAACAGAGCACTATGATAATGGCGAGCTGAATACATTCTGCAACTTTAAGCATTTGATCGCGATTGCCCTCCTGTACTCTCACAGCCTGTCTCTCATCTCGGATGGCAGCTCCCTCTTTGTCAATGCTGATCATCCTGAATTTGTGAAGCTGGCACAAGGACTGGAGGCGTGGAAGTCAAGTCTACCAAGTCACATCACGCTTGCCCTGAATGCGGATCCTCCTATTCTCTACTCTGCTCAAAACCACAGTGTTGCCAACATTGACCATGATAGCTCCAAGAGTGGGTCTTACACCTCTTACATTTGCCTGGTGCATGACATTTTGGAATTGATCATCAGCATACATCGTCTATCCACTTCAAAGGCACCAATAGCAGAGGGTTTAGATATATTCAAAAAGGCGTCGCAAGTGTGTTATCGGGCTCATAGTTTCACAGTGGGTGATATGCAGACTCCTCACTACTCAAGGCTAGCAGCTATCCAGGGAAGTCGTATCATATCCTTCGGTCTTACACTGGCTCTGCAGGCACAGTCCTATGTTCATGAGCGAACTGGCGACAAATCACTAAAGAACGCAAAGCAGTATTATTCATCCTGCGCACTCTCGTTTCAAATATTCGACGACATGCTGCTGTCACCCCAATTGTACATGGCTATTCAAACACTGCGAGCTCAACTGGATGCAAAGGAACAACTCAACTTGGCGACCGATCAGCAATCATACGAACATTCACCTATGAGCAGCGACAGAAACAGCAGTACCCAGTCAACACCTGGTATTCAGCAGCAACAAAGCATAGATTACGAATTCACTCGACCTAATACTACCATGGCGGCATCACAGGACATATCAAATCCATTCTACTGTTCAAATACACATGAGCAACATCAAAGCACACCATCTACGTATCACACACGGGAGCAGCAGCAATGGCAGGACTATGACAACACACACTTTAACGGGAGCAACAGCTGGTCTTTGTCTGCTGGCCATTCAAGGCAAGAGCAAAGCAATGGCTACTATCAAGATGACTATGCCAGCCATCGCAGCGTGCCCATTACTCCTACATTTGAAAAAGAATTCGGTATGTCTTCTCCTAGTAATGATCCACTGACGACGCCTCCTCCGGTGTGTGATACTGATTCGTATTTTGCTTTACAGCAACCACAACAAGCACCTCGACACCATCACCGACAACTACAACACCTGCAACTGCTTCAGCAACAATACGTTAGCTTTGATGCTGCTATTTCAATTGCTTCGGGGGAATTTGGCTTAGCGTCTCTGCCTTGTGCAACACTTGCCCCTCGAAAAAAGAGTGTCAACTGACGCTCGCAACTATGAGTACCTTGTTCTTTTTGTTGGTTTCAATATGTCTATAATCCCTTCGTTTTCCCTTTCCATATTATGAATGTACATTTTCATGCCTCGCACTTTTTTTTTTCTTGTATTTTCTTACGCTAGCATATAACCATTACTACTACCACTACCATTACTACTTTTTTCATACAGCTAAATCATTAAAAATATGCATTTTTATCATCTTACAAAAAGTAGCATGAAGCAAAGTCAGCTTAACGCAAACATGAACGTATTCAGTGAATGTAATGGGTATTTTTATTTATTCAAGTGATGAAAAAAAAAATTCAAAGAGATGTATTGACTAATTAATTTTTCTAAAAGGTAACGAGGGATTGTGATGAAATGCTAAAAGGTGGTTTTACTTAAGAAGACCAACGATCTCTGATGGATGAAGTCCATTCGGGAGCACCTTCAAACCCATTTCTACCGTGTTGATAATCAGCAAAAGCCTGATAGATTTCACGTTGCGTGTTCATGACAAAAGGACCGTGTTGGACAATGGGCTCATTGATAGGTTCACCGGCAATAACGACGAAATGGCAATCATCCGAAGTAGATTCCACAGGAATATAGTCGCCCTCGTTAGCGCTCAAGACCAAAGTATGGTGTGCCTCTGAACTGTGCTTGCTGCCACCATAGAGAGCAGAACCAGCGATGGTATAAATGAAACCAGCATAGTTCTTGGGGATGACCTGCTCTATCTTCTTACCCTTCTTCAGCTTGACATCGATAAACATGGTAGGAGTTCTTGTCATTACTGGAGATTTTACACCATAAGATTCACCTGCAATGACCTTGATAGTGACACCTTCTTCAGGAGTAGCTTCAACGACCTTTTCCTTGGGCAACTCTTGATAATTGGGCTCAGACATCTTGTTCTTACTGGAGAGATTGACCCAAAGTTGGAGGCCATGAGCTCTGCTGTTGCTGGCAGGAATCTCAGCATGAACAATGCCCTTGGCTGCAGACATCCATTGAAGATCACCAGGACCAATGCGACCCTTGTGTCCTTTGAAGTCTTCGTGCAAGAATTCACCTTCCAACATGTAAGTGACAGTTTCAAAGCCACGATGAGGATGATCAGGGAATCCACCAGGAGCACGAACATCGAATTCATCGAGCATAAGGAAGGGATCCAAATTGCGCAGAGTTTGGCTACCAATAGAGCGGTACACTGCAGTAAAAATGTGAGTAAAAAGCGTCATTTGTTGAGTAATGAAAATTCAATGTTACCTCTGGCACCAACACCATCCATTTGCTCTCTGGAGAGAACAGATTTGGTAATGTTTCTAGCAATTCTTGAGACTGGAGAAATAGACATGTTTGTAATTGTAATTTTAAGTTGTTTGAATTTAAAATGATGAAAAAAAAAATGGAAAGGGTCAAAATGTCGGTTCTTTTATAGTAAATCAACATTTGCAGGTCTCCCTCCGCATTACATAACATTTGTAATGCTTATCAAGATTTTGGAATCCCGGATTAGTCATGTTTTGTGAATTCTCGCCATTTTGTTTGGTCACTAAAGTAAGCAAGTGATCAATGCTTATGTGTGATTTACAAATTCTTTATTTTATGGTGATTAACCCTTGATTTTGTACTTGCTATACTACGAAACAAACATTCCAGTTAGATCAAGAAGGCTCTACTTGATGAATAATACTCACAGATTTCTTTGGATCAAACACCTCCCATCGACTGGCAGGGAAAATGTGTTTGTTGCGTTCGTACCAGGCTCTTTCGACCACTTTACCAGCATGCGACTAGAAATCACACAATGTCAATGCATAAATTCTACAGTGTGATTTCCAAATTCATACCTCGTCCTTTTCAATAGTCGCATCATTGACAAATCGAATGTCTTCATGGACGTCAAAGTTGAACAGCGGTCCTGATTTTCCTCTGGCTTTGTTGATGATAAAGTCGTAAAATGTGAAATGCTGTTGACAACGTCAGAAATCACGGAAGCAACAAAATATCAGTGGAATCACTCACATGTGGAATAATCAAGTCTTCCTTGACATACAATAGATTGTCAGTATTGACCCCACGCAACTGCGAGAACTGCTGGCGACAAGCATCTAGGAATTGCTGGATAGAATCCCCCTTTTTACACTGAATAGCACAATGGTTAAAGTCTGCTATCGTCCTTGCCGACCTGATCCACTTACTGTAACCATTTTGCGATGGCCGCTACCATCCCAGAATGAATAAGTGATATTGATCTTTTCATCTACAAGAGCACCAAATCAGCAAATGACGTTTGCCACATTTCCATCCATCCACCTACTCTTGATTTCCTCTTGCTTAGCAATCCACTCTCTTCTCAACTGCTCACGCTCAATGCGTTCTTTTTCCTCTCTCTCTCTATCGGGCAAGAAGCTTGTATCGATTGTAGGATCCTTTAGCATTCTTCTCTTTTTCACTTGTTTATCATCCTCTTTGTCTGATGCTCGTTTGTCTCCCTGCTGCTCGTCCTCTGCTTCTTCTTCCTCCTCATCATCGCCTGCAAATGATAGCTTCAGAGGCTGCTTCTTCTTCTTTTTCTTTCGTTTTTCGTCGCTAAATGGTCTCTGTGAATATAGACTGTAACCGCCCCATGTTTATGAAACATACCTCAACGGTGCTGTTTTGGCAGCCTCTCGTTTCTGTTGCTCCTCTAGGTTTTCTCTAATTTTTCTATAATCCTTCAGCTCTGTCAAACCAATTGTACTGCTCTTCAACTGCGATTCGATGTCGGTTTTGGTGGTTACAAACTTGTCTGAACCCACGCGAACTTCACTCATCTATTCCTTTTAGTACTTAGATTTGCTATCCATTTGTATATGGAAAATTGGACCTACCTTGGCGTTTTTCTGACGCTCCTTTTCTGATTCTTCATAGATCTTTTGTCTCTGCTTTTCAAGCATAGATTGGCGAAGACCCTCAGCTTTGGAATCCATAATGTCAATAAAAATTTTCAACAAAGCAAGTAAAGCAGGCAAGAAGAGATGCGCTTTGGTTTGTTGGTTATCCTTTCTCCTCCCTCCATCTTTTTGAAAGCCAGCATACATCTATATCTTGTAAGCAATCAGTCTCATGCTCATTTTAAGCATAGTATGCATTAGATTTACCTACAGCATCTGCTTTCAGGGCACCAGCGGGTGCATCTTGACACTAGCTTGTTTGCAATTGATTTTCGAAACCTTTACCTACTAGCACTCCAAATTTGATCATAAAGATTGCTAATGCCAGCCTCAAAATTTGTGATGGATGACCAAGACGATCCAATTGATGGCGTTGACTGCAGGGCTTGTATTTCTGATCTATAACTCCTGATGTTGCCTTGATCTGTTCAAACACAAATGCATTCACTCGTACTCAGAATAGATTCATATCATGCCTGCTGTTGTAATCAATCACAACAATGTGTTGCTCTGACTATCGCAACATGACATTGCTCAAGTCGATATCTGTGCTACTAGATTGTCGCTGTCTACCATCCATACCGGTTACCACCATATAGAAAAAACTTCAATCAGTTAGCATCATTGTCTATACCTGGATCTCCCTCCTCTCCTCCCCCCCCCCCCTCACTTTGCCTCAAGAGTGCCGTCATGATTGCAGCAACTATGGTGGCACAAATTAACAGTTGTTGTGGCACTAAAGAACCCAAAATTGCATTTTCAAGCAAAGATGCTTTACGGAAAAGCCTATAAATGACGAAATTCGGAGCCGGATGCTTTGTCCTAGTGTGATGAATCTCAAATCCAAGTAATTTGCTTGTCGGATTGAGCAATTTCAATGTTTCTCTGCAATGAAAGCATTTTCAGACACACTTTTGTTTGTTGTTGTTTGAGACTCAGTGGTGATAAATTGTACAAAAGAGAAAAACTTTTTCATTCTACTGCTCTTTTTGTCCATTCACACCTACTTTCCTTGATTGATTTCACATGGGCGGCTGTCGATATTGTACACCAGGCACTCGAGGACCCAACGACAAATGGATAGCATGCGACGCGTGTCAAGAGTGGTTCCATTGGCACTGCCTCAAATTGGATAATGTTGATCAGATTGAAACCTACCATTGTCCAGAATGTGTGCTAAAACATGGCCCTACTACCTGTGAGTATACCGAAAAATCTCCTTGAACGTAATTATCCGATGAATGCTCATACAAACTATACAGATAAACCACATCAGAAGCAGAGAAAATCAAGCAGAAGCCAGGCACGACTCAACTATGCTGATTTGAATGAGGGTAATGCAGCGGGAGATGAAAGAATATGGGGTAAACTGCTTGCTGTCAAATCGTTCAAAAGGGATAAATTCAAGAGATACACAGCAAAGCAGATCAACATGGATCTGTTACGGAAAACTGGATTACGAGAGCCATTTGTTGTCGAACAAAACGAGCCAGAATTAGACATGCGGATGCCCAAGAACGATATCACAGTATACGATATTGCGAGATTGGTGGGTGGAGATGATCATCCTGTGGAGGTCATTGATGTTGCCTCTCAATCAGAAAGTCCAGGCTGGACCATGGGACGCTGGGCAGAGTATTTTCACAGCAAGGAGAGAGATAGAATACGCAATGTGATCAGTTTGGAAATCAGTGGAACTGAGTTAGCGGATCAAATCACTCGTCCAAAGATTGTGAGGGACCTGGACTGGATTGATCTCATGTGGCCAGTGGAGAAGCATCCTGAAGAATTTCCAAAGGTGCAGTTGTACTGCTTGATGGGTACAAAGGATTCATATACTGATTTGTAAGTATGGCGCTTTTTGTCACTGCGGTTGCCATGGAAACTAACAGCATTTGCAGCCATATTGATTTCGGTGGAAGCTCGGTAAGTTGTCAGATGTATTTGAAGTGCAAAATGCCAACATACCTGTAGGTATTCTATCACATTTTGAGTGGAGCAAAGACCTTCTATTTCATTGAGCCAACTTCGAAAAATCTGAAAAAGTATCAGAAATGGTCATCGACATCAGAGCAGTCGACCACATTTCTGGGCGATGAGGTCAAGGAATGCTACCAGGTAAAACTGACGGCAGGCAATACCATGTAAGTTGAGTGCGAGAAGAGCGAACGTGTCTATCCGTCTAACTGAGCATATTGTATCAGGATTATTCCAGCTGGTTGGATTCATGCAGTATACACGCCTGAAGATGCGATTGTCATTGGCGGCAACTTTCTACAATCATTCAATATCGGTACACAACTGACAGTGTACGCCATCGAGCAAGTGACAGATGTGCCCCTGAAGTTTAGGTTCCCCTTCTACAAGCGACTGAATTGGTATGCATTAGCCAAGTTTGATACATGGCTTCAGGATGAAGAAACGGCAAACAAGCTATCCTATTACGAACTGGAAAGTATGGCGCTGCTAGCTGCATTTTTGCACAAGGATATCAAGCAAGATGATGACGGTGTGGCGATAAAAAAGGGAGGCAGCATACCCAATGCTGATAGAAAACAGCTGGAGATCCCTGATACCGTCAAAGATCCCATTGGTCTAACAAAGCGAGTACTGGACCTAGTGAAAGAAATCATCAATAAAGAGAGCAAGCAGGAAAAGGAGCAGCAAAAAGAGCAACCGCCCAAGAAGCTTGTTATTCGCATGAAACCGCCTACACCAAAGGCTGCTGATTTGCCCAAGGTAAAGCAACAGGAGGAGGAGGGAGATGTTTACCTTCAAGAGGAGGACGAGGAGGATCTCGAGGAAGACTACACGCTGGATGCGGATGATGATGAATTCAACGTAGAAGATGAAGACTATGAAGAAGAGGATACGATACCCGGTACTGACAACAGCCACACAAGCAACACCAAAACTAGAAAGCCAGTTCAGCGTAAAACCCACAAGAAAAAGACACAAATTGCGCACAAGCAGCATGAGACAAATGACAGTAGTAGTAGCGATGATGATAGTATGGGTACATCTCGATCCAAGTCGATGGGTGGTATATCTGGACTATTCTCTAGCCGCAAAAGATCGCTATCAAGCAACGCCAAATCCTCCCAAAAATCCACCAAACAACGTATATTAGACCGTGTGAGCAAACGCCACTAACAAGAAACTAATGAATAAAAAGCATTTTATTGACGGACTCGTTATACGAAATCGTTTTGAAGAATGAGTTTAATCATGTTGGCTGACATGGATGTGCTACTGTCGTTTTGGCTGGTATAAAATGCTAATGCTGCCTCCAGATGCTCTTTGGCACTCAATTTGGAGCTATTTGGCAGAGATGGTGGCAGTGATGGTTGAGGCGTAGATTCAGTAGTGTGATCACGTTGAGTTACCTGTGGGGTTAGCACGTCGGCGGATGCTTTGGCTGTATCATTGCCAAAATTGGGTTCATCAAAATCATCTGTATAGTCCACGGCAGCTTCCTCAAGCTCTTCATCTTGCTCTGTCGACGATATTTCTGAGTCTTTTTCGTGTTCAGCAACAGCATAAGATGACACGGTGGATGTGTTGTCATCTTCACCAGCAGAGCCTTTGTTTTCAGGGCTCCACTCTTCCACAGTTGTATGGCTGTCCGTTGAGTTTGACGTGGGATCCGATGATGGGATATGTACATGTTGTGCTTTTGTTGGCAGTGGTGGTCCCACAGAAAAAACGGATGTAAAATTATGCACAGAGTTTCCGTAAGTGCCTCTGTGTTGGCCTCTTATTTCGATTGATTCAGGAACATGATTCGACTCTGATTTCGGACTCTCGCTCTCTAATTTCGCTAGTTTAGGAATCAAGTATTTTTGCTTGAAATTGGCCACCCAAGAGCTTGATGCCTTAAAATCCTCTGAACCTATCGACCCTTCCGTTGAGAAAGTTTGAGCGTACTGGCGAGCTTGGTATCGAAGCATTTGATCTGTGATGCTGGCCAAGTTGTCTTCTTTCTCTAGCCACAACACCAATGCATTTTCTACTAGGGGGTATCTTGAGCCTCTTTGGCGAAAGCGTTTAGCAATAGCAGCATCGCTAGCAATGGATAGCCATCTCTCCTTGGACTTTATAATCTGATGGTTGTGTTAGTATGCGTACGGCATCAATAAAACAGGTACATGTGAGTGTGATTACGCACTTTTGCAACAGTAGTTCGTTTGCAGCCGTATTTCTTTGCAAGAGCTTCCTGCGTATACTTTGGATTACTGTCATGGTCTTCACATATCAATCGCTTTGTTTCAGCAGATAAACTGGTCCGAGAATTCACGGCAGCAGGCTTTGTGTTTGTATTACTCTGCTGTCGTTCTTTGGTTTTCACAGAGCGATTCACTCGAAATACATGGATGTTTCTAGAGTTCTTGGTGCTGCTTGTTGGTTTCATGAAAAAGGAATGGATATATACAGTTCAGATATATGCAACAGAAAGAGATTGTTAAAAAGGGGAATAGTTGAACAAGTTGGTTCAACAATGGGACTAGTTTTATGTTGCTGTGGGTTCAAAGTTCAGCTTAAACTTTAACTTCCAAAATGGATGAAGGAAACGTTTTGTGCCCACATTTCTGTCAAAAGCATTATATAAAAGATAACTTGGTATATTTGGTAATATTTTCTTTGCGTTCAGCCACTCCTAGATTGATCTACAAATGAGTGTATACATGTTGGGGATTGTAAAGTTAAGCGCTTATGCAGGAACATGTTACTCTTACTTTACCCTAAACAGACCAGCTGCGATAGATTACTCGCATCATTAGTAAAAGTCAGACCAGGTCCAACAGTTGAAGCCTTTGCCTTGATTTGAATAATCAATGTAGTAGGGTCCTATACTAAAAGTAATACGAACAACAGTAGTATTGATTTTATGTAGTTTTAACGTAAAATTGACTCGCTACTCTCATCTTCAGTTACATATTGCCAAGGCTCACAATATTACCTCTATCAGGGCATGAAATCTCAAGAAGAGCATTTGTATACGCCATAGTCATCGACGCTGAGCTCATGGCCGCATAGATTCTAAATGAATTCTATACCTTGCTCTTTATCTGTTTTGATGCAGAATAAATGCCAGTATACCATCATTCATGCCACTAAAAGCACCTTCTTTCGTTAAAATGCCAAGTAATTTCGTTTTAATAGCGTCGCATTCCTCAATTAAACATTTTATAGATTAAATCCAAAGTCGCACAAAGACATGAAGATTGCTAAACAAGATAAACTTTAAAATCGTTACTTGGCACACAAGATAACAACAATCTCAATACGAAAGCGTGATAATACAATGACAACATTTGCAAATGCAGACTGTACTCAGAAGGTTTATAGTATGGGGGTGTTTGAGGCATCATTCCCTTTACAATCATTTGACAACAGCTACAAAGCCAAACAAATCTCGGTAGTTCAAGAAATCCATCATTGAAGAGAGTAGAGCTCGTAGCAATCTTACAACTGGGAACAAGATGTAGCGAGCTGAAGGAGAACATCTTAAGAAAAACTTCATCCTAAATATAGTATCTGAATATCTTGTGTAGTTTATGGAGTTACGATTTGAGCTAACAGAAACCATCCATTCTTTTATACTTCTACAGCGAATGATGTGGCAGGTATTTTTAAACATTTACCGCCTACACCTTGAACGAGTTAACACTGGACTTTCGATTTGAACAATATATCATTTTCTCCTGAACCATTCAGCGTCGTCTCCGGTTCTTCTGCTCTTATCAAGCAAACCTGTATGTCAATCTTGATATCACAAAAACTATATATACTCTCAAATCTTTTAAAGTTACCTCGAGGGGCTCTGCAAATGGTAGCAACAGTAGTGGACTAATAATAATATGCACTGCTCAGTAGTAAAAGCTTTAGTAGTTGTCAGGTGGTCCATTTAGAAGTTTACATATATGTGTATCTCATTTTGCAAAAGATATACCAGTACATATATATTTAATATGCCTTACATCTTTCTTTGATCCATTATATTTATATACATTTATTAATAACTGATACAACATTCACTAAGCAGCATATTCCAAACTAACGGAAATGATACAAACTCGTGGCCATTTTTGTAGTCTATTTCAACATTTAGACAGCAATTAACTAGTATTTTTTGTTTGCAATTTAACTATGTTTCTTTGGGAAAGCATGCTTGATTTCCTTCATTGTATACATAATCAGAAAAACCAACGGTTCATTGAAGCAATCAGTTGAGTTATAGCGATACTTTATAGGCCCAATAGATTTCTAATTCCGATTTCGGAACTTTTGTTTGGTTTCAAATCCCGCTTTTGCCCTGATGACGATGGTGCAAGCCAAATTTGCGTAGGTAGCATGGTTGCTGAGAAATTGGAGATTTTAGAAAATAGTTAATTTTGAATAGATGCTGCTAGTAAATTACTATATGAATGTGGAATGTATGTGTAGTGAAAGTTGTAGAGGGCAATTTTTTTGACTAGGGCATGTTTGATGTGGGGTTATAGAAGGTGATGTGAATGAGTAATGACGGAAAATGTTCCAGATGACCAATTTTCAAAGGATCGTACCGCTAGACTTTACTAAGCGAAAGAAAGCTTCAAGCTTAATAGCTTCTGTTTCTTTTTTATCAGCTATCTAAATGCTGAGGTTCACCAGATGTGTGAGCGTTATACAAGATAATAAATTGCTACTTTGGCATTCAGAACTTAGTATAAGTAGGATAACTCTTGTCTTTATCAGTAAATCTTTAGTTTTTGTGTCTGATCTTATTCAAATAAGTCTTTTCTTGTTTTTATAATATCGAACATTTTTTATAAGCTACGAATTATAATCCTTTTATTATTTGTGTTTGACATATAGTATTGTCAGGTATACAACACAGACTTTGTGTGAAATCTTTTAGGTAGTATAAATATCAAATCAATTTGCAAATTAATGAAGATCATCTTTTATTTCAATTCTATTCTTTTATATACGTTTTTCTAAGTCTACTCTAAAATTTTATCTCTATTCACGACAGAATTATGAAGCAAAAGAGAAGCAAGTTGAACTTTCACTACGTACACTGCAGTTGTGAGTGGCAAAAAAAGCTCTCCGGCGGGGAATTGAACCCCGGTCTCCCGCGTGACAGGCGGGGATACTCACCACTATACTACCGAAGATCCTGATGCTGTGTCGTGCCTAAATTTAGGTTTAAGCCAAATTTGAAGAAAGCGACTAAAAGGCGCCAGCGTATACTCGAAGGTTCTGGAAACTGATAGCAAGCATTGATCTGATTATCAGTTGCTATATCAAGTACTATATCTACTCGAAAGTTCCATTGATTAAGTAATTATCGATCGCAGAAATAGTATAAATATAAGTTGTAAATACATTCAATAAACAGCATCTTCGACATAATCTCAATCTATTAGTTACACTCTAAGTTATTTGTTGACTCCTACCATTGGATCTATCTATCAAGACGACAGCTGAATTTACTGGTAAAGCTCTGGACTCGTCTGGTTCTGCCTTTCTCGACTGGTTGACCCCGGTTTCCTCAACTACCTCTGTTTCGGGTACGCCTCCTATCTCTTCCTCAGATAGTGCTGGTATTACTGTCGCTATTGAAGGGAACTAGACTAGATTCCCATCATAAACAAAACCCAAAATAAATGTCATCTCAATCAAACCATGCTACCATCAGCAGATAGGCATGCATAATAATAGTATTAGCATGATGATAGCAAGGGTTAAATGCTCTAAAATAAGAGATGACAGATACTAAAGTAAATGTCAAGGGTATTGTAATGTGTTGTAACATAAATATACCTAAAAAGAATATAGGCTCAACAATAAAGAGCTATTCTTTACGCATGATTCAAAAACCATATATTGAAATACCGTTCTTGATCCATCAGATCAACAACTAAATGACCCAACAAAAATATATAAAGTAATGGAATCACTGGCAACTACTAAACTGCTGCCAGATAAGAGATATAAACCAAATAATATAAATAGAGACGTAGAATATACATTTTATTGCACATTATCCTAATTTCGAATAAAGAAGGATTTTAACAGTATTCTACCTGCTTTTTTACCCCCTTTTTACTGCAGCTATTCCACATATTTTGTCTCACTAAGATGCTGTTTCTCTGCTGTCCTTTTCCAACTGTTTTCGTTTGCCTTTTTTTGAACCAAGGATTTAATCTTTAAATTTTTTGTTATTTTTTTATATTCTCTTTCCGAATTTATTTCCAGCTGTCATCATTTTGATCCGCACTATAATGAGCACTTTGCCCTACAGGGACGCAGCTCCAATATTATATCTCTTCAATAAACATTTCAACTATACTACCGAAGATTTTATATATTGATACGTGTGTATTTTTTTCTTGTTTACTTGGCTCTATCTCGATTTCCTAAAAAGGCAATATACCGTATATGGGAAAGGCACAAGGTGGTGGATTCAAGGTATAATTCTCTATCTCATCTACTATGTCTTCCTTGAAGTGTTACTCCTCGTTGGTGTGGTGTTCTGGTGCATTGACACACTCATATAATTGTTGTAAAACTGTATGTTATCTCTTGATGGTGCGTTGATACTGTTATTCTAGTCGATGTGGTCTCTATTTGGTGTATTGCTAATCAATGTGGTGCTTACTCAATTGGTGTCGCTTCTATTTTGTTGTAGTTACATATTCGTTTAATCGTGGTGCTTCTTGTCAAGTTTAGCCGAAAATCTAATCAATATTTGGAGCCGATAATGTTGAATCGACGAATTAGTCAGGGATCTAAATGAGATTGCGCGCTAATAGCCAAGTATTACTATTTTGAAATGTGGATTTGACTCTGGACTTTGACTCAGAATAGATGCAAACCAATTGATGTCGAATCTATGCAAAATTCAAGTGGAATTACAACATTGGAATTGGGGTGTTACTATTTTAAACAATGGGATCGACTCAAGAACGCGGGTACATGAAACTGACATTTGTTGTGCCAGAAGGGCTGTTTAGGATATAGATCATCTTTGATAGGCAAATGTATTAAGCGTTGTATATTACATAAGAGGATCTGAAAATGAGCAGAGATGCATAGTAGAAGTGAGAGGTCTTTATTTAAGCAGCACGAAGGAACATGAGTGGTGCCATCAAATGGCTAATCTATATCCTGGTTCCTGGAGAGTGGTAGCCTATGGCCTTTCGTCCCTGGAAGTGGGTTTCAATTCCGACAAATGTTCTTCCGTCAAAGCTATTAGGAAGAACATTCTATCCTGGATCATCTTTGTTGTTTATCCTTGACTGGTGGTTCATGAGTTCTGATGCAGCACATCCTCGTTACTGGTTCAAGGCTTATGCAATTATCCCGCATTCAAGATCAAGGTCCTATTGCTGCGACACTGTCAAATAACTATAAATACCTTTGATATCTACACTAGTTTTGATCCCTATTCAATCTTGGAATAACATAATAAATATATTCAGTTCTAATTGTATTTACTCTGTCTATATTTCGTTATTCTAAACAAGTCAAACACTTGTTGGATACCTTTACTACTTTACTGTGCAAACCTCGAGGATGTACATAAAAGAAGTAAGCTTTTCAATTACCTTAGTTGTTGTCTCTTGTCAGGTTGTGTAGATTAATTTGCTGCTAGATCTCTCTCTCTCTCTGTGTTTGTTCTCTCTCATTTATACCATTTGTTCCTCAAACCTCATATAAATTACTCTACCGTAACTGTAAACTTGATAAGTGTGTAATTTTCCTTCAACTTTGACTTTGCTACTTGATTTTTTTCCAAAAAGACATTTATTATGTGATAGTACAAGTGAAGGTGTTTAATCTGCGTATTTAAATACCATAATTTACTGGAACAGTGTCTGTTCAAGCAAGTGTCTTATGAACAATGGTAAGGTCTGCTGCTGGTCCGTCAAGATGGTTAGACGACATAGCCGGTTATACTGTACTTTTATTTTAACTTCCCACTTACACATGAGAACCCTTCATATTATCTGCAGATCTGACTCTTATATAATGCTCCGCGTCCGTATACATGTAGATAGTTCATATACGGGCAAGCATCATACTGGTATTTCCCTTTTTTAGTCCTTAGTGTCCCTGATATAGCAAAGCCTGAGTGCATTTGAGCTGCGTTTTCTCGCGTTCAAGGTCGTTTTCGATGGTCAGAATAGTACCAAACAATTGCTCTCAATTAGTACTACCTTGCTGACACCTTAGCTCAACTTTTTGGGGATCAAAAAAACATGGATGAAATTCGACCAAAAAGCATGAGGTACCCCTCATGGTTTTCATCGAAAATCAAACAATCGCATTTTTCACCTTGATAATGAAGACTTTTCTTATGGTATATATTGATTCAAATTTTTTCCATCGATCTAACGTAACCCCTGAAATCATCTTTGTAGAACGTTGATATGTAAAATCTCGACTTTTTGGCCAGAAACCTCTTTTCATATTTTCACAAATTGCTCAACAAGTTTATTCAGAACATCTATTTTATTTGGTGCCATTGGATGGACCTTAAAAAGCACTCCAAGAAAGCTTAAAGAACCATTTTTTTTTTTTTTTTTTTTTTTTGTAAGGGAGTCGAGCTCCAGGTTTTATTTAAAGTCCTTTAAATGTCATACTGAGGGATAGAAAAGACTGTTGGTGGACCCAATGTCTGCAATGAAGGGGAATAAGATATTTTTGAACTAAGTTGGGAAAGAAATCTACTACTAATAAGGTGCGACTCCTAGAGCCAATACAGTCTTGCGGAAATCGTCAAAATATAGATCATGGATAAGAGTACAAAACACCAAACGAGGACATCAGTACTACGTCAAAAAATCAAACTACTTGCGTTCACCAGGATTTGAACCGGGGATCCTTCCGTTGGCATACGGGAGTTCTACCACTTCGCCCTACCACCAGGGGCACAGCTTAAAGAACCATACGATGATTATAATATTTTGCTTAGTCGAATCTATTAAAATAGTTCAATCGAGTGGAAAAAAAATCAAAATTTGGCCAATCTGGAACAGATTATAATTCTGGACTTGAATTGATTTTGGCTTGTGGGGCCAGCTGGCAAACTCAATGCCCTTTGAATCATGAAGGCAATTATAGATGCTTTTAAAGCTAATAAAAAGTATATGACAAATTACACAATACTATCGCTAGCAATGCTATTTTTATCTTGAAGTCTTATATTTAATAACGCTAGCCCGCCGAAATACTTGTTAGATCAGCTTCTTTTCTTTTTGAGCCCTCGAATGTGTCTAAGGTTAATAAATTTACTATTTTACGATGCTATTCTTTTGAATGAATACGACGACATTTTTTTTTAGTTCCATATAGATTGCGCTATAGCTCAGAAAACCAGCATAGGTTTCACGTCTATCTTTTTTTTTTCTTTTGCTCAGTTTATACGTCAAAATTACCAATATTGAGGAATTTTACATTGTGTTTGGCTATAAATCTCGCGCCAGCGCGGAACTAAAGCGTATTGATGCAATTGAACTTCAATACAAAGAAACAAGAGATATGGAATTGAAAAAGTTCATAGAAGTTGAACATTTCAACGATGATTTTCAGGTAATTACCAGATTGAATTATACAAATCACTGCAATAACTTATTTAATTGCTTTTAGGTATTGAATACAGCTCCACTAGATGACTATTGGTTTGCAACAGAGAACAAGTCAACGAACAATCCATCTTAAAGAGAAAGGTTGACATTCAAGCTACTCCAAAGAAGGTGCTGGCAGTCAGATGGATTAGATAAAGTATAAAGCTTAATACACATTTGCATTAAAAAACTCATATACTGTAGTCATTAATTCGACTTTTATAAAAAAAAAAAGAAGTAAATAATAGCTTCTACTCGCACTGTGATATATAACACCACATTTAGATTGAAAGCCTCAATGAAAAATATCGAAACGCAATCAACTACTAGCGCAATTGGAACAATGACGGTATGCGCTTTTACAAGTTGCTAGGACATTTGCAGGCAAGGTTATTATTTGACTTTTGAAAGACTAAATCAATACGCTTTAGAGTTGAACACATCAAATCAACAGTAACCTATATGAGGAGGGCTTGTCATTATTAGGCTCGGAATCATATGGTGAAATCCAGCGGTACGTCCCTTTGGAAATTGACCATTTCCACTTTTTTTCCTCGATATCGTTCTCAACAAGCCCACATCAAACATGCCCTAGCTAAACAAGGTACCCTCTACAAAGTTTACTACACATATAGCCCACATTTATATAGCAGATCTAAATTCTTGTAATCAACTTCTTATTTATGAATCGCGCAATATCAAGGTGAAGAGGGACGGAGCATCAAGCCATTTGAAGGGCTCAAGGTTGACCTTCAGGTGGGATTCATATTTAAAAACGCAGTTTATGGCCACTCCCATGTTGAATTGGGCAAAGAAATCATGGATAACAAAGTCAAGTCAGACCATGTAAAGATTGCCCAAGAATCCCTAGCCATTTTTGCAAGGAATCGTAAACGGCTTTCCACTCATCTATCCTCAATCATTTAAAGTCTACTTTATCTAATTACGTGCGCTTAAACGAGGCCTAATCAAACTGGAGCTACATTGATGAAGAAGCTACCTGGTCAGTCGAGGTTGGCGATCGACTGCGTGTCCTTCTCTCTCTCTTTCAACAAAGCAGACAAGTTCATCTCGTTTATACAGCAATTATTATATTATCGACAAAAAATCATCCACACAGCAGATCTTGTCATGAATACTATTCGTGAGGATGAAAATCGTCGCCGATCGCTCGAAAGAAGTCTGGGCAGAATAAATGCAAGTGCTCCCAATTACGGTGATTGTCTCTAGATTCCCTTCTCTATTCACTTTAGAAAATGCTTAACGCCTTGTCATATTCATATATATAGTACATATCTTTTTTTTTTTACACTCTAATACATGACCCCATTGATGAATAAATGTTATCGATTTTTCCAATCATAATAGCTTTCTGATAAAGAAACCTGCTTGTGTGTAATTCAAATCAGTCTTTGTTGTAACAGCCATGATAGCCACTCAAATATACTGTATATCTAATTCAAATATTCGGTATTTGAGATGGACACTTTCAAGATAGAAACGGCCTAGTGACGCCTAAAATGACTCATGTAGTAGTGATTTCCTTACTAAGTATTGACTCCCTCATGCGTGGTCAATCAATTTTAGTTAAATCTTCACCGGTTAACTGTCGCGCCTCATAAACAAAACTGCTTGTTATGAAGCTCCTGAAATCAAACTTGGAGCTTACCTTTTGATTTCGAGTAGAATAAGAAGAGGAATTTCGAAAATCCTATAGATTGTTATTTGATCTATACGCTAGTGGCTACATTAATGCAGCTTGTGAATTGGCATGATAATCATGGTGTAACTGACATGAAAGTGGGTGCTTTTGAAAATTTATCAGAATGAGCTTACAGAAGTAATTGCAGAGTTGAGCTAAACCTCGTTAATATCGAATTGTTTATTGTAGACTACTTGAATCCTATATAATATTAGAGATGATGTGGCCAAGGAGCATTGTGTAAACAATTTTTACACTGCAGCTTTCAAACAATGGGGTTCAAAGAATGGTGTTGATTCACTTTGAGCAATCCAAGTCTAGCCGTACTACCGTTTTCAGTCTTGGATTTAAAACCCTCTAGTTTCAAGAGTATCTGATCAGCATTATCTTTGTAATCTACAGGATCTATGTCATCTAGAGTTACTATGTTTGACCAAGATATAGTGCGGTTACTACGATGCCCTGGGTCCCAAACTATTGTGCTACTATAACAAAAGCATTTCAAGAAATGTGTAAATATAGGTAACAGACGACATAATTTTATACAAAGAATACTTATTTAACAATGAATTTATTTTGAAAATGATACATGCAATTATTTAAATGAAACAATTTAGTTCTTGCTGGAGAGAGCAGTGACACCAGGAAGCTCCTTACCCTCGAGGAGTTCGAGAGAGGCACCACCACCGGTAGAGATGTGAGAAACCTTATCACCAGCACCCCACTTGAGAGCAGCAGTAGCGGTATCACCACCACCAATGATAGTGGTAGCACCTTCCTTGGTAGCTTCGACAACAGCATCGAGGACAGCCTTGGTACCGTTAGCGAAGGCATCGAATTCAAAGACACCAGAGGGACCGTTCCAGACAATGGTCTTGGACTTCAAGATTTCGTCACGGAAGAGCTTGGAGGATTCCTTACCACAATCAAGACCCATCCATTCATCAGGAATACCAGTGGCATCAGTGGCATAATCAGTCTTGGCATCAGGAGCAAACTTATCAGCAGTAACGAAATCAACAGGGAAGATGATCTTGACGTTCTTTTCTTGAGCCTTCTTCATGAGGTTGGCAACCAACTTGGAACCGGCTTCATCATAGAGGGAAGTACCAATCTATAAAAGGAATAATGTTTAGTTCAAACGAAAGGTTTCGGAAGAGGTGGAAACGAGATGAACATCAAACACGCGTTTTTTTTTTTTTTTTATCAAAAACTGAAACCCATGATTTGATTGAAACATCTCGTTTGCTAGATAATTTACCTTGACGTTATCGAGAGTCTTCTTGAAGGTGAAAGCCATACCACCACAGACGATCAAAGCGTTGACCTTGTCGAGCATGTTTTCGATCAATTGGATCTTATCAGAGACCTTGGCACCACCGAGGATGGCGAGGAAAGGACGAGAGGGGTTCTCAAGAGCCTTAGCAAAGTATTCGAGTTCCTTTTGCATGAGGAAACCAGCGGCACGTTGAGGGAGCTCAACACCGACCATGGAAGAGTGAGCACGATGAGCGGTACCGAAGGCATCATTGACGTAGACATCAGCAAGAGAAGTCAAAGACTTACGGAAAGCCTCGACCTTCTCGGCATCAGCCTTGACCTTTTGACCATCAATCTTAGCGGAACCCTCTTCCTCAATGTGGAAACGGAGGTTCTCCAAAAGGATGACCTTACCACCAGTAGCGGCTTGGCAGGTCTTCTCAACCTCAGGACCAACACAGTCGTTGAGGAATTCAACAGGCTTACCCAAAAGCTTCTCAACTTCAGCAGCAACAGGCTTGAGAGAGTACTTGGCAACAGCTTCGCCATTGGGACGACCCAAGTGAGACATGAGGATGACAGCAGCGGCGCCTTGATCAAGAGCATACTTTACAGTGGGGAGAGCTTGAACAATACGGTTGTTGTTGGTGATCTCACCGTCTTTCAAGGGGACGTTGAAGTCAACACTATACGATACATCCAGATATGAGTTTCAAATGTGTGCATTATAGACATGTAAAAAGCATATATTTACCGGATGAGAACACGCTTGTTCTTGAGGTCGAGATCGCGAATGGAAAGTTTGTTGGACAAAGACATGATTAGTTATTTGATTCAATGATGAAGAGAAAAAAACAAGAAAAAGAAGAAAACAAGAAGAGATTGATGCAGAGATTCATGCTTATATATCTTTTTGGAAATTTTATATGACTCGTAAAATTTTCTTTCAAGCTTCCACAAGCGAAATCCGATCTCCTCTAACATCTGCTTGCATCCATTGGACGATCGCTCAGATGGATTCGGATTCACACGAGTTGTCCCAAACATTTTGACCTCATAAATTTATCGAACGCGCTTTCAACCCAAGTAATCAGGGAGTAAATGTCCAAGGATAATTATGAAAGCACATGAAGATGGAGGATTTCTATTTTTCGGTGCGTATAAAAAGAGTATAATCCATTCATTTGAGGTTGGACAAACTTTTGCTTTCCTAAAACATTGGGCTCTTCTATATCTCTGTTGTTTCTGCGCATATACATTTTATCTCGCTAATCTCTGTTTAATCTGATTTCTGAACTTGAATCCGATTCTTACTACTTTACTTCCTTAAGCAGCTAGAAATCGTCATTTTGAAGAAATCATCCAAGCATATAACATTGCTAGACATGTCGGATGGTCAATGTATCGAATGACCTTTTGTAGATATTGTCTATCATGCTTGCAATTATCTTAAGTGTAAGTCAGCGACATAGAATGCAGTACCTATGCTTATTGATATAGCTCACTACAGGCAAGCATTCGCTATCAATTGTCATTCCATCTAAAATGTCCAAACATGCATCAAATGTGACATTTTATATTTCAGTTGCCATAGCAATAGTACGTGTTGACAGTTATGTTTATAGACAACAACGGAGTAAATGGTGCATCGTCGTACCAGAAAGAACATTTGGTTTCTTTCAATGCATGAATTTGTAAATATTGACTGTACCTTAGAGTTTGCCTGGTTTCAAATGCGCCAACATCTAACCAACATGGGTTAATCCAAACTTTATCGTGTAATATATACAATCCATGAGGTGTTTATCAAATGGACATGTATACAATTCATCATGGAAAGTGACATTCCCCGACATTTGCTGAACACATGGCAGAGATCATAGGGAAAGATCAAGTTGAGATTTCTGCTGCATTTTAATGTAATGGTAATCAGTCAAATCAGTAAAATTGGTCTTATCAAAGAACACTCAAAATCACATTGCAAAAGTGAGCGACTCTTTGGTAGCCTTTCTTTTCCATAAACTTATCAATTTGGAGCGTTGATCATGGCATTAAGTGAAAACTCAAGTTTATGTACTTATTTTTCTTTTTCAATGGAGGCTATAGAATTGGCGGCAGATGAGAAATGATCAGAGTCATCGTCAGATTCATTATTGGAGGTAGACAAAGTAGTGGTAGTGCCCTGAGATAGTGTTTCAATTTGGGTCAAGCAGTTATGACACCTGAACAAGATGGTATTTTCCAAGCTATATTTGTTCTTGGCATGTGGACCAGCACCAATGTTGAATTGGCCCTTCTCGCTGGTTTTGATGATAGATTGCACGGTCTCTCTGGCCTTTTCGTACAGTTGGTCATGAATCATCATACGAGCCTCTTCGTAGCGAGTGAAATAGTAGATGTAGTGATCCAATTGCACTTTGCTGGCATTATCCATGACACATTTGATGGATTCGGTATGCAGCTTTCTCCACTCAGCCTTTTTTACAGCATCTGCGTCCTTGACTTGATCCAGCAAGAGTCGAAGAACCGTGGCACGTAGATAGTGGCTAAGACACAGGTCGTCATAGTAATTGAGAGCTTCCTCGTGTTTCGTTTCGTGAGTAAGGCGGTAGATTTCAGTGTTGGTGCGCTGCAGATTGCTGTACAAGAGATCAATGGACATGAAATCAAAGGCGCTAAAGGCTATCAAAGCCTCCAAATCAGGGAACAGCAAGCTGTTGTTTTGCGCAATGAACTTTCGAGCTTTTCTGGCAACAAATTTTTCCAGTGGGATTGATTTGCCTGCAATCTTTTGTTTGGCGCCAGTGACCTTATGCATCATTTCACCTGCTTCCTTGGCTAATTTTTGCTGCTCCTCAGCGGATTTGTTACTGGAGATGGAGAGCGTGTAGAGAGAAATAGCTTGCAAATAGTAATAAACACACTTTGACCAGTTACTTTCTTTTTGCAGCGTCGTGTAGCAGTCGAGAGCCTCTTGCCAGTTTTGCTGCAGCAGATTGATCAAGCCTAATTCCCAGAAGCACATGTGTTGCAATTGCTTCCAGTCCTTTTGTGTGTCAATGGCCTTTTGATGCTGCGATTTAGCCTCGCTCAATTGACCTCGAGCCCCTAATTGACGGCCTGAAAAGAACAAGAAGAAGACGCCATTGGGATACAATTTAAGACTGTATGCAAGAATTCGATCGGATAGCTCCTCGTTTACATCGGAAAGGGGGATCAGCTTGGAAAGAATAATATGATACATCATCAGTGACATATCACAGAATTGCCGTCTCAGGCCCTCATTTGCATCTTGAAGAGGAGGCAATTCAGATGGAGGCAAACCAGCATACTGTTCCCAACCGCCAGCAGTTTCCAGTATTTCCATACCGTAAGCACGATCGCTCGTAAAGCCCACAAACTCGACCACTTTCAGTAATGAATTGGGTAATAAGGAGATCATCAAATTGAATAGACCGACACCAAGTGATACACCTGAAGTAAAATGATCATCAAGACCACATGATGACACATCCTTCCCCAGCAATGCTTGCTCTTGCACATGAATCAGGTATTTCTTGAGCGTCTTGTAGGTGTTATAACTGGCTCGAACATGAAGCCCTTCGCGCAAGAATGAGACAAAGCTCTCGTCATGAATGATACACAGCAATGCCTTTAGCAAATAGGATTCTGCATAGACCAGTTCCTATATTACACAGAAATCAAGAGGGTGGGAAGCGCAAATGGTATAGAGAGCATTAGCATAAAATACGTTGTGTGCTTTTGAAGCTCTAATTACTTACAGCATGTCGATGTAACCTAGACATGTTCCAAACATCATGAACGGAGATACCTTTTACCCAAGATGTGATGTTTCCCAACCACCCTGTCTCCTTCTTGCGCAAAGCATCTGCTAATTGGATCGTCTTTTTCAGCGCTTCAATGGCGGCTTCGATATCTGTGTGCTGAAATGTCATCATGCTCTTGAGGAAAAGCACAAACGAATAGCCCAGTGAATGATACAAGGTCGAATAGCGCTTAGGCTCCAAAATTCTCTCTGATTCGGGAATACGAGAATTCAAGAAGAGGTCCATTGCTCGACGCACTTCTGCAATATCAGATAGTAGATTGTCCTGAGCTGCTTCCCAAACTTCATTCGAAATATTCATTGTGGGCAAAGGGGTGTGGTCAAGCGCTTCTTCTTTTTCTTCTTCTTGGATTCCTTGTTCATTGCTTAGTTTACACTTTTCAGCTGCTGCTGCAGATGCTTTGCTGCTGCTTTTACTGGGCATCAGAGCAGACATGGACTGACCCATACGACCGATAGTTCGAAAGGACATGCTTACATTGTTGCTTGATTTGGCGGTACGATTTGCTCCTTCAAGTCTCTTGCTCTTGGTGGAAGCAGCAGTAGATGATGATGTGGATGAGCTCAAAAGAGGCATAACAAAATGATAAAGGAAAGAGAGAGAGAGAGAGAGAAATATCAAAAGGGGGACCCAAATGTGTAATACATGAATTTATAGTAAACATATGTACTACAAAGCCTAATTCTACTCAGTCTATATTGAATTAATACCTTGTGCCCTTTTTCATTAAAGTTGCAGTTTGACAACAATACTATCTAGGGCTGATGCACTTGTATATATGTGTGTGTGAAACTGGCTGCCGCAATCAATGCCATCCTCTTTTCTCAAGCCAAAAATGCCAGCGTAACCTGTATGCGCTCAACTGCTTACTTTTGCCTGTTTCGTAGTAGAAACGCAACCTTGCCAAACAGTTGAAATTGTTTGTGTTGTTGTCTTATGTAACGTTGCGCCACACACAGCAAAGAGAGCCGGAAATATCTGATGTGGGTGTTGTTTGATTTTTTTTTTCTTTTTGGCTTTTAGTTTGTTCTCTTTTCGGCAACTTGTTTTCTCTCTCTCTCTATCTCTCACTTTTACCAATATCGTTCAGTCATTGATTGCCTCTTTCTTTCATCGCCCTTTTTCTTTTTTCATTTCGAACAAAGAACCAGGCCATTACTTACTTGATTGAAAAAAAAAGAGTAATCGCTATCAAACACAGGTATTTGATGCAATTTCTTGGTAAACACAAAAGCATCACGCCTTTAATCATTGTCAATAGGTATGAACTCTTTTAATCGATCCTCTGTCAACATGCCTTCAACACAAGCTACCTTTATGGCTACCTCGGCAAATCCATTGCAATCATCGGTAGCCTCCCCCTCCACGCAATCAAGCCGTATACCACGACCAAGACCTGCATCACATTTAGATGAACAATGGAGAAAGTCAAGCTCATCAAGCTTATCCTCCTCTTCAAATGACAGTGGCTGGAAGACATCATCCTCAAATAACATCAAGAAAGATATAGAGACTTGGAAAATGTCTGGTAAACCTCGTCATGCTCAGCTTCACCATGTGGCTGCTGCCGTTATGGATGATGATCCTTTGCTCAGAAGGCAATCAGCAACCCCGACCATGATGGGCATTAATTCTCCTTGGCAACCCAAGCCTCTCCCACAAGAGCCATCACCACCAGTGGCTACAGAACCTTTTAATATAGTATATCCCATAGAACATGCACCATTTCATCTCAATACACCTTTACAACCACCCGCCTTTATTAATAACACAGTTGCACCAGAGTATCATTCATACCCTCCATCTTCAAACGCATCCTACCCCATCCATAATGACGCCATGTATCAAGCCAGTAATGCCGAGTATCCCCCAGCCATGATGAATGCTGTAACAGCGCCTTATCCATCGACACCTTTTGACAGCTCATATCAACCACCCATGACTAGCCTAAATTACGATAATTACATGCATCATGATCAACCGCCACCACCACAACAATTACCGCAAGAATATCCACCATACAGCAACATGCCTCCTCTTCCACCTCAGCAACAGCATCAGTATAACGAACAATCAATGTACCCTCCTTCTTCGTCGACAATTTCTCAAGCTCCATTACCAGCTCCTGTAAATGCAATGACAGCAACACCAACCATGCCTAGCACTGCTGCTTCTCTTCCAGTAACAACCTCAAATGGCACTGTAGAAGATAAATCTAAAAAGAAAAAGGAGAAGCCAGAAAGTAATGTATTTGGGGGGGGGAATGTAATATTGTATCTTTATAGATATTTATACTGTTCCAATAGAAAAAGTACGCCAGATCACAGTGCAGTCTATCAATGCCGAGCATCGAGTGTGGATTGATGTGCTGCCCTCAGAAACTGGACTCTCGTTAGCGGAAAAGATTCATATTATTGCTACATTTAGGACTCGGAAGATCGTTTCAATTGCGACTGCTTCGGGTAGAAAGGTGCCTTTAGATAATCGGCCTGTGTTTGGCAGTTGGATGGAAATGGAGAATTTTGTAGACGGTGAGCGTTGGACTGTAGAATGGAGAGAGAATGACAGAGGTGTGGTAGACAGATTCTTTTCCAAAGTGGTGCAAGTAAGTTGTAATGCAGAAGTGAAGTTGAAGGGCATTTATTAAATTTTGCGTCATTTAGGCTGGTGGTGGTAAGCGAAGAGATCATGTAGTAAAGGAAAAGGATTAGTTGTCCGTCCTTTTCAGTTGTGAATGAGGAAACAACTTATTATATATATATATATATACAAATTTAAACAAATGCTTGCTTGTGATGAGCACAGTACCTGCATCATGTATTGTAGCTAAGAATACATGCACAAGTATCATTAAAGGTTGCCCACTTTCTTTCTCACGTTGATGATCCTACCATTCTTGGTCATATTGTTACAAACGCAGAGCTATATTTACCTTAATCAAAGTATCACTATCGCCGCTTAGTAAACGTAACTTGTTTACGGTAAATGACATAATCAACGGTAGCAGCATAGATGACACCTTCAGGATTGATAATTTTAAGCTTTGATGCCAAAAACTCATAAAATTAGAATAGGGCAGACTACCCTGAGCTATCCTATCTACTGTAGTCTGTATAAGAAAAGATAAGAATGCTTTTATTCTTGCTCAATAGACGAACCGAATTACATTGATTTTACTATTCGCTGTTATTAGAGCAGCAGCAAATATTTACAGGCTTGGTACGGACCATTGACTGACTCAATACTTATGGCACTTGAGCGCAATATTAGGAATATTGATTCGGTCAAATCAAAATCTTATACGTTTACACTTATCTCTTTCCATGACGACGAACAAGCTTGGGGCCAAGCTTGTCATTGCTTCATTGTTTATACGAGTGTTTATGCTTCGGATGGCTCTCTACCTTCGCTTCGGTGAGAACCAACCTGCGCGGCGGCGGCTCGCGCTACCGAATGCTCTTGCTGCTTATCTTAACAAAATACTGTTGCTTTCACTATAATCCTCCATTTGCACATGAGAACCCTTCATATTATCTGTAGATCTGACTCTTATATGATGCTCCGCATCCGTATACAGGTAGATAGTTCATATACGGGCAAGCAGCACACTGGTATTTTCCCTCTTTAGTCCTTAGTGTCCCTGATACAGCAAAATCTGAGTGCATTTGAGCTGTGTTTTCTCGCGTTCAAGGTCGTTTTAGATGGTCAGAATAGCACCAAACAATTGAACTCATCTAGGAGTTACTTCCTGACACCTTTGCTTAACTTTTTGAAGACCTAAAAAAACATGGCCAAAAATCGACCCAAAACCATGAGGTACCCCTCATGGTTTTTATTAGAAATCAAACGATCGCATTTTTCACCTTGATAATGAAGACTTTTCTTATGGTATATATTGATTCAAATTTTTTCCATCGATCTAACGTAACCCCTGAAATCATCTTTATAGTACTTTGATATGTAAAATCTCGACTTTTTGGCCAGAAACCTCTTTTCATATTTTTACAAATTTCTCAATAAGTTTATTCAAAACATCTACTTTATTGTGTACCATTGTATGCGCCTTGAAAAGCACTCCAAGAAAGCTTAAAGAAGCATAGTATGATCATCATATATCTCTTAGTCGAATCTAGTAAAATAGCTTAATTGAGTCGAAAGACATCAAGATTTAGCAAATCTGGAACAGACAATGGATCTGAATTTGAATTAATTTTGGCTGGTGTGGCCGGCTAGCAGACTCAATGCCTTAAGGCAATACAGTAATAGATACTTTTGAAGCGTATAGAAAGTAAGTGGTAAATAATAGCACTATCGTGAGCCATGTTATTTTCTTGCATTCTATATTTAATAACGCTAGTCTATCAAAATACTTGTTAGATCAGCTTCTTTCCTTTGGAGGCTTTGAAAGTGTCTAGTAGGGACCATAAATTTATTACGTTACGATGGGCATTTCGACTCTTCGATTGGTTTCCTGACCTATGCTTCACTTTGATGGAAGCCAAATTACGTTCAGGCGGCACGTGCGGCCGCGGGCCTTTGGCTAATATCACGAAATTAATAATAATAGCTAGAGTGTTGGAAGAAACTTGATTGTTGATTGATAGTAATTTAATATAAAATCTCTAATCATATATGAACCATGCCTGGCAAATGTCTGGCAACTCAGTTTTCATATTAAGACTGTAAACGTGTCTATGGACTATAAATTTATTATGTTATGATATAAATACTGTATGGAGGTGTTGTTTGCCAATATTAGGCAGCTATTTAACATTGATGAGCGGACAAGACTCAAAACATCTTTGTTCGCATTTATAAGCATGCTCATGAGACCTTGAGTAAAGAAGACGAACGATAAGCCTGAAATCATATTAATGAGGGTACTCACGTTTGACTCAACCCTCAAATGAGATTGGAGCTAATAGTTGGCGAAGATAGGCACACTCAGGATCTACCACCAACTATCAACGAAATTGCAGCCATCATTCCTAATGAATATCCTAATACTCGATTTAAAGATATCTCCTTCACATAACAAAGTAGCTTTTCATCCAGTATCAATAGTCTTTTTTGAACAAGTCAATGAAATGCATTCTGCCTACATGCCATGCTGAAATGCTGCAAATTATGACTAGGAAGTTAAGATTACCTATATCTTGGTGGTGAGCCAGGTTGACTGACGTTGTCATATATATAAACTCTCAACAAAAACAAAATAAAGTATTCAGGCTAAGTGATAGTCCTTTCAAAACTATAATCCCCATTTAATCAGCATCCCAATCTTTATTGTCATCATCAGGAAGGTATTGGGTCAACCAGCAGACCGCCAAAATTGGTTCAAACTCAGTCGCTTTTTTTTTTATTCAAGATTGGCCAGATCTTGTCTTTTTCGACTTCTTTAATCTACTTCATGGCATTCGACTATATAAGCTGTGGTGAACAGTCTGTACTTCCTAATACATTCTTGTAGTGCTTTTTAAGGCACTTCCAATGATGCCAAGTAAAGTATATGTTTTGACCAAACTCATTGAGCAATTTTAGAAAATATGAAATGAGGTTTTTGGCCAAAATATCGAAATGTTGTGTATGAAGACATCTTAAAAGTGGTTTCAGAGATTGCTCTGGGTCGAGAGAAACATTTCGAATTAATATATACCATAGTAAAAGTCTTCATTTTCAAGGTGAAAAATGCGATTGTTTGGTTTTCGATGAAAACGATGAGGTACCCCTCATGCTTTTTGGTCGATTTTTGGCCGTTTTTTTTTTTTTTTTTTTTTTTTTTTTTTTTTAGTTCTTCAGAAGTTGAGCAAAGGTGTCAGTAAGTTACTGCTACTCGAGTACAATCGTTTGGCGTCATTTTGGTGGCTCGGAAAACTCTACATATCAAGATATTTAGGCTTTAAAACTGTCAGATCTAACTGTGTTCCATACATTTGCTTGCCAATAGATGCGTTTTTTATATGATTCAAAGGCGTAAAGACATTGTAGGCATTAACCTAGAGTTAGATCATGTTGTTACATCCAACTATTAAGCTGGAAGTATTAGGTTGAGTGGCACTGCTGTATGGCAGTATTATAATACAATGATACAGCTTATTAGTGAGTTGATGGCAGCTGTAAGACACACTGATCGTTTTAGACGCAATAGACAGTCTGCATGTAGTAAAAAACTAAAGGCAAAACGATTCAAACGCGAATGAGAAAGAGAAGCACGTTTCAAATGTCCCTTAGCAATGCCGACAAAGCTATTGATTTTTTCACAATGCTCCCTCAATACCACAAGGATATACTTTCAGCTGTAGCTATTATAGAATGTTTGATCTGTGGCATCACCCTTTTAATAAAGCAACTTCTAGAAAAAGTCCGGGCATGACACCTTAGCATGAAGTAATGTGCATGTGTGTGGCTTTTACCTAAAAGTGAGCGTGCGCCAAAAAAATTAGACTTGGTGCTAAAAAGATTTTTTGGGCCAGAGGGCAGTTAAGACCAAGCTCTTTTTCATAACCAAAGAAGTACACATAGGCAAGCATGTCGTTGGTAGATAAAATCAAGGTAAAGAGGCAGCAATCTCACGAGTATAATGAAAATCAAACATCCCTTACTAATGCCTACATGTGTATAGGAAATCGAAGTATGTCAAATCGCAACATCATCCGTAATAACAGCATCCCTAACAACTAACAACGTACACAAATAGAATGAGATGGCCAAAACCCAAAAGAACAAGGCCACCTCTTTTCACTTGGGTCAGTTGAAGGCTAAGCTTGCAAAGCTCAAGCGTGATTTGCTCACACCCTCCAGTGGTGGTGGAGGTGGACCCGGTGGTAAGAATGCAGGCAATAAAGCATTGTACAAAATAAATACTGACGTGGCCATTAGTTGGTTTCGATGTTGCAAAGACTGGTGTTGCTCGTATTGGTTTTGTTGGTAAGATTGGTGGATCTGTTGTGACAAGAAGAGCAGAGCATTGACAGTGTATAAATGATGATAGGTTTCCCCTCTGTTGGTAAATCAACTCTCATGTCTAAGCTTACTGGCACTGCTTCTGAAGTAGGTGCTTATGAGTTTACAACCCTTACAACTGTGCCCGGTATTGTTCAATATAAGGGTGCGAAGCTCCAAGTAAGTACAGCATGTCGCTTGGGAGAGGGGAGATGGAATGAGAGATATTGACATATTGAAAACAGATTCTTGATCTTCCCGGTATCATTGAAGGTGCCAAGGATGGTAAGGGCAGAGGTCGTCAAGTCATCGCCGGTAAGTTTAGAATTGCATAAAACAAGCAGACTTTTCTTTACTCATGTCCATGTCAACAGTTGCTCGTACATGTTCGCTCATTTTCATTGTACTCGATGTACTCAAACCCATGACGCACAAGAAATTGATTGAAAAGGAATTGGAAGGTTTCGGTATCAGACTCAACAAGAAGCCTCCTGCTATCATCTTTAAAAAGAAGGAGAAGGGCGGTATCAACATGTCCAACACTGTTCCTCTCAACAATATTACATTTGACGAAGTCAAGGCCGTTCTAAGCGAATACCGTATTCACAATGCCGATATTTCGTTCAAGGAGGATGCCAGCATTGATGATCTTATTGACGTTGTTGAAGGCAACCGGTAAGTTGACGTATATTCTACCAACTACTCATGATACTGACATGGTGTATGCAGTATTTATATTCCCGCCGTCTACGTTCTCAACAAAATCGATCAAATCTCTATTGAGGAATTGGATCTCATTTACAAGATTCCTAACGCTGTGCCTATTTCTTCCAATCACGAGTGGAATTTCGATGAACTATTAGAAGTGATGTGGCAGAAGTTGAACCTCGTTAGAATCTACACCAAGCCAAAGGGTCAATTACCAGATTACGAGCAACCTGTGGTCATGACACACGAAAAGGCAACTGTTGAAGACTTCTGTAACAGTATTCACAAGTCTATTATGGATCAATTCAAGTGTGCATATGTTTGGGGTGCTTCAGTAAAGCACAACCCTCAAAAGGTGGGTAAGGAACACATTCTCATGGATGAAGATGTTGTTCAAATTGTCAAAAAGTAAGTTGTTGATATCTAGTGCATACACACAAGACACTGACCGATTTCAATTAGGGTCTAGACTGGCTCAACACTGTTATATATATATACAATAAAAAGTTTTTTTTTTATCATAATAATACTATACAACAGATACTTTTTTTTTTACTCCTTGATGCTATCACCATAGACACTTGCATACTGTCCAAGAGCCCAAATTGTGAAGGAAAACTTGTAATTGGGGTAGGAAATCATGCAATTTTTGTTAAAGACACCCTCAATGCTTTCTTGTAGCCACTCGCCGTTCGCCTGTTGCCTCTTCATGATGAATTCAATACCACGACGGATAGGCTCTTTATCAGGATATCTTGCTTCCAAAAGTCCTCTCACAGCAAATGCTGTATTGACAACTTGAGATTTCTCGTTGCGAGAGTAGACGTGCAATTCACACGACTTATAGCTTTCGCCCCATCCGCCATCAGCCTCTTGATGCTTGATGAGGAAATCACAACCACGTTTGGCATGATCCGATGTCTCGTAGTATTCATTTACACTGGCTAAGCTTTGAAGAGCAAACATGGCAGCATAAGTATAACAGATGGCCCAAGCACCGTACCAAGAACCGTCTTCATGCTGCACTCTTTTGATGTACAACAAACTGCGGCGACACGTTTCATCAATTTCAGCACGACGGTACTCTGGATCTATTTTGATGAAACTACGGAGAGCCATTAAGACGGCGGTGGTGCACTCGGGATAACTGTATTCGGTCATGATGTTGCCAAATACTTCAGCAGGATTCAGCATTTCCAAGAGATGAGGGCCACGAATAGTTTCATAAGAAGCAAAACCATCATCTGCATTTTGCATGGTCAGCATGACATCCACAGCTTGACGAAGGCGTGGAAGATCAACCAAAGTGGGGAGGCCAGGCGTAGTTTGAAGGGCAATAGTAGCCTTGAGACCTTCAGCAGTGCAGTCAGAAACAGTGTAGTTTTGTTCCCTTGTACTGAATGGCCAGGCACCCAAAGTGCTTTGACGATAACACTTGTCTCCATTGGGTGGATCTCGCCGAATCTACCACATCAATGAATACAAGCATTTTCAAATGATATTGCTCAATTTCTAGTTACCTGGGTAATATCAATAAACTCGAGCAAACGAATCATGTTTTGACGGTATTCAGGATTTTCAGCGAGCTTGGCTTCCACACAGGCTTGAGCAATAAAGGCAGCATCCCACAGTTGACTACCATTCGTGCCGTTCATCATCATACCCTGAGGTCCCATCCACATGAAATCAGCATTCTTCTCTACATGCATCTTGAATTCGCGAGATTCTCTACCATACTCGTAAAAGGACACAAGCCAGTTCATTGCCTTGGATACAGGGCCGATCGTTTGAAAGCATGAATTCTCGTCTTCCATCTTGATCTGATCTAATGTCAATTTCAGGGCGTAGTTTCTAAATTGAGGCAATTTCGTAGCGAGAGACTCGTAATAGGTCAAACCATAGTTTAGTACATCCATGATTTTCGAGTGAGGGGTATATAAATCGATTTTAGCGACGTTGTTTCTTTGGCTATCCCAATGAATGGAGTCATAAGACTCAGTATAGAGCTCTTCACGAAGGGATTGAGTGAATGTGGTGAGAGGTGCACTGAGTCTGCGAGCATAGATGTAGCCCATGGGCAAGTAGACCAAGCGAGTATGGACCCACCAGTTACCAGGACAGAGAGGGAGTGCCTTCGGAAGAGCCCATAGCTCAGGAGGGATGGGATTTACACCCTTCCAATCATAGACACCTAATGCTGCCAACCAGAATTTGCCCCAAGCGGGGATAGCGCTTGCACCACCGAGTTTATGGAGGGTGCCACGAGCTTTGACCATAGCAGGATGATCAGGTCCAAGACCCATAATACGAAGTGCGACATAATTTAAGGCTGTACCGAATACAGTGGATGCACCTTCAATATGGATGCCCCATCCGCCATCATCCTTCTCGGCTCTGTTGAGTAAATAACGAATCAATTCGAGACGCATTGCTTCAGGAATTGGTGTGCCAGTAATATAATATGTGATGATTAAACCAGGAATCAAGAACCTAGTAGAGTGTCAATCAGCATGCTAGTTTGTATATATGTGTGTGTGTGTGTGTATGGGTGGTTTGCTACTAACATGGGCCCACCGTATTCTCCACTCCAATGCCCATCCTCAGTCTGAAGTCGTCTGTAAAACTCAAAGCCATTACGAGCCGATTCCAGTGGTGTTGTGGGTGTTTGGAGATCAGGGACGTCCTAATAACAAAAAGATCAGTATCTCTCTCGCATTAAACAGCATTCAAATCAGCACATACAATAGGAAGCCCTAATGAGTATCTATCCCAGATTGTTTGTGGCCAGGTTTTACGCTCTTCATCTGTTGTCAAGTAATGCCATGTTTGTCTGCCTTCATCCACCTTCAATCGCCAGTTTTCTAAATCAGTAAATTCAGGTGTTGAGCTCCAGTTGAGGTTGGCTGATGCGTATTCTTCCAATGCTACAGTCATTAAATAGTGGATGCTGTCGTATGCTGGTTTGCAGAAGAAATAAAAGAAGGTATTCTTTGTGCGAGCTTATTTATATACATCCGAAAAAAAGTTGCGGCAAAGGTGACAGCAAGACACGAAGCTTTGAGTTGGCCAATCAAACATAAAGTGCATGTGAATGCACGATTTCCTTATTTATGGCAATAAAGATTGTGTAAATTGGTAAGCCTAATTTGAATTTTTCTGTTTAGTAGAATTTGTTGTGTTGTTAGAAGGTTAACAGCTACTAGTCTACATCTTGATACATTCTTGCATAATCTTGTTTGCAAAGCAACCCGAGGCGAGCCCACTATCCAATGGAGGGCACTCGACATTCTTAATGTGCAATAGACACATCAGGCTCAAATCATGATTTCAGTTAATATTCTCAAAAGCAATGCATCTTAAAATCAAGGCTCATGTTGTCAGATTTTAGAAATGGCTATTGTCAGATTCTAGTTGTATTTTATTACGATGGGGGGAGTGCACTAAGGTCTACTTCATCATCATCATCTTGGTAAGAATGCTCTGTTTGAGCTGCATACTGCTCATGGACAGGAGAGCGAGGCATTGCCATGACACCAGTTCGAGCAGCTTCAATGATGCCGAATGGCTTACAAAGCTTCATAAAAGAGGTAATGCGCTCAGGTTTGGCACAGACTTCAACCACAACAGAGTCGCTAGAGACATCAACAATCTTTCCCTCAAACAAGCGAGTGAGTTCCGTGACAGCACGCAAATGTTCAAATGTGTGGCGAAGGGCAGTAGATGGTGTCTCTTCAGGAGTCTATATACACAATTAATGTTTAGCAAACACAAACGACTTTCGACCGGGTGAACCTACCTCTGCTGTAGCACTTAATTTCTCATCAGCGTATTCAACTTCATTATCCAGTTTTGCAGTGGGTAATTGCTCATGTAAATGCTCTGGACCCAAGATGGACACTTTGATCAACAGCAACTCACGCTCAATCAGCTTTGTATGGGTGTAATCCAATACAGCCCAAACAGGAACCTTAATTCAGTGTTCAGTCAGTAAAGATCAACAGATCAAACTCCCACAAAGCTTACCAGATCCTCCAATTGTCTTCTGGCTTGCTCAATCTGAACATTCTTGCCGTTGAACACCACCGTCATTCTACTGAGGTCTGGCACCTCTGTATTTGCCACCACCAAGGATTCAATGTTGAAGTTTCTACCAGCCAAGACGCCTGACAATCTACTAAGGACGCCGGGTTCATTCTGAACGAGCAAATTCAAGACATGTCTCTTTGACTTTTCACTGCTTGTTGTAGGGGTATTGCGCAAGATGTTGTAGACGGCATCCTCAGCAGTAGGTTGCAAGTAGCGGGGAGCATGGCCAAACTTTTTTTGACGCATATGCTTCTTGAAGGCCATGGCAGAGGTGGCTGGTGAATAAGCACGTCGTACAACGGCGACTTGTGGTGTAACAAAAGTGGTAGTATTTGCCTGAACAAATATGTGTCAAAGTACAGGCCTCCCAAGAGTCAATGCTATTCACTTACAAAAGCTTTATGACATACAGACCGCAACATGCCGTAAATTTAATATATAGAAGAAAAAAGAGAAAGAAGATCAAGCTCAAAGATAACGGGTAACCGTTTTAAATAAGAAAAAAAAAAAAAAAAAAAAACTGCTCAGATGTATTGTGATTCATATTAATTTTATGCTTCACGATTGGCTGTAGACTAAGTTTCCATTCTCGAACCTTTCCATTAGCATGCCACATACTTGACTTAACATTCAGTAGAGGCACCTGGAAAGTGTTTTGGGACCAAATCTAGGCAGCACGACACTGGTCAATATCATCAGGTGTTGATACATGAGTAGAACCTACCCTTATAAATTTTTCTGTCCTTTTCATTAAACAATACAAAGATGATCTGGTCAATCTGTTTCATGATTTGAGAGTCAATATTCGGTTACGCCCAATCAAGCAGCAAGGACATATCTAACCTTATCTTGGCCCTTTGCCAGTTGGTCTTGCAAAAAGTCGTGAACTGTTGTCAAGGCGACATCGGCAGCCCTCTCATTGTCGTATCCATAGACACCAGTAGCAATGCACGGAAATGCAATGGAGCGCAGTTGGTTGTCTGTCAGTACTTGAAGTGAATTTCTGTAGCAATTAGCGAGAACAGTTGGTCTTTCGGATTGTGGTCCAACAGTATGAATGACATCTATTCAATTGCTTATTAGCATTTGTTTGTTGCCCGTTTTCTTCCGTTAACCAAACATGATCTCATTACGTTTTGCTGGCAAATTGTAGCCTTTGGTGATTTTGGCTTCCTTTAAGTGGAAAAATCAACATCATACGATGTTTTTGTCGCATAATCATCAACTTACACCATCAGGACATCCTCCAAGTGCACGACACTCTTTCAACAATTCTCTTCCAGCAGCACTATACATGTATCAAATGTTGGCGCGCTATTAAAATGAATTGTCATGTATATCAATTTATACCTGTGAATTGCTCCATCAACTATATGACATTTGTTACTGAACAGACATCTTCATACTTGTATCACTCAAACATACCTCCACCTCCTCCGAGTAAAGAGTTGTTTGCAGCATTGACTATTGTAGATATTAGTAAATCCCTAGCATTTTGAATTGCATTTCTTTATTGTATTACCGATTGCATCTACTTCAATTTTGGTGATGTCTTGACAGCTGTTGTGTAATCAGTAACTACATAATATGTAGCGAGAATATAGCTTACCTTAATTTAATTTTTGAAGCGAGGTTACTCATCTTGTAAAAATATACGAGGAAAAGGATGTAATGTATACAATAATGCGTTTAAATCAGCATTATATCATCGTGACGGTGTAACATTGCTTAGACAGATGCTTCTCACTTGCAGAGACCCGATTATGAGTAAAGAAAATCAGTGTAAATAAAGGCAAATGGCCATCTCCTCAACAACCAGTAGTGAGCAATTTTCAAATGAGTTCGATGATTAATTTTCAAGAGACAAAAGCTGCTTTATTATAGTCTAGCGTATTTATTAGCTCAAGCGTCAATCGATAAATGTGGCACACTTACTACAGATAACAATGACTACTAAGAGTCAAGGTCGAATAGTTAATCAAATAGTAAAATGCTGAATTACAAGCAACTCATTGATTGATTTACAACTTCTACAATGGATAGCTACCTGTAATTTTTTTTTTGAGAGACCCTTCATTGAAAATAATTTGAGTATGTGAGTTTGATAGTATTATTTCCTCCTGTGGCATATATCATGATAAATTTGTGGCCCCTAACAGGCTCTTTCAAAGCCTCAAGAGAAAAGAAGTTAGTATTACTACTAGTACTTTGGTGGATTGGCGTTACTAAATATAAGATCTCATAGGAAAATAGCATGTCTAGCGACAATACTATGTAATTCGCCAAGTACTTTTTATTGGCTTTAAAAGCATCTATTATTGCCTTCATGATTAGAAGCGCATTGAGTTTGCCAGCGGGCCACACCAGCCACAATCAATTCAAGCCCAGAATCATAGTCTGTTCCAGACTGGCCAAATCTTGATGTTTTTTCGACTCAATTAAACTATTTTGGCAGATTCGACTAGGTAAAATATGATGATCATCGTATGCCTCTTTAAGCTGGCCCGTGGTGGTAGGGCGAAGTGGTTAAGCATCCAACATGCCATCTGGATGATCCCGGTTCAAATCTCAGTGAATGCATTTTGGTGATTATTTTGACGTAGTACTGATGTCCTCGTTTGGTGTTTTGTGCTCTTATCCAGTATCCATATTTTGACGGTTCGCATGATTGTATTGGCTCTAGGTGTCGCACCTGATTAGTAGTAGATTTCTTTCTCAACTTAGTTCATTATATATCTTATTCCCCATCATTGCAGACATTGGGTCTACCAACATGATGAATTCGTAATAATAAGTCGATGATAATAATCAGTTGTCAACTGTATCTAAAACGAAAGCAAAGAGCTTCTTTATTACAGGGCATCTAGCTTGCTTAAATATGGTAGATCCCTGGTCAATGACTACTACGTTGAGATGGTATATAAATAGCAGGCCACTGGGGCCTTATGGATTGTTGGTATAGCTTGTTGAGAGGCCACCTAAGTCGGTATGTTTCATGTAGTGTAGGTGGATCTCGATATTTTGACATTGGTGAGATTGAATGTATTGTAGTTCCTGAGGCACCTGTGCACACACAATTGACTGGACTTGTAAACATAGATGTGATGTGATACGATGAACATCATCTATGCTGCTACACTGTAAAAGGTGGCTTGAGGAGAAAGTGAATGTAGCCTAAGATGCATGCTTGTATGCAACACAACAGTCTTTTCTTTCCCTCAGTATGACATCTTAAGGACTTTAAATAAAAACTGGAGCTCGACTCCCCTACAAAAAAAAATGCCTCTTTAAGCTTTCTGGGAGTGCCTTTCAAGACGCATCCAATGGTGAACAATAAGGTAGATGTTTTGAATAAACTTATTGAGTAATTTACGAAAATATGAAAAGAGGTTTCTGACCAGAAAGTCAAAATTTTACATATCAAGGTCCCACAAAGATGACTTTAGAGGTTAGGTTAGATCGATAGAAACATTTTGATTCAATATTTACTATAGTAAAAGTCTTCATTATCAAGGTCAAAAACGCGATCGTTTGATTTTCAAGAATTTTCCCTTACTAGTACACATGAAAAAAATAAAGATTTTCATGGATCTGCAGTGACCCAAAAAATTTTGAGATAAAGTATCAGTAAGTAAAGCGTGGCCAAGAAGAGACGTTTGGTCCTATTCCGAGCGTCCACAGCGCTTTGTAGCATGAATTACTCTAGCTTCAAAATGGCTAAATTTAGACAGAATTTGACCTAAAAATAAGGTGTAGTAGGCTGTGTTGCTAAACAAGAAGTAAATTACAGTTCTGTTTGATGAACCAGATGTTCTGCATTTTACGGAACTTAGTTTCTAAGTAATGGATGCTTTTATTCTAATTCTGAGGCTCAAAACTTTCTTTTTGAAATGCGTGATTACAGTAACCCTAAGGAGGCTTGAGAGTCAATAATATTATGCAAATTTGAATATAACGATTTTCTCGGTTTGAATGAAATGCTCATCAGGTTAGCAGGACGCTTTTGATGGTCGTCTATAATAGAAGAGATACCATATCTAGCCGCAGAACTAGACTTGTTAAGGTCTCTTCAGAATGTTGAGCACTCATGATGATTATTAAGGTGAAATGGTTGATACCAGATACGCCAAGTCGGTCTCAGTATGATGGGGACCAACAACAAGCTTATATATCAAAATCAACCCAACAGAGATTCATGATATAATATATTCGCTATTGTAGCAAAAGTTAGGTTTGAGCGATCGTCGCGATAGTTTTTTCTTTGGTCTCCACAACAGTAAAAGGAATACTATAACAGGTGAAGTGGTGCAGACTCAGTACATAATACTACTCCCCTTAGAGAACCTTCAAAATGTCTAAAAAGCAGACGTATTTGTGTACAAGATATACAGTATAATATATCATTTGTGTAATTTCCTTTGATGCTCACTTTAGTTTTTTTTTTACCAAGATACGGGATTAATATAATTCTATTTGGAATTGTTCGACAACGTTTTTGCCTAAAGATCGTAAAATACAGAGTTTTTAAGTAAAATCATAAAGGGAGCGTATATTTGTAACTTAACCTTTTTACATAAAAGTAGATCCAACGTAGAGCTATTTAATGGTTCTTGTTTTATTCAAATACGACACGTCTTTCCTGAGATATGACAAAAAAATGTAATCTTGCAAAATCATCGATTTTTATGCAAAATTTGCCTGTGATAGCAAGGCAAAAATCTGGATAGCAATTTCTCTCGAGGTACAAAATTGGCGATATCTCGTGATAGAACCATACTAGAGCTTTGAATCAGGGCTCGTTCGATAGGTTCTTGTCTTTTCTACACTATGATGAGTATTGCAAGTGAAGCTCTGATGACAGAAACCTGGTAATCTGTCAAAAACAACCAAAAAATCGCAAAAACTATTCTATCAAAAATCAGCCTAATAACGTCGGCCAAAACACTTAAAATTGGTATCATTAGATTTTCCTTTAAATTCTACTCCAAGTTTCATTTAGCTGGAAAGCAATTTTATTTTCAGAGTCGCATGATATTAAGGCTAAACGATTTCAGAAATCCATGAATCCTCATTTTGAGTATTATGGAGGTTGGGCTATTGATAGTTTAAAATACCGCCTTTTTTTTTAGTATGTAGCTCAATTCAAACGTAAATTCGCTACCCTTGTCAAATATAACCTCTTAATTACATGTAACGGATTAATAGGTAAGGTGTTGGCGAACCTCATGGTGAAAATTGCTAATTCATATCTTGCTTTGCTGCCTTGTAGCAAGCTATCAAATTCTAGAACTTACCTTGCGGTACATTGATAACAGTGACGTCTTTTAGCCTCAACCTTTTATTAGCATTTTTTTCCTTTTTTCGTATATATATATATATACTATACTTCGCAAGCTCTCTACTCATGAAACAACGCTACCTTTGTGAATAGAATTGAAGCAAGTATAATTGACAGTTGTGCAATAGACGTAAGATACAACGCTAACGCGTTTTATACCGTGGTTATACTTGGGAAAACTCTACTAGGGGCTTATTTCTGATCTTTTGCTGTGCACTGGCTGCACACTTGGCGGTGGCTGCTTTGATGGTATATCGTTGCTTCGGTGGTTCTTCTCTAATGTTTGCTTATCCTGTGTTCTGTTGTCTTTGATGTATGCTGGTTCTCTGGTCTGTCTCTGGTCGTGATGCTGTGGTAAGAAGTGGTAAGTATCTTTTTTTTTTCTTGCGGTCGCAATGATATAAACTTCTTTGAACGTTTGTACTACTGCTTCCTTTCCCGCGATAATGCATTCATGCTGTTTGCTTTATTGCCTTTTTTTTCTTTTTTGCTGGCTGTGATATGATCAGCTCAACAAATACTTGCAATGTTGTTGCTTCGTATTTATGAACAACAAGCATGACACACTGCTATATAATTGTATTACCCTTCTTGTGATACTATGTTATATAGGTGTGGATTGTTGTTTGTGTTGTCTCTGTCGCTTCACATGAAAACAACATTGGTCTTCATGTTGTATTACAACACTTATACTGCTACTACTGTTGCTCCTGCAATTGTGCGCAATTGTGTTCTTTTACATCATCAGACTGTTATCATGCACATTGCTCATGTATATATTTTTGTTGCAATAACAAGAATATAATAACGTGAATATTCTTAATGTTTTATTCATAACGTACTATACTTCTATAGTATTATTATGTTCGCTTCTTTTATTATTATGTTTCTTTGAAGCGTACCTTTTTTTACGTTGCGTGGATGTGCCTATCGCTGAAGCTCAACAAGACTCTATCCGAGGCTAGGAAGTGGATAGGCTGCCTCCACTTGGTTATCGCTACTTACTTTAGTGATGATTGAGGGTCTCAATGCCAGTATTTAAAGCTAGGTGGTGTAAGTAAGGCATGCTCTAGCACCTGGGGGAAGTTTGATGATAGCGACGGCTATATTGCTATTATAACGGCGCTTAAAATTTTGCCTCACATCAAAACCGGGGGAAACCCTCGCAATTTTTTTTTAGGTCAGCGGAGTTTTCAAGCAATTTGATTGGCTCGGAGGATGAGGCACCGAAGGGTTACAACTAGTTGATTTCCCATTGATTTGTCATTCATAATATTTATGCGTTTGTAACAAAAGAAAGACT